TTGTCTGTAGCAAGAGTCACAAAAGAATGAAGGATCGTCTGAAGTATGCTTGTCTTTGTATGTAATGTACTTGGCTTGATAGATTTCGCACACGCCACATTTTCGTCTTTTTGGTTTTGCTTGAAAAGAACGTATAGGATATGCGTGAATATTCATTACATCTTCCTTCTCATTAATCAACCTCATTTCCGTAAATACAATGTAATGCATACAATTGCCATTATGACAATAAATATATGGCTCATTCAATCTAATGGATAAATCATAAAAACACACATCCTCCATTCGTCGGGACGAATAATTAATTTTGTTTGAGTTAGATCCTTCCAAGTTATCGAAAGATTTTAGCCATGTTATGATATTCTCGCTATAATCAATATTGTTCTCGTGTCGCATGTCATTATAGAATGTGTTTTCAATGAAAAAATAGCCAGAATTAGTATACAAGGATACATGACTTAGCAAGGCTGCATCGGTAGAGCAATCTATACAATCTCTAAGCTCTGTAAGTTTTTGACTTCCTAGAACAATAAATTCTTTAACTTTGGTGTTTCTAACGGGATGATAAATAGCAACATGCAATAAAGCTTCATCACTTGCAGGTCTATCGTTTTTTGTTTTGTACAACTTTCCAAAATAATTAGCCTCTTCGGTAGGTGCAATAAAATTGTCGACTCTTTTCGGTAGATATGCTGCATTTTCAATTTTAGCTTCGTCATTAAAACTATATACTATTTGTTGACGCTCACTTTCATTACTTTCTCCCATTTCTTCAATGATCGTCGATAGTTTTGGAATCCTCGAAACGTCAAGTACTTTCCTTACATCATTAGGCACTTCCATGTCGATCGTGTCTTCCATTCCTTTTGTTCGTTTCAATTCTTTCCTAATTGCATCCTCAATGATTTCCTCTGGAGTCTTAATTGCTAAATCTTTACTCAGCAATAAATCCCGGAGGGTTTGATTCCTTGGGTGAGGAAGTTTTGATTGTGGCTTTTTTTGTGCAGCATTTTCGAATATTTCATTCAGACTTTCGGCTCCCACTTCCATGAGATGACTTGTGTCATCATGATGATGATGCTGTTGATTATCCTCCATTTCCTCATCCTCCATATCATCTTCCAGATCATTATTAAAAGTATTTTCTAAATCAGAGATAGATAATAATCCTGTATCAAGTAACGATGCTGGTCGGGATTCTAATAATTCTGCTTCTTTTCTTAATAGTTGCGAGAATGATTGTTTAAATTCTAATACATTATGCAGTGGGGCCGATGGAACAATGTTGGATTTTTGGGCTGATTTTGGAGGCCTTCCTCTTTTTGATTTTGTTTTAGTTCCGATCATGGTGTGGTTAGCCTTTGCTGATGACGACGGCGAGGACGGATCGATGGTTGACGAGGAAGCGAGTTGACTCATTTTTTATCGTCAAATCTTTTCCCCAAAAAAAATGGAAGCGTTGCTGTATTGCGAATTTGATAATCTCAAGGGCTCAATGATCATGTATCAATACCCGAAAATGAGAATTTCTAATGAATTGTTTGAAACCTACTCGGAATTTGTAATTACAAAAACTAAATTGTGTGGAAAAATTGTATCGTTCAAACATGAACATTTAATATTTATCGGAGTTCCTCAATGCATCGAAGGCTCTAAATATGAAAGAAATGCTCTATTATTTAATTTAGTTTTCGTATTGGATAGCACAAAATTAAAAAGAGAATTTCCACCTGAATGTTTTAAATCTATTGCATCCAAAATGTCTTATTATTTACGAAATTTAGAGGTAGGTGATGATTCAGGAATTATTGAATGACTGAATCAATTAGCTGGAATCTGAGTATTTATTTAAATTGAGCTCCAAACAAAATCTACAAAATATTCTCGAGCAGATCTATACTGATTTAACTTCAAAGCAAGAAACATCAATAATTATTGATTCAGCTCATTCTATTCATTTGAAATTAATACCGTTACTGAAAAAGCCAGAGACGGTTCATTCACATGATGTACCAATGCCAATCAGAAATATTCAACAATTACTTGCTCAACAATCAGGTTCCTGGGATATGACTTTATCACAAATTGTGCCCTATATTAATGGCATATCATTTGTGAAACAAATTGCAATTCAAAGCAATGTACACATAGAAATTGTGAAAAAGAGTTTGCAGCATTTACTGTAGGTATTTCATTGCTATGGAATGAATACAAATGTTTTTTAATTCTCAATACAATTAGTTATTTTGGATGTATCAAAATGGTAGATATTTTCCAGTATTGCAATATGTATGCCATACGAAATCCCAAAATATTTAGCCAATTACTTTCTAACCACGAACTTCAAGAAGAGCTATTTCACTATTGCTGTTCAGGGTTAGAAAAATCATCAATTCCTTTTGAAGGATCTCAAATTTTGCACAATATTCTTCAAATTTATTGTAAATTCAAACCAGGAGTTAGACTCCAAGACATTCTCGACAAGTACCACCATATTTGCCAATATATCAATCCAAAGTAAGTAGCAAACCTACAATTACTCATAGGCCTTACAGCTTTTTTAAAGGTGTCTCATAACCTTTGGTTTGATCAAAGGATTTCTCACTCGTGTTCATGAATATCCTATTCTAATGAAAGAGGAAAGAAATTTAGTGCAAACAGAAATGGATGGAAATAATGACCAGTCAGAGCATGATCATTTGTCACACGGCCTATCTCCATCATCTTCAACCACTTTCACAGTAATTACTAGGCCAAGAAGATCCTCTCAACCCATACAGGTCGTCAATATGGATATCTTACGGCCCTATCTCAACGGAAAATTCTGCATGGACGCCATTTGTTGTGAGTTGGAAATCACACGAGCTGAGTTATTGAAATCATTGGATCAATTTGACCATGTTCAAATCATTAATCGTTGATGGTGAGATGATAAATATTGTTCTTTTCAAAATTAACCTAAAAGAGCAATTAATTGAAACTCGGAACCACCAAAAAAATGACGACATCATCGTCGCATCGAGGGAATGATCAATCTTCCAACAATAGGAGGAGTACGAGTGTTTTTTTTATAGTACTGATAATAACATCCATCATCATCATCATTTCAGTGAGAGCACAATCAACGACAAACACCATGGTTTCATCATTATCAACGGAAGGACCCAATACGACTCGCAAATTAGAATCTCTCATTGAAAAATTCTTTTCAAAATCCGATCCCAAGGCATCCAACACTGCTCATAAACATTCTAATAATTGGGTGGTACTGATTGATACAAGTAGATTTTGGTTCAATTACAGACATGTTGCAAATACTCTCTCCATTTATCATATCGTTAAAAACTTGGGTATTCCCGATTCACAAATATTATTAATGTTGGCCGATGATGTAGCATGTAATCCTAGAAATAGATTCCCAGGAGAAGTATTCAATAATAAGAATAGGCAGAAAAATTTATATGGAGAAAATGTGGAAGTCGATTATCGAGGATATGAAGTAACAGTTGAAAATTTCTTTCGAGTACTTACAGGACGACATCATGAAGCTGTTCCTACAAGTAAACGATTGATGAGTGATGAACATAGTAATGTTCTCTTATTTATGACTGGACACGGAGGTGATGAATTTTTCAAATTTCAAGATCAAGAGGAAATTAACAGTGCAGACATTGCAGATGTGATACATCAAATGTCTGAAAGAAGAAGATTTAGAGAAATGCTCATGATTGTAGATACATGTCAAGCTGGATCTTTGTTTGACAAGTTATATACGCCAAATGTGATTGCAGTTGGAAGTAGCAAACGTGGAGAAAATTCATATTCTGTATGTAATATTATTAGAATTAACGAGAACAAATGTTGACTCACAAATATTGTGGATGATATATTTATTTTCAAAATAATATTAATTATTGCAGCATCATTCTGATTTGGATATTGGAGTTGCAGTTATTGATAGATTTACTTATTCTTCTTTGGAGTTCTTTGAAAACCGTGATTTTAGACATTACTCTCCATCGTTGAGAAATTGGGTAAGTTCGAATTCCATTATTGAAATTCAATGCATTGGTTGACAATTATTGTTTCTCAAGTTCAACTCATACACTGCCGAGTCATTGCATTCCACTCCAAACATGCGTTATGATCTCTATCCAAGAAATCTGGATACAGTACCCATTACAGACTTCTTCGGTTCTGATATTAAAATTGAATTCCAAGATGAGCAATATCCAAGAGGAAATGCAACACTTCTTTCCAGTTATAAACCAGTTCACACCAATGAGGAATACAAAATTGCTTTCCCATCATCAAATGACACAGCGGTAGAAGCCCAAGAAACAGAAGTCACTTTTGAGAATAATCTGTCCATTGTAAATAAGAACATTATTGCATTGTTTATTTTTGGAGTGTTAATTTGCTTATTTTTGAAATAAGAAATTTCACAAATCACACAAATGAATTAAATTATTATGAATTTATTGTTCAAATTTCCAAAAATTAACCTCTCGAGTTATTGCTTTTCATCATTTTCTTCACTCTTTTTCTTTGCTTCTTGCTCTTCTTTTTCTTCCTGTTGTTGGAAGTCTTTGGTTCTTAGATAGGCTTCGAATTGGGCATCACTTTCGAAAGGTCGTCTTCCAAGCACATCAACCATATCTTGAGCATCAATTTTTTCTCTGTCGAGCAATAACTTGGCAATTGCGATCATTCCTTCTTTGTGTTTAAGTAAAAGCTGCTCTGTTCTGTTATAGGCGTCAACCACCATCTTTTTAACTTCTTGATCAATAGCTCTTGCAGTAGTAGCACTGTAAGGCTTTTCTGCTTGGAACCCATCGTTCGTGTCTGGGAAGGATACATTTCCAATCGTCTCACTCATTCCATACTTGGTAATCATGGAATGAGCAATTTCTGTTACCTTTTGTAGATCGTTTTGAGCGCCTGTAGACAAGTGGCCAAAAATGATTTTTTCTGCTGCTCTACCGCCAAGAGCAAGACACATAAAGTCGAATAATTGTTCCTTAGTTGTAATATATCTTTCGCTAGGCAAGTATTGTGCATAACCTAATGCTCCTGAGCCTCTAGGTACAATGGAAACCTTGAGAAGTGGATCACTATGCTCCAAAAACCATCCAGCAACAGCATGACCAGCTTCGTGATGTGCTACAATGTTTCTTTCCTCTGGAGAAAGTACTTTGTTCTTCTTTTCCAATCCACCAATGACCTTATCGATTGCTTGTTCAAAATGACGCATGGTGACATGATCAGCACCTTCTCTTGAGGCAATAAGAGCGGCTTCATTACAAACGTTGGCAATATCAGCTCCAGAAAAACCGGGAGTGAGAGTGGCAAGACGCGTGGCATATTCATCGGCAGGCTTTGCCAACACAATTCCTTTCATATGCACTTTGAAAATTTCTTCTCTTCCCTTAATATCAGCAATATTCACGTCAATCGATCTGTCGAAACGACCAGGTCTAGTGAGAGCCTTGTCCAGTATTTCGGATCTGTTTGTTGCTGCCAAAACAACAACACCAGTTGCAGGAGTAAAACCATCCATTTCGACAAGCAATTGGTTCAGAGTATTTTCTCTTTCATCATTTCTTCCCATAAATTTTCCTGTTCCTCTTTGTCGACCCACAGCATCAATTTCGTCAATGAAAATAATTGATGGAGCATTTTCCTTTGCTTCCTTGAACAATTTTCGAACTCTTGCAGGACCAACACCAACCACCATTTCAACAAATTCAGAACCTGAAATACTGTAGAAAGGAACCCCAGCTTCTCCTGCAACAGCTTTTGCCAGCAAAGTCTAACCATATTTGAAAATATTATAATGATTTAGCTCCCAAATTTTCACATAATGTTTCAGACTTACCTTACCAGTACCTGGGGGTCCAACTAATAAGGCACCCTTTGGAATACGAGCACCAATATCTCTAAACTTCTTTGGATTCTTTAAAAAGTCCACAAATTCAGTGATTTCTCTCTTTGCCTCATCAAGTCCAGCAACATCTTTGAATTTAACAGTGTGTTGAGTTGTTGCCTTAAATGATTTGGTAAACATATTGGTTGGGTCCATGGCTCCTAATCCTGCCCCTCCTCTTCCAGGCAATCGTTTGTAAGCATAATATAACAAGCTACCAATGATAAGTAAATGAATGGCGGCCTGAATCGTAGAAGCAAAGTTCTTTTGCTCCTTTCCAGAGTAGTAAATATCCACACCAGAGACAGCAACTCCATGTTGCTTAAATTCTTCAAGTAGGTCATAATATCTTCTTTCAAAACTGTCTCCTCCAAATCCAATACTATACTCTCTTCCCTCCTTTGAGTGAATGGTTGTTGAGCGTTCATGAATTGTGATTTTACGGACATTGTTATTTCGAAGGTCCTTACTAAAGTCATCAAAGGACGCAGTATACCCTGTGCCTTGTTGTAATTGTTGGTAAGCACCAGCAATCATAATAGCCGTTATCAGTAACATTCCATAAAACATGTAGTCCAAGAGACTACGTTTTTCTTGTGGCTTTTCTTCTGCTGGTTTCTTCACCTCTTCCTGTTTCTTTTCCTCCTTGACCTTAATAGTACCCAGTTTCAAGGTTGAGTGAACGGTTTCACCCTTTTTCACATCATGAGAAACAATTTTACCCTTTTCGGCTGCTCTAATATTGATTCTTTGTGGTGTCTCTTCGTCAGAATACTTGACTTCAACTTCACAGATGACCTCTCCTTCATATACTTCATCGTCGGGATACTTGAACCATTTCGTAATAAACGCGGTTTCAACATTATCTCCCAAATGAGGTACGGTAATGTCAATCTTTTGTGGTTTCTTTTCCTCTTTTTTTTCTTCTTTTGGTGATTCATCCTTCTTTCCTTTCTTTACTTCTTTCTTTTCGGAAATAGTTTCAGAAGGCTTTGCCTCTTCTTTGACTTCGGTTTTTGCAGTTTCTTCTTTTGGTTTCGATGGTTCCTCTTCCTCTTTTTGTTCCTTTCGTTTAAAGTTACCGAAGCCCTTTGGGGATGAATAATGTCTTTTGGTAACCATATCAGTGATTATCAAACTAATATTCTTCTTTGAAAATATTCTCCTTTCTGTTTTTCTCGGAATTGGATATCTAGTATCATTCTCGTTCATTGTAAACGATTGAGCTGGCAATGATGAAAAGGATATGCTCTCTTGTTGAAGAGGAGCAAAACGATGCAAAACAGACAAAATATTCTTCAAGGATGATGGTCTTAGATTGAATCCGCCATTACTCATCACTCCGGTTCTCTCCAACATTTTCTCCATGATCTGTGTCCATGAATATCCACTTAGCAAAGATGATGATGTTTGGTACTTCCTCATCAATGAATTCATCATGGATCCGATACCACCTTGATGAGCAAACATTTTTTTTGATTGAATTGGCAAATTGAATGCTTCGGCCGTTTGTATTTTTAGTCCGTCATCCGCATTCGGAGAATCTGCGTAATGGCAATTCGAGCATGTTAAACACACAGAGCAGTTGAACGACTGTATTCTGTGGATCACTCAGAGAATAACCATGTATTTATAAATGATGACAAGAATCTTCGTGTGTGCATTGTGTAATTTACGACATTAATCTTCTTTTGTTTTGAATAAGTCACTATTTTCTTCCTTATCCGCATCAGATTTTCTTAGTTTGAAAAGCTGTGCTTGCAATTCTTCTTGATCCACATGCAAGCCTGGAAGGACCTCAGTCTTGGAATAAATTGAGACGGCCTTGCTTTCGATGGATTTCAATAATTGTTGATCCTCTTCCGACAAATTCTTGTCCTTACAGAGAGTTTTTACAATGGTCACAATACGGTTCACATTATCTTTGATGGATTCCTCATCTAAAATGTATTTCAGAGAAGTATAACCATCTTGTGGAAAATATTGTTCCTTAACGCATATAATTTTTTGTTCCTTTTGTTCTTCCTTTTTAATGACCTGCTGCAAATAATCATCTTCTGCATCTTCAGACAAATCATTAATGGAAACATTAATAATGGAAACATCAGATTCGCCACTCGAGGTTGATGATGCTTCATCATCTTTGGCGTTCTTGTTGACTTGTTTTTCGAGATTTTCTTGATTTTCTTTGAGAGAGAAAAACGCATCCTCCATGATGCTGGTAAACACGTTGGCAATCACACAGATAAATATAGTGGTATAAATGTAAATATAAAATCTGGAAAAGAATGCTGTGAAGCCTTGATATCCGAATACACTGTCAAAAGTGTCTCTCATGTTGTCCTGGAAAATTAAGGAAAATAGGGTGACCATGGCCTCATTAATATCAAAGAAATATTTTGAATATTCACCAAACTAGACGGGATGGTAAATATGCGTTACAACATGCATTGAATTACATACCATTATTGTTCCGAGCTAATTTTGAAAATTTAGTTTGTACTAGCAGACGTTCATCAACGCAAGTACTTACCAATGCAAAACCAAAGTAAAGAGGAAGAGTCGTAATTATAAATCTAATAACTTGGGGTAAACCTCGTTCAAACGCCTTACTAAACATATAAAAATTGGGAGAAAATTGAAAGAATCTGATTGTGGAAGACCATGTCAGCAAGGCACCAAGTCCAACAAAAAAGGAAACTTCTATAGTTTTTCCAGGAATTGAAAGTTGGAGAATAAACGTTAAAATGTTAACACAGTGTTGAGAAATAGAAAAAAGTACCCAATATGACAAAATCTTTGGAATATCTGAGAGAGACAGGTGGTTCACACGGTAATAAACAATTCTTTGAAAAAATCTTGTTATGGAATTGCCGCTTTGGGTGTATTCGCTGTTAACAAATGGTTAGATAATAATTCACTCACTTAAATTCACAACATACTTTTTTATACCTTGTTTTTTAACTTCTAAATCTCTAATTTTCTTAAATAGCATTACTCTAGCAACAATAGCTTTGATATCCAAAACTAAAGCCACCATACTGAACAAAAATATAAGCAAGGACATCCAAATCGCAGGCTTGAAAAACTCCATGTATAATGCTATAAAAAACAAGTAAAAAATTACAAGTAAATTGAATCATAAATGCATACCTCGATCAGTAGTTCTACACACGTCATAAGTACGATGTAGTTGAGACATCAACTAAAAAAATCCAAATTAAAGCGTGAAAGACAACAGTAAATCACTTACCCTTCCTCCTTCTCCGTTTTTATAAATCTTTTTCAAAGTCCAAAATACACATTCAGCATAATTATTTACAGCGTAATTGCTTCGGTCAAGCCCAACAAGGTTGATGGTGAGAGTTAGTTCGTATAACCGATCAAAAAAGTCTCTAGTTGAATTTTGAAGATAAGACTTCAAAATCACTCCCAAAGGTTCTCGTTTTGTGAGAATATCACTCTCTTTTAGCTCAAACTTAGAAAAGCTGTACTGACATAATTACTTACCAACAATGAATGGCTCTCTCCCATAATCACCAGCGCCAAACAGTCTTGGATTATCTTTGAACAATTTAATATCAATTCGAACAGGTTTGATTAAATCTCGTTGGCGAGTATCTCTTGGGAAAACCCAAATATCGACATTTTTCTGTGGAAAAGAGTAATACTGAACAAAGTAACCCTAGTTTCCAAACATTCAAATAGAATTAATACACTTACAGTTGACACTGTTTTTGAAATGTCATCCACCACCTCTTGAGCATTATAAAAATACGAAGTATAAAAACCGTAGAGACTTTGTTCATAATTTTCGTATCCATCCTTTAGAAATTGATTTGCAAACGAAGCATCAGAAGAAATGAAAAAGTAGTTTCTGTGTTGTGAGAGAAGTACAACTTCAACTGTAATGAGCATCACCAATACAATTTGTATCATCATTTTCCAAGGAATTCTGAAGCAGTAAAGTTTCATTTTCATCAACACAAATTAATTTCAAAATTCACAAAAAAACATACTTTCCGTATTTCCAAAATTTCGTTAAAGGGCCTGTCGACAACATGTCTTCTGGTGTTGCATTTGCTCTTCTCTGTTTCAATGACTGCCTCTGTGTTCTGAACCATGTCAAAACTGTATGATTGAATACGATAGGTTTCTTTTTCTTGGATGATGATTTAGTACTTCGTGGAGTGCCTGGTTGCGATGTGTTTGGAATTGGCGAAGTTGTTGGAGTTGTTTTTGCCTTTAATTTGATACTGTTATCTTCGTTTTCATCATCATCACCAATTTGGTAATATTTAGTGGACGGAGGCTCATCATCCTCAATGGCCACCATTACGGCATTATTGCTGCTTGTATTCGATGTCTTCTTATCCTCTTGATCCTTTAAATTCTTAGCAAGTATACTGGACTCTATCGGAGTGAAGGTAACAGTCTTCTTGTTATGAGAGGACGGAGAAGAAGAGTGAGAATGATGTTTCAATGAAGAAGTCTTCAAACTACCAGCAACAGGCAATGAGGATGATGCATTGGAATTGATCGGAATAGGAGGAGTTTTTGGTTGTTGAGGAGGAGGATGCTGGTGTGTGGTGGTGGCGAGCAACAATGTGGGTGAGTCTAGTTGTTGTTGATCTTCTTCCACTTCACTTCTTCTTGTGGGGCTCGGAGGAGACCGAGACATGTGGTTCGATTTTTTAAAAAAGGAAAACTGGAGAGATTATCGTAATGAGTGAAGTTTTCACCTCCAAAAACAAACACATGAGAAAGGACCACCTTATGGAGGTGTCCCTCCATCTTTTTCTTATTAGTTCAATCTCATAATATGATGATGGCAATGTGAAAGAAAATTTGTTGCATGTGGACTTGAACCTCGGAATCATCATTCAATCATAACTAATTGATGTTCAACCATCGATGATGATGAATCTATCTTATAGAGAGATTAGAATTAAAACAACAACAAAATGCTTCAACAATCCCTGGCCAGAGGTGGAATGAATACGACCAAAGTCATTGGCTTGTGGTTCCGTAATGATCTTCGCATTCATGATCATGAAGCCTTCTCTAAAGCAGTCCAACAAGCGAGAACGGAACAAAAGAAAATACTCTGTCTCTATGTGTTTGATCGGTCCATCACGACTCAACCCTCTCCGTATAGCCTTTCTCAATTGGAGGAGTCGTGTGGACCTCGGAGATGTAAATTCTTGGTTGAAAGTGTACAGAATTTGTTCTCCAAGTTGAATGGAAGGATGATGCTTAGTGTTTTACCTTTTCAAACCTTAAAGGAGGAAGAACCCTCTGCATCCAGACGAACTGAACGTCCTTATTCCATTGAGAAAGTTCGAGAATTTGCAGCAGAGCTCATTCAGAAATTTAATATTTCGGACTTGTATATGAATCGAGAGTTTTGCATGTTCGAGAAGGAAATGGAGAAGGAAATTGAGAAGGTGTGCAAGAAGAAGAACGTCAAAGTGAATTGGACTTGGAGTAATTGTCTTGTTCATGGAGATGATCTTCCCTATGACAACTTTCCAGAGGACATTCCAAAGGTAGGTGAAACTCTTTTGAAAAAAGGAATGCAAATCATGGTATTTCTCGTTTCTGAAATGTTGTTAGACATTTTCTGCATTTAGAAAAAAGATTGAGCAAAAACTTGCAAACCATAAGGATACTATTCGAAAAGTCTTTGAAATGGAGGACGATTTTAGAGATTTTCTGCTCACTTCAGAAGAAATTCAAAAACACGCTCAAACTCTCAGTATGATTGATTTGAACGATTTTCAAGATATTGAAGCGTTTATGAAAAAACACTTGTTTCCTCACATGTCACATGACCAATTTCTGTCAGAGATTAAGCAAGATCAAAGGGGTATCATTAAATTTATTGGAGGAGAGGACACAGCGTTGGAGCGATGCCATTCATACATTAACAAGAATCTGAAAAACTATTCCACAACACGAAACAACAATCTTGGAGATTACAGCACAAAACTCTCTCCATGGTTGGCTTTAGGGTGTATCAGCGCAAGATACATCTATCACGAGATCAAAAAGAAAACAAGCAAGACTGAAGAAAAAAGTTCCTCTGCTTCAGTTTTAATTAATGAGCTATTGTGGAGAGATTACTTTAAAATGTTGGCATGGAAGATGGGAAGATCTTTCTTTTTCAAAAAGGCGTTGCAACCATCAAAGAATCTAGAATACGAATGGAAAATTCCAAGTGACGGCTACAAGAATGCGCAATTTCAAGCGTGGTGTCAGGGAAAAACTGGCTATCCTTTTGTTGATGCCTGTATGAAAGAATTATTACATACAGGATTTATGAGCAACCGAGGAAGAATGGTAGTGGCAAGCTTTTTAGTCAAAGACATGAACATTGATTGGAGATTGGGAGCAGAATATTTTGAACGAAATCTATTAGACTTTGATGCATCTTCAAATGTTGGTAATTGGTGTTGGGTTGCAGGTGTTGGATGTGATTTTAGACCTCGATACTTCAACCCTATCAAGCAAGGAATGGACCACGATAAAGAAGGAAAATACGTCAAACAATGGATACCCGAGTTGGAAAAAGTTCCTCACAACGCCATTCATTTACCTTACCTTCTTCTTGGCGAAAACGAAAAGAAAATCCTTAAAGTGCCAAAGCACTACTCAAATAAGGAAAATCTTGTTTGTTCTGTAGCTCTACCTTCAGCTCTAAAAAGAAAGTTTGAGAAAGGAGAAAGCTCAACGACCAAGAAAAGAAAGTAGAAACAGAAGGACGAATTGCAATGACAATAGCTGAATGAACAGTTTACATGTTATTATAATTTATACGTGGATGTAGTTATTGTGGAAGGTAAAGATGTTGTTAGGGAACTGTAAGGGCTGGAGAGTTTTGTTGTGGAGGTTGTAGTTTTTGCGTCTAATCTAGATCGAAGAGTCGAAATCTCGAAGCTCATCTGCCTGATCCTGGATATTGATTCTTCAGATTGTTTTTTGACATGCTCAATGTCGTATTCTTGTTTGATTTTGATAAATCTCTGCTCTTTGACGACCTCATCAATTCTCGAATTGACATCTCGAATATCGATTTCGAAATGTTTCATTCGTTCATTAAGCTCTCCAAATCCACCATACAAGTCTCTAATTTCTTGTCTTAATAGTTTCATTTCCTCCACCAAATTTCCAGCTGCTTTTGTGTTTGAAAATTGTTCATTTTGCCTTTGACATTGCTTTGAACTCTCCTCCAAAATGTCCATTTTGACCCACATACTCTTCAATTCCTCAATGGTTTGCTCTTCAACATTGTAGATATATTTCCTCAGTTGTTGAAGTTCATGATTCGCCAAGGATCGAATTCGCTCCATATCTTCGCGCAGATTTGAGGAATCATTATTGTGATTGGTAGATTGACTAATATGCTCAAGCGTTGTTCGAATTTCTTGTTGTTGTTTCCGCAGCGTATTGTTTTCGCTTTGCAACTGTACAATTAGATCCATTAAATGCTGATTATTTGGAGAAGAGTCTTCTTTTGTTGCAGACAACGTTGTGTTTGGGCTAATAATTTTTGACAGCGACAAATGGAACTTCTTTTGTTTGTCAAGCTCGTCTTCTTCAAGCTCACCCATGGAGCTTGATGATTCTGCAGTCTCGATCTCTTGAAACATGTCAGCATGCAAAAACTTCTTATCCAAAAAGTTAGATGGTATTGAATGCAGACCATAGTCATCGGTTCGACCATTTTTCCGAATATCCCTTTCCAACTCTTCCTCAGTCTCTTGGTAATTAATTTTGGAATCGAGACGATCTAGTTCCTTTTGAATACTGTCCTTTAGATCGTCCTTATCAACGATTGGTGGTTTAGGAGAAGCTGGAGGTACTGATTTAACAGGAGATACCGGAGGTTCCATAGAAGAATACTCTTTTTTCTCAATGACTACTCTTGGGGAGTGTTGCTCACTCTCTCTTGGGTCAAAATCAAAGATTAAAGGATAATTTTTGATCATGCAACTTAGGGAAGTGATAATGAAATTTAAATTCAGAAATGATTCTGCACTTTCCTTGTTTTTGGCGAAACAAATACTTGGGTTTAAACACACTGCAAGATTATTAGAGTCCATGCTATAAACTCCTCGAGTTGCAATAAAATGTAGTAAATCCATGAGATATCTTAAGGTCTCGTAATTTATCGTAGGAAGACCCTCCACCATTGTTTTTAATTTTGCCACTCTCGTTTTTTCGTCCATGTCATTCTCTGATGTGGAGAGTCGATGTTCATGAAAATAAACATCAAATCATATGAAACTTACGTCCTATCACCACTAATCTGTCATATCCATTATATGTGACAAGAGGTTCCGGTAAATACCTTTTGGAAAACGAGAGGTTAAATTACAAGTCTTCAAATTCTAAACATACCTAAAATATGATTTTAAAATGGAACTGGCATCATTGACAGTCAGATCATGTTTAAACATTGTTTTATAATCGACAGGTTCTAGTCCATCATGCAGATTAACATGCAACATTCGACAATGTACTACTTACTGAGTCCATATTCATTTATTTTCGTTCGGTAATTGGAAACAGTGGCTACGCTTCCCACTTCCCTGAAAACTCCCTGTCTTGGTTGAGCATTTCGAATGAAATCCACCAAATAAATGACCAACGATGGAATCATTATGGAAGGATCTTGATATATTTTTCTCTCGAATTCAATTCGTTCCCGAAGATCTTTACCGAACACTTCTCCCCGAGCATCGTCCACCATGTCTTCATTCCTCTTTGATTTTCCTCTTACGACTATCGGAATGAAGTGATTGAGCCTATCACTTCCAACTACATTCTCCTCAATTCAAACGCACTTACTTTTCGACCACATTTTTTTAAATTGAAATTGAAAAATATAACGTTTGTTGAAAGCTGTAAATTATATTATAAATTTTATGCGCCATAAAGGAGACTTGAAGGGTTCATGATGATGATGATGAAGATAAGATAGAATCTGTTATTGCTGATGCTTCTATTCATCAAACCATGTCGCGATTCCAATGAAATCTCATATCAACGTTAAATAACAGTGAATACATAATTATCAAATTCTCGGAATTGCATACACAATCGTTGAAATTCCTTGTATGAAATTTCTCCACTGTCGTCTAAATCGGCTTCTTTCATCACACAAGCAGCTGCTCCCGAGATGGATGAGATTTCCTTTTTGTCTTTGACATCAATGGTGGTTTTCATGTTATCACCAACAAGTCTTCCAATAACATTTTCAATATCGGACTGCCTTAATAAATTATCCTTTGAGGTTGCAGTAAAGATCATGAAGATGACAATAATTTTGGCCTCTCTGGGTGCCTTTGGGGAAAATACAGAACACATATCGAGAAAATCTCTAAAAGTCATGGCACCCGATTCGGGATCGGCTAGGTATGATAGTATGATAGAGAAATACAGATCATGATCCGTATTACGAAACTCGTTTTTAGAATGTATTGCGTTTCATGATCATGAGATCAAAGAACTTACAACAAAATAATTCAACAATTGTCTTTTTGAATGGATTATATCGCAGCGCAGCAATGTTCGTAACTTGTGAAGCATTCACAAACTGATCAATGCGTGCATTAAATTCTGTACAAAAAAACTTGTAATGCCTATTCTCCCAAATCAAGTGAAGATCATTGTTCATTTACGATAAATACTTAAATCAATACTCACTCCTCAATTTCATTGACATCAAAATATACACTTCATGAACGATAATTTTTCAATAATAATCATTGCATCCTATTGGTTCTTACCTCTTTTCCAACTCTTCCAGCAGCTCTTTCGGAAGTTTTGGAATCTCAGGTTTCGTTGAAGAGTTCACTTTGAAATAATTTCCCATTTTTTTTAAAAAGAAAAGGTTGTTCATCCCTTAATAGAAATTGGTTCGAAAGATAAAGACCATCCAATTTTTATAACGTTGACGGTTGGATGCTGTTTCCATTTGGCATAGTTATTGAACTTGACAATTCTTCTCTTTCCGTACTTTTCGGTTTAGGCAGGTCAAATGTGCCTGAATAACAACAGGACGAAGTTCTCTCAAACCAATCTTAGTGTCTGCACTCGTTTCAATATCGGAAAATCAGTCTAGCTTATTGGCCAATAACAGACCTTACTCTTTAGTGATTGGTTTAGATGGAAGTGAACCTTTGTTGGTGTATCTTAATGAGTTGAGAGTGTGTGCATCATTTCGTAATTCGATTTTTGTAGCAACAAGAATAACGGGAGCTCCAGGATGAAAATGATGACACTCAGGAACGAATTGTTGAGCGATTTGTGGTATTAATGAATCAGGAGTTGAACAATCAAAGCAAAGAATAAATACATGACCATTGCATCGATCGAGGAATCTTGATGAGAATCTGGAATCAAATTCGTTATCAACTCTAGTATCTCTATTGATATAGAAGAAAAATCATGAATCGGCCATGAGTGGTCACAGGAAAATCACACAAATTTAACAATTATGACAATGGTGAATGAGCTCCATGAGCATCTTACCTCCAACAAATGTTCGCATGAATATCCTTGTAGTCCACTCTTTCGTTGACAACGTCAAAGATAGCAGCAGGAGTATCATCAGGATAATTTTCTGTACAAAGAGAAATTAAAAAACTTGTTTTTCCACAATGTTCTGGTCCTAAAACCACTACAGAAATTGGGCCATGTTTCTTTGCGAGACTTTGAAGATCATAAGGAATCGATGATGAGCTCACCATAAATTCTTCGGCAGCGACAAAGGGATAGGTGTTCATGGAGGATGGTGTTGGGAGCTTTAAAATGTCTTCTGTAAGCTTTTGTGGATGTCGTTCCACTTGATCGTTGATTTGTTTCAATAATGAAAGAAATGATTGGCGATAATTGCTTGACACTTGTAAATAGTCCGTGTAACTATTGGTCAACTCTATAATCCGTTTTACGGAAGACTTGTAAAATGATTTCCATGCATGATGATCGAGAAATGTGACTTGACAAAGTCTCATTTTCTTGCTAACAATCGATAAATTGAAAACATCGGAAATCTCGAGATAATAGAGATCGTCGTTTCCAACAATTTCCGCGAACAATAAGGGGAAAGATCATTATTGGTCATTTTTTGGGTGTGATGGCTTCAAGATGTTTAAAACCAAAATTGCTTTAATTCTGCGCTATAATTACTCAAATTCAACAAGAATAGCTTCATTACCAACAATGTCTCCTGGTTTGACATTCACTGACTTGACAACACCTTCACCTGCTGCTCTGAGCACGTTTTGCATCTTCATTGCTTCCATGACAACCAATTCTTGATTTGGAAAGACCTTTTGGCCTGGTTTGACAGCCACTGAAACAATAGCACCAGGCATTGGAGCAATTAACATCTTGGAAAGATCTGGTGGAATAATGACAGGCATGTGTTTGTGCAATTCTTGCTCTTTTGGTGTTCTAATTTCAAATTTGAATTCAGTACCCATAAAGCTGACCTTTTGTGAAGTACCCTTTCTTTCGCCAACTTGAACAATGACTGAATTGGTGTCATTAAGAACAGCACGGAAGATTGGAGTACCATAAACCCAATTTGTTTTGGCAACATAAAGTTGATTCTTGAGTTCAACGATATATTTGCCCTTCTCTTGTGTGACAGCAACAGGATAAGCCTCCTTGTCGACATTAATAACAAGTTCAAGTGTCTTTGGTGCTTGAGCTCTTGGTAATTGTCCAGAAATATGGAAATCTCTTCTTGATGAAATATATTCCATTAAACCAACTGAAGCAATGAGAGAACTCTTTTGATCAGGAGTGAGTTTGATGCCCTTGAATCCTTCAGGATAGTGCTTTGGAATGAACTTAGTTGTAATATTACCCTTCCTATATTCTTCAGTCACCAAAATATCACGGAGCAAGGAAATATTGTGACGAACTCCTTGAATAACATAAATGTCTAGTGCTTCCACCATTCTGTTAATAGAATCAATTCTGTCCTTTCCGTAAGTAATGAGCTTGGAAATCATTGGATCGTAGAAGACAGAAATCTCAGATCCTTCCAAAATACCAGAATCAACTCTAATTCTTCCCTCGTCATCCTTTGGTTCAATATAAGTGTGCAATGTACCAACAGATGGAGCAAAGTTATTCATTGGATCTTCGGCATAAACTCTACATTCTGTAGCATGGCCAGTAATCTTAATATCCTTTTGTTTCAAAATCAATGGTTTCTTTGCAGCAACACGAATCATTTGCTCGACCAAGTCAATTCCAGTAATAAATTCTGTAATTGGATGCTCAACTTGCAAACGTGTATTCATTTCCAAGAAGTAGAAGTTCTTGTTTTGATCAATCAACATTTCTACAGTACCAGCTGAATAATATCCGACTTCCTTAGCCAAAGCAACAGCTTGCTCACCCATAGCCTTTCTAGTTTGTTCATCAATGACAGAAGATGGAGCCTCCTCAATAACTTTTTGATTTCTTCTTTGGATGGAACATTCTCTTTCAGGTAAATAAAGATAATTTCCATGTTGGTCACAAATAATTTGAATTTCAATGTGTCTTGGATTTTCCACAAATCTTTCAATCAACATCTTATCACTACCAAAGTTTCTGATGGCCTCCTCTTGACTCAATCGGAAACCTTCTCTGAGCTCTTCTGGATTATAAGCAATTCTCATACCCTTACCACCACCACCTGCTGAAGCCTTGATCATGACTGGATATCCAATTTTCTCAGCAATGGAAACAGATTCATCAGCACTGTGTACTTCTCCTTGATAACCAGGAATAATATTGACCTTGGCCTTTTCAGCAATAATTTTACTTTCAATCTTATCACCCATAGCAGAGATGGCTGAAGAAGGAGGACCAATAAAAACTAGACCAGATTCTTCAATAGCCTTTGCGAAAGAGGCATTCTCAGAGAGGAAACCGAAACCAGGATGAACCGCTTCGGCACCAGTCTTTTTCATGGCAGCAATAATTCTGTCAGCTCTGAGATAGGAATCAGCTGGAGATGAACCACCAATATAGACAGACTCATCTGCCATTCTTACGTGTTTGTTGTTTGCATCGGCATCACTGTAAACAGCGACTGTTTTGATACCAAGCTTTCTACAGGTTTTAATGATACGACAAGCGATTTCACCTCTGTTTGCGATCAATATTTTGTTGAAGTAGTGTTCCTTTTGCTCTCCTGATGATTCTTGAGATGGAGCTTTGAGATTGTTTGTTGTTTCAAAATTCTTTGGGACGCTTGTTGAAAATTGCTTGTAGGAGTATGATGATGGTGTTCTCATAAGCTTCAAACTTTGAGCGTTTGTACATTCGACACTAGAGCTGGTGGTTGTCAAGACAAAAGCTCCTTGTCTTGATGAGGACACCGAGTATGATGATGATGCTTTTGATGCGAGTTGCTTGTTGCAGCGAACGATTTTGGCGAGTGTGTTCTTCATTTTTTCACGGGGTCGACATCTGCGCACGGTGCGGTGAGGACAAAGGCATTGTTGATTGACTGCCTGGATGTTTGTTGTTGTGATGAATGACGATGGAACGGAGATTACAATTGTCATAAGATTGGGTTTCTGTACATGATGATGAGAGGTTGTAATGATTAGAGAGCAATGAGATGGATCAACAAATTGATGTTGATTCAATTTCTGTGGAGGTTGGCCTCTTCTCAAACCCAAATGTATACATTTTGTGATGAAAAGAAAATAAAAAAATTAAATTGAAAATTTCTTTTCGCAAATTGGCCCAAAAATAACTCTGATCAAACAACAAAAAATGAATCAAATTCCTCTCGATCCTCCATCACAAAACGTTTCCACTGGACCAACAAGATTGGCTCAACCTGTGGTTCATCCAGTAGAAACTGTTCTCAGGAAGGTATGTATTATTGCTTGGTTTCATTAAATTATTGAGAGATGGCTAAATTGTTTACTTTCTGGTGTTCTAAAAATCGAATCTTAATTTATTAGTTTGAAAAGGATGAACTCAAAAGACAATACTTTGTTATGGCCCGAAACTTCGGAAGCCATATGCCAATGCACATGGAAATGCAAAAGAAGATTTTCGGAGCATCACTGAGATTACCCTCTTTGGAGTCAAACAAAGTTGGCTTGAGTGTATTAATGGGAAATGATGAAAATATTGAATTTGAGGATTATTTGAATGATCCAAATATGACTGAAAGATTGCCAACAGAGGATATTCATACATCATGTGAGAAGGCTCTTGGTATTAATGTAAATTTCCATAGAGTGTAAATTTAACCATTTTGATTTTTGACCGACTGAAATGTCACAATTTGAGACGGTCTGGCATCACATACATGTATCATATAATGATATCCTAATTTCTATTAGCAGTAAAACGAAAAATTCTCTCCTAGTTGTCGAACTGAGCTGCCTTTTGACAGCAAGTTACATGTCAAGAGAAGTAAAAGTTTCTTGCTTTTTGGAACATCATTGAGAGGCAGCCATTATTGAACCTCGAGCTATGTTCAATTTGTACATTTGAATCTTCTTGGTCCTTACTCGAAATTTTGAATTACCCGTTTATTATCGGTGAGACGAAACTTACAAAAAATTTCTCTTCATCATCATGCTATCATCATCACGCACTCTGCTCCAACAACTCAATACGAGCAGCAAAGGAGTCAGCAAGAATGTCGGTATTATTGGTCTTTTGGCCAACAAGAATATTTCTCGACAATTCTCCACTCATTCCGTTCAAAAGAAGGAACAAATGGTGGAGTTTAATTGGAAAGACCCACTCAATGTTGAGAGTTTATTAACTGATGAGGAGAAGGAAATTCGGGATCAAGCTCGCAATTATTGCCAATCCAAATTAATGCCAAGAATTTTAGAAGCAAACCGAAAAGAGTTCTTTGATAGAGAAATTTTGAGAGAAATGGGAGAGATGGGCATGTTGGGAATCACCATTCAAGGATATGGATGTGCTGGAGCATCACAAGTGAGTTATGGTCTTGTTGCAAGAGAGGTTGAGAGAGTGGACAGTGGATATCGTTCTGCCATGTCTGTTCAATCCTCTCTTGTAATGCATCCAATCAATACCTTCGGAAGTGAAGAACAAAAACAAAAGTATTTGCCAAGACTTGCAACAGGAGAAATTGTTGGATGTTTCGGTTTGACTGAGCCAAATCATGGTTCAGATCCAGGAAGTATGGAAACAAAAGCAAAGAAGTCATCTTGTGGAAAATACTATATTTTGAACGGTTCAAAGATGTGGATTACAAACTCTCCAATTGCTGACATTTTTGTTGTTTGGGCAAAGAATCTGGAAGAGGGTGGAAAGATTAGAGGTTTTATTTTGGAAAAAGGCATGAAAGGACTTACTGCACCAAAAATTGAAGGTAAAATGTCATTGAGAGCATCAATTACCGGATCTATTTCAATGGATGACGTTCATGTTCCAGTGGAAAACATGCTTCCAAAGGCAATGGGTTTGAGTGGTCCATTTTCATGCCTCAATAGTGCAAGATATGGAATTGCATGGGGAGCTTTAGGTGCTGCCGAATTTTGCTTTGAAACTGCAAGACAATATCAACTTGACAGAAAACAATTTGGAAAGCCATTAGCTCAAAATCAATTGCCTCAAAAGAAGATGGCTGACATGCTCACAGAAATTACTTTAGGTTTGGTGTCATGTGTGCAACTTGGAAGACTTAAGGAAAAAGGAGAATGGGCTCCTGAAATGATTTCCATGTTGAAGAGAAATAACGCTGGAAAGGCTTTAGAAATTGCCAGAATTTGCAGAGATATGTTGGGAGGAAATGGTATTGCCGATGAGTATCATGTCATTAGACATGCTGCCAATCTTGAGTCTGTAAATACCTATGAGGGTACACATGACATCCATGCTTTAATTTTGGGTCGAGCAATTACAGGACTTCAAGCTTTCAAATAAACTATCGAAAGGTTTATTCATATTAAACTTATTGTTACATGTAAAACATAAGTATAATTTTGTGATCGCAATTATAATAGCAACACCCGCCAAAGGTGTTTACAAAAAGAACAACAAATAAAATGAGCACACGAGACAGGATAACCGAACCTCCATCATCATCACGAACATCAAGTTCTACAACATCCAATCGGAGAGCTCCTACTTCCTCTCATCATGGAGCTCCAATGATATCTGGATCGGTTACCTCAAGAAAGGGGTCAAAACACCGAAAATCTGAATCATCTAAGAAAGGTTTCGGAAAGAAAAATGGAGGTACATCAGTTTCTGTTCAAGGACTGAAGAAACGGTTTCAAAGCTTGTTGATAAAAACCAAGGAAAGCTTTGATGCTGTAGACCCAATTACAAAGCAAGTCCGAAACCCTTCTGCTTTATTTTCGAGCCAGACTTCAACAGATCCAACAAGTTCTTATCAATCGGGAAATATCTCACCTTCATCAGCAGTAAGTGTTTGAATGAAGCTAAAGAAAAAATGTTGGGAGCATTGAATCCAATTTTAACAGAGTGAATCAATGTCAGATTTCGATAGGGTGTCATCTTACAGTTTCGGACGAGAACATCAAGGATCAACAAGCCAAACAGGATCTTCAAGCCCATCTGTTGTGAGCGATGACGATGAATCTGTGGGTTTTGGAGCAGCAGATGATGCCTTCAGCACAACAGGCTCCGTGGAAATGAGTGTCTCTGTTCTGAACCAAGAATTGGATTTGCCAACAAATGAATTTAAAAGATTATCGGAATCGCAACCCACACAATCGGAGTCAATGGATATTCCACCAAAACAATTGGAGCTTTTGCAAGAAATAGATTTTACTGTCACATTAACAGAAACTGAAACATTTTTCTTGTTCGATAAATATGATGAAAGTGTGAAAGTGGATGATCCAAAGATTGAAGAAATTAGAGAGAGAAATAGAGTCTACAAAGAGCTGATTAAAAATAAGGAGAACAACAAAGATAACTATGTGGAAAAGCATGTACAAACAATGGGAAAATTTTATAAGAACAAGCGTACAAATACATCAAAGACTGAATATGAAAATGTGGACGTTCAAGTATCTGCATTTCAAATATTTGACGATTATCAAGACATTCGAGAAAGGGAAGAAAGAGAAAAAGAGGAAAGAGAAATAATGACTTCTCTCTCCAACAAACATGATGAAGAGGAAGAAGAGGAAGGAGATCTTGAAGGTATGTCTGGATATTTGTTTATTAATATTTTCAACAACAAAAACATTTCGACAATAGATGACGGAGCTGACGATTCCAGCATTGGAAGTGGACCGAGATTAGCAAATATTACGAGAGCTGTTGTATGTATTTTATTTATTGTTTCCTTAAATACTAATATCAAAAAAGAATGCATATCAAGAGCTAGTCATCAGTCGAGCTTTGGTCCAAAACTTATATCACAACAAACAGAGAAAATACATTTATATTGAAGACGAAAAAACAGAGACAGTTCAGGAAGTACCTCCTATATCCGTTCCCCAAAAACAAGTCAAAGAGGAGGAGGTGTTAGAAACTCCAAGGAGCATTGACATCGAGAATGATGAACCTGAAGCTCTTGAAATGAAGGAAGACCAGAAAGAAAAAAAAAGAACAGAGGAATACGAACATGAAAATGTGACAGACATCGATGTCGAAGAGGATACCAATAGTGCTAAACCATCAGGAGTTTTAACATCTCTTTGGGAATATAACTGTAACTCTGTAGTTAACTACAATGTAAACAGTATGACGTGGAACAAGAAGAACAACGACATTCTAGCAGCAGCGTACAGTTCAGAAGACATTTCAGACATGCAACAAGGAAATGGATTTATTTTGTGCTGGAGTGTGAAAAATCCTGCAAATCCAGAAAGAATTCTTAAGGTCCCACACGCAGGTGTGAATAGTGTAAACTTTTCTGAGACAAACGCCAGTATCTTAGCGGCAGGTTTCGAGGATGGTACAGTAGCTATTTATGATATACGAAGAAAAGAAAGTACTCCAGTTATGGAAACGATCAAAAGCCACACAGGAACTGTATGGGATCTCAAGTGGGTAAATAGAGGTAAAGATGCTGGAGAGCGCTTGCATTCTGTTGGAGTTGATGGTAGAGTCAATTCTTGGACCATAAAGAAAGGTCTTGAAGCATCCGAAATTATGAGACTAAAGAGAATTGGAAGGAGTACTGAGACTGGAGGCGATGCAATGATATCTAGAGAGTCTGGAGGAATGAGTATCGATTTTTCTCCAATAGACAACAATATTTATCTTGTCGGAACAGAGGATGGATCAATCTTCAAATGTTCCACCTCTTACAATGATCACCCATTAGAAACGTATCTTGACCATACAGGACCGGTATACTCTGTGAGATGGAATCCTTATGTCAATGATGTTTTTATTTCGTGCAGCGCAGATTGGACAGTCAAGATTTGGAATCAAGATTCACTCTCACCCATTTTCACAATTGAGTCATATTCAGAGAAGAATGACCAGCGATCATATTCTGTCACAGATGTCGCTTGGAGCAAATACTGCTCCACAATGTTCGCTACCTCCTCGATCGTTGGTGATTTGGAGGTATGGGACTTGTGCTATTCAACGGTTCGTCCAAAGTATTCAAAGAGCAAGCCAGGAATGAAATTGACCTGTACGCTGTTTGCTGAGGATGTTCCAATCGTCTTGGTTGGAGACAGTCAAGGTTCTATTGAGGTTCTACGTACAGAAGGTGCTTCAAACTCACAAGAAACCTCTCTCGAGAAATTGCTGCAATAAAAAAAGATTACAAGTTTACCTTATGCTTTTGAGCGAGCTGATTAATAAATTCATCTGTGTCTCTTGAAACGTTAAGAGTTGTTGATGATTTGCTATTTTCCACTCGTTGGAATATGGGAACTTTGCTTTCAGCTCGAGATGCATTGGGACTAGCGTCGACTGAAACAGGTGGCTTGGAGTATTTATCCTCAAGTGTTTGGACACGCCGTTCAATCAGGAATACTCTGTCACGAAGGCTTGCTAAATTTTTGTCCACTTTGTCATCAAGTTTTGTTACACTTTCGCCGAGTCGAGCTCCCATTTCTTTAATAGCATCATAAATTTTCAAAATTGTGTCTTCTGAAATATCTGAGCAATCAGAATCCTCAGCAATCCTCTGTTGTGTCTCTTGTTTACACACTTGCCGCTCAAGATTAGGTTCCTTTCTCACCAATACAGTATGTTTAGGTTCTCTAGCAATGTCGGGAACCTGCGATGAACATTGCATTGATGTTGTTGCTGCTGTTATCTCCTCGTTCGATGGAACTTGTTTTTTGACCTTCGTTTTGTCATACAAACTCTTTCTTTTTGCTTTTACTAGTTCGTTGTGCTTCCTTTTGCAATGTTGAATGACATCACATATAAAAATGATTTTCCTTTCGGCAAAACCATTCGAGAGGAAGTAGATCACACTCAAACCTGGCGTGTATGTAAATTCGTTAAGTAATAATCGATATACTGTCTCTATAAATTTTGAATCGGAAAGATCATGAAAAATATATCCTTTTTGAATGAAATATTTGGCAAGAGGTTTGCTAAATTGTAAAATACAATAATTCAATAGAGGTAAAAACACTTCGGGTTTTCCGTTGATAATAGCCTCAACATCAAATACTCCATTATAGTGTATGCTTCTTAATTGCGTCCTCAACTTTTCAAGGTTGTTCTTGAGATCACCTGTACTAGACATTTTTTTTCGTGGTGTTGCATTGTAGCAAATTGAGCGGGAAGATTCACCACGAAATGATGGCTGTTCTCAACTTTTCCAAAAAAATGAATAAAATTCTTCAAGCCTTAGTTCAAGAAGGGTTGATCACATGGCCCGAGATGGAAGAACAACGAACAAGAATGTTGTTAAGGGAAGATGTTTCTGAGGAAGATGGGAACATCTTTTTCAAACAATTTCTAGAAGAAATGGAAGAAGTGAAGGGCAGCCTTTCTCTTGATTTTTCTGAGATGGAGAAGGAGATGTCGATATTGATTCATTCCGCACAGGAGGAAGCTGAAAAAATTGCCTCGGGTTTGCTGATCGAAAACAAACCATCTATTTCTTCCTCTTCGGATTTGCAGAATACCGAAAGCAAACAACCAAATGCATCTCCCACACAATATGTAATTCATTTAATCAGAGAGATGAATCAAGCAACTGACTTTAAAATTGTGGACTCTTTACTTCAAGAATTAAAAATCAAAATGACTGCGATTGAATCAGAGCCAGGAATCGACTTGACAACTTTCCATTTAAGTTTTGCAAGCACAGATAATTATCGTTTTGCTTTGTTCTGTGTTTTGTTGCATTTCCGAATGAGAAACCAACATGAAAGGTAATTAGTTGAATATTTTTCATTTTCTTTAACACTTGTCAAACAGAGCCATCGGACTGTGTGATGAGTTCTTGCAGCTATCAGGTGTAGAAAATACAAATCTGCATGGATTAGTTTTATATTTACGAGGATGTTGCATGATGGATTTAAAAAGAAATGTTGAGGCAATAATTGATTTCACAAAAGTAATTTCAAATTATCAGTACTTTAGGGCATATATTTCCAGATCTGTTGTTTTCCAGAGAACAGGAAACGTTGAAAAGGCGTTAAACGATCTTAATGTAGCAATTGAAAAAAATCCAGGAATTGCGCTATTATTCAAATGCAGAGGTGATTTGTACAGCAAGAGTTTAAAAAATTACGAAATGGCTCTAAGGGACTATAATCAATCAATTTTGTTAACCTCAGACTATTTCACTGCTTACCTAGAAAGAGCTTATGTTTACTCCACTCTTCAGCAGTATGATATGGCCTTGTCAGATTGCAATCGATGTATCAAGTTAAAACCTGATTCTATTTCGTGTCTAATGTTACGAGCTCAATTGCATGAAAAGATTTCAAATCTTGAGGCAGCACGAAATGACTACATCCACATTTTGCAACTTGATCCAAACAACTCGGAAGTTTCTCAGAAGCTTCAGCAAAGCTCTCCTCAAAAGTTATCCAAACAGCAGAGCCCAAATCGGTCTGTCACTCCATCGATATCAGTTGTATCTGAAAAGAGGATGTCACCATCAAGACAAGGGAATTTAGAAAATGTGCGTTTCATTTTGCAATCAAAAATTAAGGATATTTCTCAAGCTACTTCTCTTCCAGCTGCTTTTCGTATTTTGCAAATGATTCTTGACATTCTGGATTTACACTCGAATTCTATTCATGAATCCTTCATTGACACAATCGTTAAGATCTCAGAGGAAGGGCATTGGGCGGAGTTATTGGTCCCTTTATTTCACAAAATCATAATGAAGGATAGTAGAAGAGCAAATTATGAAGTCAATTCTTTACTTGCATCGATGGGTGATAACAGCCTTAGTCTTTTGTTTGCGCTTTCATTGATGATTAGAGCCATGTGCAATGAGGATTTAGGAGATTTTACGTCAGCACTTAACGACTATGACGAGGTTATTCAGAAATTCGAGCAAAAGTTCGAACATGCTCATTTGCGAAAAGCATCTTTGCTTCTTTACAAGCTTTGTAAACCAGATCAAGCATTACAATGTTTGGATATTTACCTAAAGCTCGATCCGAGAAATGCTTCCGCTCAAAACATGAGATACAAAGCTCTCCAAATGAAGAGTAGTATGAAATGAGTAAAATCCATGATGACTCAAATAAACCAAGGACTTTTATTGTTGTTACGTGTACATCTTTCTTGTCCGAAAACCTGCTGTGATCGTGAGCTTCTTGTTCAGATCACTTCAACTGCCGATTTAGCATATCTGCACTATTACCGTTCATCTTGGAGGTACTTTCTTGTTGGTGCTCTCTGATGTTGGTGTTGCTAGACAGGTTGTTGCTTGATAGTCTCGAGGTCTTTTTTGTGTGAGGTAAAGAAATATCCTTAATCATGTTTAAATGTTCACTTCTTTGAATTCATTGGTCAGGAAGTTCGATTTAGATAGAAGTCTGTTACTTTCGTTTTGAAGTGTGCTCGTTACTTCTTCATTTTCCTCTGAAAAACGAGGTGGTGAAGAAGGGAATGTTATGGGTACCTCTTCCACTACTTTTTCAAGATTTTGAGCGTCTATGATTTCTCTAAATAGTTCATCCATTATGATGTGAAAAGATAAATATTGTCATTATCCTCCTGGCCAAACCTAAAAGACTTACCTAGAGCCAACATCCATGTCCAGTTGTTGTTGAATTAATTTGAGTTGATTCGAAACGTTATCATAGAAAGCTTTTTCGACGACATGGTCAACCACCGTTGGAGGAGGAATGCTTGAACTAATAAATGCTTGTCTCAACTTGGCATTTCTTTCCAAAAGATCTGTAATGATTTCTTCTCTCTTCATGGCCTTCTTGCTCTCTTTCTTGAGCTGTCTTGAAAGACTCATCTTCTCACGCTTTAAAGTATCGATATGCTCCTTCTTTTCAGTATAAAAGAGTTGAGTCTGTGAATTCCATGCGCTTTTTCTTTGGAGTTGATCTTCTAATTCTTCAATTCGAGATAGCAGAGAAGATATCTCTTCTTTTTGTTCTTGGCATTTGCTGGTTTTCTTTGTGAGTTTCTTTTTTAAAGTTTGGAGATCGACTTGCAACACAGCATTTTGATCTTGTAAAAATCGAATATTTTGAAGCGACTCATCTCGTTTAGCTTCTTCAATCATTCGTTCGATGGTCTTATTCTTTTCTTTGAGCTCGTTTTTCAATTCTTTCAACTGGTTTTTTTGCATGAGGTTCGTTTTTTCAAGTTTGGCACTCAGAGTCTGCAGTTTTTTAATCTCTGGAAGGAAATAGTCTTTGATCTTTGCTTGTAATTTCCTCTTCTCTTCTTTATGTTTCTCAATATCTTTTTCAAGCTTTTGGATGTGTTTTTCTTCGTTTTCAAGAAGTTTTTGATGTTGTCTGGCAATATCCTCGTCCTTGCTTTTCAGGAAATCCATTTGTTCTTTTACTTTCCGAAATTCCATATTTTCGGACTCCAGTACAATACAGTATTCTTCGAGATCTCTCTTTTCTTGTTGGAGTGCATAGAACGCTTTTGAAAGCTATTCCGATCCAACCACCAATTAAATCCAGCCATTCAAACGGTTCAGACGCTTACCTTCTTGAGTTGTTGATTCTTCTCCTTAATTTTCTTCTCCATCGTTGAGAGATTTGCACTATTCGGCTCATGGGTCATGGCATGGTCTAAATCGGAGTCATCGAGGTTGGAAGCCATTTTTTTTGAATTGTTTTTTTCAAACCATCGAAAATGGCGGTAAAAGGAGGCGGGAATTAGTAACACTTGTAATTTTATTTGTTGTTCGAATTGTTCATTGTTGTGTGCATAAGAAGGTCAAAAAGTTGTTTCATATTCTTTTCCATTCCTTCCATCCGAGTTTGAAGAGACACGACCGTCGATTGTAGTTTAGAAATTTCTTCCCTAAGCTGAATGTTTTCAAGACGTAGGATCATTTCGGATGATGTTTGTTGAGAATGAAACGTGAGAGGATTAGTTTTAAGAATGTTGGACGGCTTTGATGATGTTTCATGTTCCTTCAAAAAACTATTGCCCTGCGTGGGCGAAAATAAATTCTTGTCCCTAATATCGGTATCGCTCATCCTTGATTTGTCAGATGTTGTAAATGTAATAATTGGAGAGGAGGTTTGTGACATTCTTGAGTTATGAATAATGGGTGATATCGATGGCGTCTGATCTTTTTCGTGTGATTTCTCAAATATATTAGTGTTGGAATGAATTTTGTTACGTGTTTTTTCCTCTTCCATTATTCCTCTATTATAGGTTGATGATTGCAATGGAAGTGCCTCTGTATTTAACTTGTTAGCTCTCTTTTCAGGTTCTCTTGCGGTAGAATTCAAGGGAGTGGAGGTTTGGTACAGAAAGGGAGATTTTGGTTCCTCAGAGTTAGGGGTTTCTCCAAAATCTGAGCTGCTAAATCGAAGGCTTGATGGTGTGTCGGATTGAATACAATTATCTATTTCTCTTACTTCATTTCTAAAGTCTCTCATAAGAGCCTCAATAGGATCCGAATCATTTGCATATTTCGGATCGACCGAAGATTGAGGGGTTGAAAAAGCATTAAATGATTGTTTTGGTTTAGGTTGTTCCTTGACTTCAACCGCCTTTGATTCCGATGATACAGAATTTATAATATAATTATTCTTTGATGATGCTTGATTGTTGTTTGTTACTCCTACATTATAGAGGGTATTCAAAGTTGAGGAATATGCGTTTTCAGTGTTCCTCTTTTCCGACTCATAACCCTTCGGGCTTGGAATTAAATATTTTGAATATTGATTCAAATGACTGCTCACTTTCTTACTCTGTTCTTGTATCTGTCTAATCGTCTCCTCGAAATCAAATTTGTTTGAGAATGATAAGGAATCATCAAGGATCAAGCTACTACCATCAAGAATGGATGATTCAGTTGCGCTTTGATTCATTGCGGACATTTTTTTGTACCAATTTTTGGCGCCAATCAAAAAAACTGTTCAGTGGTGAAGCGCCGCCCTTACTAGGTAATTGAACGATCAACAAAAAAAATAGACAACCACGCTGATAGGATCGTGTGACTCTCCTCCAACCCAAACTAACCCCTCTTTGCCGCGTCATGAATTTTTGATAAAGCAATTAGATAAAGCAATTCATGGCTGTGTGGAGATAAGGATGAAAAATTCTGTCCTCCAACCTAAACTAACTCCTCTCTGCCGAGTCATTGGACGAAGAACGAACCAAGTCTTCCACCGAACTCCTGGGAACTCCCAGGATAATTTGATTTACAAAGATAAAGAAATAGAGCATGATGAATCAATCCATTATCGAGCTGTTTAATATTGTGGTAAATAAAAAGTTTACAATCGTAATTTTCTTAATTGTCAAATGTCATTAAAGCCTTCAATCTGCATGAGAGGCATTATCTTCATAATTTCTATTGTCAACGTTTGATAATATACCTTCTAGTACCAACAATCTGTTGACACATTCTTTAGTTACTAATAACTGTAGTGTCATTTGCATCGAAGGTAATTGATCACCTATTAAGGATTTGAGTTTCTGGATCCCAAACCCAGATACCTCTTGAAGCTGCATAGTACATACTGGATGAAGTTGCAAGCCAATTATTATTTCCAATGTATCCATTAGTAATGGTAACATTAGTTGGAAATCATACGACGTTGTACAAATTTATGAATACGGATTCAGAGAATTTACGTTGCAAAATGCAACGTTAATAACGTTGTAACACTTTGTCGTCAGAAATCAAGTTTGAGTCAAATTATTTGTAGGGAATCAGAAGAAGAGCCACAATGCTCACCCGAAGAGAGGCAGTCGTCGACGAACAGACCAAGAAAGGAACTGTAATTTGATCACTAGTGGTACCAACCTGAAACTGTCCAAATTGGAGGTAAAAAATCATCCAATTTTAGCCTTTTTTTTACACACAAAAATGTCGGAACAGCAAACAGAGGCTTTATCCTCCTCCTCCACAAGAAGCACTACGGATCCGTTGTGGACAACCAACGACGAATCATCATCGTTGAGTAAAGATGATCATCACCAGGGTGCAACCAACACCACGACTAATGATTCGGATGCGAAAGCAACAACAGCCAATACCGAAGCATTAAATCAAAGTTCCAATCCAGCAACAGCAACAACATCATTATCATCATTGAACACAAGTATGCATAGAAATACTAGCAGCTCCGAGAGCATAAGTGAAGAAGAATATTTGGAAAAATTACATGAAAAGTACAGCCAAACACCCAAGTCAGAATTGAGCATTTCCTCTTTCTCAACGTTTGGAGCCATGTCATTTTTCCATGATGTCGTGAATGGAGAAAATGTATTGACTCCCAAACAATCTCCAGCAAGTGTCACAAGTTCAAAAATGAATTATGAAAATTGTAATAATTTAAATAATGATTCAAGAAATGCTGACGATTTTGTAGATTTGGAATATGAAAATAGCACAAAAGATGCTAATTCATCCCTGTTAAGTTCATTACCTGATATTGATGCAGAAAAGGACTTGCAAGAAGTTGACATGACAGACTCATCAACTCCTGTCCAAAATGGCATCACAACAAAAGCGAATAATATGGATAATTTTTTGTTGGATCCCTCCCCAATTAAAAAAGTTCCACCTCCATTTGTAAAGTCAAGAGCAGAGGTAGATATTGAAAGAGTTGAGCTCTCTAAATTTCACTTACCACCAATACCTTTATCAAAGAAAAAGCTCACAGTTGATATACAACCTCCACAATATCAATTAGCGGCAACTTCAACACCACCTTCCGTACTAAAACTCATTCAACAACAGTACAATATCTACCATCACAACACTGTACATTTATCATTATCAAATAAGAATCAAAAGGTAGTTGTACCAATGATTAATTCAAACGTTACCGTATTAGCAAGGTCTGCATCTCTGGGATCGTCGATTACTTCGCTATTTCATGACAAGGTGAAAGTTAGAGTTTTTCAAAATGTTAGCAACGTAGGAACAGATGACCTGTATTTGTCAACACAAAATGGAGTACAAAGAGTTACACCTCTTGAGTTGGAAGAGGTAAGTAGAACAACAGTTAGTAGTGAACCACATAACTGATGTCGGCATTGTGCTTCATTTATAGAATAATCCCACTCTTTGCTTGAGATCATTAGAAGATATTCTTTTTTTTACAACTGTTTTACCCTTATCCAATTTCTCAGTTGAAGAAATCAAAATCACAAACGAGACTCTTGGTTCTGAAACTGTGTATTATAAGGTGAAAGTGAATGATTCACAAGAAACACAAATCATTCTCTTTACAACAGATACTCATTTGGAAATTTCACTCAATGGAAATGACGAATTTATTGTCGAAGATTTAAGCCGGGTGGTTGCTTTCCATGAAACTCTCACCATTCAACCATTCAAAGAGTTTTATCTTGTCAAAGGAAGTGGCTCATTGTGGTTGCGTGTCGAATTCACACTGTAAATAACAATACATTCATGAATTGTTTTTAAAGATTACGAATTTTCATGTAGCGGTGTATTCTTGAATGACTTTCCTTATCGGGCGGACATGATTACAATTTTCAGCATCAGCAACTCCTGAACTGTCTGTGCGCAGGAGATCCCATTCTGAAGGTTCGTTCGTTCATTCCACTTCATAAAAAATGTCCATACGAAGAAGAAGCTCTTGTGGTGGTTTCGCCTCTACCATTTTGATGATCCTAATGATGATAGTGATCTTGATGAATTGTTCATCTCTAGTTCTTGCAGGCTTCTCGGATTGCGATGGAGCTCCAAATTCAAACACCATCTATACCAAAGCTCCTGTTTTTATTTCATCCACGACGAACGGTAAACGATATTTGGCTGGTAACGGAGATGATTCCATCCATCTCGTCCATTTGTATGGATCAGCCTATGAAATGGGACGTGCCTATGGGCAATTGATGAAGAATGAATTGAATCAGTTATTACCAGCCTTTGAGAAGTATCTTGATGATTTTATTGTCAATGCCACTATTCTTGATAAATTACCAAGAGAATGGGCTGAATATATTGTTAAATTTGGTTTAGAGGCAGCTCTTGATCTTAATTATGAATTTACGAAATCCTATGTTCCTCAAAGATTTATTGATGAAATGCAAGGTCTTGCAGATGGCAGTGGAATTCCTTTCATGCACTTTGTTCGAATGAACTATATACCAGAGATTATTCAAGCGGGATGTTCCATGTTTGGTGCTTGGGGATCTGCCACTGCTCAAGGCATGAATGGTAGTTTATTGCAGATTAGAGCGTTGGATTGGGATGTGAATTCTCCAGTCAGAAGTTGCAAATCATTTATTGTGTATCATCCAAGTGAAGCTAATTCGCATGCTTTTGCTAATATTGGATATTGTGGCTTGATTGGATCAATTACAGGATACAGCAATTCAAGTATTGGTATTTCTGAAAAGGTTTGGTTGGAACATCCTGAATATAACTCAAGAATTGGAAAGCCATGGACCTTTGCTTTGCGTGACACTTTACAATTTGCTTTTGATTTGGATTCTGCTTTGACTGAACTTGTCAATACTGCTAGAACTTGTTCTATTCATGTTGGTGTGGGAGATTCTAAGACTGGTCAATTCAGAGGCGTTGAGTACAGTGCTAAGAAGCTCAATATTTATAACTGGATGACCCAACCAACGTATCCACAACACCCAGCATTACCAAACATTGTTTATTGGGATAAACACCCACAACCTACTCATCAATATTGTTTGGGGGCTTTATTACAACGATATTATGGTCAATTGAATGTTGAAAATGCAATTCAAATTATGGCCAATGCTGCCACTGGCGATGTTCAAGCTGCTGTGTTTGATTTTGCCAAAAATCAAGTTTATGTTGCCAATGAGAGACAAAATGGTTTACCAGGACCAAAGTTTGCTTATCAAAGATCATACATCAAGTTTGACATGAATCAAATCTTTGCAGAGAGATTGAATTAATTCAATTCCGTTTGCAAACTATTCGGAATAACATAAAGTTCACTTTGTTTCACTGTTAAGAAATTGAGGAGAATCTGCACATAAAAAAATGAAGGAAGAAGATGAAGAGGATTTTTATAGCGATGTGTTGCAACAGTCATCCACAAATCCCGAAGTTGAATTATTGAAAGAGGAAATCGAGAAATTGCAATCTCAACTTGCACAAACAGAGAAACAATTACATGAAACACAAACAAAATTAAAAGAGAAGGAAAAGGAAAACAATCAATTACGAGTAAATATCTCAAAACTTTACTACACTGCAAAACAGGAAATTGAAAAACTCCAATCACAAAGAGAAGAGAACAACAACAGTAATCAACACACGAAAAAGCGCAAAAAGTAGAATTAGATCTCTATTTCATCATCAATGAACAAGATCATATTTAACGAAATTATATTTAATTTTCGGATTATTGCTTTCGAGGAGGTGGACGGAATACTTGCCGTGGTGGTACAAAAACTGGCTTATTAGAAGCATTCGCTGGAGGAGTGGTGCCACTGTTGTTTGATGATGATACCTGTTGTACATTGGTCAAAGATGTCGCAGAAGGAGTGGTTACAACGACTTGTTTTTGCTTTACCGCATTGTTTGGAGATGATGAATTTGGTACGGAATGAGTATTCGTAGAATTTGTAGAAGTGATATTTGGTGGTTTGGCAAAGGATGGAAATTTAGAGTATATTGCCTTGTGAGGGGTTGTAGAACTGCCACTGTTGAGAGCACTTGACACTTGAGGAAGGATCGTTGAAACTTTGTTTGAATCTGTTAATTTTGAAATTATAGATTTCACTTTTTGCTGATAGGTTGCTGTTGGCAATTCAACATTTTGAAGAATAGTAGTTACATTTTTCTCTTTTAGAGTTTGAAGATAATCTTTGAATAGGGTAGAAACAATTGGAACGGCCATGTTGGTTGCTGCGTCTGTGATCGCTTTCAAAATATTTACAAATGAGCATGGTACTTCTCTCTCTTCATCATCAGGTCGACTCCAAAAGAATGTTTGCTTGAAAGTTACAACATTTGTAATTTGTTCAATAGGATGGTGAAAGTGAAAAACCTACCTGATTGGCTGGCTGTATTCTTTCAAAGCAAAATTTCACAATGAAAACAAAAGTCTTTGAAAACAGATCATTTCTTGTCTCTTCCAATTTTTGATTTGTTGGATGCAATTTAGCAAATGTGACAAAGATTTGCAAAGATTTTTCATAGATTTTGAAAATGCAAGCCAACAGTTTTGGGTGTTTCTTGATAATATGCTTTTGGTTATTTTGTAAGAATACAATCAGACACTTGGGTAATTGACTTCTTGAAACAAATTCCATGGCATATTCTTCATTCATTGGAATCATGGATAACAGTGGATATAGAGTGCCTAATAGACTTTCATAATAACTGAAATAGTTCATCAAGCTTTCCTCTTTCAAGTCATCAGCGATTGCCTTGACATTCACCAATCCCAACAATCTATACAAGACACGATGATTTTTGCAAAAGTTAAGAATGGTGTCAATTATATCCGATCTCGATTGAGCGAGAAGCAAGGGTGTCGTGTTTTTGAAGGCCCTCTCTAAAATAATGACCGAGTTATATTTGGTCATAAAATTCACACCTTCTTCGTTTGATTTTTCCAAAACCTCTAAAAAGTGAAAATACGGATGAGAAGAGTCACTTTGTGAAAGTTTTTCCAATAAATGCCAAACTACGCTGTCAATATCAACAATCTCGTAATAAACTTTTCGAAGAGAAGAAATTAAGACAGACACTAATGAGGGGTCAAAGAGTTGAAGAGTGGTATCCACAAATTTTGGCCAATTCTCAAACTTTGAGAGTATCTTCTTGTCTTTTGCTTGAATGTATTGTTCAAAAATTCCAAATATAACTTTACACAAGCTCACAGAAATACTAATATCAATCTTGTTTGTTCTACTACTGGTTGAGGCATGTTCCGAAGCGACACTAATAAAACTATTGAGATAGTTGGAAAAATCGACAGCCATATTGTTCATCTTTTCCATACCAGCCAATAATTTGATTCCAACTGTTGAAGTTTCATATGAAATAATAAAAAAGAAATTTCTCAAATTAAGACAATGATAGAAGAGAGTTAAAAGTGAAGGAGATTCTAATCGTTGAAGAGCAATCTCATCATTTGGATTAATTCTTTCACTGTTGGGTATCTTTTTGGCAACAAATTCGGTGAGCACTTCCACTTTTCTTGTCAAGGGCAACTTCAAAGTGAAGGGACAGAAGAAAGACATGGTTAAACGACTTGCTTTCAAATACAATAGGTCATAGTGAGAGAGATTGGTTATATTTGGTTCTGTCATGAGTTTTTCAAATAATGGAATTGCTTTTGAATAATAGTAAACAACAATTTTCAAACATTCATCCATAAAGAGAAAACAAAGTGTCTTCTTGTTGTCAGTATCTTGTGTAATTGTTGAACTGAAATGATGAGCATGAGACTCTATGATGGCTCCTATTAAATTGATTATTGAGTAAATTGCTTTGCAATCGAGACTAGTCAGTTGGCTCTTCTCGAGTATTTTGTTCATTAATACTTGCATTGTTGTCGAACAGAAACCACACTGTATGTGTGCGCTGAGTAGGTACTTACCACATAGAAAATAGAGAGATTGAGGTACTTCTGCCTTAAACAATCCTTGCTCTGTGCTTTCAAATAATACAAGTTTAGATCTCTCTCTAATCACAGCAAGTCTGGGAATCAAATACATGATATACTCAGAAGCAATCTTTGGTTCAGTCGTATTTTCACTACTCTTGTGAATGGTATAGGATAAATAGTTGATAAATTCTACAATGGCTATAGGAACGTCCAATCCTTCTTCTTTCAAAAAGAGAGAGGCAATAGCTTTGATGAGATCTCGCTGTTCTTTTGTTGCAGGTGTTTTGACTGGATTTTCCTGGTCTATAGAAATGCAATAAGCAATATGTAGTGCTCCAGAAAATAACTATTATTAGAATTGTCTGATTCACACATCAAAATGTTACACACTTTAACGCCTTACCTCTTTGATGTCATCAACAGTTAAATGGTTATTCATATATTCAGTGTTCGAATAGTCAATGAGTTTCAGGATTTTTTCAGAGAAATCTTTGACCACCTCACCACATCCTTCATATTCCAATACTTTTGTGAATAAATAGAGTTTAGAAAGTAATACAACTATAGTTGGAGGTAAAGAATGCATAGATATATCAGAAGATGGGTTACTGCAGACTGATGTTTCAAAAAACAAGACAGGAAGTGTGTTAACTATTGAAAAGAGAGAATAAATTGCATCTTTTCGTATGACCTTTTGTAATGGCATTTTTGGAATTATTGCTGATGGTAATATCTCTCGATACCATTCACAGTATTCCTTAACACAATATCCAACAAATACCATCAGTTGTAATCGAATCTGAGTTCAAAAAAATTCAATATTCTTGATGTTGGACATGTGTTTCATGTAATACATACCTTTTGAAGCAATTCTTCTAGTTCGTTCACAGAAATGTTTGGATTGTTGAACAAACTTTGTATAAGAAATGTCGCACAGTATAAAGTACCATTAGATAATTCCTCTCCTGCATGTCTCATGCTGCAATCTAACAAAGACACAAGTTCCTGGATGGATTTTCCTTCTAATAAGGGCAAAATGACCTCTATATCATCATTTAAGGAATCAATCCTCTTCAATAAGATTTCCTCTTCTGAGAAGAAAATATTCGAATATCGTTCCATGATTTTGGTTTTAAATGAGTGTGATGAGATGAGCATTGATGTAGATTTCACGTCACTCAGTGCTTGTTGTATAGAAGACAGACAATTAAATATCTGATGAATAGTATTGTTGTCTCTATTACTGAACCATTCTAGCATGTGAATTTGCATTTCCTCATCTTTTAAAATCTCATGTTCCAATAAGTGTGAAATTAGAGTTTGCAATTGTTCAGATGGTGTTTCCGAAAATATTACAGAGAGGATAGCATCAAATAAGAGTTGACGAATTTTGATGCGATCGCTTAAATAAATAATTGTCCGTAAATTAAATCTATAGTTGTTGTATCTGGAAATGGACGTGGTTGTTGTCATTTTTCTTCGTTTGTTGTTTGATTCGTCATTCTTCCAAATAATGATCGTGTTGAGAATCGCTTTGAATATAGAGTAAAGATCAATATTTGAAAGATCCTGAAACTCATTGAAAAAGTATTTTAAAAATCTAAAGGAATATCGGTTCTCGCCGTTTGTAAACATAGAATCAATAATAATTTCTTTAGTTTTCTTGTTCATCAATCCAAAGAGGGATGTCTTTTTTGAAAGTAACGGAGCTCCCAATTTTTTACAGATTTCTATTTCATTTGATGAACAATAATTACTTAATGAGTAAATGAGTAAATTTTGCAAATGTTGACTATTGATACGATCAAATATGTTTCGCACCAATTCAAGATAACCACAATAATGAGCGAAAAATATGAATTGTAAGATCAAATCGGCATTTTCTGAATTAATGGTTGTAGTGGTTGCTACAAAATCAATCAACTCCTTCTCATGCTCTTTTAATAATTTCCAAAACTGTTTTTTTTGAAATTCCGATTTATATTCTATCGGTAAATGCGTTGTACAGCTGTCATTCTGTACTGTGATGGTAGTATTAAAATAATATTCTTCCAACAGTTTACAAATATTTTTCAATTCGAGGTTTTCCATGAAGCGTGCTATCGACAGCTATCGAGATGGACAATTTTTTTCCAATTTTAAAACGAAAAATAGTTGTACTGAACAACAACCGTAGAGCATGACGAAAGAATCATCATCGTCGCGAAAATCTTCGGAAGAAGAAACACAAGAAGCAGATCATCTCATTGAAAACAATTTTAAACTGTTGTTAAATAGTGGTTTAATTGATGATGAAGATGGTTCTCCGAAAAAAGCCTTTTCCTTTTGAATTAATAACGGATGATTTGATGGACATGTATGCCTATTATAAACAAGCAACAATCGGAGATTGTCTTTCCAACACAAAACCCTATTGGTTTCAATTTAATGAAAAGATGAAATGGGAAGCGTGGATGCGAGTGAAAGGGATGAACTCTCTTGAAGCAAAAAAGCAATACTTGATCAAAATTTTGGAGTGTATTGAAGATGATGAAAGTGAAGAGTTGAGCGATGAGTGGAAAAACTGGTTAAAAACAGTGAATAATCCAGAAGATCAAAACGTGTGTAATTTGGAAACAGATGATGATGTCATTTCATTTGCCTTGGTTAACAAACTTTGTACTCCTCCCGTTGAAGGGAAGTCTTCTGTCAACGAAGATATACCATCACAACCACCAGGTGAAGTGGAAGTCATCAAAATTGGTGACCTAAAAACTAAGTGCGTGGAGCTTGAGCGATATTTGATCACTGAAACTCAGAAATTACGAAAATCAATAGAAGAAAAAGAAAACAAAATTGTAGAACTTGAGGAATGTTTTAAAGAATTGCAAAATCCAAATCATTCAGTCGAAGAAATTCGAGAAATAATTTTATCAACATGCAACACGGACACCAAACAGCTAGTAGAAAATATCGAAGCGTCATTTTCATTGTTGACAAAAGCAGTTGATAAGACCAACGTATGTATTGTAGCTTTATTTCGATGACTAATTTGTTTGGAAATGGACTGTAGAAACTGATTCACTTTTCTTATTTGACAAAAAGACAAAAATTTGCTCTGTTCATATCAATAATTGCGTTCTTGGTTTTGCTGACATGCACCATTGTTAAATATAAGGAACACTTAAAACTTCCTATATCAGGTCTTCGAATAATTCTAAATGTCATGAGATAGATTGATGGAAAACAATAAGATGTTACTATCCAATCCTAAATATCTAATTGCTTGCACTTCAAAGTTAACCTGGTTTTAAAATCCTGTCTGTTCGAATTGCTTGTTCTATGTGGCGTAAATATTTTACAACAGAAACTTGCAATTTACTTGCAGCTTCATTCAAGAGAATCCGCAAAAATCCAAATTGAATTTATAGGTAAAATCCAAACCAGTGTGGAACTTCTTTATGATTGAACGGAGTAATCTGAATACTCACATTTGCACCAATTTGGGTTATCTTCCATTCACAAAACAACATCACCATTGTCTCTTTGTCCTAATCTCGGATAGCCATCCAAATTGAATAAGTGTTCTTCTCTTAGAGTTCTCAGTGTTGGAAGTTTCATTTACAACTAAAAAAATGTTCAATTCCAAAACTGGAGTTGAAGAGAACCCTCCTCAACCACCCCCAACAACAACAACACGAGTGCGATCACCATTGGATTCACTCTCTACTGAACCCTCTGCTCTCCTCCTCGGATCAATGGCAAGCAGAGATAACCTCTCTTCCGAGTCATCCCAATGCTGTTCACCGTCATCATTATCATCATCATACATCATCTCTACAACACCACCACCGAGCTCTTCTTCGCTTCCTGGAACTATCAGTGTTTTCCCGAGTGTTTGTAGTGAACATCAGGAGGATGATCCTCTTGATCCACTTCGACAACAACAAATAAGGAAGAATAGATCCAGGACGAATAGTATCAGTTTTGTTCCACCATCATCATCGGAGTTTCTAAACAGCACTCATATGAGTGTTATGCAACATTCTCTTCGTTCATCAGCAAAAACAACACCAAACTCATCACTAGCCCTTAATCTCTCCATCGTGGATCCAAACCTCTTTTTGAATCAAAATTATCCTTCTCCTCGTTCCTCATGCTCGAGTAGAGCCTCCTCGCCATCGACGACCACTTCCTCTGCCATGAGTATTCGTACATTGTTGGAAGATGTAACCACATGCGTCGACACGGATGCAATCCCACTCAATGTACATGCTGCAAAACGAGTGGACAATTTGGTAGAAGATCATCAATTCTACCACACACAACAACTTGCAACCGCAAGACTTTCTACTCCTCCTTCTCTTCTTTCTCATGCAAGTGGAACAACACAACCCTTCACTTCAAACGATATTGAATCCGTGTCGACTCATCATCATTCCAATTCAGCAAGCACCATGAACGGTTCATCATCCTCCTCCTCAATTTATTCTGATACTCCTGCTCTTCATTTAAGTTGTGGTTCGGTCAACCCAACCTCGACACGCCATTCACATGATGAATCATCACTAACGACAACCAGCAACACTAATCATAGTTTTACCTCGTTATTGGAAAAACTAGTTTTGTACACGGCAACCATATTTTCTTCCTTACTTCCACCCAAAATGTTATCTTTGCTGAGAGAAGAGTCACAATCTCCTTCTTCTCCAGAAGTTCACTCAGAAAACAGAATGCAAAGTCTTCAAGATGATGAATCACTTATTATCAAATTCAAGTCAAGACATGAAGAGCTTGCGAAAAATAATCCCAAATTAATGATTTGTATTGCTGTGCTTTTATTGTATATGACATATTTCTTTATAGATCCAACAACTCACAGTTATGTAATATTTTGGCTTGGATTTGTGGTAGAAATGAGCATGAATATCACTGTTGACCACATATTATGCACAACACAAACAAGGTCTATTTTCAAGCTGGAATTAATTAATATGTGTCGAATGTTTTTTTCATTTGCTGCTCGATTGTTGGTTCAGCTGTATTATGGGCCTTTTTTTCCTTTCTGGATTTTGCAATCATTCCCAATTATAATCGTTGTCAACATTTTTTACTACAGACGAGAATTCTCAATTATTAATGTAGCCATTAACATGGTGGGCACATGCGTTTCAATGCATGTTGCTGCATTATGGGAGTTTCAAAAAACAAACGACGAGTTCATATTTTATGCAACTAAAACTAAAATCTTAGAGACGATGGGGTTGCAGTTTATTCTTTTTGCAACGTCTTATCAGGTAGGTAAAAGAGAAATGCAGGACTTACTCTCTAATATCAACAACCTTTTAGTTTTCTTACATGATGGAAAGACAAGGAGATGAGAATACGAAAAAACAATTAGAAATTCTCAAGCAACAAATTGTGAACACCTCAAAAACGAAGTTTATTGGGAAGCTGTCACATGAAGCCAGAAATCCACTTCAGGGTATTCTCTCATCTGTACAGTTATTACAGAATGAGATAAATACCTATGAAAATCAAGTATTCAGCCAAGCTTTGAAAGAAACTCTTGATGATATTTACTATAATTCTACACTGTTGCTGCATATTTTCTCAACATCTTTACAACTGACCAATTTAGAGCTAGGTTCGATTAAGCTAAATGAACAAAAATTCAGTCTACTGGAATGTCTTGAAAATATGGTTTCTGTGTTTTTTAGAGCTGCAGACGAAAAAGGAATCTCGATAGGGTCATGCTATAATTTCAATTCCTTATCCAAGTATAATTTTCTGGGAGATCAACCAAGAGTGGCTCAAATATTGATGAATATTATTTCTAACGCAGTTAAATTCACTGAAAAAGGAATGGTCTTTCTTTCCTGTGACATTTGTACTAAGAGCGAGTTGAATCAACTTAAAATAAGAGAAGATCCTGAGTACTCATATGTCAAGATTATTTGCGAAGATACGGGCATTGGCATGTCAAAAAATACTCAACAAAATCTTTTCAAAAAGCCATTCCATCGAATTGATGCAGATACAGTTAATTCAGCTATTCATGGCAACGTTGAGAATTTTAACCCCATCTTTGAACAGTATTTTGTCAACTCATTATCACGTAATTCCGATATTGTAATAGATGATAAATCTGGTAGCCAGAATGAAGGCTCAACTAGAGGGTTTGGAATTAGCATTTCTAAAAGCTTGCTAGATTTGATGGGAGGCAAAATATTTGTTTCCTCTGAATTGGGCCGTGGAACAAAAGTAACTATTATCTTACCTCTAAAGAATTTGCCACTGTCAGAACAAGTAGATGCAATTACTTCTGATTTCGAATACAATTCAGACAATAGAAGTATTAGCGCCTGCTCAAAAGAGTTGCACGAGGCAGTTCATTATTGCATTCCTGACTTTTACGTGTTAGATTCCAATCCACTTACTCCGGTCATTTTGAAACCTTATTTATCATTTATTTTTCCAAGCTCAAAAATTTTAATTACCGACAATGCTGAGGAAATTAAGGACAAACTAACTTCAGAACAAAAGTTTTCGACCATTATCTATAATCAAGCTGTGTGTGACTCACGTGCGTTCGAGCCAGTCGCCAACGATTGCGTGTTAATTCCAATGAATAACAGAGGACGATACACAGAACATCGGTACTTGTCTCGACCAATCAGATTTAAGGACCTGTTGGAAGTTCTTTTATTCTATGTGAAAAGCCGCCCAGTGGAGTTGACTTTGATGAATACTTTTGAAAAATCATCTTCAAACTTAAGCCAAAACGATGATGACATCCCTCAAGAACCAGTTCAAAAAGCTGCTCTTGTTGTTGAAGATAATGATATCAATCGAAAAGTACTCGCTAAAATGTTAAGGGTTATTGGATTTAAGAAGGTGGATTGTTGTGAAAATGGATTAGATGGAGTTGAAAAATTCAAACAAAATCAAAATCAATATGGATTAATATTAATGGATTTGTTGATGCCTGTAATGAATGGGAAGGAAGCTTGCTGCATGATCTCTCAACTCCAAAATGATTCATCAATTAAAACTCCTGTAATTGCAGTAACGGCCAATATATGGGAAACAAAAGAACAACTGTTGTCTCAAGGCTTCAGTGATGTGTTGTACAAGCCGATTACTCTTGAGAATTTGAAGAACCGACTATCTGAATTTATACAATAAAGAAACATTGTCAAACCTTCCACATTGTTAGATGAAACACTTATTTAATGAAATGTATGACCATCCAAAAATTTACAAGTTAACAAGGGCATGACGGCTGAGATGAAGACCCACCATTATTAGTTGAGCCTCCGCCATTGCTTCCTGGTTGAGTCGAAGAGTTGGATTTGTCCAGGTTGACATGAACTTGCGGTTGATTTTCTTGATCTTTCTTATCTTGGACGGAATTGACCTCCTTCCATTTCTCACTGATAAATTCATAAGACGCCTTGTCAAAATTATTAAAAGAACACTTACAGTTTGTCTTTCCACGCAATAAAGGCAACTCTATTAAACAATTTTTCAACATTAATGCCATCCTTTGAAGATACTTCCCAATACTCTGCTTTCAGCTCATCTGCAATTTGTTGTACCTCTCTGTCATCCACATGCTTAACAAGGTCACACTTTGTTCCTATCAAATACCATTTAATATTTGGCTCTTCTGCATATGCCTTCACTTGGTTGTACCAATTTTTTATGGAATGAAGTGTTTCAGGACTATTCAGATCAAAGGTTAAAATACAAGCACTTGCTCCACGATGATATGAAGTGGAAAGACTTTTCAAAAATATTAAACACCATCACATTGAAAGTGCATGTAAAATATTTTACCAACCTTTTGAATCTCTAAGGAAAATGAATTAAATCTATCATGCGAAATTATTTGTCAACTGTTGAATTTAAAAATTATTGAATATTTGTGATGGTTCGTCGTGCATCTACTCACCTCACCTCTTGACCAGCTGTATCCCACCTATTGAAATACAACAATAAAAATCCAAATGCAAAATTAACATCAAATAAATGCAAAATTAAATCAACAAATACAAAATTCATGATTTGAACAGCTCTTTGACTTCTACATACAGCACAACTGAAAAAGGAATATCTAAAATTTTGTATTTTTTGATGTTGAAATCCATGCCAATCGTAGGGCGATAGTTGTTGCTGAATACATTCCTAATAATTCTCACAAATAAGGAACTACAAAATAATTTCAGAAACACACTATGAATTGCTAAATACTTTACGTTTTTCCAACCATACTGTCTCCCACTAAAATTACTTTTCCATCCGCTATCATGATTGGTGAATTAAAACGACTCATGTATCTGTATATAGTATATATACAAAAAACATACCCATAGGAGAGGTATGAGTAAAAGATCCATTTACAGAGTTATACAACTCAATGGTTTGCATTAATTCCTTGGTAATCTTATTATCAGCACTACATCCTCCGAACATCATCCAACCAGCCATGAAGAGGTGTTCTAATCTATGAAGTGTTCCCAACCAATCATTACCTACCTCTGTGATACTCCTTGATTCGAGCCATGTTGAAAGTTATCGAGAATGGTACAACGGTCATCATCCGAATACATTTTTAGCTTTTTTTTTGTATTTAGAACGTTTTAAAGTAGAATCCGAATCTCTAAGTTAATCAAAAATGGTTTTATTGGAAAGGAAGGAAGAATGGAGATGCTTTCAGCAATGAATCATCATCGTCGACATCATCACATTGGACGAATGCTTGAAATCATGTCATGTTCTTCTTGGACGTGATGTAAAATCTCTTCTGCAAAGCTCAACAGGCAGTTATTGCAAGATTCCAACATGTGCATGAATTCTTGATGAGAGGATTGATTCATCTCTTGATTCAATAGAGAATATTTGAGTAATTCCACACCACCCACACTTGCTGTGCATGCTGTTTGAAATTGATGCGAAATGTGACTGAAAAGTTGTTTTCGATTCTGTAAAGTGACAAGTAGTTTGGCGTTGGTATTTTCCAAGTCGGTCATGATGCTGTTTAAATAAGCAGCAACAAGGCAAAATGCAAGTGTCAATGCAGTGAACACGAAAGCACTCAAATGGTTTGGACATGTAGAATAGAGGATCCAAAAAATTATAAAGTGAACTCCTACTTGAAGTTTGAGAGGAATGTGTCGAAGAGATCGACCTATCGAAAGGAATAAACCACTCTCAATGGTCGAGGAAAGAATGAAATGTGTGCACTGTCCGTTACAGGTGTTACTTTCTATTAAGGATGAGTGTTCATCACAACCTGAACAACAACAGCAACAAGGACAGTATTCAGCACGGACCGTATGCAACAGACAGTTTGATTGGATTCGATCTGAAGACATAAATTCTTCACCAACCATGGTACAATAAGCATTCTCAGCCGTGTCGAAAGACATGGTTTTCTTTTTCTGTGTTGTGTGAACATGAGAGAGAGAGCATCTCTTTTTCCAATACAATTGTTTCGTTCGCCATAGTTCCATGTCCAAACGTCTGCGGACCGCACTCATTCGCTTAAAATGTTCATTCGAAATATTCACTATCTTGTTTTCTTTGTTTGTTCAAATATCACGGCAGAAAGTGGATTTTAAAATGATCTAAGGCACCAATCAATGACTAAATATGGCTTGACTCTAAAAGGAAACTTGGTGAATCAATCCAAAATGGAAGGTTTTTGGTTAAGTTGTCAATTGGCTATGGCCGGCCAAAGAATAACATGTGACTCCTGCCATTCAAGTACATCAGCTATTCCTGCTGATCAACTGGATTAAGGGATAATTGATCCCAATGATCTCAAAAGATCAATTCAATCAATTACAGTTAATAATGACGACTGGTATCGATTTTCTCAAAATAGTCATCTTTGTTCATCAAATAAGAAGCATGATAGAGTCCCGTTGGAGCATAATACTCGGAATGCGTGAATTGAAAACCAAGCTTTTTCAACAAGTGTGCCGATGAGGTATTATTGGGATGATGTCCTGCAAATAATGCACTCACATTCAATTTTGTATTCTTAAAGGCAAAATCCATGACTGCAAGGCAAGCCTCTTGAGCATAACCCTTTCCCCAATACTTTTAAATGTATTCCCATCTCGTAAATATGATGATCAAGATCGTAAGGTCTCAATCCACAACATCCTATAATTTCATGTTCTCGTAGTGATGAAGGCTTTTCATCATCATGAGAATAATTGGTACTATTTTCATTCTCATCATCATTGGAATTTAAAGGATGAATATGAGCAGTTGTTTCAACCAATAATTTAATAGGCCAATACTGAACTTGAAAATTCTCTTGCATGGATATTTCCTTCGCTCCGAGACTAGTTCCCTATTCATTCCATTCTTATTAGTCGCATGAAGAATAAATTTCGTAACGTTTGGATTGCCCCATAATTCAAGAGTGTGTGCCAAATCACTCTCTTTCCATGTAAAAAACTCTAAACGTTGTGTTTTCAAAAAACTCTTCATCGTGGTGGTGGTGATGATTGGAAGACAATTTTTTTATTCAAAAACAATTAATTGATTTCTGACATCTACTGGATACATACAAGGCGAAACGACTGAACGAAATATAAATATAGTTTGAACGAAAGTCCCACCTCCAAAAATTTTATCAATGATCGTTGTTGACATGAGTTATCTTGAAAAAGCTCTCAATTTAAACGACAAATCTCTTGATACCACCACGTCTTAACACTACATGCTTTTTGGCACTTGCGACACTTTAAACAGTCGCTACCTGGAATTGGCACATGTGAAATTTGTTGATTCATTTTTACTTTATTTGGAATTCACTCCGTGATTGGTTCATGACTCGAAGTAAGACACAATAAGACCATGTGCGTTGATGCTGCTCCTGCTTTAAAAAGAAATGACCGATTCCATGTTCATGATTGTGGAGAAGGATGACACGACATTCATTTCAGAACGAAAGACCTTCCTCACTCTCACACGGACCAAAGATGAATTTGAAAAAAACGAATCAACAACAACAACAACAACCATGAACAACCTTCAAAGAAGAGACACAACATTCATCCCTATGAGAGAAGAAGAAACCAACAACCACAGTCATCATGGCCACGCCCTGCACGAATCTCTAATTTTGTCGACTATTTTTGGATTTTATTTGAATATCGGAGGAGTGGATTCAACAGCATCGAAGAAGAAGGACAGTTCGGAGGAGGAGAAGAAGAAGGAACCATTGAATCAACAACAACAACAACAACAACAAACAACTATGAACAGTAGTATTTCGACATCATCCTCCTCATCCACCTCTTCATCATCACATTCAGTAGTGAACATTCCATCATCGCATTCACTTGGTGAGATTTTGTCCCTTCGTTTAGTGTGCAAATCGTGGAAATATTTTCTCGAAAAGGAATCCAAAGTCATCATTCCGAAATGTGTCGTTCCATTGATTCGTGAGAGAATTCGACAAGAATACGATCAGCATTCCAGAAAGGCCTTTCCTTGTCATGACCAACAACAAGAATCTTCATTATCACTCCTTCTTCTAATAGAAGAGAATTCCAACGAAACAAACTCATCATCATTACATGTTCACAATCCACATCGATGCATTCCATTTGGAGAAATTCTATCTTCCCTTGCTTGGTTGTGTGCAGTTCCTTTTGGATTGGGATGGAAACATGTTCATAAATTGGATGGAACCATCATTCCTCAACGATTGGTGAGTCCATTCTTTTTAGTGTGCATGTCCATGAGTGGAGTGTTGGGATCTTTGATGGCTTTTACGCTTTGGAAGATGCCACTATTGATTCCAATTGGAGCATGTGGTGTGGTGGTGGAGAATGTTTACAATGGAGTGAGTGATTGGAGAATGAGAAGAAGACTTTTACAAATGAAACAAGAATATGAGGCAAAATGTGAAGCATTGAATCAATGGGCGAACAAACTCACGAGTAGTAGTAGTAGTGGTGGTGAGGAAAGTCATCATCTTGATGAATTTTGATGGACCCTCGAGAGAACCTATTCATGACAAATCATTTAATTTTGCATTACCTTTTTCTCTTGTAACCAAGAGTTTCAAAGTTTTGGAGGAATAAAACCTTCAAATCAAAGATTTTCAATCTTGTTTTCTTTTTGAACATGATGACAAATAACATGTTAAATATTAAATCTTTTCGTGCACGAAACATGTTTTTATTGATAAATCTTGAAGAATATCATCACAACGAGTTGAATCACGATGAGAATGATTGGATTGAACACGACGAAGTATCGTGTAAGATCCAAAACTCCAATATAGAACTCTGAGTCTGATTTCCAAGGATGTTTTTGAAGCAAATCATGTTGCTTTGGGTCAACATTTTCCTTACATATTGGACACGTGCTCTTTTTACCAATAATCAACCATCCATAAACACAAAACTCATGGAATTTATGTCCACAGGATAAAACCTTGGTCTCTTGTGTTGTTTTTCGTTTGTTTTCTGGAGGTATAGTGACATCGTCAGTAATTCTTCGTGTGAAAGGAGTTTCGGAATCACCAGAATGTGCACTCTCAAAATCCAAACTAGTGTCCACTCTTAACTCTTGATTACAAATTCCACAAACATGCTCTAATTGAGAATGAGACATGTAAAACTTATTTCTATCAGCCTCTAGCGATGCATTAATGGCACTCGAACACAATTCACCACAATCCCTCACTAAAACACCAAAATAGAGTCCATAGAAAATTAATACTTCCGGACTTGGAAATAAATATATTCCAAAACTAGAGTCCATCAAAATATATTTCACTATGAGTGAGTACAATCCAAAGAACACTTCTAATCCCAAAAGAACAGTTCCGAATATAACAGAAATATGAGATAATTTGTAAACCGTATAAAACCATACATAGACTTTCTTTGGGGTGTTTGGAGATAAAGCCTTTCGCAACGATAAATATCCCAAATAAATTGTAAATATCGAATAGACTGTCCAAATAATCATCATTCGAGAGTATTGAGTTAATCCTCCTATAAACACACAAAATATTCCTGGAAAAAGCCACATTAAAAAGAAGCTAGTCATGACAAATGAATATCGGTGATATTTCTTCCATAACTGAACAAGAAATTGAAGAACAATAATCAATACAACTACAAAGAGAAGAAATCCGGCAGGAATTATCGGGGCAGGATCTTTATGTAAATGCTGATTTTGTGCCATCACATCAACAGGAGGATCGACCAGCGCTGGAGGAGGAGCTTGCATTTTTTTTGTTGGGCAAGAATGCATTCTTGGGAAAGGATGCCCGTGCATGCGACTCGGAGTCGCAAACGAACCGAGTGACAGGTGTGGTAGATTTCAATTATTCAAAAAATGGTTTATTGTTTCACCGTCATCACGTTTAATCATCATCAACCTCAATATCTGAGCCGTCTTCCTCATCTTCGTCAAATTCTTGTTGTTCGTCACCATCTCCCATTTCGGCATCTCCATCTTCATCGTCTGAATCTACTGTGACAAGCACATCATCCTCAATTGGCTTTGAGGCAACCATTGGAATGAAATTGTTCGTTGGATCGTTCACACTAGTGGTCAATTTGTTCAAAACATTGGAATCATCAATTTGCATCATTGCATTGTCCATGTTGAATTGATCAACAACATTGTCAGCTCTCTTTGGAGGAAGAGTATAGAAAGGTATTTTACCTGTATTCCAATCTCTCAAAATTATCTTTCCTGCTTCTTGAATATTTGGTTTTCCTCCCTTCAATAATTTACCGCTTTGTTTGGCAACTTGAGTTAAAAAGTCTTCAGCTGATGTGAATGTAGAAATAGAATATTTTGCCATTAATCTTTCTGGTTTACACCTTGTTAAAATTATTCTCACAGGTTCTACAGTATCTTCCAATTGTTCAATTCTGACCGCATTACGAAGGATGACATCTGAATCCAAAGAAGCAGATGAGAAAATAATACCTGGGCTATCAATTAGTTTGATATTACTATCGAGTTGAATTTCTTTTGCTGATGTTGTGACACCAGGTCTAGAACCAACAACTGCCACTTTCTGTCTCTTTAGAGAATTGATGACACTGGACTTTCCAACGTTTGGGTATCCAATAATACCGACAGTAATTGTCTTTTTTATGTCCTCACTTCTAGCATAATTCTTTAGCAGTTGAATCAATGTATCTGCCCCCAAACAACCTTTCATATCATCTGTTGTTCCTTGAGAAAGATTTTTAGATTGTTTTTGAGTATTGGATTTGAAAGCTACTGTTGGAAATTCTTTTCTGAGATAATCTAACCATTGTCTAACAACTTCGCGTGGAATCAAATCGATCTTATTCAACAATAGAATAATTTTCTTATTCATATGTTTTGATAAAATTGCCTTTTCAATATTCAAGCATCGACATCCCATTGGATCTCTTGCATCCAACACTTCAATGATCACATCGGAAGCTTCAACGACCTTATTAAATTCTTTGTAGTATGCTCGTTTAGATGCTGTTGAAAGAGATGCTGTTTTTATGTCTCTTGCGTCGAAAGAGTCTTCCTGATTGTCTCTCATTAACTCTTCTTTAGCATTAAATTCCATTTGTTTACGTTGAGCCATATATTGAAGATGAGCCATCTCCGAGAGTCTGTTATTTTCTTGTTCACGTTGTTCTTTTTCGACCTTCTTTTTGGCCTTGGCTTCGTTCTTTTCTTGCTTTTCGGCTTGTCGTTTTTGGAAAATCTTCTCAAGAATTTGTTTTTTATCAGGAAGAAGGTTTGGAATTCCGAGATCCTTCTTTAACTCTATAATACGTTGAATTGATCATGTTATAAAAGTGGTAGAATAGTTGATATGGTGATGATGATTTTTGTACAATTCAAAATAATTCGTGATGATGGTAAAGATACTTCGGAATATCAAAAACTTACTATTCCTTGGGAGAGCAATACCATTCTTGGCTGCTTTTCGGATCTTTCTATCCTTTTCCTTCTTCTTTTTGATAATGTTCACTTTCTTCTTCTTGGTGAGTCTGCTGCTCGATTGCTTACCCATTTTTTTTGAGTTTGAAATTCATATTTTTATTTGAACTCGGCAATACTGTTGGGAAGTGTTCTCTTTGGCAATCGACTTTTTGACAACAAGACCTTGTTCAAACCATGGTAGAGTGCACAAATATCCTATCCAGACTTTCAATCTCTATATGGCCGTTGGAGGCTAGAACTAAAAGCTGATAAAATCCTTGGGCTGCCTTATATTTCAGTCTCTTTGAGTTTTTGGTGGTTCCTTCACGAATAATCTTATTGAAGCTGATAAAAACTTTTTCGTTCATGTCTGTACGTGAGTGTCTCTCTTCTTCACTCTTTTTCTGAAGATACGCAAGCATATTCCAACTTTTGCTAATCATAGAGTTGCCATTGAAGTTGTTCTTACGCTCCTCGTCATGAAGATCTTCCAAAAATTGGATGAGATCGTCGGCAGCATCAATTGGCTGAAGCGGCTGTTTTTCTGGGGACCTGTGTTGAGCAGTAAATGATGCATTCATTCCTTTTGTTGGTGAGATAACTGTCTTCAGATCACTTTCTTCTAGTAAAATAGATGCTAACTCATCCATATCATGTGCTTCAACAATATTTACATCTGATCTAGGGTGTTCAATATCTAGATCAAATCCTCCGATATCAGTGAAATCTATGCCATTATTTGCATTGTTTTCAGTATTTTGTTGGAGTGTAATATTGTGTTGATCTTCTTCTGGTCTGGGTCCAATCTTCACCTTTTTGTAATTTCTCATAAATACATGCTCAAAGTCATGATTAAACTGTATGTTCGAAGGATCATAGCCGCAAGGTATGAAATAGAATAATCTATCCATTGTGGTTTTGTCGATCTTCCCTTGCCCAAGATGCCTTAAAAATTCATCCATAGAAGAAGAGTTAAAAGTCTCGTTGCAACATGGTCTCTCATTAAGAAGAGCAGAGCAATCTTCAATCATTGTTCTCATGTTATCGCTTGATATCTGAACTTCATCATCGATAATTAAGTGTCCGTCCTTTCTCTTCCGTTTCTTTGGATTGGACTCTGGCACAATAGAGTCCGGTACAAACCCTATGCCGTCATCAAATCCGCCAATGTCTGAATGATTCATCAGATTTGACTTGTCTACAGCATTTTCTGTAATTCCAACAAGCTCAGAGTTGTTTGTCTGACCGAAAATGTCCACACCTGCGGTAAAGATGTCGTCATTAAGTGCTAAGCCAGTAATGTTTGTTGGATTTTCATGATGCACAATATTAGAAATAAAAGGATTGCTGTTCACATCTACCACCTCAAATCCAAATGCAGAAATAGTCTCAGTGGAAGTATTTTGATCAAGACTAGAAACAATAAGCTCTCCATTGTCATTGGCTCCAATCAGTTTGTACCAATTTCTAACAAATTCTTGATCGTACAATAGAAGTGATGGATCAATGACTTCTATTGAATGATCTAGAGTTTTCATTGTAATCGCTTCAAAGCGAGCAATATTTCTCTTGGAAGGATCAAGAACAGTGTTATCATCACCACTTCCTAGTGCAACATGTACTTGTCTTGCCCTCTGTATCATGATATTACCCTCGGAAAGCAAGAATTGTGTTCTCTTGTTATAAATAACAACAATACCAAGAAGTAATGTGCTTGAAAGACGAAGAGAATACCCAGAAAGATCTGATTGAGCACTAAAGTCAACCACGTCCTTATCACCTTTGGCAGTCTTGCTGCTAATTTTCTTTCCCTTAGATATGATCTCATCAGCCAGAGCTGGGATATTTACCAATAATATCTTCTTTTTTGTAAGCTTGCAACGTTTTCCTATCGTTCCGGCCAGCCATAGCAATCCAATAGGTTCTATCATATGCCAGAACGTTGTGATCTTAAATAACAAAATATCAAGGCTAGACAACTCTACCTTTCTTTGAGAGCAGATCTTTACCAAAGAACATGATGTTGGTTTGTTTTTTTGTGTGGTGGTGGGCGGTTATGACAAGCGCAAGGTCACTTCAACACCCTTGACTAGCCTTACTTCATGTAACCTCTCACAACACATCAAGACTTTAATCACCATCTGGGGTACAAGGCTTTCCAATACCAACAATGATCTTTTCTCTAAGCAAAGAGAAAACCAAGTATACAGCCAATGGTATGATCAATCATGTAATCCGAGTAACGAGAGGTGTAAGACAATAAATGCTTTCTCAAATCTGTGTCATATCGAAATGGTATCATCTCATTGAATGGTAAATGAGCGGTAAAGTGAATCACAAAGCAAGCACAGAGCAATAGAATGACACGGAAAATTAAATTTCGAGAAGACTGATTGCGAACAGTGTCATCACTCACACGAGAAATAGATTGCACAATTTCAAACATGACAAAGCTAGTGACTCCATAATTACATGCAATGAAATGTCTGGCATCGTACGCCCAAAGCATGCTTTCCATCCAACCAAAAACTCTGAACAGAACGAAAGAAAGAACAGCTCTCACTGCAAACACAGACCACTGAACGGCAAATAGTGTCTTGAGAAGGGAAAAGAAGCTCCTTTTGCTGCAACAAACCAACAATAATAAGACTCCAATCACCAATGACATCAAGTTCGGAAATACTAACGGAGAGAGAAAAATCGGAAAGAGCACCATCTGAACAAGACTTTGAACAGAAAGGTTTGACAATGTCCCATAGATGAGTCTTCTCGGAGAAAGACACAAGTACATTTCTTGTTGTTCACAAGAAGAACCTTGAGGATTCAACCATGACAATCCCAACTTTAACAAATTCAAGTGGTAACCATTCCAACACACAACAAACATCAAGACCAGAAAGAAGGAAAAGAGAAGGACTTCTGAAATTGACCATTTCTGTTTGGTTCTTGTGAGTGGTGGATGGAATTCATTCAATATACTGCTTGTTTTCTCTACCTTGGATGATTCACCACTGGTGGATGAAGGGAGGCTAGCTTCCGATTCTTGATCATCGGTTTTAGTGATTTGTTGCAACTCATCTTCGCGATGAGAAGAAGAACCCTTGTGCTTGCTGGAAATCATTTTTGTTGATTAAATTATTAAAAATGATGATCCCTTCGCCATCCACTTCTTTTTCAGAAGATGAAGAGAATCAGAATGACCTTGTTCAGGTCCTCACATTATTCGGCCACAAGATGAGAGCCACCTATAAAACGGATCAAATGCTGAGAAGAATACAACAAAAATCTCATCATACGACATGGATGTTGGAAGATAACTTCGATCCTTTTGCTTCCGACAATAAATTTACAACTACCAATGCCGAACGATTTTACATTCCGAACCAAAAGATGTCTCGCCATCTCTATCACAAGTTCGTGATGGGATCGGAACGATCTAAAGGTTTACTCAATGTCTTGGGTTTTTGCATGTTACACAAGAAATTGAAAAAAGAAAACCGAACATTTGTTTGGAAAGAAAATCAAATTGTGGAACGCATTGGATTGCAAAAGCTCATGGTGAAATGTAACAGCATCAATTGGTCCTCAGCTCCATCCTATAAAGGAGGTGTTGTGAATCGATGGGGAGATGATTGGTGTGTTTTGAGCATTGAATTTAAAAATCCAGAAAATAATTCAACTCAAATTGCATATTTTGATTTGATGCCTGAAGTGCATGACATCTTTAATGAAGCAACACTTAGTAGTGGCGTACATGTATTTGATGCTTCCAATCTAACTCACAAATCTGAATATCAAACAATTCATGAAACCGAAACGAATAGAGAGTTTATATCAAAGCATAATCCTCCACTTGAAAATGCAACAGTTTTATGCGAGACAATCTTTAAAGTCACTGAAGAAATACTGTGGGAAGATCAAGCTGTCAATTTTGTCAAAGAACAATTTATTCGAGAGTTTAAACATCTTTTGGTGGAAGATACCCGCAAGCACTACTCCACATTTGAATATTAATACAACCAAAGATGTTTATCATTATTGTTATAGGTGATGTATAGAGTCATACCTATTGTTTGTTTATTTTGTAATAGAGTATGACCATATCAGGATGTATCTCCAACAAACACAAAACACACTTAGTGTTGTTGGACGTCATACATTTGTAAAGATCGAATACATTGTTACAGGTATGACTCTATTACAGCAACAATTATTTACTTTTCAATAATGACCAATGATGTGACTTTTTATCTCTCTCAACATTTTGGACATGTCCAAATCCAAGCAGACCTTAGATCAAATTTATTTTCCTATCACATGAGGAGAGATGTTCACAACAATACCTTTCAAAAGTTGTAATTGACCATGAGAGAAACTTTTGACCATCTCGCTATAGGAAAAAACAAAACAACAACTCTGAGAAGCTCAGAATTACTGCAAAGAAGGACACACCATGTCGACGAGGTTACAGAATCCCATCAACTTATCATCAACACTCAACAAATGCCAAATACTACAGAATCCATCCAACAACGATCCGCAACCACAAGATCCCACTCTGTTTACTCTTTTTAATACTCTCAAGTTGGAGAAACCTATTCATCCTCTTCTATGCCTGTTCATTCATGTCTACATGATCCTTCAAACTCTTTCATTAGGTCTCAATATGGACTATCATTGGGGAAGCTATGGAAGAACCGTACAGCATGTTTTTATTTCATTCAGTTCATTTGGTGTCCAATTTTTGGAATACTATGAAGGTTTTATTGCCATTCTTGTTGTGGCCATTGTGTGGCAATTGGTGGTCATTCTTCTCTTAGTGGCCACCTTCAGAGCTTCCAAGAATGGAAAATATTTTAAAGAAATCAGAAAGGCCTCTCGTCTCGCTTTCGTAATCATGTTCTTTCTGAGTGGTCCTCTCACTTACGGAATGGCATTGGGGTTTTGGAATTGTGATGATTCGTCCTCGTCTGATGTCATGAATTTGAGAATTTTTCCATCCATTCCTTGTTGGAATTCTACCAATTCTGTTCTTGCCATCCTCTCTCTCATGGTTATACTGACTCAAATAGTGACTTCATTCATGACTGTGACTGTATTTTGCGATACCTTTCTCACTTCCAAGGCTTTCTTTATTTTGGAAGATCCTTATTTAATGTCCTATGTCACTGCATCGAATCAATTGTATATCATTCTCTCTATTGCCACTCCTTATCATGTCATGTATTTAAGACCCATCTATTACATGATCATTTCAATGATATTTTGTGTCTTGTTGTTGAGATACTTACCTTTTATAAGGAGAAGAGCGAATTCCTTTTATGGGGGTATTGGTATGGCACGAGTTGGAATTGGAATTGGATCTCTTGTATCCTCAATCATCAATCCATTGGATGAGTGGCAAAATGGATTGGTATTGACCTTTTCTCCAATCGTTGCGGGATTGATCGGATTTGGACTTGGATGTGTCGTCACCGAGCTCTATACATTCTACTTGTTGAGAAAAGGTCAACACATTCTTGAGGAATGTATTGAACAAATGACGATGAGTGGAGAGAACCCACTCACTCCATCGATGGATCTAGTAGCTCTCTATTTTAATCTCTACTCAAAACATGTCAATTGCTTGATTCAAAGTTCTCTCAAGTCTTCGACATGGTCTGAATCTCCTCATCATCGACGACGAATACTCATTGAAGATGTTTTGAAGGTAATTCAACAGCAACAACCATCGACTGATATGTTGGAACATTTACCATGTCGTTCACTCATTCTTCTCTCTCTATTCCTTTCTTGTTCAAAAAAGAATACACAAAAGTTTGCCATTCGATTGCTCATGAAGGCCCAGCAAAAGTGTCCATCCTATGATTATTTTACAAGATATACCATTTCATTTCGATTGAGAGAATTACATTATGAAAATGGTAAAGCAAGTGTGGCAAATAGTGAATTTGTACTGAATCGTGTCAAGTCGAATCTTCCAAAACTACGAAAACAAACATACCTTTTTTGGAGAAGTGTTCAATTGGGAATTTTTAATGTTCATGAAATACTCCAAGAAATGAACTCTCTTTCACTCGATTGTGAAACATCTCTCCACACTATTATGAGGGAACGTGACGATGAAGATGTGATCAAACTCTATGCTTCATTCATGGAAGAATGTAAATTTGAAAAAGTTACAATAGAAGATGAATTTGCTCAAAAAGAAAATGAATTACTCTTAGAAGATGGCCAAAACCAAGAAGAATCATTAGAAGTGGATTCTTTAAAAGAGGAAGATTTTGCGGGAAATCAACAAGAAATATTTTCAAATACCATTCGTAAGCAAGTTGGAAATGACAATATTCAAATTGGCCTATTGACATTGATGTGTGTGATTACTTTTTTATTTGTTATGGGATTAGTGACTTGTGATCTTGCATCCACTGAGAAACACGATTTTAACTCTATCATGTTGAAAGTCTCTCGTGTGAATGCATTACCTTATTTGGCTGTTTCTGAACTTGCTGTACTTGGAAACACCTCATTTGGTAATCTTACAAGAGCTGAAACAATTCTTACAAGAAGCGTAGAATGGATCGATCATTTTGAGAATTCCTATGAAATGGATGTTCCTTCTCTCATGAAACAAAATTTGAACAATTTTTCACAGGATTTTGTGGTAAGTTTCGCATCAGAGAGAATCATGTTTCGATCGAATACAATAATCCATGATCACTCAGTTCAAGGATAATTCCAATCCTCCTCGAGTGGTGAAAAAAACATCAGTCATGTGGTTTGTGCAAAGTAAGTGAAGGAATTGCCTTTTCTTTACTAATTCTCTAATGATGATAGAATTGAAAACAAGAATTAAGGATTTAGTGGATCACTACTCTTCGCAAATGATGGATACCACTCTTGAAAATTATCAAATATTATCTCTCAATTTAGAATCCTCCACTCGTTCCATTTCACAATTTATAACTCTTCTAAGACAGTATCATTCACAAAGCATTGAAAAGAGTACTATTGAATTTATTGCTTCATTCACTTCTGTAACGTTTTTATTTATTCTCTACATGATTTTTAATTCTGGTGTGTGTTATCTATTTATTCGAAAGAGAAATGCAATATTGAACTTGTTTCAACAAATTCCAAAAAAAGAAATTGAGAAAGTATTGGAAAATTTAGTTCAGAAAATTGACCAAAACAAAGATCTCACAGAATCAAGAAAGAGAAAAGTTTCCATTCCCAAACATGCAATGATCATTGTTTGTCTCATTTTCGTATTATTCATATTCATGACATGTTTAGGAATGATTCTTAGTGATGGTTTAAAAAAGTTGAATACTGAAAGAATTTATTCCATCAAGATGGATCATGAGGCAAATTTATTTACCATTTCACAATCACTCAAATATTATACTTTATTATTGATTCAACAACAAATGACAAGAATCAATTCTTCAGACATTCACACCAATAGGACACTTCTTGAAACAACAACACGGATGACTCAACATGTTGAACAATTTCAAAAAGAATGGAATTCTCTCATTCATGGCTCTCCTCAAGATGAATTCTATTCCTTATTAGGAATGAGTCATTCGATGGATCGAATATTATTAGGATCCTCTGATCGTAAAATGTCCACAAATATCAGCGCCATCTCTTTAACCTCTCTTTCAAGAAATTTATTATCCAACACTCTGAAACTGAATTCATGGTTATTGAATACTTCGAATGTACATGAATTTGACAATTTGGATCTTTTCGAATTCTATTTCAGTAATATTTACACTCCCTCCAATCAATTCATGGATGGTCTTTTACAATTCATGCAATTGACATTTGAAGAACTCACAGTGAATGGTCAGAGAGATTTCATTATTATTTCCACTCTTCTGTCCTTTGTTACTCTTTCTCCTCTCATGTATTTGATTTATTCTTATGGTAGTTCCATTTCTCATGAAAATCATCAAATAAGATTACAATTGAATCAACTTCCATGGGAAATTCTCGATTCAACACATAACATTCATAACTTTATCTTTCATGGGACATTGTATGATTTTGAGAAACATTTGAGATCAAAAAAGGTTAAAAACACAAAAGAAAAGGCCATTTTGGAAGCATGCATTACAGGTGCTGTCATTTGTTCATCGTTTGGAGTGGTTGAAATTTTCAATACATCTGCATCGAAAATGTTTGACTATCGTCCTGAACAAGTGATTGGATCTCCCTTAGAAAAACTTTTTGATAAGAATTCATGTTCAGTATTGGTCCCAATTTTAAACAAGATGGGATCTTCGATGAATTCGTATGGAGAAAATGTGGAATTGGTGGGTATGAGAAAGAATGGAAGCACATTTCCAGTGGAAGTGAGAATTTCAGTATCGAATTTGGAAGGAAGGAATATCATTTCGTGCTTTTTGAAAGATTTAACAACTGATAAGGAACAAGTGAAACAATTGGATGAGGAAAAAAAGAAATCAGAAGCATTGTTGCTCACCATCATGCCAGAACATGTCGCTCGAAAGTTAAAGTTGGGAGAACAATTCATTGCAGACAAGTTGGATGATGTGACATGTTTGTTTTCAGATTTAGTGGGTTTTAAAGAAGCAAGTTTATTCATGTCAGCCATTGAAATTGTGAAAACATTGAATGATATTATTAACAAATTTGATGAAGCCTGTGTCAAGCATCATTTGGAAAAGATTAAGACAATTTCTGAGAAGGTAAGTACAATCGAGTGTGTGTGGAATGGTCATTGTGATTATATCTTGATTCACTCCATTGCTGTGATATACTTTTCATTTACAGTACTTTTGCAGTGGTGGGTTAAAAGAAAATGAAAAATCCTTTGACACTCATCATTCTGAAAGATGCCTGCTTTTCGCAATCGATTTATTCGGTGTGATGCATGAATTCAATGAATACTCGGAACAAAAAATTAACATTCGAATTGGTATTAATTGTGGTTCTGTAGCTGCTGTAAGTCATTCAAGTTTTTGTGAATGCTCTGACTGACAAATTTATTCCATGTCATCAGGGAGTAATAGGTGTTTTGAAGTTCGCTTACGATCTATGGGGAGACACTGTCAATACAGCATCCAGGTAAGTCCATCTCACATCACATCAGAAAACTTGTTGACACAATGTTTTAAAGAATGGAAAGTACATGTCCTCCTTCTCGAATTCAAGTGACACAAATTGTGATGGATCGCTTGCAAGACAAGTTTATATTTGAAGAAAGAGGATATGTTCAGATAAAAGGAAAGGGAGCAATGAAGACATTCCTTCTCGCTGATCGTTACCACTTGAATCCATTGGAAAGTAATCATTTATAACTGAGATGCATCAAATGTTCTAGGTGCATCCTCATCATCTTCATCATTTCCTCTCTTAATCAATGAGTCATCAATATCTTCTGTTGATTTTAATCCTCGTTGCTCGCTCAAAATTGAATGTATTGTCTTTGTGTTGAATAAATAAATTTCAACAAATTTCTTATCAAAAGCAATGGCATCTTCTACTGTTGGAAACGGTATCTCAAAGGCATTGGTAATGTTTGGCAAATAACACTCGTCAATAGTGCATCCTGATAACTCCTCTTCTGAAAAGGTGTGTATCTTTTCCTTTGAATATGAGTGCTTTGTTGCAATACTGTTAAATAGAGAATTAATTCTTGTGAGTGAACGAGAAAAATAGGAACTTCGACGAGCACAGAGTGGCATTTCTAAATAGGAATAGCACTCTTCTAGGTGCTTCCAAATTGAAGAGCTTCTGGTAGATGTTTGGTAACATGTATCCACAAGAGTAAGTCTGAAATCTAGGTTAGTTCCCTCTAAATTCTCAGAATGTTGTTTTGGCTTTTTTCCATCCTCTTCAAGCATGAATAAGAGTGAATCTTTACAATGCAGGCATTTCTGCAACAGTAATACTGAACTCATCACTACATGAGTTGCTTCGCTTTTTGAAAGAAAGTGTTTTGCCATGATCAATTGAGTTTGTGCTTTCAAGTCCCATATGTCTAACAGAAAGTTTGCTTTGTGCGAACGTGGTATTCTATTAGCTTTTGACATTTGTTGGTTATTGTTTAAAATATCTTTTTCAATCACTGAATAATATGTTATGGTCTTCTGGACAACAGTTCTCTTCAACTCTTGAGTATTTTCTGGTTTTACATTAACACAATAGCAGTTGACAATTTTAAATAAACATCTAATGAAAGTGTCTAACAGCTCTCTTTTCAATATGACAGGTAGTTTAGCTGTTATAAACTTTTTCGAAAACTGAAAGACAGTATCATTTGAGAAATAATTTTGTAATAAATATTCATCGTCTTGATTGGATAGTCTATCAGTGTTTTTCAAATTAATGGTTGAAAATATCAATTCTATGACATTTAAATATTGTTTTTTGAGATATAGATGGCCTATCTCCCACTTGATACGATCCGACTTATCCCGTTCAAAGGATCCAGATGATGATTGATTTATATTATTTTCGTTTCCGATATCCCCAGATGCGTACCAATTCGAATAATGTATTTTGGCTCTATATTCAATCTCTATAGGTTTCATTAATTCGATGTCTCTTCTTGAACTTTCATCAGTAGATGAAGTCATATCAACACTCTCCGAATTGTCGTCGGCCAAGGTTATCCAATCCGATAAAGGATTTGAAGAAGAGGGAAAATTCATTTTTTTCTGTTGGAGACAACTTTTCAAAACTTGAAAGGCATGCCATCGATAACAGCATCAATTCATACACTCATCAACATTCTAAATTCACAGACTCATCAACATTGACAAGAGGTGCATGACATGGGCAAGACTTGGTCATTCTTTACTCGACAGACAGGATGGCCAATCGTTTTTTACATAATTCTCGAATTTTGTTCTGAGGAGCAAATACCTCTGATGAAAACTGAATATTATCTAAACCAAAGTTATAGAGTTCGGTTTTGTGTTGATACACACCATTTCTAATTTCATACATTTCTTGTTGTGAGAAATCTCTGCTATCTCGAAAATCATCATCTCCACTCGGTGATTTAATATGTGGAATGATAGACGTCCTTTCTCTTGCTTCCATGTCTTCAATGTGTGCAATTCTTTGTTTCATATCTTGTTTGAATAATTCATACATTTCATCTGCTGAGAAATACCACTTTCCATTTCTGATATTTGGTATATTTGGAATGGAATCAGGCACTTGTTCTAATTTTTCTGATCGTTTCACTTTTCGTAAATATTTCCTTGGATATCTTTTCTTTTCTGGTATTTCTTTAAAAACTAGTTTTGTTTCCATGTCACTCTTAGAATCAATGTTTTTCTTTTGTTCTGGCTGGCAATTGTTCAGAATGTACGTTATTGTTGTTGAATAATCTCTATTAATTCTTTCAATAATCTTTCGTTCCTCAAGAGATGCACAATTTGGATCCTTTTCAATGTCATTCTTGAAATTTGTTAATTCTCGAGTAAAATGATGGATCGTATTTGTTAAAATGGAATTTTCGTGACTCAGAGTATCAACTTTTTGTTTCAAATCGGAACACTCTCGTTTGTATTTGTCTAAATCATCTTTATATCGACTCATGAGCTTGTCATTTGTATCAAAATAATTTTTAAAATGACTTTGTATTTCTGGCTCTTTAGATAAAAGTGGTAAGAGTGTCTCTGGTGTGTTAAATTTTGGTTGAGAGGGTTTGGTTTTTTGTCCACTAATTTTGCTCAACTTTTCTTCCAAATCTCCGTCAAAGTCAAATGTTTCATCATCATCTTTGTCTCCATATTTATCTTTAACGGATGAATCAACATAACTCTTTTCGTTATTTTCTTTCTTTTTTGTCGAATAATCAGATGTCTTCCAAAAGGAAATTGCTTTCTTCGATGGCAACTCGGAAGATGGCAACTTGGATTCAGTAACAACAGTTCTATCCTCTACTGTTTCAGAAATGCCAAACCATAAGTTAAATCCAAGTAAAATAAATGAAATTAATAATGAAAAGGATAAATAGGTAATCAATGAGCTATGCAGATTGATAAAATTCAGGCCAATAACTACTCCAGCCATGATACAAGAAACAATGAGTGATATGAAACTGAAGGTATTTGCCGATTTGCAGCGAGTAACTGTCTTTGTCTTTTGTTGTACAACTCTCTCTTGTATATTCAAATAGGGAGGAATAAAAAAGGAGGAATGTATCGAATTAAGAATCTTGTCATCTGCTAAAGAAGGAATCTCTAGAGAAATCTTATTGGAATCCTCAATTTTAGAGGTTGATGTTTCGGAAAATAAGGAACTTGAATTGGTACGATTTGGTAGAACTCTCGTTGATGAAGGTATATTGTTTTCGTCGTCGTCTTCTTCCTCTTTTTGCTCGACAGAGTTAGTTGGTTCAGTTTTTTGAGGTTTTTCAATTAGAGTAGTAGATATTGATGATGCATGATGCTCAGTGTCGTCAGATGGAGATGATGACTTGGTTTTCTGATCTGAAGAATCATCATCTGAATCCCACTTCTCAGAGCTGTCATCATCATTTGCATCTTGGTTAATATTTGAAGAGAGTACTTCTTCAGACTCCTGTTTCAAATCATTGTTTTCTTTTTGTTTTTGTTTTTTGTTGTCGGATGACCCGTGATTGTTGTCATCATCATGAGGATCCAAATTTTTAGAAACATTATTTGTATCCTTTGAATCACTGTACTCATTTTCCTCATCGTTTAGTGATTGGCCTAATCGAAAAAAGATTCGGCCCTGCGTCATCTCACTCAGCTTCCTTCGTTGTTCTTCCATAATCTTTTTGGATGCGTCAGGATCTAATGGGGGTGGTTTGGTGAGATTGCTGCTAGGGGAATTATTGTCATTGTTTTTGCTATTTGCAGTGTTATTGTCATTGTTGGAATCCGAGAGAGAGTCGTCGTCGCCCCAATCATCGTCCGAATCCTCATCTCCCTTATCCTTGTTGTTGAGGTGATCACCGGAATTATTTTGAACAGGCTCTTTGATGATGTTGTTGATTTGAATACCTGGGTCGTTATTACTTTTATCAACTGTAGATTCGTTTTCATCACTGTCTTCCCAATCATCGTCACTTTCAAGAATTAATTTCTTGGAGTTGTTTGGTGCTTCTGATTTGGGAGGTATTGTTGATGGCGGTTCATCAAAGTCACTAAAAGTGTCATCTCCATTCTCATCATCGTTTGATCGGGAAGAGAGTTTGGTTTCTATTTGCATCATTTTTTTTGTTTCAGAGACGCAACCATTGATATTGTATGATTGAAATTATTAGTTTTATTTTATTTATCTTCTATCACCTCTTTCCTTTCTATCACCTCTTTCACCTCTTTCCTTCTTGTACTTCTTTTCAGTTCTCTTCTCAGAGAGGAATTTGGAGTGTTCAGCGAATGGAGAAATTGGAGTTGGGTTGACATTCCACAAATCTGGAGTCTTGAAGTGATAAGTCTTCTTAATAGCTTGGAAGGTGGCAGAAACAAAGTTAGCAAGAGTCTTGGTGTGACCAGATGAGGAAGTGAAAACATCAATGTAACCTCCCAATGACAAGAGCTTCTTTGGAACAGGTGATGAAACCAAACCAGAACCACGAGGAGCAGGAATCAATCTGACTCTGACTGAACCGCATTTACCGGTCAACTTACAAGGAACAGTGTGTGGTTCACCGATCTTGTTACCCCAGTAACCCTTTCTGGTTGGAACAATTGACAACTTGGCAAGAATGATAGCACCTCTGATAGCAGTAGCAACTTCAGAAGCAACCTTAATACCAAGACCACAATGGTGTTGAGAGTCACCAATAACAACGACAGCCTTGAAACGAGTTCTTTGACCAGCAGTAGTTTGCTTTTGAACAGGAGAAATTCTCATGACTTCATCGGTCAACTTGGAACCCAAGAAGTGATCAATAATTTGGTGTTCCTTGACTGGGATGGAGTGAACAAAGATTTCTCTAATATCCTTGATTTTACCCTCTTTGACCAATCTACCGAGTTTGGTGGTTGGAACCCATGATTCCTTTCCTTCACCTTCTCTTCTTGGTCCCTTTCTGCCACCCTTTCTTCTTCTGTCGCCTCCCTTTTGGCCGAAGGTTCCTCTGCTTCTTCTTTCCTCTGGAGCACCAGTGGTTGCTGGTTTAGCTTGAGTTTGTTCTGACATGATTTTGGCGTATTTTTTTTCAACAAAAATTTTTAAAAATTTTAGTCAACCGCAAAAATAGTTTACAACGAAATAGACAAACTCAACAACTCATCATTCCCTTTCAATTCAGAGAGGGAAAGCACAACCAACAAACTATTTCCCCAAGCATCATCAGACTCTGTGTTGTTACTTGGCCATCCATGAATACTGTGTTGTACAGCAAGAATCCTCCTGTTCACAAACACCATTCATGCAACGACATTTCACCTCTCACAACAAAGAACCCATCAAAGCTCATGTCGTTAACGACACGAAACAACTGAAAACTGAAAACTGAAATCTCACCAATTTGTTGATGTTTTAAAAAATTCAAAACGAAGAACGTTCAAGCGTTAGTGGTGGGGTGAGTGATTCCTCTTGTGTTGTGGTTACTTGCCAAACATCAAAGATCATCAGAATTTAAATTTCTTGCATAATATACTTCTTCGACTCTTCTTCTAGGATTTCTTCATTGAAAGTTCATCAAAGGGGAACCAACCGATCGGATTGTGTTCATATTATAAAAACTATTATTGGTCTCTTCTCTATTGTAATCATATAAACATCATCATCGTAAAGATACAAATGGCTCCAAAACAAAGTTTAGATCATGTTCATGAAAAGATTGTAGTTTTAGGCAGCGGAGGTGTGGGTATGTTTTTTATCAGAATCGTTTGAATTCAATTTATTGTTACAAATTTTGAAAACATCAGGAAAGTCAGCTGTTATCCTTCAATTTATACAATCGGTATTTGTTGAGGTTTATGATCCAACACTTGAAGACAGTTATAAAAAGGAAATAATTATTGACTCAACGCCTGTCACTCTCGAAATTGTTGATACAGCTGGACAAGTATGTTTCATTATGATGACTTTTATGATGATTGACCATTATTTTAATAATGTTTCAATAATTGAACGACTTGTCGGAATTGTTTAGGAAGAACTCACAAGGTAGGTAAACAGATAGGAAATTTATTATGTGAGACTAGAGGTGGTGACTTTAATGAAAAATCACACTTGTTTCCATTTCAAAAATTGATCATTGATTTTTATTAAAACGCAGTCTAAGAGATAATTATGTAAAAACAGGAGATGGATTTTTATTAGTTTATTCAGTGACATCAAGTCAATCGTTTGAAGAAGTTGTTGACCTGATTGATCAAATACTACGAGCAAAGAATATTGACCCAGGTTCACAAAAAGATATGCATTCTCTTTCTGCTGTAATTATAGGAAATAAGGCAGATTTACAAAATGAAAGAGCAGTTCCTTATCAGTCTCTTCAAAAACTAAGTGAAAAATATGGAAACAAAATTTCAATATTTGAAACATCAGCTAAAAACAATGTAAATATTGAAGAGTGTTTCATGACTCTGGCCAGAGAAATATTTAACAAAAAAACGGGACGTCAACCTGTGAAAAAAGATCCAACAGGAACTACTGGAGAATCAAAATCATGTTGCATATTAATGTAAATACAATCATCATCATTTTAATAACATATCATGTTTCCCTTAATTTCAATTATAATACATTGGTTGAGATCCATATAAATTTGAACACAGATGGTGAAAACCATCTCAATGATTCGTGCAAAATCAAAGGCTTTCGAAAGAGGTTGACCCTATTTCACATAACAAAAAATGAGCAACGAACATCAGACAAGAAGAAATCATCATCACAGATACCCAAGCTATTATTCACAAACGTCTCAAACGGAAGAAATGAATCCTCCTCCTTCTCCGATAAGCTTGCAATCAGCATTGAATGGACCAATATTTCATAGCAATTTGAAACATGACAATTCATCATCGGAAGAGAGATCCTCATTGTTGCGTTCAAAAGACAAAAAATCACTCAATGATTTACCACCAGAAGAACTTGAAAAGAAATTTATGGAAGAGGAAGTATCACATAGTTTTCAGCTTATTGTTGTCACATCTGTGGTGGTTTGTTTTTTGGCTCCCTGTTTATCATTTTTACCATACTGTTTCATGTGTAAATATAGAAATTCTCCGTCAGAAATTGGTAGGTTTATCAAAGTGTTGAACAATTAATAATAATAATTAATTTTCACATCTCAAAAGCTAAAGCATACTATAATATTTCAAGAGCAATTATTGTCATACTCATTTTCATTTTCACATTACTTGTATGCATGATTGCCATTCCATCCTCAATAGGTCTTTCGCTGTATATCAATATTAAAAGAGCAACATGATTTTATTTTCTTCTTCTTATTGCCTTAATGGGTTTTCTTTGGTCTGGAAATTCAGGTTGAGCAGAACTGGCATTGAAAGGATTTGGCATTCCAGAAGAGAAAGCATTTGTTTGTGGAGGCCCAAATGGAGAGATGGAAGGAGTTGTTGGTGTAATTGCAGAAAATGCGGCAGGTTGAGTAAAGCTTGTTGCAGAAGATGGGAAATTCATTCCAGATTGATGCATAGCAGAGTCATCTTCGAGCATTGAATTGCCTCCAAAGCTAGGTGTAGTTGTTGTTGGTTGAGAAGAAACACTACCGAATGAAAAAGTTGTACCTTGATTTGGAATTGCAAAAGAAAATCCAGTAGAAGGAGGTTGATTGCTTGGAGCACCAAAAACAAACTTATTTTGAGTAGCTCCTGAAGATGGAACTTCTTGTGCAGCAGGTTTAGCACCAAAAGTGAAACCTCCAGAACTAAATGTTTTGGATGCATCTATTGCTGTTGTTTGAATCGATGAGCCACCAAAAGAGAAACTGGACTTGACTTCGTTTGATGCTGGTGTATCTGAAGAGGTGGATCCAAATGCAAATGATGTTGGTGGCTTAGAGTCTGCTGAGGTAACACTGGTTGGAGGTGAGGCAGCTCCTGTCGATGTTGCTCCAAATGAAAAGCCAACATTTGAGGTTGGAGTAGTTGAACTTGAATCTGACTGTTGTGGTTTCGGAATGGATCCAAATGAGAAAGAAGTTGGTACACTTGTTGATGCTTTTTCTGTGAGACTGCCTCCACTACCTGTACTAGTGTTGTCCGTGGATGAAGTTGGCTTATTGAAAGAAAAGGAGATTCCTGAAAATGCTGGTTTGACTGGAGGTTGTTCAGTTTGTGACTTGTCTTCGAGGGGTTTTGCTGGTTCTTCCTTGGAGGCAGAGCTACCGAAAGAGAAATTAACTGGAGTAGTCGTTGTGGGCGCACTTGAAGCTATATTCGCTCCTCCAAATGAAAATGATATGCCAGATGATGTTGGTTTATCACTGCTTGAACTTCCAAATGAAAAAGAGATTGGTGCATTGGTATCACTTGTTGTTTTGGTGGAAGTCGAACCTCCAAACGAAAAGCTTGGGGTGAATGATGTTGGTTCATCTTTCTTTTCAGGTGGAGAGGGTGTGACAGAGAAAGAGGGAGTTGTTGTAGATCCACCAAACTTGAGACCAGTCGTTTCTGTAGTGTCTTTCTTTTCCTCTTTTGTCTCGGTTGGAGGGTTTACAGATTTTTGTGGTACAAAAGCACCTCCGAAATTAAGACCCCCACTCCAGGTCAACTCTTTCTTCTCTTCGGTGGTCTTTGGAGGACCAAAGCTGAATGAGATGGATGAAGTAGGAGGTTTGAAAGTTACAGACTCATCTTTCTTTTCTTCAGTTGCCTTTGTTGAAAATCCAAAGCTTGGAGCAGAGCTAGTGGGTTGTGTTGCTGTGAATACAAATCCTCCGTTTGTTTGTGGTTTTTCAGAGTCAGCTTTTGTCAATGCTGAGGGTTGGGCAAAATTGAAGCCAGTGGCTGTCGATGTTTCCGTTGTTGTTTCAGGAGATTTTGGTGGAATTACAGATGTCGATTCGGCCTTCTTTTCAGGTTGGCTGATAAACGAAGAGAAGACAGAAGAGAATTTTGGTCGTTCGACATTTTCACTCTTCTTTTCTTCCACCTTTTCTTGTTTGCTTTCTTCCTTTTGAGGTATGGTAGCACTTGCAGAGGGGAATGAGACGCCTCCAGTCGGGAAGGTAAACTTAAATCCAGATGGTTCTTTTGGAGCTTCTTCTTCTTCTTCGGATGAAGATGAAATTGAAACAGGTGTAATGGATCGATCCGACTCATCTGGAATAGATGTGGATGCTTGTGGCTCCTTTGTTGTTACTGGAACTGCTGTAGAGATTGTTGTTTCATCCTTCTTTGGCTCTAAGGCTTCAGGCTTTTTAACAGCAGGATCTGATGGCTTTGTGAGGAAGTTAAACGAAAAACTTGGTTTTTCTTGTTGAGGCTTTTTTGTTTGCTGCGAAGTGATGGATGAAAGTTCTTCCTTTGGTGTTTCTTTCGTCTCGCTGATTATTTCTTTCTTTTGTTCGACAGCTGGTTTTGTGGTGGAGAGTATTTCACTAGTAGTAGTTGTTGTTGTTGTAGGCTTTGGAGTGATTTCTTTCATTTCAATGTCTTTTGGTTTTTCATTCATTACCAATTTTTCAGTAGTGGCAGCTGAAGGTTTCGTAGAGTTGAAGGTAAAATTGATCGAGGCAGAAGGAGGAAGGAAATTAGAAAGTGAGGGCACTTGAGAAAGTTTTTCTCTCTTTTCTCTTGTTGCTTCTTCAAAGGTCTCTTCTTCTTCTTCCTCCTCTTCTTCTACTGGCTCTGCTTGCTTACTTTTTCTGGCATATGGTGTTGAGTCTTTTCTAACAATATGCTTTCTTTTGATTGGAGTGGCTTCATCGACACTGGTAGCGAATTTGGCAGTTTTGACTGGTTTTTCGGGTTTAGTAACTTCTTTCTTTTCAGCTAATGGAGCTTGCTCCTTCTTTCTGGATTCAACTTTTGAAGTGGATACAACATCAGTCATACTCGATGATGGAATTACATCTTCTTCATCATCATGGGGTTGAGAGGTGCTCTTTCTTAGCTTGGATTGAGTTCTTTCCACAGTAGATAAACGCATAGCTAATGGTTTTGGTGGTACTTTTTCCACGTCAATCAAAGGAGACGACAATTGGTCAAGAGTCTCTAGAATTCTCTTTGCTGTTTCGCTGTAGGTTTTTGCTCCTTGAGGATATAAATGTTTCACACGTTTTGTAGGGTTGTTTTCTGCCTCTGGTGGTATGTTTGATTTTTGTGGTTCAAAGGACTCATGCGATCGCTTTGATGTAGTAGTATCTTTCTTTACATTTCCGCGCACAATATGTGGATTTAAAAGCTCCTTTTTCTGAGAACTGAGACTTCCTGGAAACAAGAGCCTCTTCTTTGGAATTGGATAGATTGTGTTGCTGAAATGGCCATTATGTTGTGAATCCTCTCCACTTGTTTTGATAGGAGATGTTGGGAAATTGAAGGCTGATTGCGGTGCGCGATTTTGTTGTTGAGATGAAACTCCAGAATGATTACTTGATGTTCCTTTGATCATAGATCGAACTACATCTGTTGGGGTTTTGTTTTCCATACCTAATGATGACGATTTCAATTTGGAGTGGTCATCTTCATCTTCAATAGATATAATATCGTTATTAAACTCCGAATGAACAGTGGCATTAGTGCTTAATCCGAGATCGGTATTTGCAATGCGAGAGTAGTTTCCAATATTTTGTTTTTTAGCCTCAACGGCATCATGAACAATTTGCCATAAACTTGGACAGCTTGATGCCATTCGAATTTCTTCAGGAGATGCTTGAGGATAGAGTTTTAAAATTTGATCAACATATTCTTCGTCTACTTGTGGTTGTTCCGAGAATTCTTCATCCAGTCTACTCTCATTGCTCAATGTTGTTTCTCGGCTGCTGCTCTGCACGCTCTTTCTGGATAGCCATGTTGTTGGGATTAAATTTGTGAAAAATTTAGCGAAAGAAGAAAGAATGGAACTTCTTTCTTGTGTAGGAGATGGAGTTTCTTGAATTTCTGTTGTTGCTGATGATGCCGCAGAAGCAAGAATAACATCTGCAGGATACGGATTGGAACGTCGAGCTGTGAATTTGCGCTCACGTCGTTGCATTTTTTTTTGAAGTTGCTTTTGAAATTGTCTGCCGCCCGTTTTAATTTCTTGGCTTTCAGTATGCTTCACACAGATTGAAGAAATGACCACCGTAGGAATAGATAATATATTTCTCAAATCATCATTTTCAAAATTATAATTTATTTACAAATTTATAGAAATTTTACGTAATGTACTTGTTAGCTAATTGTTTCACCCTATTATCGAAATCTTGAGAAGTGATCGGAGAGTACAATTCATAGAAAGGATTCATTTGAATTTTAATGTAGAGTTCAAAGACATCACTGAAGAAATTCTTGATGGTGTCGTCGTTTTTCTTGTCATTCTCGAATAGTAATAGAAATCGGACATCTTCATTAAAAAGAGAATTTCGTAATCAACTTTTTCTTCTTGTGAACTATGAATCATTACTTACTTCCAGCAGTAACAAATCCATAAATATTAAATTCATTAAATTTGTCAATCGATTTTAAATACAAATTATTGGTTGTCCATTGTAACTCTTCCACAACATCCAGAGAGGCGTGTAAAACAAATTGTTTTAATTGGGATTGATCAGTTCGCTATCGGAGATACACAATTAATTCATTTTCATTCGTTCGGATGATACAATACCTTTGACGTTGAGATTTCCAATTCATAGATCGGGCAATCTTTAGCAACAATCACAAAATAAGCGTTGATTGGCATGATGACAGATATTATTTTTTATGTGGAATTTATTTATGGTAAAATAAGACTTAGGGCATCATGAAACACAAATCGACATTCTTCAATCCAGTTCCGATATAATATCCTCCAAACACTTGAGATTGAAGTCTATGATAAAAAACATAGCCAGGCCACATCAGACTTCTCACTACAACAACATTTAGCAATTCTTCATACTGAATTGTCCAACATCCATAAGGAATGTCATCATCGATTGAATCTGCAAAATCTAAATTCTTGTCAATGAATTGTTGAGCAACAATGTTCTCCAAGGTCTTATCAACAGGAAGTCTTAAATGTACAAAATTATACAACTTTGCTGCCTGATATTTGTCTAGCCCAGAAAAGGTTGTATTTTTAACAATGACCTTGTCATCGTCCTTTTTTACAACATATGCTCCCCTTGGAACGACGCTGGCGTCTTGGTCTATTGATTTTACCGTCCACGTTAACCTTTTTTCTTCTGTGATCGTAAATGTTTCGTCCTTAACTGGTTGTTTAGGTTTCTCTGAGTGACTCTCCTCTTCCTCTTTTTCTTCATTCGATTGTTCATCTTCGTCACCTTTTGAATCAGAGTTTTCTGTTTGTTCCGATTGTGCTTCCGGTTTTTTCTCGGGCTCTTTGGCCACTGATTCTTTTGGTTTTTCAAATACATACGAGTGGGTAGGGATTCCAACAAACAAGGTTCGAATTGTTTCAATGCAACTTATTTCGTATTCAGTGAGTTCGAATGTCATTTGATTCCAGGTAATACCTCCATCAACAGAGTAAAATCTAGTTCTTTCTCCCATCATGGAGCCGCGATATCCTTCTGCGATGAGATAATCATTTTGAAGACCCTGAATTTTTCCCCAGAAATGTACAGTATGAAAATGATTGTTTTCTTGGAGAATCAGCAAACTGCTTTGTAGGGCAGTTTTTTCTTCCAGGTTCAAACAATACCCGTTCAGAGAGAGAAAATGCGAGTGGGTTGGAAGGTCCTTGTGGTCCATTATTTTTTTTAAAGTTGTTTTGTAAATGATTTGGGCGCCAGAATATCAACACTCTCGCACCACCAATGGCAAAACAAAACAATCATCCACCAGGTGAATTGACAAAGTTAATTATTGGCCAAATTGGGTCATCTCACCTTCAGATCTATCACACGTCGGCCAAACACATTTCTAATCTTTTATTGCTCATCTTTCTCTGTTTTGTTGGAATGGTCAGTGTCAAACGCTCGACATCGAATGCAGTTAGACCGACAATCTAAAGGGAAATTTAAGTCCTCAATATCTTCTTCATGTAAAACATTCACGATAACGTTTTTTCCTTCTTCAAAGGTACGCTTACCAACATGATCTTTGGCACCTGCCATATAAGAGGCAACGTGAGAATGAAGACATTTGATAGATGTTGGTACAGAAACACCAGCATTACCATATCGTTTTCTTTGGGGTGGTAAATTAGTCAAATCTTTTTCGTATACTGAATACTTCCACATGATAAATTCTTCAGGTGTCAAAAGAGCTGTATCCTTATCAATTCCTTCCGTTATTTTTGCTTTGTTGGAAAGCCAGTCATCATAATTTTTAAAGGTTTCCATAAGTAAATTAGTTGTTTCTTTTTCTTCAATGGATGTACTAGAATCTTCTTGCTTGGTCTTTTTCTCACTGGTTTGAGGATTTTGAGCTTTTCGTTTCTCCTTTTTACTTTTAGGAAAATTAAGATCAGCTCCAAATTCTTGTCTTATTATGTTGAATTCGTCACTAGTTTCAATCTTGTCCACTATATGGTTGACTCGTGGGCAAGTCAACCATAAAAATGTTCCCGGTACAAAATGATTGTTGCCAACATTCTTTTCTAAATTCTTGCTTGTGAAAGCAAATGTTACTTGGGGATATCCCCATTTGCATCTTTTGACAATCGCACTTGGTGGAACAACTTTGGATTTCTTGTTGAGTTGCTTTTCCACAATTTCGATATCTTTTGTTGATGGCCTAGTGATTTTTGTTTCGTTCCATCCTACCAAATCGAATGGATGTTCCGCTTTTTCTTCAGTTGATGCACTATTTGAATTATTTTCGTTGTTTATCATTTCGTTTTGTTTCGTGATGGCGGTGGTGGTGCTCCGAGTCTCGTCCTTTGAATGTCTATTAGATATATCTTGATGGTAACAATATTCGGAATGGTGATGATGTGATAATGAAACTCTTTCCGTATTTAAATGTTGATTTTTCCAGATGCGAGTGTTGAGCCTTGTGAGGATGCTGCTGAAAGAAAGCCGAACTGCTTCTCTTTGAAAAGGCTCTTGTGGTGCAAGAAGGAAATATTTTTTCATCACTTTTGTTTTGAGATGCAAAACAAAATACCACTCTCTCAAGCGCCACACGTGGACCATGAACCAGCATACCTTCCGTTTGATCCATGCACTGAACAACAACAACAACTCTCATTTAACGGAAAACACAAAACTATTACAAACAATTTATGAAAATGCTCTAAATTGCTACGAGTTGTTGGATGATCCTAAGAAATATTTATGTCTTTCCGAAATCAAGTCTATCTCTTCATCAACATCGGATAAAACCTCCGTGATGGATATTTACATGCAAAGTATGAGACAGTACTTTATCAAGAATCATGTCCCAATATTTAATTCAATTTCCAATGTAGATTCATTGGTAAATACCATTCAAAATATCTGTTTAATTGTACAACGCTATATTCAATTTTTTGAAATGTTAGAAAATTATTTAGAAATTGATGATGGAAGAATGAGAGAAGAATTTATTGTTTTTGTTCAATCTACCCTCTTTTACAAATTAAATATAGATCAAAGAGAGTATTTAATTAAGAAGAATATCTCCGAAGTGTTGGTTCAGTACTACAGAGCTACTTTTATGGCGTTTGCCTCAACCATAGAGTCTGAAGAGACAACTCTCGAAGCGGAGAGTGTCATTGAAAACTTTAAATTATTCTCAGATCAAGTTCGAATATTGAGAGCGAACTTCATGAATTCGATAATTTCTAACAGCTGGATCTCTTTCATGTTCTCAGCCATTAAGGAAAAAATCACAGAAGTTGCAACTATGGATTTTGAACAAGAAATTCTCAGTTACATACAGCAATGGAAAGAACAAATTATATATCCATATATGGATATGTATTTTTGCAACAACGCTTCCCATGAATTGTTCAATACCCTAAAATCTCAAGTAGATTATTTCGTTTTTGAAAATTTAGCGAAAATAAGGTATGTATTGAATAAGATCTTGATTCGTTGGTGACATATATTTGTTTGTGTAATGCATACAGGATAAAACAAATATTTAACATGATCATTGATTTCCCAACAAGCCAACAGGCAATCTTGGATTTAAAAGATTGTTTGAATCATTGTGGTATGCATCAAGAGTTGGTTGAAGAACTAAACAAAAGGTGAGTATGAAGAAGTATAATTACATGAGTCGAGGATAACTTCAATAATGGATATAGTGTGAAAAATAGACTATTAATAGCTAGTGTAGAAACTAAGAATATTATCATGGCATTTATTAGGATTATAAAATCACTGTTAATTATTGATCCAACTGGTATATCTCTAGATTCTGTATCGTTTCACATTAAGGACTATCTCAGAGAAAAGAGGCCAGATGCTGTTCGTTGTATTGTCAATGAAATGATCGATGAGCAAAACGAATCAGCACTGTATCATGAACTGCTTACTTCAGATCCTCCACAGAGTAGTCTCGACTATGACTCTGATGATGCAGAAGGTGCTTCTGAAAATTGGAATCCAAAACCAATCCATCCTTCATGTAAGTTCTTGATAATAGCTCAAATGTATCAACCATTTGTTTTTGTTATACGTTAGCATCCAAATCTAAATTGGAAAAGCCTGATATTATCAAAATATTTATTGATATGTTTAAAGGAAATAGAGAAATATTCGTCAATGAATATAGGACGATATTAGCAGAGACACTATTGAAGAACGAAAAATATGAAACCAATAATGAAGCTAAAATGGTGGAATTGCTGAAAATTAGATTTGGAGAAAAGAATATGCAAAATTGTGAAATTATGCTAAAAGACATTTCCGATTCGAAGTTTCTCAACTCTGGAATTCATGCAAGACTTTCGAATAGAAACGATTATATTGAATTATCAAATGAAAATCTCGCCGAGATCACCATTCAACCTGATTCACAAATTCCAAGTGTGTTTATGTTATCAAAGAATTATTGGCCTCAGCAACTTTTTAACCAACATTCCTCACTGCAGGTTCGTCCATCGGACGAAAATAAGACCATGATTCATTTGCACCCATTTGTGGAACAATTAATGGAAGAGTATGCTGCACAGTATAATGCCATCAAAGCACCTCGTAAGCTGTTATGGGAAAAACAACTAGGCTCTATTGATTTTGATATTGAAATTGGTGGAGAGGTGGTCTCGTTTGTCCAAATTCATCCAATATCGGCTTCGATTCTCTTCCATTTTTCTGACAGAAATGAGTGGTCCAAACGAGAAATGTGTGAATTAATGAATGTTGACGAGAAGCAATTCCAGAAGAGAATCTCAACATGGACAAAGCGAGGAATAATTATTGAGAATGGTGATGATAACCTTAGATTGGTGGACAACCTATCAGCATCTCTTAATACACAAGTTGAGGATGACAATATGGAGGAGTCATCAGCAGCTCAGAATCCAGAAGAGGCTATGCGTATTTATCAAGACTTGATCATTGGCATGCTTAACAACTTTGATAGTATGCCCTTATCAAAAATTCATAACATGTTGGGAATGTTTCCGTTGGATCCTCTTCCTCCATTCGATAAATCCTTGACAGAACTGGGAGCTTTTCTTGGTATCTTGGTGAAGGAAGGTGTGCTTGAGTGTGACAGTGGTGAATATCGAGTAAAAGCTTGAAAACAAACTATTTGTACAAGAAATAATTTATCTTCGAGAAACAAGAGGGAGTGTAGTGGATGTTGCTTCACTAACATCATCAGCTTCATCTTCAGAATCTGTATGAGTTTCTTTAGCTTCTTCATTCTTTGCTGTTGAGGTGGATGGAGTGGATTCATCCGCATTTCGTGGTGTAGATTTGGCAAAAAGGACTTGGATCAAACCTGTGGTAATCTTATAGAACCAAATAATGTTAAGAAGTGAAATGGAAATAACCATTAGCCATACACTAAGAATCCATCCAATTGGGAATGAGCACCAGGTCAAAGAATCAGCTAAAATAATATAGGGCATGTAGAAGCAGAAGGAGATCCTGACAACTCCAAAAGAAGCCCACATCAGAATTCCATTGTATGCATATAATTTTGTTGATTTCATATTGCATTTTGAAAGGAAATATCTTTGGTTTACGAATGGAGTGGAAATCTCTGTGAATAACATTAGAACGAGCAATACGACACACTTTTCCCAGAGCATGCTTCCAATGAGAGCAACAAATGAAGTGGTATGATGCAAAATCGTCTCCATTCCTCCCAAATGTGGATAATCAGCTGCAACAATAATCAAATCATATAAAAAGTAACCAGCACAATAAGTCAAAAGAAAAGTACATATTGGTGCTGACTTGGCCAATATTCCATTATAATTATCTGTTGGTAAATATACAGAAAAAAGACAATAGAATGATAATACAGTTGCAATAATGGCATGAACGTTGGAAACAATTCTGCTGTTCCATTCCTTCCTATCCATGTCGGAGTTGAAAATCTTTTTCCTAAAAGTACTGCTGTATTTCTTTGAAAACCAATCAGAAAATACGTAGTAAAGTAAGCTATGGAAAGCTACGCTCAATACCATGACGATTGGAATCATATATCCACGATAGGAGAGAAAATGAAGTTCATTTGAGAATAAACCTTGTTGTACGTAGGACCTCCATCGCTCAAGTGGTGATTGAGTTTCGGAAATGAATCCACACAGGTAAGAGGATGATGATGAAGCCATTGAATGGTAGTGGTGATGATGATGATGATAATGAGTGAAGTATAATAGAGCCTCTTTTTTCTCAAGAGAACAATAAATATAACCGATAAATATGGAAATACTATTAAAATATATAGTGAAAAGGAAGGGGGTAGGTACACAATGGAGAATCGGGTCAGAGCAATGGAATGAATCTTTTCCGACTGCAACGGTTAACCTTGAATTTCACGAACCAACGAAATGTAGAGAGAGGCTAAAAGATCAATTTTTTTTCTTCCAAGAGTGAAAAAAGAATGAAGAGGAACAAGGTCAGGGAAATTTTCGGTTGCCGCTCTCTCGAATCTTTTGGAATAATTCGAAATGGAAAGTTATGAGTTTGACAAGATGAGCTCTATTCTCTCTTTATTACAGTTGAGTGAGTACGGAAATGTCGTTAAAGCCACTTCTCACATGAATACCATTTCGTTTTCTGGCTATTTCTTCTTGCTTTCGTTTGTTGCTCGTTTCACTTGTGGTGATGATCGTGAAGTAGGCACCTGTGGCCACTGACTGCACTTCCACACCTGTGAGTCGATTGATTTTTGGCATGTGGTAGGGTTCAGTCTGTCCTAAACTTTCTCCTTCAGAGAGCGGAGCCACCGAAGTATCCTTAATCTTGTTAATGTTTTCAATGTCCTGATCATAACCACATTGACCATAAAAATTCCATCCTACCGAATACAAGTCTCCTGTGGAGGTTAAGAGCACCAAATGATTGGAACCTGTGGAAATGCTGGTAATGTTCTTTGGTACTGAAGTTAATTTGGTTGGAGTTTTCACTGTACGACAATGACCCATTCCAGTCTTACCACTTGAACCACAACCAAAACAATAGACTGAACCATCCTCGCACAGAACTGCATTGAAATTTGATCCAGCACATACTTGAATGGGATTTGTGGATGGATTTCTCTTTCCACAAAAGAATGGGTGAATGACTGGTACATTGGTGGTTGAAAAGTCAGGTGAGGATGAAGACGACGAGTGTTTCTTACTTGGAAGAGCCAATTGACCCCAGTAATTAGATCCACAGACCCACACATCATTATTGTACAAGTTTGGATTGGTGGATTTTGTCAAGAAGATGGTATGCCAAGCGCCACCTTCAGCTTCCATGAGTTCACGACCTCTCAATTCCACAATTTCGGTTGGTTCATAACAATGAGTTCCTTCATAGGGTATTGTCGGTGGGAAGTTAGTTGTGGTAGTGGTGGTAGTGTTGGTGGTGGTATTCGATGATGTTGATGAATGAGAGGAATAAGGTTTAATAAAACCAATTCCTAATTTACCTTCATCTCCTTGACCCATGGCATAGACTCGCAAGTCACAGGTAGCAACAATGGAATGCCAAAAGGCTTTACCAACATAGTACGCTCTCTTTTCCTTGAGAATACCTCCAAGGAGTTTGGGAGAGAATAATCCTGAAGAATTTTCTGCCTCGAGTGGATAGGAATTCTCTTCTTCATGGTTCTTGTGAGGAAGAGGAACATCAATGAATTCAGAACCCATTCTTCCATGCAATCGACATCCACTTCCATACACTCTTCCACTTTCACTAATGAAGAGAGAGTGGCGTCCACTGGCATTCAAAGAGACAACCTTTTCTGGGAATTCAATTTTGTGAAATGGTTGGACTTCACAATAGTCAATTTCACCTCTCTCATTTCTAGTTTTGAACACCTTACTACTCGAACCAAATTTTCGAGTTCCAATTTGGCCATACTTATTCCAACCAGCGCCATAGACCTCATTATTTTCTGTTAAAATCAAGACATGATATCCACCACAACTCAATTGCTTAATCTTTGTGTTTCTCAATTGTGGGACTTCCCTCCAACGAGAAATGATTGAACATTCCTTCGCTGGATCTCCATGAATCGTGGAATGATCATCATGGTGATTGTTGTGATGGACCATTTGAGGGTTGTTGTTGTTCGATGAAGAGGAGGAGGTGGTGGATGATGCTTGGATGTTTTGATGGATGTGGGCCAAATGGCTATTACTTGTTTGAGAGTTGGTTTGAGTCGTGCTCAAAAAGGGTACAATTTGATTATTGAAAAGATTGGAAAAAATTTGTTTCAATCGTTGCAAATTTCCATTCGAGTCATTGGTTGGTGTCACTTCAAGGTCATTCTCACTAAAATCATAACCTAATAGACCAACAATGAACACTCGATGATCTTCACCGTACTTGGCAATGGTTCGGTTTGTAGAATCAAATCTTGGGCCTTTATATTCATCCTTTGGCTTCTTCTTTTCATTCTTGGGAGTGGAAGGTGAAATATCCATTTGATCTTCAAAGGAGCCAATTACATTGGACATTTTCATCTCAAAACTTGAGTCCAATTCAAATTCGGCATTGGAGTCGAGTAACTGGTTTTGGATTGTGGAAGAATCATCCATTGAAATATCCATTTTCCTTTTCTTTGATTGCTGATTGACAACAGCCATGGAAACGTTCGAGAAGGACAAAGACAATGCAGCATTACCCTTATCACTACCTTGAGGAGTTGTGTTCTCCATGGATGTCAATGCATCATTATCTCTTCTTCTTCTTAATTGAGCTGAATCTTGTCTGTTGATCAAGAGAGTAGGAGACGAAGTGGAAGGTGAAGAAGATGAAGAAAGTTCAAAAGGAGAGGTTTGAGGTGAGAAAATATCCGACATGATGTTGTTATTATTATTACTTCCAGAACTTGTTTCAATAGTATCAGAAATGGTGATAATCTCCTCACCTTGTTGCTCTTGCATTTGTTTCGATCTCAATAAATTCGAGTGAGCGGTAGTAGTGGGGAGAATGTTCATTGTGGTCGAATGATGAATCGAGGATCCAGCTGCGGATGGTCGAGGGGGTGTACTGACGGAAGGAGAGATTCTAAAGAGCATATGAGAGTCAGAGAGAATGGATGATGTGTTGTTGTTCTTTACAGAGGTAACAGAAATTAGAACTGGTGGATCGTTAGAGGTTTGAGTGGTGATAGTGGTGATAAAGGATGAGCTCAACTGGTTAGAAAGGTTCGTGCACGAACGCGAGAGTTGACGATTATGAAATAATTCCCTCAATAATATCCAGAAGTGACTCACTCTTTCAAGAGAATGGAGTTGGCAATTTCTTTTTGAATTCCTTTCAAAAAGTGGGTTTGGGTGCTGGTGATTTGAGAGGTGAGTTTGTTCAAATTTGTTGGTTGTTAACTCTACAGAGATGCACGGGTTTCAGAGAAGGAGATAGAGTAATGATGTGATGAACAAGAGAGACTTCCTAATATATGAAGAAAGTGGATGTCGTCTGATGAATGAATTTTACGATAGAAAGAGAGAGACCACACGCGTACAACACCTCAAATTGGTTTCCGTAATTTTGCCGATATATAATGATGATGATGAGAAGTGCTGTAAAGTACGTGTAATACGGACTCGAACAACAATGTACAACCCGTAGAAAATTACTTGCTGTTGATGCTTTTTCTTCTTGGGATATATAAGTGTGGAGAAGGTTCTGAGGATTGCACTACAATAAGAGAGCTTGTTGATGAGGCATCATATTGAGAGAGTGATGTCAATCGGGACAAGTATTGATGTTGATGGATCTTTTGATGCAACTGTTATTTACAATAACCACTACTGTCCAGTACGTACAAGAGGTGTTGAGGTGTACAGTACAGATGATACTCTCTAGAGGATTGTTTGTTTGTATAATATATAATTTGATAAATTTATAAGATACCTATTTGAGGGTGGTTGTGGCTCCTAAAACTAGTTATTGAGGGGTTTTTCCGTTTTAAAAAAATAGAAGACCCTCAATTATAAACTCCAAAATGGTTCTTGTCTGCTCCGCGATGCCTATTATAAATCGATGAACCTGACATCAGATTCCGCGATGGTCGTCTTACCAAGTTGAAATAACTCGAACCTTATAATTATTATCAAACAACCATTTGAAGCAGTGTGAGCAGTAAGTAATCGACACGCGTGTGCATGGAATGTGGTGCCTACATGAACTTGACATGAGCATGATGTGGACCCATCTCATCATATTCTTCTCGAGACATTGCATCATAGGTAAATCTTGACATTTTACCCAATATAGAACCTCCAATCCAAGCCAAATATTGTTGTGAATCATGGATGGAATTACTAACTCTCACTTTTTGAGAGTAAGGTAAAACTTGTTGCAAGTCGTGTTGTAATCTTGTTTGAAGTCCTTTGAATTGTGTGGAACCACCAGAAAGGAATATATTTTGTGCTAGGGTTTTTCTCAAATCAATGTCTGTATCGTAGATGGTCTTTTTACACAATTCAACAATACCCAATGAATCATGATGACCTGTGAGAGAGGGATTGAATAACAATTCTGGACATTTGAATCTCTCCTCTCCAACACTGACAGAAGAACCATCAGGTAGTTCATAATTCACAACAGTTGGATTCAAAGTTGTAGTACTTGTTTGTTGAACTTCACACAATTCTTCTTTCAAACATTTTACAATTTCAAAAGCACTTGTTCCATTTTGAGTAAATGGGGAATTCTGTCTTTCATTCAACAATTGGATCATGTAATGAGTGAGATCTTTTCCTGCCAAATTCAATCGATTCACTGCATGAGGTAATGAGTAACCTTCATAGATGGGTACCACATGACTCACTCCATCACCAGAATCCAAACACATTCCAGTGGTTCTTCCATAAGCGAATAAGGCTAATACCGCAGATTTGGCCATGTACAAATATGGAACATCAAAAGTTTCGAACATCATTTGAGTTTGTCGTTCTCGTTTGGCTCTTGGATTATCAGGAGATTCAGTCAAGAGCACAGGATGATCTGAAAAACTTTCCAAACCAAGACGATCTTGTGTATATTGAAGCATCATTTCACAATCTTCAAAGTTTTTGACAATTCCTTTCTCTACAGGGTAACTCAATGAGAGAAGACTTCTCAAAGCTTGAGCACCATCACCAAAGTATAATTGTTGAGACGGGTTGGTTGTTGTTGTTGTTGTTGCACGACGACCTACATAGTGATGATGATGTAGATGATGTACATTCATCATCATTCCTTTAGCAATACTGTATTCTTTCAATCGTCCAATCATGTTACAAAATACTGCACTTGGATATTCTTCATCGGCCAAACCAGCCTTCAACACACCTGAACCATGATCAATGACAATGGTTGGAGAAAGACCTTGAACCACTTCATAGACAAAGGTAGGTTGGGCAGAAGAGAAAGAGGGATTGGATACCTTGTAGTAGTGAGTATCATGATTCGATTCATGATGGTATTGTTCATTCGAATGAGTGACTTGTGGTGAGACTTGTTCTTCTTTCTGGAGAGTTTTTTGAATGGCTTCTCCAATCACTTTCTCCTGACAATGAGCCTTAAAGGAAGTAATAAAAAACTCCTTACTTTGTCGAGGCTCTACACTTTGAGTCTTTGAAATCACATCTTTGGTCTCTTGTAGTGATGATGATGATGGTGGTGACTGAGAGTGTAATGCAATTTGAGTAGTAGTAATAGTACGACTACTACTGGGTAGTGGAGTGTCCTCTGTGCACCCGCGTTGTGTGTGGTGGGGAGAAGAGTGGTTCGTGGAAATGGTAGGCTCTTCATCCTCGGATTTGGTCAGGTCGTTCGACGTGTTGTTGTTGTTGTTTGGTGATAATGATTCCAAGAGATGACTCTCAGCATTCCTCATCGCTAACTCAAAATGAGTGGATGATTTCTCGTCGTCGTCTTTAGTGGTTTCGAATGAAGGAATCTCTTTTTCTTCAGTTGTTGTTGTTGTTGTTGTTGTGATGAATGATGAAGTGGTCATGATTTCATTGGGGACAGTCTCACGATTCTCAATAATAATGGTTTCAAAACTTGTTGGAATCATCACTACCACCTCATCATCATCATCATCATTACTACTACTACTCTTAGATTCTTTAGAAAGATCTTTCGTAGGAGCGTGAATCCTATCACCTACCACTGGATCATGTTGTTCTTCTTCATGTAGTGATGGTGGTGGTCGATATGGTGATGATGTCATTGATTCCTGGCTGTGATTTTCATTCATTCTCTTCAATGTCTCAACTTTTTCGACATTCGTTGAAGGAATGGTTTGGAAAGGCTCATCATCTTCACTCTTTTGATTTGAGACCTCCTCATCACTGTGTTCTTGTTTCAATCTCTGTTCACCATATTGACTCGAATCATGTGGTTGAGCTTTTCTCACATTCATCATACGGGCCGTATTCGATGCTTGACTCTTATTTCTCAATAATTTACTCTTCAACATTTCCTCATCCACAATATAATCCTGTAGTTTTTCTTGTTGTTCTAACATTACTGTAGAGTTGAGATAGAATTGGTCAAGTTTTTTCTTGAATACTGGTTCTGGATCCATTTCGTTTCTCAGCTTACAACCATATTGGAGAATGGTTTGAATCCATTTCTGAAGAGTTTCTTCATCTTTTGCTTGGAATTGATGGCTTCTCTCAGGTGTGTAAATCTTGAACAAGCAGTGGTGCATTTGATCATTACAAGTGGTGGCATTAGTACCACCAACAGCAGCACATGTTACACGATTGACATAACTATCTTCAAGTTTGATGGTTCCCACTAAAGTTCCTCCCTTCTTATTGTAATATTTCAATTCATTCGATTCCAACAATACAACATGTCTTGGAATCCATTGAGATGTGTGAAGAGTGGTACCACTCGAGATGGCGTCACCTCCACTTGTTGTTGTAGCACAAGTCCTACAAGTAGTGTTTGTTGAAACATTCGTTGTTGTTGACATTGGATTTGAAACATTCGTTGTTGTTGTTGTACTTGTTGTTGTTGACATTGGAGTTGTCAGTCGTTCTTTCCATAACTTTCCACTCCAAATAACTCCATCATCGAGTTTGGTTCGACAACCACAACGTTCAAACGATTGAAACCAACTCTTCATGGAAACATAGGAAGGTGCTTCAAATTTGTACACTATGCCATCGATGGTCTCAATCATAAAGAGAAATCTTCGAGTAACGCATCCATTGTTGTCCTGTGTTGTCGTTGCAAATGGAATGATATGTGTGGATGCATCCATGTGGATTCTCGATACATTGGCATTCTCTACTGAAAATAATCCTTGAAGAGTACCTCCGAAATCTTCCAAATATCTGAATTCACGAGATTGAGTGAGAACACAATATCTCTTCTTCCATGGTTGATGATCATTTGGTCCAGCCTTAATGAGATAACCTTGTCTGAGAATGGAAGATCCTCCAGTCATGTGATTGAGAATGGTTTGAGGGTTAGCTTCAATTTGAGCACTTTCCATCACTGAATGTCCAATTAGTGTTAAATGAGCAATGGCACTCGCAAAGGTCAAGTGTTGAAGATTCGAAAACTCTGTGGTGAGCATGGAAAGATGTTCTTTCACGATGGGTTCAACTAAACAAGATGTATGAGTAGTGGTGGTGGTGGTAGGAGTGGGGTTGATGGAATCCAACACATCGTTGGTGGTTCCACTAATTTCAAAACTTGGAAATTTCACTCTTCGCTTTCTTCCTGTGGGAGGTTCTGCCAATAAATTCGAATTTGGATCAAAATATTCATGTGGATTCATTTCATTGATTTGATTGGTAAATTGGGAAACCATGCTCTCAACAATAGAAATTTGATTAAGGGCTGAATTGAGAGGAGTTGGTTGAAGGACCACCATGGATGCATTCAAACAATTTTCTGAATCACCTCCAGTATCTCCATCATCATCATCTCCACCAACAAATGAAGAGGAAGAGAAATGAGAAGCAATGAGAGCTTCTTCTTTTCTTTTGGTTTGTTCATTGAGAGAATAAAACCATCCCTTGCGAATACTTTCATCTTCAATCATAATTCTCAAGATCTTTTCCCTCGTTTCAATTTTAATACAGTTTTTATAGAGTGGATCCATGGTCACCGATGCATTGGTGAGATGAAGATTTGCTTTTAACTTTCTATTTTGGTGAGAATCTAATCATTCAAAGGATGAAGGTGTGAAGTAAAATAATAGGTTCAATCGAATAGGTTCAATAAAATAGGTTCAATAGATTCATGAATAGCATGGATTGTTTTCCATTATAAAAAGTGATTCATGAATATTAGGAGGTAATCATTTAAATACACGATCATACAGGGTCATACATAATAGTAGTGAAACAATACAAAGTGTCTCACATCATCTGCACACACACTTCAATTCTCTCTTACCTTTAATGGTATAAACAAGTAGCTCATTAACTCTCAATGCAACACCTCTTGATTTAAACTGCAAGGATGATATTCCTTTTGAAATATTCATCGTTGTTTGCTGAATGACATTTGAAAATGATCTTCTCTTCTTTTTCTTCTCAGCAGCAGTTGAGAGAGTTACTTCAATCTCTGCAGTGTCATCATGAGAATCATCCATGATACCACCACCCATGGATTGTCTTGAGGATATTTGAGAGCCATCATCTCTTGTATTGATTTGGTTATTATTATTACTCGAGGGTTGTACAAGTTGGTTCTGAGAATTTTTTTGTGGTTCATCTTTCCCTCCAATCTTCATCATGGTATTCAATAAATTCGTTTTGGTTTTGTCTTCAATCATGATTTTGAAAATGGCTTCTCCAATGATGGTTGTTGACAATGCATGAGAGTGTCTTGGTCGAGTAATACTTTGTTGTTGCTAAAAGTGGAGAGGTGTATCGGAATATGATCGCATGTGTCACAAAGAGTTGAACAATTGTCACCATTGTTGTATGATCATGGATGTATTGAATGAGAGACTCAACATGTCAAACTAGTAATACTTGCTTACATTTTGTAACATTTTTTTCTGTAAGATTTGTGTGGGAAAGACACAATGATGATGTTGAGTGATGGAATATAGAAAATCATTGGAACGATATTCTCTCTTGATGGTGAAACTATCATCACAATGAATCTTTCTGAATCTGTGGTCGTCTTGGTGGTGCTATCATAGTGGTCATGGTGGTCGTCGTAGTTATCTGTGGTCGTTGTGGTGGTGCTATCATAGTGTGATTCGAGTCATGGTCATGCTTATTACTTTTTATGATTGAGAAGGTTATTCTGAAGGATCTCTTGTGCACTCACAGATCCTATTCGATGATGAGAGTTGTTGTTGTTGTTGTGGTTACCACTCTGACCATCACCACCACCATTACCTTTAGATGAATTCAGAGAAGACACAAGTGTGGAAGCACTGATACATGGTGGTGGTGTGGTGGTGGTGGCTGTCAAATGATGACCACTGCTGTTAGTACCACTACTACTACAAGTACTACTACTCGAAAGAGTCATACTGCTCATGATTGGTAATACAAAAGTGGTCATTGATGAGTTTGGTAATGTATTATTGGTCATTGCAAGAGGCAACACAGGATGAGAAGAAGGCTGTACGGTGGTCATAGGACTTGTCATCACTTGATAGGGAGAGACAGTCGTACTATTACTACTGGAAGAACCGGTGATCAATGGTGCACCTCGATAGGGTTGTTGTTGATGATTCACAATGCAATAAGGACTGTGCACATTGGAAGGTAAGGAAGTTGTTACAATTTGTGTGGGTAGAGAATAGGGTGAAGGTGTGGTAGAAGCTACTAATACACTTGACATTGCATATGGACTGTTGTTGTTGCTACTGACCATGTGGATCTGTGAGCCGTAAGGATGATGATAATAATTGGAGGATGAAGTAAGATTCAAGGAACCAACCATCCGAGTAGTGGTACCACCATGACTGACACTATTACCACTTCCACCTGAACCACCACTACTACCACTACCACCACTATTACTACTACCACCAATATTACTCATAGCATAAGGACTGGAAGTGGTCATGACTCCACTACTGGTGGTGGTGGATTGTTGTTGATAACTACTACTAGTAGGGGTGATTGGAAGCATGGTGAGTGAAGATGGATTCTTGTTGTTGTTGTTGTTAGATAAGACAACACTCTTAGCAGTGGTTGTTGAAGGTTGACCCAAGAATCTTTTGCTAGTCAAAGAATTGTTCTCCTGTGTAGTGTTGGTGGTGTTGTTCATGACGGTCGTAGGAGTAGTAGTAGTAATGTTACTTGAAGGTGTTTTGATGGTAGTGGTGGAACCATCCTTAATGGCTGTTACAGTTGTTCCTGTGTTGAATGGAATTGAGACTGTCTCGACATTTTTCGAAAGAGAGAACACGGTGCTGCTGGAAGAGACACTCCCAGCAGGAGGAGTTATCGTGTTCGTTTTTCGTATGGAAAAGTTTTTGACTTTTACATGGCTGGAGGTGTTGTTGTTGCTTGCCCTATCACAATCACCAATAATGGATGCATTGGTGGACAATTTGGAACAAGTATTTGAACCAAAAGTAGTGTTGTTGGATTTAGTGTTGAGTGCAGCAGTCGTCGTCGCTCCATGATGATGAGGAGGATCCAATAATTTAACGAATCGCTTGACCTTTGTGGGAGGTTCTTCAGAAGAAGCAGCAGCAGTAGATACCGTTGTGGTTGTCGTTGATGATGGTTGAGTAGTGGTTGTTGTTGTTGTTGTGAGATTGGAGCTTGAGGTTGTTTTGTCTCTTTTTCTATTGATAGGTGGAAGAGGTGGTAGCAAGGGAGACATGTTTTGCTTATTACTAGGAGTGATGGTAGTGGTGTTTTGAGAAAGACTTTCAGTAAGTTCATTGAGGATGGAAGTTGAGCTGAGAGTTTGATTCTTTTGACCTTTCGAGGGAGATTTTGCATGCATTCCTAATGATGATGATGATGATGGACTATCATTCACAATGGATTGCATTTCTCGATCCAATAATTTTACAGATTGTCTTGTTGAGTAGCCGTGTTTTGTTGTGGCAGTTGCAACAGCATTGTGCGTCTTTGGTGGTGTTGGAGTTTTTTTGTTGGTGTCATTGTCGACATGGGTAGATTTTTCTTGACCCTTTTCAGTTGTAAAGGGTGTGGATTTAGTGGCACTTCTCCTTGTTAATTGTCTTGTTTTTGGCCGTTCTTGTTTGTTGGCTGGCTCACCTTCGACTTGTTTTGAGAGATTATTTGTAGTGGATGAGATTTTCTTTTCATTTTGTTCATTGTTGAGTGAAGAATGATTTGATTTTTCTGATTCAATCATTGATTCGTTTTGTCTAGACTGCACCATTAATGTTTTAGGATTTAAAATTTTGGAAAATTCACACAACTCTGACATTGATCATTAAGTAATAAATTAAAATTAATTATTATTAATTGTCGCAAATTAATAAACTTTCATATGTAATGGCTATTCAATACACACCTAAATGCATCACTAAATAATCAGTTAAAATGATATTCCCACAAAAATTGCATTTACAGATTGATATGTCATTCAATGATTTAAAATAGCTGAATGTAGAATCTAAATCTATTTGCAATAATAATTATAAAATTATTTCCAATTTTCATTCAATCATTCAACGTAAATAATATCAAACATTTCAAAATTGAATATTTACTTTTGTCATCGAATTTCTTTGCCATTATTGTTTTGTATAATTCACAAATAAATTCATCACAGTTTTTTGATGTAGTATTTAAATGATTACTTTTTTCGATCATTGATTTTTCCTCTTGACCAATTGCTCCACAGTGAATGCTCATAGGATGTCCATCCTGTTCATTTAATAATTCCTTGTTACTACCACATTCCCTATTCTGTGTTGTTGTTGGAGTTAATGTTGTATGATGATGGTGATGTTCAATAGTTGGTCCATCATCTTGAAAAGGTTCCTGATGCATCATTAATGCTGTTGTTAGTGGTGTTGTCATATGGCATGATCAGCCTCATTCGCAGATATAGAGAAGACTCACCCTCGCTCAATATTTGATCCTCGTTGTGGTGGTGGTGATGGTGGTGATGGTCGATAGGAGCCATTGAATTGGAATTCTCTGTTGCCTTTTAGTTCCAACTGCCACACACAACAACAAAGAGGTGCTGATTGCTGCCACTGCAACACTTTCAGAATTTTTTTTAAGTTTATTTGGGAATCCACGTGGATTCGTGTCGTAAGAGGCTCAGTCATGACAGAACTCTTGTTTTCTCTCACAGAGCAACTGAAGAGAGACAATTATGTTAATCTTCATCCTCATCACCGCTCGCTTGTTGTGGGCGTATTCTCATTCTTTGCATTTGTTGTTGTTGCCTCTTTTCTTGTCTCTCCAACTTTTTTCTCTTCTTTTCGGAAATGTCAGAGGCTTCTGAAGACTGTTGATTCGCTCCTAATTGTCCCATCATGGATCTACTTTGCAAGAAAGGTTGAATAATAGAGAAATAGAGTTTGTAAATTGCAAAGGCTGGAATGATTAATAATATCAAATAAAACCATCCTGAAATGATGGATGCCAATTGTACGAAACATTCCAAATAAATAATATCAAACATGTATTCAGTGAGTGATCCAGAAACATCACTCAAATCATTAACATCGATGAGAGTTCGTTGTCCATTTTCTGGGTTTATGGATTCAACAGGTTTTGCATAATTTGTAATGGATTTCAGACAAAAGAAATATCCCAACAATAGAGAAATGTATCCAATCCATTTAAATGTTGAAAAAGTATCGTAATAAAAGGCAATATATGCAAGATAAATGATCTAATAATTATTATGTTGATAGTGTTGGGATGATAGTATTCATCGGAAAGATGATAAGATCGGAATTATGATTCTTTTGTTTTCAATAAATGAATACGTACATTAACAACACCAACAGCAATGTAGTGATTCCTCAAAATTATTGCATTCGTGGTCAATCTCTTCTTTTGTTTTGAGCCAGCCATTCTAGTGTTGGCGAAATTTTTTATTAATTAAATATTATTGGAAAACATCATGGAGACAGCAATGTCAATACAAGGAGGAAATCAGCAAAAACAGAATCAAATTATTCTGCCAAGCTCTTTTCGTTTTTCACTTGTTTGCTGATTTCGTCCTTGAGAAAACATCGGCTTTAGAGCGGAAGTCACGACGATGGAGCAGTTTCACTTGAGATTCGGCCGATCATTTTAAAAATAAATACAACAAAACAAAAATTCAAAATCTTCTCGTCGTCATACGAGAGTCATCCCATCACGCCTGTTATTTATTAAACTTAAATTTCCTCTAGATATCATTCAATTATTCAACAGATATGAGCAATCAATTACCTCCCGATATTTTGAAAAGCCTCCAAATGGCTAATGATCAACAACAACAGCATCATTCACCATTGCCTCCACAACTTTCTTTTCCTTTTGGATCATTTCCAAATCAACCCCATCAAGGCTTTCAACAACCCATAGCAATGGATGAATCTCAATTCTCTGAATCGCAAATTCTGGAAGATTTGAAGAGAATACAATCAGGGCAACAACAAGGCTCATCCCCAACAACATTCAAAGCTTCTCATATCCCGGAACAACAGCAACAACAAGGTTCATCTTCTGGAACCTCTTCTCCTCATACTCTTCCTCAAGGAACACACTATAACATTCCTCGACAAGATACTCCAGTGCCAGAGGCTAAGCCAAGCAACACCAAAATGAGAAGCGAAAAGATTTTAAATAATTTAAGCAGTAGTAATATTTCACCTTCTTCTTCTCCAGGCTATGATGTATCTTACCAAACACAGAACCAAACTAACACTCCAGTTCTTTCGCCATCAACTCCTCAGCCAACAAACTCCTCTCAATCACCTTCTTCATCAATACTCCAGAAATATGTTCCAACTCAGGTGCCTGTTGCATCTGATCCATTTTTGTTTGGACCACTAGATAAGCAAAATCATGTTTACTCAACAATTTCTCTTGATTCCAAGCAAGAAAGAAAAAAGGTGAATGCAATCAAAGGAATTACTGCATATGCCACCGATCCAATATTTTCAAATGGAAAGAATATGGCAATTATATCTGATTATTTGGCTTGGACTTTGAAAGGTGGCCCAATTCGAGTTTTTAATCGAAAAGTGGGTACAAGAACTCTCTTAAAAGGACACAAACAATACGTTTCCGATTTACAACCTGGCACTGATCTCAAACTAGCCTCGGTATCCAGAGATAGATCATTGATAGTATGGAAAATTATTGAAACAGAGGAAAAGACACAAGAAGAGGACTTGAGAAATCCAAAGGAAGACCAACTTGGATATTCCAAACTTGTGCATTTAACTTTCTCGCCAAAAGAGTCCCTTAGATTCTTTAAGAGAATTTTATGGGCCCCTGGGTCTGATTCTGAACTCTGTGCTATCACAAGTGATAATCAATTGTTTTTGCTTGATATTGAAAAGCTTTATGACAAACACATAATTGAATTACGTAGCGAAAGCATCGAATCTATTGATGGAATTCGTATTTTATTTGACGATATCGATGAAAATGAGGTTCTTACAGATATTAGTTATTCCAGTGATGGCAAATATCTCGCTTGTGTATCATCATTTGGTAATATTTACCTTTGGGATAGAAGGACAAATATGTCTCTTGTTAAACAAACTAATATTTATAACAGCGAACTACTTAACATCCATTTCTGTAGTGGAACTGAAACTAATATCGAAAGATACTTTGTAACATCATCACAAAACAATTTTGACATTTCATTGTGGTATCTTTCACCGGAACTAGATATTGAGCTTATTCAACAGATATCTATTCGCCCTGAAAAATTTGATGAAAATTATTCAACCAACACGATCTCAATGGATTCAACATCTACTGCTTTATTCGTTGCCAATTTAGACTATCCTGTGTTATTTACATTGAGATTGAACAAGACAGGCCTCATTGAACAAACTGGTCATCCTCATTTTGATTGTATCGCAGAATTTGACGTCAAGTATCCAATTGTTAGTTTTGCTTGTATGACCATTGGAAGTTCATTTGGTTTATTTGCACAACAAACTACTGGTACACATTTGTTGAATATCAAGTCTTCTCAAATTCATCCTCCTCTTCAAGAAATGAACACTCCAATTCCAATGCCAGATTTGGCACATGCAACAAGTGCAGCTAAAGATCTAGTTCCTGTGAATAACAATACTGGAATAGCGGTGCGTCAACCAATCGTCTTTAATGAAACTAGTAATGTCACCGCTACTACTGGAACAAACAGTATGCCTACTAACACTTCTCCAAGTTCTACTGCTGGTGCCTCATCTTCTAATTTTGAAATTTTAGCAGAACTAAGAAGAATGGAAAGAACTCTACTGAGTCAAATGGAAACAATGATTCAAACACAAACAGAGAGACAATATGACCAGCTTTACAAGCGTATTGAGCAAGAGAGAATAGCAAGGCTGACAGAGGAAAGAAAACGTCAAAAGGAGCTGATTGAGACCATTTCATCCACCCTTTCTAATGATTTACCAAATGATATTGCAAATCTCGTCACTGATAACATTATGGATAATCTTAGAAATTCCTTGCCATACTTAATGAATGACTCTTTGAAACAATCTCTAACTGATACATCAGACGAAGGATCCATTAAAAAGACCATTCAAGACAGCTTCCAAACTGTGCTCAAAACCACAGTACTTCCGTCATTTGAAACATCATGTAGAAGAATGTTTGAACAAATCAGTAAGACCTTCGAACGTGGAATGGATGAGTTGGTAAAAACTCCTCTTAAAGAATACTGTAGAGATGTGAATAACACGACTGTGGAGACCATCAAGCAGGAACTGAAGAACTTCTCTCAGCACGTTTCGAAATCATCTGAATCATCAAGTTTGACTGATAATGCTCTAAAAGAAAGACTGCTCACACTCATTGAAATGCACAGATATCAAGAGGTATTCACTATTGTGTTAGAGAAGACTGACTTGAATTTATTGGTTTGGCTTTGCACTATTATTGATCCATCTATTTTCGAAGTTGAATGCCCACTCTCACAACCAGTGTTATTGTCTTTGGTTCAACAGCTCGGTTTTGACATTACAGAGCAAACATTTGTTAAATTGGCTTGGTTAGAGAAGATTGTAGTTCATATTAACCCTCTAGACTCTTCTATCATTGAACATGCTCACACAATTATTGAAAAGATCCACGCTACTGTTTCAGACAAGTATGAATATATCGAAGAACGTGGAAAGGCCATGGATCTGAAGACACTAAAATTAGTCCTCCACGTTCTGAACTCTTTAATCAAAGATTCTCGTGACGCCAAAAGACTTTATTGCAAATGATTCTAGTTTGCAGCTGAAAGAGAAATAAAGGGAAATCGTTCGAAGTACATGCCAAGTGAATTAAATATACAATCTGCTGTATAAGCGATAGGCAAGCTCAGCAACCTCTTGAGGAATAGAGTCTTCATAGCAAACATAAAACTCGTCCAATTTGTCGTTCATTCTTCCACAAATCCAATATCCCACTTGCGCAACGCTATTGCCAACCAGAGGCACCTTGTGGTCAATGTGAATACCAAACTCTACAATTGGATCTGCATCTTGCGACATATTCGCAATCATTCTCTTACTGTGTAATATTTGTCTTATTACTTGACACTTCAACGAGAAGACCGATGCAATGGATGAGTTGTGACTGTTATGGAACAAAATTAGACCATTAGAATTCGAATGCACCACATAACCAAGCAACACATTGTAAGGTCCTTGGGTCACAAAATGCTTCATGTTATAATTTGCATAGTTGGAAGGATCATAGGAGGAATTATGAGCATTACTGTTGTTTCCACTACCACTACTACCAGAACTGCTACTATTTGAATCATTCATAGAGCTACCTCCTCCACCTTCCCTTTGAGTGTCTAAATGATTGCCATTATTCGTAATGGATACAGTGGGAATGGATAATATATTTGCGAGTGAGTGTGATGTCTTGAATTGGCTTCTAATTTGACTGAATATACCTTTCTTTTCTAATTGAAGCAAACATGTTCTCATTTCATCAACATAATACAAATCACCTTCGTAATAAGATTGAGGATATCTCTTTGCATATAAAACACTACACATTAATTTTTCACCTTGTGTAATGACTGACAATAAATAGTCATATCCATTGTCGTGGTTTGATTGAGAGTCATTCACGGAGAGTAATCCAAATGGATTCATGTGCTCCTTAATAAATACTTTTTCAATGATTACCATTTCTGGTGAGTCTTGAGCTCTATGAATAATATTGAAATGTGTCAAGTATCGAATCACTTGTTTTGTAATATTCTTTGGTAAATGAGACAATTGTAATAAACCCTTATAGATTAAACATGTTCCAATGTTAAAACAATCTTCTTTCATAATTGTTTCTAAATTTGACAATTCAGCGTCGATGGTTTGAGTAATATGAAACGATGGTTGAAATTTCACAAATCCATCTTGAAAACTATTAACAAAACTGAAATCTCTATCATGAAACACCATTTCAAAAAATCTATTAAATATAGTATCTAATTGAGATTGATAATCTGAAATGTTTGAAATAATCTCTTCAACATCTTGATAAATAAAATCTAAAAATTCAAATAATTCATTCACATATTGTTCATAAACCAATTTCATGACATTTCCATAATTGTAATCTGAAGGTATTGGTAAATACAATAAAAATATATATTGTTTAAGCACCTTGTAGGTGACAATGAGAGGTCTTTTGTTTTTTTGAATAGTTTCTCTCAAATAAATGATATTGTTGTTACTATTTTCACCAAGATGAGGTGAAGTTAATAGAGATGGATTCATTCTTGATTCTTGTAAAAATTCAAGAAGAGATGCTTTAGGAGGTGAATGTGGTGGTTCCAATAAATTAGTTTCATTCGGTGGGAGTGGTGGTTGTGAACCAGATATTGCAACAGGCAATAAATGACTATCCAAATGGGATGGAACGGAGGAAGAAGGCATTTCGATCGGTTGTGAGAGTGGACTTGTCGATGATGATGGCGGTGCACTACCTGCCAATATAGGAGGAGAAATGATGGCTGAAGGAAGTTGTGGAATGGGAGTGTTTGGGTTGCTGTTGTTGTTGTTGGTGGTGGTGGTCATTGCTGTAGTAGGAGTTGGAGTAGCATGATGAATACTCGAATCCATTCCTATACCCATTCCTATACCCATACTACCATTCATCATACTGACACTCCTTCCAGTGGGAGTCAAATAACAAAATCTCACTTCTTCATTCAATATATCATTACATTCACCAAATACAGAGTGTAGAGTTCCTCTCAATTCTTTCAAGGATCGAATATGAATATTTGGAGAGGTAATTTCATTGGGATAGGAATAGACGAGATATTCTTCATCTTCATCAAATTTACGTTTGATAAACATGGCCATATGAGGATGATAATATTCAATATTATTATTAGAGAAGGAAGTAGATGCAGCTGCTGAGTTATTATTGGAATAGGAATGACGAGAATGTTGATGAGTGGACAGAGATGGAACGGAATGACCACTCGTAGTACCACCAACAGCAGCAGCAGTCATATGACCCAACATCATATTGGATGGAGCTGATGATGATAATGATGGAATGGATGGATGTTGTGGTGGTAGTGGTGAGGTAATTCTTGTTGTGTTGTTGTTGTTGGATATGAATTCTTCTTGTTGTTGTTCGGAAGGAGAAGAAAGGATCGAATCGGATGATGATGGTTCTTCTGAATTGGAGTTGAAGAGAGCATGGAATGAAACAGGTGGTGGTGGTAATAGATTGGAATTTGTTGTTGTGGTATTGGTGGTGGTAGGGCTTGGTGATGTTGAGGCAACAACAACAAGCCTTGTTGAGGTGTTTTTATTGTTGTTGCTGTTGTTATTGTTGATACTACTACCCGTGTGGTTGATGAGGCTCGATGAGGAGGAGGAAGAGGTTTGCATCTCTCCAAGGGAAGGACGAGTGGAAAGTGAAGAAGATGATCTACTGGATGGAGTGGTGGGTGTTGTTGGAGTTGTTGTTGTTGTTGTTGTTGGGTGTGTTGTTGTTGAGGGAAGAAGGAAGCTACTGGGTAGTCTTTTATGTCGAGTCGAAGTGGTGGTGGGTGTCAGTGGTGATGTTCCGCCTTGAGTGTTGTTGTTTTTACTAGTATTGGTAGTAGTGGGAGTATTGGTAGTATTGTTGACACTCAGAGAGGATGAAGGTGAAGCGGGCATTGCCGTCACGACTCGTTTATTATTAGGAGCACCAATCATGGTCGTTTGAACTGATAATGATGATGGAGGTGGTGTGGTTGTGATGGTCAGATTCATCATGACCATGTCATCATCATCACTATTGAGAGGTGTTGATGGAGGTAATGAAGATTGGTGGTTGTTGTTGTTGCGATCATCATCAACGGTGGTGGTGCGATGAGTGGTGGTATTGACGGTGGTCGCCCAGTTGGTTTTCGACATTTTTTGATCGACAGATTCCGCTGTCATCCAACAAGGACTCATCCAACAAAAACCCACACAACAATCATCATTGTTTTTAAAAAAAACTTTAATGCATGACGAATGAAATTTGTTGAATCGATAGATTCAAATCACTACATCATTGTGTTGTTGAATCGATAGATTCAAATCATATATTGCTCACATCTCAACTTTCTCATGTTGATATTCTTCCAACTTTTTCAAAAACAATTCATGAGCTCGTAACCACACTCTCACACCCTCAGTGGTGGTAGTAGTAGTAGTGGTAGTGGCATCAGTATTACTGAGTGATGTCTCCAGAGGAGTGATACTCTCAAAATTTACATTCTTCAATTCAGCCAAATATCGTACGAGTGCATTTGAGAATTCTTCTGAACTCTCTTGAGGAGTCATGGTTGGTAAATGATCAATGGCAATGACATCTAAGGGTTTTGTTGTGAATTCTGAGGAGCATGAAGAAGAGGATGAAGAAGAGCATGCCATTTCAACTACACGTCTCACTGGTGCATCAAAAGTAGTGACTTGAGAATTAATTGGAAATGGATTGTATGGATTAGTGACATCACAAGATACATCAACCAATACACTCAATCGACGATCAGAACGTTGTACCATTTCCATTGTCAAGAATGGTTCAATTTTACCACTCAAATAAATGTCATTCACAAGAATGTCAATATCTGTACTCAATTCATTGAATGGGCCTCCACGACTTGTTTCTTTCAAATCCCATTGAATTAAATGTGAAGATGGAATTCCACACAATTCTGCACACTTGACACTTCCACTTCCACATCGACCCAAAGCACCTAATACAAGTACTTTTGGAATGTGATCAATTTGTGAAAGTAAATTCTTAATGTATTGAATTAATTCATTTCTATTTTTGAATGGTTGAACTTGTTGATTCAATTCTTCAAGAGAATAATTAGAAAGAATTTGTTTACAATAAGTAATTAAACCCATTGCCATTCCATTGAATCCTGCAGCATAGCCAAATGCAGCCACTCTTCGTCCATTATCCAAATTTAGAAATTCCAAATCAAGTATTTCAGAAGAGGGATGAGTGGAGAAACGAGACATGGTTTCCTTCCAATCGGATTGTCTCTTGTAACAATGAGCAAAGAAAATATGACGTTGTGATGTTAAATATTGTGGTACTTGAATGGTCATTCCATTTGAGGATGTCACTGTGGTGTTTGGAAGAGGTAATTCTTTGAGACCTAAAATGTAGAAATTATTGTTGTTGGTGGTGTTGGTAGTAGCTGTTGTATCAGTACATTCTTGTTGTCCATGCAATAATGGAAGTACCCATGAATGAGAAGGAACTAATTCACATCCGACTTGTTCATATTCAGCATCTGAGAAGGCTCTTGTGAGAGATCGTTCGACACTAATTTTATAGCCATGTTGTTGAATTAAAAATTGTGCATCGAGAGGTGTGAGTGGAGTACGTTGTTCGAATGGTTTGACTTCATCACGGAGCCACAAGTGAACAACAGGGTGATTGTTACTACTCGTGTTGGTGGTGGTGGTGGTGGTGGAGGCCATAACGTCGTTAATGAGACTCAGTAATGGGTGTGTTGGAGAATTTAGAATTTTTTTTTCTTTTCAACATTCACTCCAAATTGCCTTTCCGCCACCAACAAACACACTCCGAGCCATTTCAATCATGGTCCTTATTAGAAATGGATTTCGAAAATTATGAAATTGAGCGAGTTTGGTTTTGATATTAGTGCAAAACACCAAATGGAGTTTGTCTCAATTCTGTGAAGAATTTTGAATGGAAGTGCATCCAGATGTGTGTGCGAGAATCATGCCATGAAATACTCCACATCTCCGATACCTATCTGTGTTCCACTCCGAATCTCCTTGTAGAAGAAGAAGTGGTAACTACGATCGTAGTCTCGCAGCTCAATGTTGAGATGAGAAAGGAATTGATGCTTGTAATTGATGCTACTATTATACTATTCACATGTTCATCATTCTGAAAGATAATAGTCATCCTCACTGTCATCATCGTCATTCTCACTGTGTTCTTGATGGCCATTGCTGACCATTCGTTCATCATTCTCATTGTCATCAATTGTTTCTCGATTCAATGAAAGGCTTTCATCTTGAATTTGCTTGAACTTTTTTGAAGCAGGAGATGTGTGATGTTTTTTCTGAATGTTTGGATCAAGAGAGTGGTGTTTGTGATGCAACAATGGTTGATTCACATCATCATCATCATCTTGATATTTGATTTGGAAGGCTCTTTTGGTTGTTGTTGAAGAGAGAAGAGAAGATGGTGCTGCGAGTTGTGGTTCTTGTTGTTGTGAATAAGAACTCCTCATCATCGTGGTAGTAGTAGTCCTCTTCGTAGTCCTTGTGGTGGTGGTGGTGGTGCTTGTACTCAAAAGATTTCGTTTTCTTTGTGATGTCTCTTGTTGTTGAGAGGAATAATAATACATTCTTAATCGAGAGTGAAATCTTTTTGCAGTTTTCATCATGACCACCTTAGGATGATCACCACCACTATTATTAGAGCCAGTCGTAGTAGAAGTAGTTGTGGCGTTGTTGTTATTAGTATTGGTGGTGCTGGTGCTGAAAAATGTATTTGAGGAATGGATGGGAGTTCCCAAATGACAACCCATGTCATGTTCATGAAAATTTTGACATGTGGTAGTCATGGTAGTAATAGTTGTGGTTGTGGTTTTAGTTGATTCATCATGATGACAACAATCATGACGATAGGATTCATTCTGTTTGATCTCTTTCAAGTCATCATGATGACATTGAATGGTATTATTACTACTAGTAGTAGTAGTAGGAACGGTATCAGTTGTAATGACAGTAGTAGAACTCGTAGTAGTAGTAGGAATGATATTAGTAGTAATGACAGTAAGAGCATGCATATTCGTGGTCCATCGATTCACTCTTCCAATCTCTACTAATGTTTCATACAATAAAGGTAAAGTACATTCTGATCTTCCAATCACATGATACATGTCATTTAAATCTTTAACCTCTTCATCAAGTCTCATATTGAAATTGTACATGATCTTTCTTGAAGGAGGAGTATTCTTGTTCTCCTTCCAATCCTTTTCACACTCATTACAATCCTTGTCCTCTTTCTTGTCACATTCTTCATCATCATGAAAACTCTTATTTTGTTCTTGAACAATACTCAAACATTCTGCAGTCACACCCACTGAAAATGATGTTCCAACAAATACAATTAAATCGCAATCACCAATCCATTCCATTGCCTTTTGCCATTGATAGAAATCATGACTTTCATACTTTTCATCAAATAAAAGAGCTTGCGGGAGAACAGGTTTACAACAAGAAGGACATTTGGGAACTGAGTGAATGGTAAATGTTGATGATGTGTTTGATGTCACGTAATTCTTGTTGTTGTTATTTGTAAAAGTAGACAAGTTGGTGGCAGAGTTGGTGGCGTTTCGAGTAGAGTTGGTGGCAGAGTTGGTGGTAGAGTTGGTTCTGGTGGTGGTGGTGCTTCTACTACTTGTTGGTTTCTTCTTTTTGACAAAAGTAGCAGCAGTACGAGCTGGATAGGTTGAGTCTGTCGAATGGAGGTCCTCTTGATGATTAGAATGATTCGAGGTAGTAGAATTATTATTAGTAGGTGCAGTAGAATGATTCCTGGTAGTAGTAGTAGTAGTCACCATGTAATCCATAATTTCAATCGAATCAATACTGAGTGTTTTTGAGTAGGGACAAGGATTCTTTTTTCTTTGATTGATACACTTGTAGAGACCTTAATGGATGATGAGAGTGATTTAAAGGACATTTGAATCATGTTCAAAGGATCATGATGAATATATTATTATTATTATAATTATAGGGTATGATCATGATGAATATTATTATTATTATTATAGGGTATTGTTGTTGTTTTAAATCATTATATATCACATGTCCAAAAAATATATTTTTTAAATACATCCAACATGTTGAATGAAAATTTAACAATTCATTTCAATATTATTATTGTATCGTAGCATTATTATTGTTTAACAATTCATTTCAATATTATAATAATTGTATCATTTAAAATTCATTTCAATATTATAATAAAAATTCATTTCCATGAATGACATATTCACATATTCACATATACATTCACATTCACATATTCACATATTCACATATACATTTATATTCACATATACATTCATATACATTCACAATCACATATTCACACAATAAACTCTTACCCAATCTTCCATGCACTTCAATCACCAATGATGGTGATAAACTTGTCTTTAAATGTAAATGATCAATATTTTGTGTAATGACTCTCACATTACATAATTTACTTAATCTTGCAATCGAATAATGTCCTTCATTTGGTTTTGCAATTAAATATTCTCTTCGATGATGAGTTTGTAACCAAAAATTATTATACCAATCTAATGGATTGGATTGAAACATTCTTCGAGTTCCCATTTCTATAATGTGATTACTCCAAACAGAATTTGAATCACCTCTATAGGTTGCAATTCCACTTGAAACGGATAAACCTGCACCTGTCACAAATAGACACTTTTTACCATGATATAATTGCAATGCTAAATGAAGAATATTGTTGAGAGTTTCTTCCGATAGAGATTCTTTGTTACAAGTTGGAGTATTCGTAGTAGTGGTTGTAGTGGTTGTAGAGGTTGGAGGAGTTGTAGTAGTAGTATTCTTGGTGGTAGTATTCGTAGTATTCGTACTTGCATGATTGGTCGTTTGGATGGCGGAGGACATGGCAGATGATCGTTTTGGCATTTTTTTAAGGTTGAAAAGTTCCTTGGTTGGAAGACATTCTAAATGGTGAAAGTTTTGATGATGATGAGGATGAGGCATTTTTCTCTCCAAGTATAGTAGTACAACAACAATCAAGTTCCAAAAGTCTTCCGCCAATTGATTGGTTTAGGCGTGCTTCAAACAGAAAAAAGGCGCCAAAACTATCTCTCGAAAAAATACAATTATTTGAACTTGTTAAGTATACTCTGGCTGAACAACTCGAACCTTACAAACATCGCCACCACCACCACCACCACTCTGACCACCACCACGAACATCATCATGCCATCCAAGGAAAAATCTTCTCGCTCAAATTCATCCAAGAAAAAGTCAGAATCTAGTGAATCTTCGGAAGACAAGAAGAAAAAGAAAGAATCCAAACGATCTTCCTCTTCCAAGAAGCGATCGAGAAAAAAAGAACATTCCGAAAAGAAAAAACATTCCTCAATAGAAAATAGTTCAGCTCCTTCCAATGATCATTCTCTATCTTCCACTACACAACATGCACCTTCTGAGATACCTCTCAACAACACGACCACTAACAACAACACTACCACCAACACTCCTCCTTCTTCTCAAAATTATGACATTCACAAATTGAATTTCATGACCACTCTTAATATTAATAATCATGTCTATGAAAAACAACTGAATGAACTTCAATTTATCATCAATTCTAAATTAATTCCAACCAAACAATCATTACTCTCTCAACTCTACAAAATTCAAAGCAAAATGACAATGGTTAAAAAAGCCAAAGACAAACTTGTCAATGAATACAAAATTCAAATGGAGACCTTGTTTAATAATTTGAACATGCAAGAGTCAAACAAAATGTTAATATTGAAACAAGATGAAAGTTGTGTATTGAATCAATTGCAAATCATTCAAAATTTTGTCAATCGAGTTGGAAATGAACTCTCTTCTGGGAAAGAGAATATTCCTGTGAATGCTGAATATTCAACATTTCATGACATTTCGAGTTTAATTGGAGAGGCAAATTATTTGTCTGATAAAAACTTACCTCTTTCGGTTGATAATCCAACAGTCATGACCACTCTATTGGAATATGAACAAGGAGATATGAAAGATCTTTCTTTTTACAAACACAAGTAAGTGTTGAATGAAATGTTGTACTCACTCAACATTCCAAATTACAATGATCACTCTCCATCATTCAATGGATCTTTACATTCCTAATCACATTCATGTGAATGCATTGTCTTCATCATCAACTAATCATTATTGTTTTGAACTCAACACACATTCATGTGAATACATGGCTGGTCATTGATGATGAATGCATTGTCCTCATCATCACATGGTGATCAATTGAATTGTTTTGATCAAAACATGATTAGTTATGAAGAGTTAAAGAAATTACTTCACATGAAAAATCAAATGATTACAAAATTAATGATTGAGAAAGAAGAAGAAAGAAAATCTCAACAAGAGGAAATTAAAAGAATAACAGAGCTGTACATGTCCACCAAGAATGAATTACATGAATGGATGAAAATGGTTGAAAAGTGAAAATGGAAAGGTTTATGATCCATATGAGTTTGTTCTGGTATACCATTCATCTCGAAGAGTTTCAATTTTCTTAATGACATTGAATATTTTCAAGAGACTAATAGAGAAATTCCTCTTCTGAATATATACAAGAAGTAGGACACTTGGAAATCTAAAGGACACACAATCATCCGAATTATAGATTTATTCCTAATCTCTTAAATAGCATGTCATCCATCTTGAAAGCCAGTTCATAATTTTTGGTTTTGAATACCTGTGGTGATTGATTCCTATACGGAGGACGATTCGAATGATCATTTTCCATATTGGTGGAATATTGTTGACTCTGAGTTGCGAGTGTCATCATTTCTTTATACAATGGATTTTGAATCGATGCGACACACTCAATGGCTGCTCTTGAAACGAGACAAACATGAAGTAATTTACCATTATTGAAAGTTGGAGAGCTTGTGCTACCAATGTAACACTCACTATTAGGATTTGTAAATAAATTAGACATTTTAACAAATATTTGTTTCAATGAGGAAGAAGGATGTAATTTTGATTCAAATTGTAAACAATCAAGTGCACTATTCCAATTATAAATAATTGCATGTAATCGATAGTGATTAATTTTGTTAGATCCTTTGATCACATGAGTTGAAATTCTATTCAGAGTTTGAATATCATGTATTGGATCATTAGAAATTCTAAGGATTGGTTCTCCACTACTTAATTTTGGTACTAATTTTACTTCATGAGGAGTTTTTTCTTCAACAAATGAAACTGTGTGTTTTGTAACAATACTCAGACAGCTAAATTTGGATGCAAGTTTTTTCTGTTTTTTAGTTTGAATATTTGTGGAGGAAGATTTGACATCAAATTTGAGATCCGAGAGGGAAATAGTATTGTTTTGAGAGGACATTATGGATAGTGATGATTTTATATTTTCCGAACTATAAATTGGAAATAATTTGTTTAGATGATAGGAAGATGAGGTCGTAGAAGTCATTTGTAATCGTTGTTGTTGTTGTTGTTGCTGGAGAGAATAGTTTCGACGTTGATTCATCATAATTGGAGTGGCAGCTTGAATGATGACTGAATGATGGTGGTGATGATGGATCAGGTTGAATAGAGTAAGAATGCCACTGCCATAGTTCCTTCCGTTGTTGTTGTTGTTGTTATTGTTGCAGCAGAAGGTATTCGTGATTGGTGGTAACATTACCATATGCCTTCTCATCAACAAGATTCGTGAGGCAAGCATTTTTTTTAGGGAATTCAATGACGACGATGATGGAAGAACAGTGTGTGGTCGACAACACTGAACTCTTGAAGTTTTCCCTCCAAAAAATTCCAAACTTGCCAACTGTTTCGAAACTCAACATGTTGCTCTCTTCGGCGGCCCTCATTCACTCGCAACAACAACAACAACAACCTTCCTCATCCTCATCATCCTCATCACCACCACCACCCTTATCATCACTTCTTGCCAACAATATGGCCTATTCTCTGAGTGAATGGTTCCATCAACATTCCATCAATAGAATTACTCCTCATGATATCAGTATTGCTATTTTAATTGATATTACAAGAGAATCTGATGGATTGGATCATCATCATCATTCCTTTACTCGATTACCCGAATTAAAGGAACAAACCATTGCAACCAACAAATTTATTATGGATTGTATTCAACACGTACATACTCCCATATTCGGAACCATCAATCGATTCATTACGGAATTAACCAATGTAAATCCAGATCTAGTTCAACCATTTATTTCTACTTTCTCATCCATTGATAATATTGATGCTCTATTCACATTATTTGACAAATTTAAAACCATTCAAGTGAATAAGACTTCTATTTTCGGAATATTTCTTCGTAAAATTATTTTAATATTTAATAATTTATTATTTGATGGAGTCAAGACATTATTTGATAATTTGATGAAATACAAATCCAATCAGCCAATGTTACTTTTAAATCAGGATACTATTGAATGTACTTTTCAGTTATTCCCTTTTACTACGGCTACTACTCCTGTTATTGCAAATAGTCGTACAACCACTACTACTACCACCGCTACTACTTGTTCAACAACTCCTCCTCAGAATTCCTTTGGTTCTGATTCTGTTCACTCTGTGAGCAAAATATTTCCAAAATTGTATTATCATAATTATATTCAAAGTTGTAAAGAAATGGATTTTGTGAATGCCAATTTCTTTCTTCATATTTATTATGATTATTTTCAAAATAGATCCTATTCTTCATTGAACAAATCTCTACTCTATTATCATTTTAAATATTACAAACAAGCAACCATTTCCTTAAAAGAGAGTATTAAAATTGCTCAACAAAATAATGAACATGAATCTCTATTATTATCCTTAATCATTTTATACAAAATCAAAATGATTGAATATTTTCATAATGAATCAAAGAATGTGGAATTATTTATTTTACAAGCATTGAAATTTGCACAAACTCAACCCAATCAATCACTCTCTTTTATTTCCTTTTTTATTACTCTCGATTATATTCAATTCAAATTATTAACTGGATTTCATGATGAAGAAATTCGTTTACAATTATATTTATTATTGAAAAAGTGTGAACAGGTATCCTTTCAAGAATTGCAAGAATTCAATCAATTCAATTCTAAAATACCATTATTTCCCAAGTCTCTATTGAATCATGTAAAATTACATTTTTATCGATTCATTGGTGATCGATTGTTGTATCAATGTCATTTGAGATTGTGTGGAAGTAGTAGTATGACAATGACGACGACGACGAGTGGACACTTGAGATCTCCATTCACTGGTCGATTGAAATCACCTCTAAGGTCACCTCTCATTCTGAAATCACCATCCATTCAATCACCTCTAAGGTCACCATCCATCTCATCAAATACCACAAATACCAACACCTCCTCCTCTTTACAATCACCCTCCTCCTCGAAATCTTGTTCATCATCTCTTCAATTAGGATTCACAAGAGATTTTTTAGACTTGTATTCAGATTATGAATTATTATCTTCAAAATCAATTCCAAATTCAGATCATACATGTTATAGAATCATCATTGTGCATTTCATTCAATTACAAGATCGTGAAAATGTGAATCTTCTAATGAATCAATTTAGAAATATGATTGATCCATCATTGACTATTGATCAATGTGATTTATTATATTTAGAGTCACTCATAGCCTATTACATGGATGAAAATATTCATCAAGCTATCTCTAAATTCATTTCATGCTTCAAATTGGCTGAGAAATTTAATTTTATTCAATTACTGAGTGTATATTTAGAAAATTGTGAATTATTGAAAAATAAGGAAACTTCAACTCTGTTAATGTCTTATCTATTCAAAGCAATTGATTATTGTGAAAAGAATCATTTAGAAACATATAAGAGTCGATGTTTATTATATTTGAATCATCATCCCATGTCCTTCATGTGGTCATGTGATGGGAATGGTCGGCATGGATTGTCTTGTCCAACAACAACGATCATGTCAATGACACCTCCTCCTCCTCCTCCAACAACAACAACAACCACTGTCATGACGAGTAGTAGTATTGATAGTACTACTGCTACAACCACTGCCATGACGAGTACCAATACTACTACTACTCTACCACTTTCAACAGCTAATAGTATTCCAACTAGTGTTGCCATGACTAGTACTACTACAACTACTACTACTGCAACCATATCACCATTATTATCACCACCACTACCAAACAATACAATGAATACTTTACTCACTCATGGTAGTCAAACAGATATTGCCTATTATTATGAAATACTTGGCACAAGGTACAATCATGTGGAATATTTGAAGAAATCATTATCTCTCTATTTGAAATCATTTTGTTTAATTCAGAGTAGATTTTTGTGTTACAAATTGGCTCAATTGACCAAAGATGTCTACTATTGTAAATTGTATTGCAACATTCATAAGGAATTGAGAAAGAGTCATACAAGTGTATTATTGCAGAATGATACACCATTACCATTGGATACTATCATCGATCGATCTGTGGAATACTTCAAAATGACTCTGAAATCAATTCAACAGATTTGATCACCGAGTTGCAATCGAACAACTTGGCACCGAGTTGCTCAGTTGAAAGAGGCTCTCTCAGCAGTAGGTGAACACGGAAACTCCCAAAATAAAAAACAACTCAAAAAAAATGTCCCACACCCATTCTTCATCTTCGACTCTAAGACTCGGAAGCAAACCCAAGATTGATCATGACTCGGTAGTAGTCAATCCTGTCATGTCTGCCACTTTGATGGACATGGGATTTTCTAAATTCAAGTCAGGAAGAGCTCTTCAAATGGTAAACAATATTTCCATTGATGCAGCCATTCAATACATTTACGATCATTTTAATGAATTGGATCAAGAAGAATTAATTGCAGGAGCCTCTGATCAGACATCTTCCACCAGTGCTCCTACAACAACCACCCCACCACCACCACCACCACCTTCACCACTCCTTCATCAACCCTCCCCTCATCCACACCCAGCAACACAGAAACACCAACTTCATCATCCCTTGCTGGTATCCCAGTGATACACCACAATCCAAACAAACTCAAAGGAGATACTCTCGAAAACAAGTTAGCCTTTGCAGAGAGAGAACGTTTGAAGGAACAAGAGCGATTGAAAAAAGAAAAATTGGAAGAAAAAGAATCAAGGCTTTGAAAGAACAAATGAAACGAGAGAAGGAAGAAAAGATGATGAAACAAACAGGAGTGAGTAGTAGTAGTGGTAGTAGTAGTGCTGCTTCGGCTTCTACAAGTGGAAGTAGTTGCAGTTCATCCTCCTCTTCCAATGTGGCTCTCATTCAAGTCCGATTACCTTCAGGCACTACTGAAAAGGTTCAATTGAGTGCTGATGATCATTTGGATGCCTTATTTGCTGCAATTTCTAATCAATTAGATCCAAATGAAGCTTACAGTATTTTGACTACATTTCCACGTAAAGAATTCTTTGCAGAAGATTGGAATCAAACAACATTGCGTTCAGCTGGATTAGTACCAAAAGGTTCAGTCATTGCCCAATTGACTAAAAATAAGGGAATGGTAATCAAGGCAACAACTTCCACACCAACTGGATCATTAGCAACAACAGGAGGAGGTAATACTATGAACGACGACGATAGCAGTGATGATGACAATGGCAGTACAACAACAACAACCTCTTCTTATACTTCAAGCAGTCGAGTACTTGGTTCTTCTTCGAACCCAATTCCAGAAGAAAATGCTATCAAAACCATTCTTAATTCAGTTGTGAATTTCAATAAGGATAGTTATACTTTATTGCTATGTGAAAAGCAATGGATTCTTTCCAAGTTAGAATCAGGAACTAGTGATTCTCAACACGTTGTCTATCGACATTTGGGAGATTCTCATTTGGCTGGTTCTTCTCTCAATGAATGTGTCTTGTATTCTGCTCTTGGCCATGTGAGTATGTCATCCAATGGTGAGACCATGGTTGGTACTTGGAGATTTATACATCAACATGGTGGTGGAGTGTGTATTGAAATTACCAGTCAAAATATGGTTCAAGTCATGCGCATTGAGTCACTCACGAACGAATGTTTAATTTTGAAGAGAATTGAAAAATAAATTTCTAGAGAAGAACAAAGTGTACTTTCATTGTTATTGCAACAATATGAACTTCAAAGTAAATCACTCAGATCGATCACATGCATCTGATCAAAAGGAACTGGATCAAATTGGAATTCTTCGAGAGCCTGAATGGTGGTGAATATTGAGGAGTCATTAGAAGATGGATTAAGAGTGTTTGTTGTTTTTCTTTTCAAATCAAACCTTCCAAATAATTCCTTAATTCTTTGATTCAAGACATGCTCAAATCCTGAATCTCCCATTTCTGCAACCTTCTCATGAAATTCAGAGTATATTTGAAAGATCAATGGAATCGCACATGGATAAGGATAAATATCACTCGCCATTAAATAAATACAAATTTTTGTGTGTGTTTGAATGTAGCAATAACAGATGGATTGCATAGAGGGAATGGTTACAGCAAATATCACATCATTTGGAGTAAGAGAGATTGTAAAAGGAGAGGTGTCATCGCTTGTATTCACACTCGCTTGTTCACAAAAGGCATCCACATTCATATTTTTGGTAATTAATTTCACATAATATTCACAGAGAAGGGCAAAATAATGCTTGTTCACAAAAGGCATCCACATTCATATTTTTGGTAATTAATTTCACATAATATTCACAGAGAAGGGCAAAATAATGATCATGTTCTCTCTTCCTATGAAAATAGGAATACATGGTTTGTATTTTCCAAGGTTTGCTATGACTCATTTTATGAATGTTCACAAATTTCAAATGAATCATCTTTTTAAATAGAAATTCACAAATAAATGCAAATTTCAATTGTTTTTTTGGATGTAAAATCAATGAGAGTACATAACGACACTCTTCATCATGACATTGTAAATCATCATCATCATGACATTGTAAATCATACATGAATTTTTCATGATGATGATCAAGAACATGCTGAATCATGTTTCGAGAAATGTTTGCACTTTTCATTGCATTCGAATGAATCATCATCCTCGAATGGCGAATATTCTTCTTGTTTGTTCTCAACATGATTCTTGCCAATAGCTTCTCCCATAGTGCATCACTATTGGCAATTCTTTTCCATTGTCGACACACCAAACATAGAGTGGTACAAATTTCATGAATATTTAAATATTCAAATATAGAATGATACAACAAGTGGTTGTTGTTAAAAAACAAAGTGGTGGTTTTACCAATAGGATCACGACGCATTGTTGTTGTCATTGAAAATGGTTGTATCATCATTTAATATATTCAAAGTGAGTCATCACCAGTCGTATTTAGACATCATTCGGAGAATTCATGATACAATTAAAAGTACAATGAGAACAGAGAATACATTTTTTTTAGAGGTGGAACTAAATTTGGAATCTGAAGAAGAAGGAATGAATGGATGACCTATTGATGATGACGATGAAGACAATGGATCGAGGAATTATTCGTCTCCAGTGTTCACTTTGAATCTCAATATTCTCTGCGTACTGAAAGATCACATTGATTAATAGGTGTAAGTGCATGGTTGTATTAAAGGTCACAAATTTCATTGTCATTTCCATTAAAAAAATTATCCTAATATGGTGTTTCAAAGGTCAGAAGGAAAAAGGACAGTATTGTTTTGCAGGAATGACTTTAGTGCAGCGTATGTATGGATCAGTACTGTTCCGTATCTGATAAACAATGGTCTTGAAATTAAGCTCATCAAACCGTTGCCAAAACTTTCTTGCTTCCTTTGCTTTGTCTAATTCATTTCTTGAAGAGGATTGAAATTTGTTGCAAGAAGCCCAATAACAAAATGTCTTCAATAACGCTTCACAATCATATTTTGTTTTGTAAGATTTGAAACTACGGGGATAAAAAATACATTCTAAATATTCATCTGCGCAAAATGAAACTGTTCCGGCAAACTGTGTCAATTCGTCAGCTTTACAAGCAAAACCCCAATCAATAAATATTAATTTTCCGTCATTTCCATTCTTATAATTTTTGAGAGTATTCAAAGTTTGATATTCGTTTTCAAACAAGATGGTATAATCAAACGTTTTACATATTTTAGCAACCCTTCCATCAGGTACTTCAAAAACCAAAGAAGTATAACCTTCGGAAAGGAAGTTAAATTGATTGCTGTTGATGGATAAAACCCAATACCATCCATCTTGTCAATGGAAGTGTTAAGTAATGAATAAAGTGTTTGAATACCAAGAGTTACCATATTATTGGTGGGTGCGAAATCTATCGGTTTTGAATGTTGAAAAGTAACAATATCATCATCATTGATCTCAGCTTTTAGGAATATAATTGATGTGTAATTTGTGATGAATCCGTAATTACACTTTCTGTAATTTTTTTGAGCAATGAGAAGTGTTTGTAAATATGAAATCATTTGGCCCAGACTGCTTGCGGTTTCGATACTTTTACCACGAGCTTTTATGTCACCAATAATATTTGCAATTTTAGTTAGTAAAATGAGTGATTAGATGTTTCTAGTAAGGTATAGTTTTTGAAGTAGAACGTAAAATCTGATGCTTGAGATGTGCTGCTATCAAGTTGGGTTGATAAATATTGTTTTTGGCTTGTGTCCATTACCTTCAAATCATTTTGTGCCATTTTTTCGAGGATTGTACTCATTGCGTTATAGGCGTGAAAAGGTTTAATATACCATCACTTAACCTGGCTATGGGTAATCCAGTTCGTGAGCTCCATTTCATCGACAACAGTAATGTGTTGTTGGTTTTGTTCTGAAATATAAATACTAGCATATGAGTGAGTTGATAGGTTGGATGTAGGTTTGAGAGTTAATTGTAATTGTTTAGTTTTTTCTTGTTCACGTTTTGTTTTTTCTTCCTCCTGTTTTGTTTTTTCTTTTTCTATTTCTATTTCACGTTTTGTTTTTTCTTTCTCCTTCTTTAGTTGATATTTTCTTTAGTTTGTATGGGGTAGAATTCTCATACTCTTTTCGTTTTTTTGAGGATGAAGATGATGCTGAAGGTGGTGTTGCTGGTGATGATTCCGGTGAAGATGATGAATCTTCTGATGATGATGATAGCGGTTCGGACATCGTAAATTTTTTTCAAGAATTATATTCAGCTGCACGAGAAGCCTTGTGATCAATAAAATTTTTTTCAAAATACTCAACCAAACTTATCGTTTACAATCGGAACATTCCTTCACTACGTTCAGAACATTTCATCCATGTATTTCTAATTGCTGCTGAATCATCATTCAAAAACCAAAGCATTGTTTGAAAAATTCAAGATTTTGGTTCGTTGTCAAATAAAGTATCGGATGGAATTCAATGATTGATTTGTTTCACAAAGTTGCTAATCCTTGATTTGCGGAGGAGGAACATTCAGATGCATTAGTATTATTGGAAGTTGTACTTCCACCCTCATTGGTATGAGAAGCATACATCTTTCTGCCTCAAATTCAACCTCAGTAATTCCAACAGTTTTTGTTCGAGCTTGATGTCTTCTTGAGTGGCAATATCTATGGTTGTATTGGCTTCTGAAAATACAAATCTTCAATGACTGAATGTTGACTGTAATCTTCATTACACCAAAAGCAGGATCAAAAAATGTTTTGCTGAGAGGGAGAAGATATTTCCACAAAAGTTGATGATCTTCCAGAAATCTGAACTCTCAGATTGGATACTTTTAGCATTTATCCTCAGACAAGGATATTTTCGAATATTTCACAACAGAATTGCTGAAAATTCAGCAAGTTTGGCTGCTGGGGGTAAACCGTTAAACAGTGATGCCGGTGGTTGTCTGAGGATAGACAGTACGTACTCTGTGTATCGAAGTTATTCTAACACAACAATTGTATTTATTTTGATTCAATTTTTCTTTTTGACAATAAAGAGCTAATATTATTATTGATTTTATTAGATGCTACTATTATTATTGATTTTATTAGATGAGCACAAGGTTTTGAAAACGACTACCAATATTTGTATTCAACATTTTGAATTTTGTTACAATCATTTGTTTTCATTAAGCAGGCCATGTTGGAGGAGAAATCAATTTGCATCGTATTTTCCTTACATTGTCAGCAAGCTTCTCTCTCTTTCAACAATTACAAATCCTTCCTGCATGCCAGGAATCCTCTCTTTATCAACACATGCAAACTATTGTCGTCAATATGAGTATCTTCATCTTGCAACGTTTCACAACGTTTAACTGGGTGGGCATGTGCTACTTGGTGATTGTGTTCTTCACCTTCCTTAATCATCTCTCTTTGAAAATTCGAGAGTAAAGCTCTCCATCAAGCCACCTCCATCTGTTGATTCAACCAATTGAGGTGTTCCAACATGGAAGAGCAGTATCCAGACCTGCTGCTGAATTCAAATGAGTTAGTTGATGATTCGTATGATCATTTTGTTAATACATGTAATTTGATGGTACCATCTTCACTTGAACTTAATAATAAATGTGATTCAATAAAATCCAAATGAGTCACACATGAGACATGTTTTTGATCTAAATTATAAATCAGAGAACCATCCATCTATGGATAAAAAGGAACAGACATGCCACATGATTTAGACAAAATAATAATTATCCACATAGAGGTCAACAATCGTTTGTCCATTCAAATATAAAGTTAATAATAATGAATCATATCCATCATTTAGATTCACAATGAAACACCACACACACCTACCTTATCAAATACCTTAATCGTACCATCTTGTGATCCTGTTGCAACCTTATCTTCGCATTGAGTCATACATGTCACAAATCCATCATGAATATTCAAATGAGATTTGATCAAAGTGAATGAAAGAGTGGAATGAGTGAAGTTAGTTTTCTTCTCAATTTTAAAAGACCACACACAGATAGTTCCTTCACATCCTCCACTCACTACTCTCTTGAGAGTACCATCGAATGCAATACATTCAATACTATTATGGAATGGAGGTGATTGTGAAGGTGGTGGTGGTGGTGATTCGTTGTTATTATTACTATTACTATTACTACTACTAGTATGACCTTCTCCATCCATTATGAATACCAAATTCATTCTTGATTCTTCGGGATTCATTTGTGTTACATTAAATGCCATCAGAGTACCATCATACAATCCACACATGCAAATGTCATCGAGAGAATCTCCATCTTGATCAATACTAAAACAATAGACACCCTTATTATTTTGAGATGAATGATGAGATAATGAATGGATGAGTGTTGTTGTGTTGGTCGTATTTGTTGTTGGTGTTGTTTCAAAGACCAAACTTTTCACATACTTGTCGTTGTTCTTGTCAGATTCATCCAATAAATCATACAAGACTAAAATACCACCACTACTCTTACTATGATCATTCCTATCACTACCACCACTACTCTTACTAAATCCAGCAACAATGACTGGCATTTCTTTCTTGACATTTCCATCCAAATAGATGGTATGAGGTGAGAGATGAGAAATTTCAATGGAATATTTCAAACAACTGGAATATTTCAAAGTAAGATTCATGGTACGTGAGTGTTGTTGTTGGGTAAAAGGTGGTCGAGTTGTTGATGTTGAAATGGACCATATTTGAATCAGAGATTGTTGTGGATGGGAACAAGTACTCCTGTTGGTAGTAGTAGTAGTAGTTGAACTTTTTGGAGAGGTTGAATTCCGAGTAGTGTTGGTGGCAGTAGTGTTGGTGGTCATAATAGAATCATGACTTGACACATGTGCCACTAATAATTGATGATTCATCACAAATAATTGTTTACAATTCACTCCTCTCAGTTGACCAATCTTTTCACCTGAATGGACATCAAAGATACACAAACAATGATTATCATAGGAAACAAATACTGCTTTCAATTCAGAATCAAAGAATACACTTGTAATTGAAACATGATTGAAAGGAGATCGAATGACACTGATTAGTGCCTTATTTGGATTTTCTAAGAGAGCAATATCATAGCTGAAGAGAGTGTAACACAGAGAGTTTGTTGTTAATAGGTTAATAGGTTCATTAATAGTTGTTGTTGTTGTTGTTGTTGTTGGAGGTGAGTGTACATGAATCATTCATGGATGTGGTTGTTAGACCATATAGTAGCAGATATAATAATCCACTCTCTAGTGACACAGTATTGAATGATAATTGAATTAATACTTACACAAAAACACTTGCATCATTGGATGTACCAACGGTAATATAATCTCCTGTCACATGCCATCCTTTGACAGAACCAATATTACGTGCAATATTGAGAGAAGCAATATCTTCCGATGCGTAGAGTTTGTGAGTGCTTGGTGAAGACATTTTTTATTTCCTTTTTTAAAAGAATCTTGCATTGTCTTTTCTTGTCAAGACTTTAAAAGGAACAATTATGTCACATGAGCAAGAAAAAAATAATTCAATCCAAATTCCTTCTCAAAATCCAAATAACAATGATTGCATTGAGCTCCCAAGTTTAACCATCTTGATGTAAATTTTTACCCACTCATTGAAATCATTATCTTGCACTCTTTTCTTCTCTGCCAAATGCACAGCATGCAATAATTGATGGCATGCTTTGCACAAAATTTCCAATGGTTCTTCATTCTTGAACCATTGAATAAGATCTTTCTCATTGCGAAAGGCAGTAGCAAAATATTTGGTGGATGAGAATGATCTTGTGGTTGTACCTTGGCGTTGAAAATTTGTATGATGAAGACAAGCATCCACTGACTGAAACAAATTTTCAATCACTGTACCACACAAAGTACAGGATGGAAGACGTTCTTTGGATTGATTCATCACATGAACAGAGTAACATTTCAGAGAGGCAAATTGCTTGCCCATGAAAGCAGCACCACGATGGTGGTAATTGTTCTTGAGATGGACGACTGAACAAGTCGAGAAGAAGGAGGAGTCTACACGTGAAGGGCTCATGTGTGCTTTGATTTCACAGAGTTTGTTGAAATAATAGTGAAATTGAAAAGAGAATTGGGGTCTCTCCCACTTGTGTTATTGTTTTTTGTTTGTTCTTTGTAATGAGCCTTTGAAGTCAATCAGTACTCAAATGCTTCCATTGAAGGTTGCCTTCAATTGTTTACCCAGCCTTTCAAGATTGAAAAAAGTGAAATGCTTCCAAACAAAGTTCGAATGCACAAATTTCACCGGTTAAATACTTTGCCTTTAATGTTTGTGTAGCATTTATATAATATTGATCAAGGTAACCACACTGGAGACAATTTTTAGAACCGGAGGAATCACAAACTTCAAAAGGAACTGAGGGATGGCTAGGACACATGGTTCCTCCTTGGTCTTGCTATACTTGTTTCTCTCCCAATGATTGTGCTTTCTTAAACAAGTATTGCATCTTGGACGAAGCACATCCTGGCGAATAAAACCATTTTCATCCAACAATGTATCCACATCCATTTCACCAAAATCGAGGAGAATAGGATTGCTGTTGGTACTGCTGTTTTGATTAGAGAAAGCCGAATGATCTTCAACAAGAGCAGACCTTTTTTTTGGAATTCTTTGTCTGCCAAGTTCAAAGACGAATTATCCACGTCATGACCACACTCGGAACATTTACCTTCCTCCACCAACTTGTCCCTTCTCCTTCGTTCTTTTCCTTGCCTTTTCCCTCTTTTCATAGCTATCTTTTTGATAATTGACAGCATTATTTACAAGAGTACACATTCTCTTGCTGTTTTGAAAAGAATCAAAGAATGCCTGATTCCACATTCTTTCACTTGTTTCTCAAGGAGCTCAAGGTCCTAATCTTTCCGACAAAATTCTTGAGGATAAGAAGCCAATCGAACAATTGTTACATTTTCTCGTGGGAAGCACTCTCAATATGGCGATCCTGTTTGGGTGGATATTGAAATCCATAAGGAGAGTCGGGCAAGAACTTAGCCTTATTTTGAGATGTTGATTTCTTCTTGTTGGTACTTGTTGAGGCAACTCGATTAGATCCAACATTAGTATCCTTGTTGGGATGATATGGTTGGTACAACTGAATTACCTGAAGAGTGCAAGGTTGATTGAACCATGATCGGAGGATGATGATAGGGTGATGCACCATCAACTGAGAGATGATTTTGGCCAACCGAGGACAATGAAGAAGAGGAGCCACTTCCGAATCTTAGTTTGGATTGTACAAACTTTGTCTTCTTGTTGGGAGTTGGTTGAACGTATTGAGGCTCATTGGAAGAAGGAGAGCCTTCACTCTTGGTTCTCTTGTTGTTTGAATGGGACACTCTTGGCATGACAATTTTTTTAATTATTCCTTTAATGAGAAGAATGGTCAACAACAAAACTTTAAAGTTTTCGGTTGACTTGTTTATAAAAATTTCGAATTTATCCCTAAATTAAAAGTAGACTATTCCAGCAGTGACAAGGACATGAAATAAAAATTTCGAATTTTGGGATTGTTCAAGTCTTTTCTTGGAATGTTCTTCTTCTTGCTGAGAGGAAGCTGTTTGGTTGATGGACATAGTTGACACTACATACTGTGTTGTTGAAGTAATTTTTCTAGCGATGTTTTCCTCTAAAAATTACAATTACATGTTGAAAATAACAATTTCATTAAGGGAAGAGTTTAAAAAAAATAGTCATGCCAAAACCATCCAAGTCTGATAATAAGCGAGCCCAGAATGAAGCCTCTTCTTCTTCAAATGAGCCTCAATTTGCTCAACCAACTCCAAAGAAGACAAGGCTCGTACAATCCAGACTAACTTTCGGTGGTTCCTCTTCATTAGTTGGCCAACATTCATTCTCGGTTGATCAGGTTGCGTCATCTTCCTCTCATCAAGATCAACCTCCAATCATGATTCAGTCAACCTTACTCCCTTCAGGGCTTCTGTTGTAGCAACTGTTTCATCCAACAAGCCGTCCAAGGGATCTGTACCAACCTTATCATCCAGCAAGGCTAATTGATGTAGGATCTAATCGACCTATCCCCATTGACCCAAAATCTTCGGATAAAAACTAGGGTTGTACAATCATCTCGTCAGGTTCAGTCTTCATCTGCCGTACAACAACAACCAGTCATTGATGTAATGGTTGATGAAAATGTTGATCCACAAACCTCCGCAATGTTGAGCAACAAGTAAAGGACTCCTCAAAACAAGACGAGTACTCCTCAACAACAGAAGAATACTTCTCAAAGAAGGAATAAGAAAGGCTCTGAGGCTCTTGATCTACAAAGAGCTAAAATGCTGGGCCATACAGGAACAATATATTGACAAGTTCTTGCCCAACTCTTCTTACGGATTTCAATATCCGCCCAAACAAGATCGTCTTATTGAAAGCGCATCTCTTGAGAAGATGGAACAACTCTATACATATCTGCTCATCCTCAAGAAGTTTGTTGGTAAATTGAGGGCTGCCAATATTACCCATCTCGAAAAGGAGGTGCAAGAGGGTGGAGGACCCAAGACATTCTTCAAGTCTCTCTCTCAAATCGAAAGAAGATGTGCTCTCTCGTGAACAATGCAGTGAATCAACAAAAGGATACTTTTGAAAAGAGAGAAAAGGCATGTAAAAGTACCAAAACGAGAAGAGCCAAATTGGTCGAGGAAGGCAAGTGTTCCGAGTGTGGTCATGACATGGATAATGTTGCATTGACCAATGCTGATAAGGAGTTCCTTAATGATGGAGATGTTCTCTTGGTCGAAGGAAGTTCTTCTACTTCTACCAGTTCCAGCAACAGTTCCACCAATATTCTCGATTATGGTGATGAGATGGATTCAGAGACCCTCTTCGATGATAATGGTTTCATTCGAACAACCTTTCTTCGTCCCAGATGTCAACAGTGTTTGCGTAAACACAACGAGAGGGAGAGGCAAAAGTATCACAAGGTCAAAGAAGAAGGAGTCATGTGTCCAAGTCATCCATCGATGCCTTTGGAAGTGTGTGATCCAGAGTTGGGTACAACAGCTTTTCTCAAATGTGGACTGGTTCACATGGGCAAACAATTTGCCTCTTTGAAATGTTGTTCCACACACTCGATGGGACGCCCTCCACAATGTCTTCCAGCATGTTCTCTGTGTGGAATTATTGTAGAGAATTTGTATCAAGCGGTGGCTGCTTGCATTCATCACCTCAAGTTCCAAATGGCAAGCAAGACGAAAAGGTCCTTCATTTGTACCAAGTACTTTGCCACTGCATTTAGAAAGGAAAAGGACCCCAATTGGTTCAAAACTGAGGAACCGTTGGAAATTCTCTGCAAGGCATGTCATCACTTGCCGCATGCAGTGTACTTGATGGAGAAGCAAGGAACCCAAACGGAGGACGAGGAAAAAGTTCTTGATGACTTTAATGAGTGGGTCCAAGTTCACATCAAGATGGTTCGATTGTTGGGAGCTAAATGTGCCAAGTGTGAAATGGATTTTGAAAAGTTGGGTCTTGCTTTTTTCATTCTCGCTCGCATTCATCAGATCAAAACCGATGGTGCTGATCAGAGACGCAGTGCAACACACATTCTCGAGCTTGAGGATAGAGACGAAATTGCTGCACATGTGAATGAATATACTCTTGCACTGGAAGGAAAGCAGCCGAATTGTATCAATGTTTGTGTGCTTGCTGTCATCAAACGGTACACATGGAAAAGAATGCGAGATTGGTTTTGAGCAAGGAAGAGCATTCCGAGGATAGAGAGAAGGTGGAAGAGATCCCAGAAATTAAGAGAAGACTCTTTGGTGGCCGTGATGATGAAAAGTAATCACAATAAATTTGGAGGACAAAATGGTTTTTTTTCAGGTGGCAATTTGGGAATATTAAAATTTCATTGGCATCTGTGGGGTTTGAACCCACGAACCCATACGGGATTAGATCTTAAGTCTAACGCTTTTGACCACTCAGCCAAGATGCCATCTGATAAATATAAATTGGGGGATATGAAGAACACTAAACAGATGGTCAGTTATGGTAGTCGAATAAGAAGGTTCGAAAGCAATCAACCTGGTACTTCCTAATGATAATTCCGGGTCATCACATTCCCAGCCGATGAGTCGACTCAAGAAACCGATCCAAATAGTGACAACTCACGAACACACTCATCCAAAGAGTCATCAGTAAAACCCATTAAAGCCTTGAACAAAGCGTGATATAACGCCTCCAATAACTCCCAATGAATTCCATTTAAGTGTTTCTGTTTTTACTCAAAACCAAGCGACAGTTAATTTCTTCGAATATGTTGTTGATCACCTCTGCCATTACATTACTGATTGGGATGTGGCAAATGTACAAACAACGTTCTTAATGTTAAGGAAATATTCAGAACGTTGTTTCAATGATATCCTTAACAGTGACATGAGCAAAAATACAAGTCTCATTCCGTTCCAACAAAGAAACAGGATGATAATACAGTGCAATGTATGAGTTTAGAGAAGTTTAGATGAGCACGATAAGTGTTTTAATCAAATTCAAAAACAATTTACGCCTATTATGCTAAGACTGATCACGATAGAACCAGGCATCCACTTTCCCAACACTTGCCAGAACATCACGAGCGCAATTTGAAACCATGTTCACACCACCAATGTATTTGGATTCAAAACAAACCAAACGCTTCAAATTAGTCTCTTCTCCAAATCAAACTCTTAATATTAATGATTTTGGTTTATTTCGGAAAAGTGTTTATACAACACATGATGAAGAGGAAGCAATACGAGGCCACATATCAGCACATTCCTTGGCAACTGGACCAGCAACAGCAGATCCCTTCATTTCACCCTTGTTGTTCACAATGACTCCAGCATTATCTTCAAAGTAGATGAAGGTACCATCTCTTCTTCTCCATGGCTTCTTTTGTCTAATGACGACTGCAGGCATGACCTTCTTTCTGAGTTCTGGCTTACCCTTCTTGACAGTAGCCATGACCATGTCTCCGACACCAGCAGCTGGCAATCTATTCAATCTACCTTGAGTTTGATTGACAGCAATGACGTACAAGTTCTTTGCACCGCTGTTATCAGCACAGTTCATAATTGCTGTTGTTGGCAAAGCAGAAGAAATTCTGAACTTGTTACCGAGACCACCTGTTGCTCTCTTTGATGCCATTTCTAATCAGAGTGTTGAAATAATGCGATACGGTTCAATACAAGAAGAATGTTGAAGGAGCAAATTCTATACGTGAGTGGGTTAAGCAAGAGAGAGAAATACGTACGTAATTTTTGACTATTTTTTTCAACAAAATTTTTTAAAAATTCAGGTCAACCTAGTTTTCGTAGTTTACAATGAAGAAGGAATGATCTCCTTCTTTTTGCTCTTGTCAAGTTAAACACCTCATCCTCAGCGACTGTTGCTGATGACTCTCTTCATTCCCAGTTTGATTTTGAATGAAACAAACACTTTGGTAGATATCTTGACTAAAGTACGTTCTTCCGTTGTCCTGCTGTCGTCTCTTTCCCAAAGAAAAATGACCAACAAACATGCCGTGCTTTCCCTTTTGCTCTTAGCGGCAACCACACTGATGATGATCCGATCGAGTCATCAAGAATCCTTTCGGACAATACAACAACAACCACGACTTCACCATCAAAAAACATTTACAGTAAAACCAGGACTTGAGAATTATCAAGCAACAGTTGGATTGGACGGTGTTACTTGTTCCTTCAAATTTTCTACAAAATCATGTTCCGAATTGAACGATCAAGAGAATAAAAAGAATGTAGAGAAGAAAAAGCTCTCCTATGAAGAAGTACTCACAAGATTGCCAAAAGGTACTTGCCTCAATAAGGTGGAAGGTTATTGGACCTATTCCTATTGTGCAGAAGGAAAAATTAGACAAGCTCACGGAAATGACGTCTATCATCTCGGCACCTTTTCTTCCTACAAGAAGGATAGGGCACTTTTTACGAATGGACAAATTTGTGAATTGGATGGAAAGAAAATTGAGAGATCCACTCAAGTTATTTTCATGTGCGGAGAATCGACAGAGATTGTTGGAATTCGTGAGCCAACTCCGTGTCGATATGAAATGATTGTGACAGAGCCCAAGTTGTGCGGAGAAGATTCTCCATTCCCTGTGTATCATCATGAAACAAGTACCTCCTCAATTACCATAGCTTCCATTTATGATCATTTTGAAATTAAGATTGAAAAGACACTCTTTCAAAAGGAATATCTTTGTACCGTACAGGCAATATTGAGGGATTTAAAGCCAAATCCAACCACATGTTTCAAATCATTTTCCATGTCTCTCGATAACAAGTCCAAGAGTAAGACTGCTCTCAGTGCTCGTGCCATGCATCATGGAAGAGTTCCATTCAGAGACACTGAGCTCAAACATACAAAGGATGGCCAAGAGGTGAAGAGTACCAAGTATTTTGATGGCTCTTTGGATTACATTCAAGTCAAGTAAGATGCACAGATTGTTGTGTGACTACTACTAGTTGTGTGTGACTTGAGGTCAGTAAGATGATACAGTTCACGAGTGGAGTCCTGAGCGATTCATTCCTATGGTTTCCACTTGTTCAATAGAGTGGACTGTTATAAACTCGTAATGTTTCGAACTCTGTCATCTTACCCCTCCAATCAAATTGCAAGCTATCAATTTTGTGATCAAAGTCCATTCACTAAAAAAATGCACAAAACGCTAACTCTGGCAATCATCAAGCCACTCACTTCCTTCTCCGAAACAACATTATTTCGGAAACGAAACACCAGTTCAATGTTCAATGCTCTGTCACGACTAGATTCACATTCCAATGAGTTAAAGAGTGTCTTTGACCATTCCGATAGGAGGAATTATTGCTCGCATTATATGAAGAATAACAATGGACATCAACTCAGCAGCCCTCTGCTCCGAAAAACCTCCATGTCAGCCCTCTGCTTGAACATCGCCACAACGAAACGATTTTATTCGGAAGAAGTTTTTTCATACAGCAAGGAAGAGGATGTCAATGATCCCTTGTACGTTTCTGAGGAAGAAAAACGACAAAAATCGGAAAAGATGGGAATGTTTTATACGTGCAAACCTTGTAAGCAGAGGCATTACATTGAATTTTCCAAACACTCGTATTATAAAGGTGTCGTAATCACACGATGTAAGAATTGCAAGAGTCTTCATCTTATTGCAGATCATTTAGGATGGATTAGTGACAATAAGCAATCTTTGGAAGAAATGTATGGGAAGATTGTCAAGCAATCAGACTTACTCAAACAACAAACAACAACGGAAAAGAATGATAAATAATAATTTAATTATAGTAGTATACAGCTTAGCTCAACCAACCTCTTCGAAATTCTTAGTGCTTTCGAATGGTCTTAATTTCATTTGGAATATTGTCAATACACTTCTCAAAAACATTTACCAAGACATCATAGCCTTCTTCAAACTTGATATGCAATGGTCTTTGAGCTTCATTACTATATTCATTGCTGATTAAAATTGCTCGATGGCAACTCTTTAAGAATGTCACACAAACATTCTTCAGCTTGGTGACAAATTCTGCCTCATATTTAGAAACCTCGTTTGGATGGAGGAATGAGTTTACAATGTGAGGAATTCCTTCGTTCACTGTTGGAATAACAACACCTGTGAGGACAAGATGGAGTTGACTCACATCAATAGGTGCAGCTTGTACTTTCTTCTTTTCACCATCATCGTTTGGAGAAGATGGTGTATTTGAAACAGCTTCAGTCGCGACAACATTCATAGCTTCAACAGCGGATGAGCTTTGATCAGTAATGAACTCTTCGTCGACATCAAAATCATCATCCAAAATTCTTCCAAATCTAAATACTTGTTTCTTATCTTCGTCCTTGTCTCCAATGGTAAGATGTTCAGCTCCCATACAAGCATTAGTGAGTCTTTGAATAGAACCTTCTACAATCTCAATAGCATTCTCAATGGGTGACAAGTCGGTATATTCTTTGGATAGTACTTCACTTCTATTGAGCACAGAAGGGAAAGTAAATTTGGTAGTAATGATTGTTTTTCTCTTACATTGTTCAGTGATATTTCCGTGAGATTTTTTACCAGCCAATGTGAAAGGAGTTTCGAAAATAAACTTTGAAATGTTAACATTCTCGTTAAAGTAGCGGTCACTATTTGGAATTTCATATTGAAGGGCATTATTCGTGTAATAAGGTTTCACAGAGGTAATTTGGACATAGGCCTCATCTTCTTTTTTCATTGCGTCAGTTATTACTTGAGAGTCTCCAATAATTTTAAGCTCCTTTCCGAAACGGAAATGTTCTTTCAAGTAGGTCATTAAATTATTCAAACGAGTAGTCTTGGGCATCTTGTAAACAAATTCCTTCTCACGAACATTTTCAGGCAAGAGCTTTCCAACAAAATAGATACGATAATAGGCTCCAAATAAACGAGCAGTTCTTGTTTTTGGATCAGCCATCTTGGCGTACAAATTGCTTAATTCATTATATTCATTCTTCATTCTCTCAAAATCGCCTTCAATTTCAAAAAGACCTAATAACAACTTGTGCAATTCTGCCATGAATTCATAATAACTATCTTCTTTACAATAGTGAATGGCACTATAGAGAAGTTGAACCATACCATCTCGGTTAAAGTAGTGAGATTCAAATTCTGGTCCAATATTTTCTGAAGTTGTTGATTTCTTTTGGAAGAGAGCTTTCAACTCCAAGAAGTTTTCAGTTCTCAAATATGGAGAAATGTTCAAGAAATGTTGAGAGAGTTCAGAAATTTTCTTTTGATCAGTGCCATATTGATTTCCCCAGACTGACTTGTCACGTCTCAATTTTAAGTATTCAAACACAACTCCTGCAATGTAGACATAACATTGGGCAGCTTCAATATATCTTTCATGTTTGATGTGTTCTTGAGCGAGGTTGTGATACCAAGTCACAGAAAGCTCAGGTGCATGCTTGTAACCACCTGCAATTCTGTGATACAAATCACACATAGTCTCTTGATCAGCCTTTCTCTTCTTGAGCTCTTCAATTTGAACAGTATCAAGGAGAGTCTTTCTCAATCTTTCAACTAGTTGCTTCACTTGTTGACTGTATGGCATCTTGTATGCAAGTTCATCCTCTTCGGATGGTTTCTTAATCTCAAATACTTTTTGAGCGTTGTGGAAGGCATCTTGTGGGGCCAATTGTGGAACTGATGAATCAGCTTGAGCATAGTCCGAAATAATTTGGAAACTTTCTCTCAAGAGTTGAATGTTCACACCATTTTCAAATTCAGATGCCAAATAAGAGAGAGCAACAGTTGTTTGAATCTTGGTTCTTGTGAAATTATAAAGATCATCACTTAAATAGTTTTGTTTGATCATCCAGTACAAAAGAGCAGTTGCCTGGCTTCTCACCTTATCTAGCACAGATTGGCTTTGTCTTAGCACAAGTTTACAAAGTACTTCGATATATTCAGCATTCTTACTGGTGAATATGGTTGACCTGAATTTCTTAATAAACACTCTGAGTAAGTGGTAAAGACCAGTTAAACAACAATCTGCTTGATTTGTCTTGAAGAAAGACATGAGAATGTGGAAAATGTGGTGGAAAAGTTCCAATTCGTTTCTCTTTCTGTTAATCTCCAAATTCAAAATTAAATCCATGATTGAAGTAAATTGGAATTTTTTACAAATATCCAACATGATCGAGAGAATACAGCTTGAAATCTCAACATTCAATCGGGACTCCCACAACACCAAATCATCAATAATCTTCTTTTCAGAATTTTTCAAGGGGTGAGATGTGGTAGAACTCTTCAAAGAAACGCTTCCAGTGTTGCCTTTACCCATTTGAGCAATAAGTGACGTTTCGGTAACACTTCCCATTCCACCTCTCACAGATGCCTTGTTTTGAGTGGAAAAGTTCATTCTTTCCCTAAAGTTACGACGACCGGCGTTAGGATTTGTTCTGTTAGGAATTCTTCGATCCAGTGAAGTATACAAATTCTCTAATTTAGATTTTGCCTCGTTCAAGGATTTTCCAGTATTGGTGTGTGCTCCAATGCCTAACTTGTGATTCTCTTCAATCTTTGTTCTTCCACTGTATTGGAAAACTTGCACAGCCATGTAAATAATTTGAAGAAGAATCTTCTTTCTGTTAAAACTTTCGATTTCAAACCATTTCATGAAAAGTTCTCGATCCATATTGTAAAGAATGAACAAAATGGAAATAAGCGCTTGTTGCTTTTCAAGTTTACATCTTTCTTTCTCATCTTTGAATTGTGTGAGAGTGTCATTGTAGTGTTTCTTGGCTGTTTGGACGGAATCTTCCAACTCCTTCAGTTGTTGTTGTTGTTGAGATTGGTCTTGTAATTCTTGTTGTTGCTTGCTGAGTTCTGTCAATTTTAATTGGTAATCATTCTTGGACTTGTTGACAAGATTTCTAATTTCCGTTAATTTAGATTCACTAGTCTTCTTAAATTTGTGGAAAATGTCGATAAATAATAGAACATAGGAGAAATACATGTTTGAAATTGCTGTTTGAATATCTTTGTTCTGATATCTCTTATCATATTCATGCTTGGTTAACATGTTTCTCATGAGGGCAATTGATCTGCTTCTAACAATTCTTTCCTTGTTGGTCAAATCTTCGATACACCATTTCATGAGCAAACCACATAAAAAGTGGTTATTGCTCAACTTGACTTCATCAGTAATGTTCTGTGAATCTTCATTAGGATCTACATCCTTCTTGTTTGGTTTATAAAAGTATGGCATAGATAATGGAACATAATGTTCATAGTCCACAATAATTTCCAAGAAAGTATTTCTGAATTCTTGGATCACTTCATAGTTTCCATTTCCTTCTGATCCTGCCTTCATTGTAATCAAGTTCATGTATGTTTCAATGTGAGACAAGACGACGCCTCTATCCATGACATTGAACAAGTCTCTCAGGAACAAGGCAAAGTTTGAGTTGAGTAGCTTTGCCACGTTGAAACCAGCACCGCTTCGATATGCTGTCTCTGTCGCTATGACTTTGACTAACCTTGAGAGAATATTGTGAAATTCAAGTAATCTACCATTACCTCCAGTAAACATTTTGCTTCTATCGACAATGTTCAGGAGCTTCTTCTCTCGGAGATAGAGCGTGAGGGATTTGATGATTAGGTCGAAAATTACCCAACTGTACATTAAGGAAAGTTTGCTTTCCATGTCGTCGTTGTTTTCCAAAGCAATTCTGGCCTTATTTGGATCTCCTCTTCTAGTTCGCTTGATTTGAATTTCTTCGAGCATAAATAACCATTGTTTTGTAAGATCTGTGAATACATATGAATCACAATGATGGAAGTTAACAAATATTTTGTCGACATATTCCTTGATTAGCTTGTTTCTTTCTGTTGATGAGTCAGAAGAGGTTTTTTCTTCTTCTTGTTGACCTCTCGTATTGCTGGCTTCGAGATAGTATCTATTCACTTTATCGAGACAAGTAAGGAAAAAGAGGAAAGCTTGGTATTGGGCATTTTTCATATTGTGATTGTAGCACATTCCAGTACAAATGGTTCTCAGTAATTGATTAAGAATGGCAGGTAAAAAGCTGATTAAATCCTTCACTGGAACATGATACATTTCTGAAATGTATCTCATCACAATAGATTCAGGATTCATGCTAGAAACTATTGCACCGCTATTACTTCTTCTTAATACTGGGCTTCCTGTACCCATTGCAGGCAATTCTCCGTCAAAGAGGTCATCAGATGACATGGTTTTCATAACAACTGAAGGAGATGTGACAATACCACTTCCGCCTATCAAATTGGTATCATAGATGGTATCATTCTTTGCAAACATGACAGAGTCTCTCACGTCGTTGTCACTGATAACAAGTGGAAGGGACGCAAAGAAATGAGAAAGGCATCTGTCAGTGGTATAAATAGTACTAAATGGCAGGAATGAAACCACAAAGAGTGGCTTTCCATTCTCAATCAGCTTACTTGTACTTCTTACTTTTTCGCTCATATAGCCCTTCTTGTCGCTAAATTCTTGATAAATTGGTAATTGTTCAATACCACTAACCAATCTACCCATGTTAAAGGTCATTGGAATATTTGAATCTTCTTCGACTAATTGTCCAGGTTTTTTTCTTTTAACAACGGTAGTAAAGTCCAAGAGAGGAATAAAGCTATATCCTAAAACAGATCCAACACTTGCTTTGTAAGGAGCGTCTTCCTTAGCTACTTGATCCTTATTCTTGCATGGAACGTGGATAAAAGTAAAAAGCAAGTGGTGCTTCTCAGTGATATGTGTTGGAAGTTGAATCTTGAACTCATCGTTGAATTCTGGATGCTTAGAGTGATAGCTAATAGTAGAATAGTCGTGAGTAGTTTTTGAATCTCTTCCAGTTTTGTTGAATCGATTGTATATGAGAGGAAGGCCTGGTGAATCAAGATTATCGTCATTATTTCTTAATTCTATCTTCACACTGACGCTTCTGGATTTTGATCCAATCAGACCTTTTGAGCCAATTTGAACGTTTTGTGGATACACATATAATGTGTTGTCATACTCGTTGAAATAACTTAATTTGGATGTGCCAAGCTCTCTCATGAGTTTGCATCTAATATTACCCTCTTCTTCAAAATATTTGCTCATATCAAGTTCTGTTGTACCTTCCAAAGGATCCATTGCATTCTTTAGATCAGTATAATCGTCAGAATTCAACTCCACAACCCTCAACTTTAGAACAGCAGGGAAGTTTTTCATCTTTCCCTTAGTTCCTGACGCATTTAGGGAGTCGGTAGAAGATTCCTTTGAACTTGCAAATGTGCTAAAGAACTGTTCGTCTCCCATGTTTCCCTTTGTTCTTAAGAAGTGTTTTACCTCATTATCAAGGCATACCTCATCAGACGCATTAAACAATTGTTGGAATGAGTAAGCCATTGGTTGTAAGTATGGTCTCATTTTAGAAGCATTCTCTGAAGCGTTTTTTGCAAATTTGCTCTTGCTGTCTTTACATTTTTCTGGTCTAATGTATGGTTCAGCAGCGTCATCTTCATCTCCTTGAATAATTTTATAAACTCTAATGTACAGGAAAACATCCACAGATCGCTCTGAAATTTGGAAGATTGCTCTATTGTTTACCTTATTTTGTTCCAAATCTGAGGATGAAAAAAGTTTTCTCATGGATTCATCTGCCAACTGGTGATTGACGTCACAATGAAATTCCTCACTAATTCTCTTTTTAGTATTAAAATCTACTACGCACATTGTGATAAAGAATGGTTCAAGTTTTTCTGAATCAAATTTTTCAGTGAAAAGTTTTGGAACAAAGTCCAATAACTCAATCAAAATTGGTGAATGTTTGAGAGGTACTTTTCTGTCTTTGATTCTTTTACAAATTTGCACCTCAGCACCACCATTCCAGTCCCATTCAACAGATTGAGTGCTCATGTCATAAACAAACATGGTTTTGTTCAATTTCTGAGAACCGTTTTTAACATGTGCAATATTGGCATGAATCTTTTTTGAGGTCTTGTCAATACTGTCGACAATTTTTTCAACTTTTTTTACCTTTGTCTCACCAGGTTTGTAATTTGTCATACCGGCCGACTCTGTCTCTTTCATCAACTTGGTAAAATTATTTTCTGATGATGATTGGTCACCATCTCCACCAGAATTGTTATTGGACTGATCCGTAAGAGGAGTAGCGCTACCCGATGAGATGCTTGAGGTCTTCACTCTCACATCCACTTCATACACAGGTAGTTTGCTTCTCACATTTAAATCAGGAAGAGAAGCCTTCTCAAATTTACCATGTAATTCGTAATCAATGGACAAGTTTGGAGATTCAAAGTATCTGAATTGTTCTTTGATATGATGTGGTACGTTACTGATACTACCCACAGTGTTGGCTCTGGAAGAACCTGTTGTTTTCTGTGTTTCAATCACTTGAACAAGATTATCGGGAAATAATAAATCATTAAAGACTTGTGTGCTTTGACGTTTATCTTTTGAAGGCTTTTGATCGGATCCAATCGCAAGAACATTTTGCATGTATTGCTGATATTGCTGTTCATAGGTATTTAAACAACTACTGATGCTACTATTATTCGTACCTGCCGATGAAGTACTGAAGAGCATGGAAGAAGGTGAATTTGGAAATCCGGTGGCCGAGTCCATCGATGAGAAGGATCCATGATGATGAGAATCGCCAGCAATTCCTCCTCCTAAAACAGTAGGATGTGCCATTGTATTGGATGTTGTGATGGAGGAGGCTGTTGTTGTAGGGGTCAATACTGGACTATCGGATGACATCATCATCAGAGGAGCCGATGACGGGGAGGGCGATGTGGAAGGAGAAGTTGTTGCCGAGGAAGAAGAAAGGGCGCCTGGAGTGGCACTCATTTTTTTGTGAAAGATTTGTCTGTTGACAAAACAAAGGAGGAGCGAATGAGTGACGTGAACCTGTCTTGTGGTTGGACATGTTGGGAATTGTGCAAAGATGATCTTGTAGCAATCTCGATCGTTCAAAAATTTCCTTTTTATTGCATCGCCTCTGAAAGAACGTGCCAACTGTTATCTAATTTTAATGGTCTTCATCGTATCCGTCACAATGGTATAGATCGGAGAAATAAATTTTCGAGGTAATAGTTCTGTTGTGTAAGGCAATATTTCAGAATTAAATAAAAAGTTGGTGCTCTCACTTTGAGTGTAATGTGAAATGATTTGAAGAGTGAATTGACGAGGTGCATGCGAAGCAAGTAGAGTATGGAATTGTAAAATCTTTGAAAAATCGCCTCTACTACTGGCATAAAGATGGAAGAAGGAAAGAAATTCACCTCGATATTGCATGTTTTCGATACTTGATGAAATCACATGTTCTGGTTTGAGATAGATTCTAATTTCTTGTGACAAGACCAATATATCCGATTCAAGAATGACTGTCACGTTGTTCTTGCTTCCAAATGTTAAAGTTTTCACTGGATTTTCTCTTAAATACGATGATTGTTCTGAATTTGATAATGACGAGTTAAATTCAATCGCAATAAAACTATCATAATCGATAGAGGTCACCTGTTGAATAGCAAGAGCTGGTATTAAATAAATCTCATGTTCTTTGGAATTTGTTGAAATGGTTTGGCTCGCTCCTAAATTGCCATTCATAACATATTGCACAGGAACACTGTCTGTGTGAAGAAGGGAGATGTAAGTTTTTTGTTTGCGTGTATTCTGTTGCCGTGACATGCTCGGATCTACAGGTGGTTCCAAATCCATCGCATTGCTATCATCATTCGTGTCAGATATGTGTAAAAATTCAGAAATTCCTCCTTTTCTGACACCAATAGACATTGGTGCATCAAAATCTTCTTCAGGTAAGATAATCACTTTCTGAACGAGGACTCGTTTAGGGGCTGCTTCTGAGTAGGGAGTGAGCATTAGACCTGAAAATATCATGAGTATCAAACTCACAGAAAGGAAAATAAATAAATGCAACTTGTTTGAGTTTGCAATTTGAGATTTTCTCTGATTCTCTGAAATCACAAAAGGATAAAGAAGATTGGTGGCAAGGAATGCAATAAATCCAATAAAGCATGCAATAGCAACGTCACATTTCCAAATAGAATTCACAAATCCACTTCTTGACATGATTGGCACGAATATATCGACTGCAATTAAAATATGTTCCAACACAAATATTAAATATCCTGTCATCATGATACTCAAGTGAATCCACCATTTTGTGTACTTTTGGATTGTATGAGATGAAGCAATAACAAGTGCAAGAACTACAACCACTGGCAAGAATCCTGATACAATATTGAACCAGTTGAAAACAAGTGTCACCAAAACCCAGAATAGCCACACAGACACATAAATATAAAAAGAGCTTGTGTAGCTGCTAAATATTGCGAGAACTAACGTGATACCTAAAATTGAGGGGAACGCAAACAGGAACAGAGTAAACACAGATCCAGTGGCGTACCAAGACATTGGATTTTTGAAAATAAAAGCGAGTGTTAGAGCAACTAGCGAAGGAAAAAGCATGCTTGAAATGAGACTCAGTAAAACAATTCCAAATGCCTTAAGAAGTGACCAAATATATCTTTCTTCCTCGTCAGAATGAATGCTACGTGCAACAATTTCTGAATTGGGTTCACTGATGATTTCTTCCTGATTTGAGGTTGTCGTGGTTGATTTCGAGTCATTTGAAGCATTCGAAACTCTTCTTCTTCTTTTCTTTCTATTTTCATTCTTCTCTTTTTCCTTTGCATAGATTTTTCTTACCATAAATGTAAGGGCAATTAAAATAATAACATTGTAGACGGGCTGTGCAGAGCTTGAGGAATAGCAAAAAATAAATAAGGACAAGATGTCAAAATATACAGCAGGAGTAGTAATCTCTTCAAAAACAACATCTTCTTTTGGAGTAGTATTTACATTGGGAAAGAATGTTGGAAAGCTAGCCAATTTCTTAATAAAAGGAACTAAATTTTCACCCATGTGTTGAATGGTATTTTCATTGAGAGTTTCAATCGTGTCTCTGTTAGTATGATGAACATAACCATTTCTGTAAAAGACAGAATCAATCCCACCAATCGTTAAATTAAGATAGGAAGTATATACATTAAAATCGCTTTGAGAGGGAATCAAACCAAGACTAAAGAAATCCTGAGCCACAGCAGTTGCCATTGGATATTTACACACACTTGCAAACTGTTTCATAATCCAGGTATTGGATGACTGAAAGGTCAAATCTCTACTCGCTCCAGATCCAATCGATTCCATATTAATGACTGAACGAACAGTGGAGGCCCAAGGATGTCGAGTCACAAAAATCTTGGATCCAATCAATCCAATTTCCTTTGCACTGTTAAATAGAAAAATCACTGGGTGACGAATAGTATCTGGATCGTGAATGAAATTGCTAATCATTTCGAGTGCAATGAATGTAGGAATGGTTCCTGAAACGGATTGAGTGCTTGGCACACTATCAAAGTGAGAACTCACTAAAATGGATTCATTCAAAAATTGCAAATGTTTTCTAGAATGCAATCTCACCAATATATTGGTGACATTGGAATAGGACAAGGTAATTTTCATATTTGGGAATATATGAGCAGGATGTCTCATGGAAAATGTTGCTTGTCCATCTTTCACGTAATGAAAGTCAATCGTCATTTCCAAATGATTTTGAAATTTATCGTTTTTTGCTTTTAACAGCTCGAGTTGATTTCCAAGAAAATGTAAACTTTTTCGATATTCTTCACTTCCAACAATTCTTCCGAAAAAGGCTTCAGATGAGTTGTAGAATTTTCGTGCCTCTGCAATGCATCGTTGAGAAGAAAATTCGGAAAGTTTTGAGGAGGAGAGTGATGATGATGAAAAATTCGGAACTTGTTGTCTATAATAAACGAGGATCAGAATGGATATATGGAGAAAGATGATCACTAGCCAAAAGATAAGGCTTCGGATTTGTTTATCATAAATTACGATTTGTTGATTTTGGTAGGTGAACACAAATTTGAGCTGTGTGGAGTGGTGTTGTTGTTGTTGATGATGGTATTGTTCATGTTGTTTCTTGCTAGTGTTGTTGGGTGTTGTTGTTGCTGCTCCTTTCGACGACGACGCGCTTAAACTCTCCGTCGTTGATGATTTTGTGGATATTGTTGGTGAGTGATCATCATTGCTTGGTGTCATTTGTTTGTTGTTTGTAAAAAAAATTGATGATCAATAGATTTTCGCAATACGTGTGCTCTGCTTTTTATTGCAATGATCATCATTGCCTCAAAAGCTTCTGATGGAGTAAGCAAAATACAGAGTGCAGTCACCTTAAAAGTTTTCTTTGTGGTAAACAAATTGCACACTCTCTGAGCTTTCTGCAAGAGCAAAAGAATAGACATCTTTGGAAAGGGCAGGAGGACCACAGACAAAAACTCCAACCTTTGATCTGACTTTTTTGTGTTGTGATGTATTTCTGTCAATCCATTGCTTGACATAGGTGAATTCTCGTTTCCAGTCTGGACGTCCATAGTGTCTGTTTTGATTTTCTCGTAATTTTGTGAGAGCATCAATATGTATGACATAATTGCTTGGGAATAGTCCTGTCTTGCCTGTGTTCAAATTCTTTCCTTCCCACCATCCAGAGTCGTCTTGCTCCTTCAGTTCAATAATGTCATTCACATGAAGTTCCAATTCATCTGAAGAAGTTGGCATGTACTCATACATGGCTCTCAATAGCATGTCTCCTGTTTGCTTTTTTCCTGATTGTTGATACTCACTGCTTCCGTAGATGATTTTCTTGACTTCCTCTGCTTTGAGTTTTCCAGTCATGTAGGTATTGATTTGGAAGAAGTGTGGATTCTTCTCTTCAATATCATTTAATAGAGAAGAAAACCATTCCCATGAGCCATGATCTCTGTTGATGAAATAAAAGAAACATCTTCTTATCTTAATTGGTTTGCCTCCTTTCTTTTCTTCTTCTAGCTTGTTATTAAAATGTTTCAATAATGAGGCATAGGGAGTAGCTCCAATACCAGCAGCAATAAGCATGACTGTTTCGTAATCAAAAACGTCACTGAAGGAGTGAAGGAACCATGAGCATGCTCGTTGTAAATTATGTCATAAATACTTACTCTGCCGCTGTTCCAAAAGGTCCATCCACCTTAATCAAATAATCTTTATCATCTGGTGTTTTGGGCTTGTTGATAACAACGGTTGGACTATGTGTTGGGTTAAAAAGGTCCATCAATGCATTTGTCTTTATTTCATAAATCCGAATGGTGATTTGAAATGTTACCAATGACTATAATGACATTGAAAAATTGCAACATACCCAGTCACCTGCGCACTTAATATGGAAATGTAGGAACTCATCTTCAGGTGCAGATGAAACTGAAGAATTGAACCAGTCGCTGAATTTGATACCTATTCATCAACGTGAAAGTACTTACTTGTCATGGCATGCCATTCATGCTTACTGATGAGAGGACAATTAATGTAGGCATACTGACCAGCCTTGTAATCAAATCTTGGCTTTTCAAGAACAATCTCTAAGACTCTACTTGGCAAACAATGAACTCTCTTAACAACGGTTTCTTCAGATCCTCTGACATTTCTCAAAATTCTTTCAAAGAGGTACAACACACAAGGTCCTAAAAACCATATCCAGAAAACCTTTCCATGAACAAGCAACAACACAAAGAAGATAATGAATAAATGATGTGTATACCAGAATACTGTATAATTTCTGGTTTTACGATAGTTGCTGTGGCTAGTAGCATACATGAGATACATGACAAATACAAGCAAATTTCCAGTAATTCCATATTTCTGAACCCAACATGCTAGAATGGAGCTGGTCACTGTTGTTTGTTCATTAGAGTATGCAAAGTAATAATTGGCGTAGTTCAGACTATTTCATGGAAATTAGTACATGAACTTTGTATTAGCAATACATTCATTTCATTCAAACAAACTTACTAATGGAAAAAGCCATGCCCAACCGTACAGAACACTACCCAATATGCAATGTATCGATGGAAGATGAGATTTTTCTCGAGAGGAAATATGTGAGAGAGCTTTAAGGTCCGGAGCGTGTTTGATAAAGTTCTCATGGTAGGAACAATCAGTAGGGCAGAATTGAAGTTCAGTAATTGGCCAAACCCTCTGGCAAATGTAACATACCAGGTGAGCCTCAATATGTCCTCGGTTTTTAGCGCTGTGATCTTGCTCAGTTTGGCATAGATGAGATCGTGCCACCTCACTGCAGCCTCAATAAACAGCCCAATATTAATACATGCCCACAATATAAACACAAGCCATTTTCTCCATTCTGATGTGATATGGTTCTTTCTGGCTTCCGGATTTGTAAAGAATGCCTTCCATCTTGAGGCTCTTCTCTTACTCTCGGAACGTGATGATGAAGACCATCCATTCGCACAGAATATATATGCTACAAAATCTATCAAGGTATTCTTCCAGTTCATTCAAGTGAGGGCAAACGAAATCAACAATGATGTTGAGAAGAGCAAAGAATAAGGCCAGCACACACTGAGAAAGAGCACTTGGAATATTGTCGTCAATGTCCAGCGAGCCTCCTTCTCGAGAAATTTTTTTAACTATTCTGAGCTGCAACACATTTCCAGGTGACAAAAACGGAAAATTTTCTCCTTGTTTTAGACGACCCCACCTTTGAGGAACCAAGTACATTGTTGTTGAAGGGTTTCCATGGGGCTCAGATGGATCATCATCTATCTTCAAAACCTTGAAGAAAGAAATAGAAATATGGCTTTCAATCTCATGTTTTACAGACATCCCGCGCTCGCAAATACAAAAATTCAAATCTAAAAAAAATGATAAAAACCTCTGAAAAAACCTCGGTCTATGCTTTGAAAAGCAACAACAACAATAACAGCATAAATAAGGATTCCATCAATGCCCTCTCAACCAACAGTAAAGCTAATGAGGTTCTTCATTACACAAGGAATGGTGTTTCCTCATCGGAAAAGAAAAAGGTCATAAATGTCATTCATCGGATTGATTCTGCAGATTCAGGAAGTGTCCTGACAAATAGAACCAATTCCGGTGGTAGTAGAGCCAGCTCAGCATCGAGTACTTCTTCTTCTTCGTCAAGTCGCTCCTCAGACCACATGTCATCAACGCAAAAAAATGGAAAGAGCTCGGAACAGAGCAAATCATCCAAACAAGCAGCGGAGAAACAAACACCAACAAAAACAATCGCAAAACCATATAAATCACAATCGGAAAGAATCAACAATAATTCGTTGAAACAAAAGTTACCACAGGAAGTATCATCACCAAAAAATAAGAATGAATCAACTCTACCCAAGAAAGACACAAAACAAGAAGTAGTTGACACTACTCAAACACTGGAATTGCGTCATCAGAAGTTATCATCGTTTCCAGAAGCTCACCTTGTAAAGGTATGGAGTTACATTTTTTAATTTTCTTTCTTTTTGAACGCATTATTTTAAAATCTTTCAATTCAGCACAGACTGAACTTGTCAAGCTTGATATTTCGTTTAATTCATTTTCGGATCTTGAAATGCTTTCTAATTTCCCAAAACTTGTTTCATTCAAAGCCATGTATAACAAATTAAAAACTTTGGATGGAATTGAATTGTAAGTTGGGATTTGTAATGAAATCTAAACGAGATTAATTTTCATTCAATGCAAAAGATGTGAACAAATCAAAGATTGCAACATAACTGGAAATGCAATTGAGGATGTGTCAAAGTTGGCATTTTGCAAGAAACTAGAAACACTATCATTGGATGGAAACAAAATTGCAAGCTTTCCTTCGCTGAGCTCTTTAAAGTGTCTGACTTCTCTTTCTGTTGACAATAATTGCTTGAAGACATTCGATGGAATTAGCGGGCTTGAAAATCTGACCACTTTTTCTGCAGCAAGAAATTACTTTGAAAAATTGACTGGACTCGGAAAATGTAGATTTAGGTCCAGTCTACTTGAGCTCGATTTATCTTTTAATATGCTGGATAAGGCAGACTTTGCATGCCTTCCTACGTTTGACAAGCTAGAGGTAAGCATCATTCTGAAACACCAAATTCAAAATTTAACTTTTTATGTTGACAGGTACTGCGCCTTAAAAACTGTAACCTGTCTTGTTTAGATATATTTCCAACATGCTTTCAAATTCGAGTTTTAGTTCTATCTAGTAATTCATTTGAGTCGATAAGTGGAATAGAAAGCCGATTTCCGCACCTAGAATCTCTGGATGTGCGGGATAATCTTATATCTCATGTCAAACAACTACAAGAAAATATTTCATCTCTCTCGGAGTTAGAAATGCTCTATGTATCAGGAAATCCAATGTGTGACATTAATTCGAACTATGTTAAAATTCTCTCGACACATTTAAAAAATTTAAGGCTTATCGATGAGGTGCGGGTGAACGCATATGAGCTGCCATCAGAGATTGATCAAAATGATTCAACAATCATTACGGAACTAGGATATACAGAGCCAGCTTTTGATGACAAAAGCTATTAGATCAAGTCCTCAAAAGAGAGCAAACGAGCTTGAAAGAGGCTGAAGAAGTGAAGGCCCTCTTTTTGAATCTTGAAAAACAAACACGAAAGCTGGAAAAAACATTTGAGAACTCATTGCATCGTTTGGATGCAAACTTAAATGAAATCAAAAAGGGAATAATATTTGAATTGGACATTGAGCGGAAAGAATCTGAATCATTTGTTGACTTGGACCCACAAAACATTGATGCACGTTCATCCCAAACTCTTGACCTTAACGATATTAGGAAGTCCATGAACAGGATCGAAAAGAAACCGATATCAAAAGCGGAGGACGTTCAGATCGTGAATGTTCGGAAATCTCTGAATCACATTGAAAGAATACGAGCTGCACAACACTACTCTAAAACTGCTGAAGTGGACAATAAGGAAACTAGTAACCTTAATGCTGAATTTATAGATGATTCACGTTTCGTCGGCGGTGGGCATTCTGTAAACGACGCAAGTGAGAAGGTTGCAAACGAAGTCGAACAGTTTCTTCATTTACTCAACTCAAAAACCGCTGAAAGAAAAGGTCCACCCAGCTCAAGTGGTCTTAAAGTTCGAAGAAAACAAAAGGATTCGTGACTTGACATAAGTTAAGGTTTTTTATAAAGTAACGATCAAAAGGGTGCTCATCTCTTTGAACGAAACCTTCATTGTGTTGATTTAAAGTAATTCATCCATAACATGCACTGGTTGCGTGGATGGTGGCTGAGTCACTGAAATCAGATATTGTTCATCAATAAAGCTGTGTGGTATTACTCTTGCAATACCAGAATCCAAAAATTTCCATGAAATTCTAAACTGATTCAAGTTGAAGATACCTGGTGAGAAGAATGTCGCCCTCACAGGTATGCTCAAAATGTCAGAGCCTGGTTTGACATCTTTAAGGAAAATTCTGGTAGGGCCAGACCACAAGTAAAAGTTTTGAGGTGAAATAGTAATGGTACTTGCTGAACTGGTTGCAGTGGACATGGCACGCAATTTAGCATTTCCTGCCAGAGCAAGTGAAGCAAATGGTGGTATTAATTCCAATGTGAAATCGGTGACCATATCTGGAGAAACATTCATGAGTTTGACAATAATATCTACGGTGCATGAGGGTTGAGAAGGAGTAAATTGGTGAATAATTTCCTTCTCATATTCCAAAATCACTTCAATGGGGCATACAAGGTTTTCCTTTGATGGGAATTTGGCAGCAGGATGTGATCGTTTTGGTTTTTTAGTGTGAGGAAGGAAGGAAACCTTACTATGATAAGTAATACCTAAATTACAAGCTCTTGATCTCCATATAACTTGCAAACTCAAAGTATTCAATTGTTCTTCAATGTCGACTAATTCATCTCCCTTTTCGGTTGTGAGAGTTCTTCCATAGAATGTCAATTCATGCTTCTTTGATTCGCTAAAAAGGAATTGTAAATATGGTTTCATTGTGGTATCGATGATTCTATTACAACCTCCAACAGGATGTGAACGATGAATGAGCTCCACTTCGGTCAATTGTTTAACATCTGTGCTCAATGTTTTAACCTTCTTTTCGTGGGTGACATTCTTATTTAACTTCAAATATAAAGTAAAAGATTCCTTAGGTAAGACAATAATTGGCTCTGTGGGTGGCACTACTGGCTCAATCTCCCAAAGAGGGCTGACACTCACCAACTGATCAAGTTGTACAAAGTGATCAGGTCTGAAATTTTGTAACTTGAGACCACAAATAAATGAATTTGGCTCTGTGTAGGTAGAGTCACAAAATGTAGTAATTTTAAGCGAGTCCAATACCTTTAGAGTGGTGTGGAATCTGTGCAATCGATACTTGAGGTCGTCATTCTTTTCAGTTGGTTCATAATAAAATAGGAATTTTGAGTCATGAATACCAGAGAATGATCCTCTCACAAAAACAGGAATTTCAATGCTTTCTCCTGACTTCAAGCGTTCAGCAATATCATAAAATGTAAAGTCACGTTCAATACCAAAAGTATTAGAAATAAATGTTTCATCTTTTGAAGCAGCGTTTTCAATGAACGTGTAATCATTCAAAGAAAGGTCATCAGAAAGATAATAAATAGATGGATGGTTGAGTTTCAACTTGAGGTTGATCAAATCAGCATTTCCCACGTTGCTGACAATCATTTTGGTTTTTTTAAGCTCTCCATTCCACAACACTTCAATGTTTTCGGTAAATTTAACATCGAGCAATGGGGTTGGAGCGACTACTTTGAGGTTTAGTCGATTATCTTGTTCATATTGGATGGTTGTTCTTTGCTGTTTTGTGTCATTCAATCTTCTTCCTCTCACTTGGAATAACTTGAATCCATGAATATTGTTAAGCACTTTCCATCGAACTCCTCGAATAGAGAGATCTCCTGTCTGAGTTGGAGTAATTTTTAATCTTACAAGGATCGAGTCCAATGGTTGAATGACCACACTAAGAGGTTCTGCTGTGAATCCCCTGTCATTTTCTGGTAATGTTTTAGAATTAAGGAATGCATCAAGAGCCATATCCCTTACTTGAACAGGAATAGATAATGTGTTTGTCAACTTGATCTCTACATAGATTGGTTCACCTACAACTGTAGGCTCAATCCGTTTCATGTCGTTTGATGGCTTTTCCCATTTAAAGAATACAATTGGACCTCTCACTTTTTTAACAAGAGTTTCCTCTAATTTTGCCCATTCCTCATCTGGTAGGGTGTCTGTATAAACAGGTTCTCCGTACTGAGAGTTCAATAATACTCTCACTGCTGATGGATTAATTTTAGGAATATCCAAAAAGTCGAGTTTAGCATCTGAATTTCCTTTCAATTTCAGGTCAGAGAGATACGCTGTAACTGTTTGAGAAAATTCCTCCATAAACTTGGTTTGATATTCAGGTCCTTGTTTACAAACGGTCATAAATTCGTGGAAAAATTCGACACTTGATTTCAAATCTCGCATGTGACTTGCAAGTCTACCCAAAGTAAAGCTCATATGCTCATAGATTTGCAACCATTCCTTATTGTTATATATTCTAAATGCTGTTCTATAACATCTAAAAGAGTGCTTAATTTGATCCGTGTGACTAAATCTATATCCAGCCAAAATCAAAAATAGAGCCGATTTTCTTGTTAGTCTATCCATTGGGCCTTTAAAACAGAGAGCAGTCTGTTCGAAAAATAGGGCAGCCTGTAAGAAATTATTCTCATCCACGTTGGATGCTCTTGTAAATATTTCTCCAGCTCTCTTAAATAGAGCTTTTGATTTATACATGCATGCTTGGAATAATAACGATCTCAAAACAAAAGAAGGTTGTGCTGCATTCTTGTATGCCGTTAATGCAGCTTCCAAATTGCTTTCAACTTCTTTCTTGCCCCCACCTTGCGTTGATGAGCTAAGAAGTGTGCAAATAGCCATAAACTCCATGCATCCTGCATAATTTTTCACTTCCTTGTTTTTAAAGTCACCACTGATGAGCTTGTAAATAGAATACGCTTCATCGTATTCACGAATCATGAAAAGAAGGTCTGCTAGCCGTCGCAACTGCATTTCAGGACTAATTCCCTCCTCTTCTGCCTTGCTCTTCTTAGAGAACCAGGACTTGATGGTATTCTTTAAACCTTTCTTGTTAGCTAATACAGTGTTTGTGATATTCTTAATTTTCGTATCCATTGAGATGACAACTTGATTCAAAATAAAGTCTGCTGTACTTCCAATATATTGCAAATCCTGTTTAGAAAGATGAAATGCGGTAGGGACAATGTTCTGTAACACTCGCTTTTGATAAAGTTGACGTCTTGGAAGTACAGATGACCAAATATCTTCAACAATATTTTCAATTGAATCATCTCTCGAGTTCAAAATGAGCATTCTGCATGATGATGCTGTATACTTTTCTTTGACCTTGTTAAAAATTGAGTTTGCTTTTTCTGAGGTCGCCTGAGAAGATTGGTCATGTACCATAATTACAATTTGTAAAATGTCACTATCGATCATTAAATCTTTAAATAATCTAGGTGGCTTATCAGGATCGAATAGTCCCTTCAAAATTTGAATTGGATCTCCAACTTCTTCGCTTGACAAAACTGATACACATGCAACTGGATGCATCAACGTCTCATGCTCGGAAATATTCAAAGTTTTGATAAATTCATCTCTGAAAATGTCAAACCACGGTGTGTTGTCAAAAAAGTCTTCGGTTAACGCTGATTGCTTGGTTTTGGCCAAATACTGGTCATAGCTCTGTCTGATAATGTATCCTATAAAATTCTGATGAGTCTTCTCTCGTAGAAGAAGATCTGTTCTATTAGTGAATCTGTTTCCATCCTCTCCATATTCTCTATGCAAGTCACTCATCTGAACAAAGTTCACTGAAAAGTTTTGTAAAGTAATGGTAGAATAATTTACTATGAAATAGTAATAATAGCAATATAACAACGTAATAAACATGATGATTGAGTATTGGTGTGGCAGTATAATCATGTGATATTTTTTCACAATTTCCGCATCATCATGGATATATTCCAACAATAACAACAACATCAGAACTGTGTTACTTACACTGTCTTGTTGTTTGATATGGTCTCAACAAATCAATAAATTTCAATCCGTTCTTCATACAAATATTATCTACAGTCGTTGTTGTTCTGACCAACACGGTCGGAGCAAATAAACTCTCCAACCACACATTGAAATCTGTTGGTGATCGAATAGAAAAGGCTTCGGGAATTTGAAAATCATTTTGGCTATATTCATCATCCATAGAATCTCGCATCCCTGAGGCAGAGCCATTCCCACCACTACCACCACCATCAGAAGCATCGAAAAACATTTCCCGAGTGGCATCACCTGAACCTGATGATGAAAGCATTTTTTTTAATATTCTGAAATGATGAAATGATGATAAAAGAATCACAACGAAACCAGAGGGTGTGAAGAGATCAAGATTTTAATGATCAAGCAAATATATTTAGCTACTGCCATGAATGTTGTGTCATAGTGTGATGATGATGGATCGTTTTAGAAGGTGATATTGAATTCACACTCGATTCTTATCTATTGGATCTTGCTCTTGTAGGGATGATTTTACAGTTCTTTCCAAAGTGCTGAGATAGTTTTCACAATCTCCAAATTCAGATCTTAATCGTTCTGTGAGTTGGAAGAGGTATTCCTTGTTTGGTCCACTGGGTCCAATTGCCCTACAAATTATGGTAGCATCATCCACAAGGCCATTCTCAGATGGACCAATAAACTCTGTATTTTCAAGTGTATTGATAGAACCAACATAGAGAATTGCCTTCTTTTCTTCAATAGAGTTGTCATCTTTGACCAGATAACACGTGGTCAGAGTTCTGAAATAACCTCCTTTTTCTCGATAGTCCAATAATTTAAAAGTTTCTAATGCAAGATCACGAGGAATTAAATAACACATTCCATATAAATTTACATCCTTTGCATCAAATTCTTTTTCCTCTATTGCTAGTTTTGAATTCTCTCCATATTTTAAAATTTGATTTTTGTAATCTGCTTCTGTCACAACTGTGAGTACTCTTCCTGGAAATTCAAAATTACCTCTATGGTCTCTACTAATTTGCCAAAATCTTCGTTTGTATCCTTTGATGTATCCTCTGTATTTTTGTGAAAATTGAAAATCTGCTTTCCAAATTAAACTTCCATAACTGCCACATGTCACAAACATTTGAATTCATTCGAAAAATTTAGTTCAAAAAATTCGAAATATTTTTTAAATAATTAAACTTGGTCTTTGAACATACCCAAATAAATAAATTCCTCCATCTCTTAATGTTTGTTCATCCGATTCAAGTAAATCTTCAATGGTTATATCATGATCTTTGGCTCTCAAGTGTTTCCGATACATTTCTTCGAGCGTCAAATCCGAATTCTTCTCATCCTCCGACAGTACATAGAGTTCATGATTTTCCTTATTATTTTCTTGATGCCCTGTTGTATTTGTTGGTGTTGAAAACGAATGGCTGGTATTGGAATTTAACATTTTTTTGACAATTCCAGGAGGATGAGAAGAATTGGTTTTTAATTTGTAACAAAGCAAAGAGGATGAAACGTCAAAGCCATTCGGAGTGTGCTGTGGAATGACAGTCAGCAGAATTCTAGAGGAGTGACCACTAGCACTAGTGCGGACCCACAAATCCGATCCGATCCATGTGCATCTTCTCAGCATTGGTCTCTCTGAGTTGTTGTTGTTATTCAATTCAAGAATTGCTTTCAATTTTTTGTATTTTCTGAAATATTATTCAATTCTGCCAGCACCACCACCAATATTCAGAACAAAATCATCTCAAAGTACAAATAACAATATACACGATCGAGTCTTTGACAATTTGATAATCGGAGAGAGTTTTGTCATTTTGTAACAACTTGCCTTTGAAAGCGAGTCGTTGTTGAGCGAGAGGTAAACCTTCCGATTCTTGAATGAGTTGTTTGAGTGTTTCAATGGTATCGCTCATCTCAAGTTCAAACATGATGAGCTTGCCTGTTTGATTCTTGACGTGAATTTGCATGTGATGTTTTTTTCGTTGTAAAAGTGTTTCTAGAACAAGATGATGAACAACATGTTTCAAGATCTTTGAATCCAAAGAATCATCGCGATCAAGAACAACCACGAGATCCCCACATTACACTTTCATCACTCTGCCCTAATAAATGATTCAGGTTTTCACCTGAAATTCATCTAAAGACACCTGCCATGAAGTGACTCACTTTGATCCACATTTCATTTATGCACTACGTCAAGCAGAGAGGTGACTGACACACACTCTCTCGACGAACACCACTGCCAGCACATCAAAGATTTTGACTCGAGTCCCAGCCATTCACTTTACAACAACAACTCATAAAAAAAATGGGCAAAACTAGATTCTTGGACTTGCTCCGTCCAGCCATGGCAATCTTGCCAGAAGTTGCCAAGCCTGCAAAGACTGTAAAATTCCAAGAGAAGGTCTTATGGACGGCTGTTGCTCTCTTTATTTATTTGGTCTGTTGTCAGATCCCTGTATACGGAATTCGTAATGCTTCATCTAGCGATCCTTTGTATTGGATGCGTGTGATTTTAGCTTCAAACAGAGGTACACTCATGGAACTTGGTATTTCTCCAGTCATCACTGCTGGATTGATTATACAGCTTCTCAGTGGTGCAGGTTTGATTGATGTGAATCAGAATAGCGAAGAAGATAAGGTCTTACTCGATGGTGCTCAAAAGTTCTTTGGTCTTATCATGACCATCATTGAAGCTGTGGCTTATGTTTCATCAGGAATGTACGGAGATGTGAGAGAACTTGGTCTTGTTACAGCTCTTCTCATTGTCTTGCAATTGTTCGTTGCTGGTATTGTTTGTTTGTTGTTGGACGAATTGTTGCAAAAGGGCTACGGATTAGGTTCTGGTATCTCCTTGTTCATTGCTACAAACATTTGCGAAACTATCATTTGGAAGAGCTTCTCACCATCAACAATCAATACTGGTAGAGGAGTTGAATTTGAAGGTGCTATCATTGCTCTTTTCCAATTATTGATTACTCGTAGTGATAAGGTTAGAGCTTTGAAGGAAGCTTTCTATAGACCAAATCTTCCAAACATTACCAACTTGTTGGCAACAATTTTGGTCTTTTTGATTGTCATTTACTTCCAAGGTTTCCGTGTTGAGTTGCCATTGAGATCATCAAGACAAAAGGGTAATGCAGGAACCTATCCAATTCGTTTGTTCTACACAAGCAACATGCCAATCATCTTGCAAACTGCTTTGGTCTCTCAACTTTTCCTCTTCTCTCAAGTGTTGTACAAGAGATTTGGAGACAATATTCTCATTGCTTTGCTCGGTAGATGGGAAACACCACAATATGGTCAAGCTGTTCCAGTTGGTGGTTTGATTTATTACATTTCTCCACCAGCAAACTTGAACGAAATGTTGATGGATCCAATCCATGCTCTTTTATACATTGCTTTCATGTTAGGTTCTTGTGCTTTGTTCTCTAAACTCTGGATTCACGTCAGTGGTGCTTCTCCAAAGCACGTTGCTGATCAACTCAAGGAACAAGGATTGATTCTCGTCGGTCACAGAGACCAACCAAAGGAAATGATTAAGACTTTGGAGAAGTACATTCCAATTGCTGCTGCCTTCGGTGGTATGTGCATTGGAGCCCTCACTGTCATTGCTGACTTCTTGGGTGCCATTGGTAGTGGTACTGGTATTCTCTTGGCTGTCGGTATCATTTATCAATACTTTGAAATGTTCAGTCGTCAACAAGATGAATTGGAAATTCCTTTCCTGAGTGGACAATAATGTAATTAATAATGATGATTTAACAAAATAATACTATTTAAGTTTTGAAATTTGAATTGTAGTTTTGTTTCAATATCATGAAAGTGTGACGAAAATTCAATTCAGTAGATCTTGTCATATGAGCTTGCCGAATATTTTCAATTTCTTTGTCTTAAACAAAAATGCATGCTTCCTATCTTGCCAACATTTCAAAACCAAGCAATGGCAGCAATGTGCAATCGTCATCATCATTGCCATCATCATCATCCTCACCAAATTCACAAATGATGGTTCACTTTTACATTGAAGAAGGCATTGTTTCATGTCCTTGGTGTGGAGTCGATTTGGGAACCTTCACTCCCATTATCAATTCCGAACACACCAGTTGCAGCACCATAATGACTCGGAATCAGACCTTTCAGGTTGTATGGATCCTAGAATGCAGCGAATGCAACCGAGTGTTTAAATTGAATGTCGGTCAGAGATCCACCCACAAACTCGTATCGAATCCTTCTTCTTCTTCTTCCGACTCTTCCTCTTCATTTTCCTATTAATTTGCTTCTCGCTTGTTTTCGCTTAGGCCTCATCATCATCATGGGGTTTTCAAATAGGACAGAAGTATGTCCTACGATGGGACCCAACAAAGTCTTTTAATGAGTTGGGCTTAAAAAGGCTTTCTCGCACTAGCTAGTGAAATTAATCTCCGATCACCAAAAAATATTAAAAGACCCTTCATCACTCGAGGAACCAACACAACCACCCATATTTAACATTCAACAACAACACCCCAACAACCTATTCAACAACAACAACAACAAGTAGTAGTTCAACCCTTCTTGATCAATAGATTTCCAATGAATGATCAAGAAATGGATGAATCAACCCGGAGTATGAAATATGATCAACCACAACAAGAAAAATATGGGGTCCATACGATGGACACACGGCACACTGGCCTCACGAGGTCGACGATGAGAGTATTTAATGTTCAACAATTAGCAGATGATGAGATGTGTTGTGTGATGGATTTCTTGGTGAATGACATTCCTACTGTCATGGCCGTGTCTACTTGCTGCAAACGTTTTCGATGTCTTGTATTGGAAAAGTTGAATTTTGAACAAGTCTATTTTCACAGAATGTTATTGTGTGATGAGAGTATCAATTATTTGAGAAACAAGTTATTGATTCAAGTCTTGTTTAAGAATAGCTTGGAATTCAGAAAGTGGTGTCTTGTCACTCGAAAATATAGACAAGTAGTTCCCAATTTGGTGGTAGAATCTGATGCTTCAGTGCAACCTGTCACTTTGGAAGTGCCTGCAGCTGATGTTGCATCAGATGACAAACAAGAATACCATGATTCTTATCATGCATTGGATCATTTGATTGTCGAAAAGAAGAATAGTTACAAAATTCTGTATTATAATTTATTTTCTAACTGTTTGGATCTAATCGTAGAAAAAGCCTCTCAAGAATTCTATCGTCACCCTTCTTCTACGACTGTCACTAGCAAGACATCAGACAAATCTAACATGTACAATTTATTTCAACAACTTACGTATAGTGTGATTGATTTTCAACAGAATGAAATTACCTTTGAACGAGAATTAGCATGGGGAATATCAAATCAAAATTTGATTATTCAAGATGGACTGATCAAAACTCTCTTTTCTCTTCATTTACTGACCTTATTGACAATCATTGTATTTCAATGGATTATGTATGATCAACTTCTTGAATCTATTATTTTGTTATTTTTATTTTCGGTGACACTTGGAGTTACTTTAACCTTGTGCTGGAGCATTGGACACTTTCCTCTCTTTTCGTGGTTCTATTGGCTATATTATGGCTCTTTGGACTTGTTTCGAATCGAAGAGCAATGTAATCTCATATCAACTGCAAATCATAACAACCACTACGAGAACAAGGATATTTCAAAACTTATTTCAACACTTCACATGCACGGAATTGCATTGTTGAAACATTTTCGAATGGCCAGAGCATATTTTATATACTATTACCATCTATTGATGAGGGCTCAATTGAAACAAGTGGTAAGAGAGTTATGCGAGAAGAATAATGTGAAAGAGCAATTCCAGATGAGGTTTGAAATTTTGTGTCACAACGCCTGGTGGAATTCATTAATTGATCTTTCCGATGATATTCTCTCCACAAGATTTTTCATATGTGTCTTGGACATTGTGTCTGTTCTTGCATTTTCTCTATGGCTTGGAAATTCGTCACTTCAAAAGTATATCAACCACGAAATTTTGAAAATGGTACGATTTCTAATCATTCATGGATGCCTTTTGATTTCCTCCATTGAATTATTTGATATTGTTCGATCCTATATAGTGACGAATAACAACACGTTTAGTGAGTGCTCCATCAAGTTGAGAGAAAGACGGCAAAAAGCAGAGGACACCATCCGGTGGAAAGATGCCATAAAGCTGTTCATTCGAAGACCTTTGGCCATGTTTTTACTAATTGTGACACGGATTTATTTTGTTTCCTATGTTGTCAGCATGACACAATAAAACAACTAATTGTTGACTGTCAGGCAGACATGCTATGACATTAATTCTTCGGTAAAACGTATTACTTCTGCAATAAAGATCGAACTTTCTTGTAAATAAGTTTCAAATGCATATTTTTCGGCCGTATGGTTTCAAAAGGAATTTGTTCTCTGCTGTGAATGGTTTTCATGATAATTGCCAAATCTTGGGTTTTCCTTATTTTTGTTTCCATTTCACAACTACCTTGCAAAAGAATGGACACTGGATCCACCACAGCATTTGCAGCAGAGTTCGATCCAACATTTCCGCTTCCAACAACTCCTCCTTGGTCGTGAGCATTCACAGCACTGGTGCCTCCACTGGATTTGCCTTCCATAATTCCTTCACGAATGACAATCATTTGAATGTCATCAATGGATATAAATTGTCGAGAGACTTGCTTACTATCAACGAGAATGGTTTCATGTTGTTGTGCTTGATTGTTTTCTTCATTCAAGTGATAGATCAATAAATAAAGTAATAAATTAACAATATTAGCTTTTTGTGGTTTGGACTTGTTGTCATCCATGGTAGAAATATCCATTTCAATTTTTTCAAGTTGAATTCCTTTGTTAGGGGTGACTGTTAAAATTTCAGTGGAATAATAATAAAGGGGAGTGGATTGAGAAGAGAATGGAGTTGTGGTCAGAAGAGATGTTGTCACTTCAAATTTGTTTTTCCTCAAGCTAAGCACATGGTACAGAAAATGCAATGGAGATGGATATTTCTTAAAGAGAATTACTAAACACTGAATAGGTACTCCACTTAACAATACTAGTATGCACATCAAAGATAATTGAAAAAATAGCCCTAGTATACCAATTTGTCCCCAATAAATGACCAAATTTAGCAAAATATATACAACAACGAGGATGGGAATTATTGACGCAATCAGTCCTCCACAAAGAACCATAAAATAAGAAAATGGATCATTCATCAGTAAATGATTAAGCCTCAACAAGGTTCTATAATAGGGCATTGTATGAATTTCAAATCGTTCAGATTTTGTAGTTTCTTCAATGTGATGAGCAAAAGAATAATAATTTCGGGATGTGTGTTTCGCTTTTCGTTCTGAAATTGAAGAAGACGATGAATCAAAATAACTCGGATATTCATTATCATCATCTTTTTTGCCTGGTGATGATAATTTTCTTAACATCAAATCATTCAACCACTTTATAATAATATTGTTTTGTAAAATTAACTTCGGAAGAGCTTGGAAAATTATTAGTTTCGTTAATGATGATGATGGGGATGAGGATGTTGGTAATGCTTGATTTGTTGTATTGTTGATGACTTGGACATAGTTGTTTCGGGAAGGAGTTGACTCATGCACACTTTCAGCCATTTTTTCGTGTTGGTTTTTTAATTGAGAACTTCCATTTTTGAAAGTTTCCTTTTTCTTTCTTTGGTGCCTCTATGCATTGTTCATGGTTGTGGATATATAAAAACTGGGAAATAAAACATTCAATCACAAATGATTTTATATATAAATACTCGAGTACGACACATCACTCAAAGGCAAATTAGAACTTTCATGTACAACGTTCACATGCAAATTATTAGTTTCATTCATCATGACATGAATGTCACCCTATATTCATTGCTTATTTCTTAATGAGTAACCCATACAGAAATGTACAAACATTGCTGCAACCATTTTTCCTGTGTTATATTCCTCAATGATTGGATTATATTCACTGAGATCAAATAGTTGAACTTTTTGTTGAGATCCTGCATAAAAACAAATATCCAATGCATTTTGTGCACTCAATCCAAGTGGAGATGGACATGAAACACCTGTGACGTAGGCCATTGAAATACTGTCCAAATCAAAACTAACAAAGATTTGTTCTGTATTCTCAAAATCCTTCTCAACCACTTGTCGAAATGCATTCATGGCTCCTGCCGACTCGACATCTTTGGAAAGCCAATAGATTTTGCCTCCCTTCTCCAACACATAATTGGCATGAATTTGTGAACATTGAGAACCCTGAGCTGCAAATTCTACAAAATGTTGACCCTTAAATCCAGGTGTTTCCAATAGTCTTCGGAAAGGTGATCCCGAATGATGTTTACCATTCTTTAAATCTCGCACGTCCAAATGAGCATCCAAATTGACCACTCCAACCGAATGGAATTGTCTCACATGTCGCAGCAAAGCCTTTGCATTGGGATAACTCTGATCATTTCCTCCACCCAAAACAAACACTGCGCCCACCTTTAATTGATGCAAAGCCTTGTAAACAAATTCTTCTAATAATTCATGAGCCTTCTCTAAATTGGTTTCATCATCATCCTCCTCGAGATGAACATCTCCGAGATCAACAATTTTCAAATGTGAGCAATCAGTACCCATCTCCCTATTGATGACAGTACCAGCACGTCGGATCATCTTACGGAAGGATTCAGGTCCCTTCTTGGCTCCCACTCGACCACCATTACGTTTCACTCCTTCATCAAAGGGAAATCCAATCAGTGCAATATCAATCTTTTCATCCTTGTATTGAGAAATAAAGTATTCCAATCCATGTTGTTGAATTATTGGAGCAGCATTGAAAATTAATTCTCCAATCCGAACATCATCACTTGAAGAGAGAACCTTTTCGGAATGACTTTTCAATTCAGACATTTTTAAAAGACTTTTAATGAAGAAGATTACAAAGAGATCCTTTTTCCAAACCAAATATAATCAAAAGAGAAAGAAGGAGAAGAAATCAAAAGCCTCTTCCGTTCGATTCCAAATTGATGGACATGGAGAAGCCAAGGTGTATATAACCATGATGATCATGGTTTGAACATGGTCCTTTTGACATGAATTCTTCGTTTCATGAAGTTGGCATCTCCAAAAGGATCGAAGTGAAAGTAGCATTTGAGGTTCACCGCACACACACGCGTTCCCAAAAACTATAAATTCAAACACCATTTTGCTAAATAAAAGAAGCGTCTCTTGGAACAGTAAAAGAAAGAAACGTACAGCAACAATGAGCAGGTCGAAAAAGAACAAAGGTCTGGTCATTGGCCCTTTGATAGTGTGCGTACGAGGAGGAGGAGGAGGAAGGAATTCTTTGGAAAAGGTTCTCCGATGATGGAATCATTGTCTAGCACTGTCAAAGGGCAATTTAAATCTTCATGTTGATGAAATAGAAGAATCTGAATCTATCGTTTCGTTTGTTTCTCGAGAGTGTCTCAGGATTTAACATGTTTATTCAATAAAGTTTTTCAACTTGTTCAAACTTGAGGATCTGAATGACTTTGAAAAAAAAGACACGTGTTTTTCTATTCAATGTCTCCAACCTCTATCCTCTGAAATTGCGCATTTCATCCCCGAAATGACCCATTTCAAAACGAGACGACTCGACTCTGAACATCATTTTTCGGACCAAAAAAAATGTTTCCTTTCTACTCAATGGCGAATCATGGCAGTATTAGCAGCAGTAGCAACAGCACAAGCCTTGTTCAACAGAATCACACGTATCGGAGGCTGACACCCCTTTCTCATCAGCAATCAACTTTGATAGATTCTACTCCGAATATGAATACTCAGAGTTATAATTTGAATTTTGGAAATACTATTGGAGTACCGTCTTTGAGTTTTTCATCATCATCTTACTCGCCGTTTCCTGTAAATTATCACGAAGAGCAATCGGAGGAAAAGAAAAAAGATGCAAATTTTCTGTCTCTATGGGAGCAAAGACATCGATGGAAATTATTTGCAAATCATTCGCCATGGTTCTCCATGTGTTTTATTTGTTTGGTATTATTGATGGTTTCTTTAGGAATTTTGTTGAGCATTGTGTTTTTTGTGTTGCAGGAAGATGAGTTTGACCAATTGAAAATTGGAATTTTGATGATGTTTAATGAGAATAAGAGAAATGATTGGCGTTTGAAATATTCGACAAAAAGCGATGAAAAATATTTGAAATTCGTTGTGATTGGTGGGTTTTTAGTCATGAAAAAGTATTATTAATCGTAATTGTGACAATTGAAATTTAATATTGGACATCATTGTGACACAAATGAACGGTGGAAAATTAGGTGATTGGGGAAGAAGGGGTTTATTTAATCAATCTGAAGTGGCTGAGCAAATGGAATATTATTGTAAAAATTATGGATGCAATTTTGTGATAAGTACTGGTGATAATTTTTATCAAGGTAAATAATTATTTAATAATTGCTCTTTTATTTGAATCACAATATTTATCATCAATAGATGGAGTTAAATCAGTGGACGACATTTTGTTTAAAGAAAGGTTAGCATGATTTTTTCTAAAATAATTTTTTACTTAGCCTTAACCATGTTATTTCCAATTTTATAGCTTTGAAGATGTTTACAATCAAGAAACACTTTCAAAACTTCCCTTTCTGAGCGTACTGGGAAATCATTGTTATAGATCCAACCCGTATGCTCAAGTAGAATATACTCAATATGAAAAATCTACAAAGAGACTTTACATTCCATCTGAATATTTCACAGAGGTCATGTATTTTCCAGAACATAGAATACTCGCCTCGAAAAATTCTGCCTCTAGTGACACAACAAATTCTGACGAGAAGAAACAATCTGTGAATTCACACATGTCTAACCTCTCTAAAAAGATGACACAACACGACTTTCGAGTCCAATTTCTATTCCTTGACACCAATCCATTCATTCAGAGGTATTATTCACATCCCAAAATGAATCAACATGCACTTCACAAGACCAGTAATTTGAGAGCTCAATTAGGATTTATGGAAAACATAATGAACGAGTTGGACGAAAAAATTGAAAATGGCAAAACGGATCAAATCCCTTATTTTATTAATTCAGAAAGAAGGAAAACGACCACGAGTCAACAACAAAATGGTCCTGACGCCAGTACCAATGATTCTCCTCCTTCTTCCTCATCAACAAACGTTCCACTTTGGAGAATTGCAATTGGTCATCATCCTCTCTATTCTGCAAGCAGTCACGGCGACAGTGATGATCTAGTCGATCGACTTTTGCCCTTTTTCAAAAAAAACTGGAATTTCTCTCTATTTTAGTGGTCACGATCACAATTTGCAATATCTCAAATTACCTGACAATTCTTTACATCAATTTATTTCAGGAGCTGGATCTGCTGTTCGATTTGATGTCGTGCCCCATCATCCCTATCTTCAATCTTATCAACAAGAATCAGGCTTCATGTATGTGAGACTCTCCAAGGATTTATTGGATGTTTCATTTGTTAGTTTGGAAGGTCAGGTGACTAATCGTGTGAAAATTCTAAAACAGCATTCATGAAAAATTGATCGCTGTTATCATGGATTGACATGGAAATTGACGACAAGGGACAACACTGATGAAAATGATCAGGACTGGTTTTCTCAAATTTTCAATCTGAGGGTTTTTGTAAGCAATACACACACCTTCCTTTCCAATGAGGTTTTTGAATTCCTCCCTTGTGGAAACCATTCGAACATTTTTCTTGCAGACTTGACAATAATTGTTGCGAGCAGCTCAAAAAGTTTGGTGTGAAACTGTTCATTCCCTCAAGTTTTGGAGTGAATTACAACAAATGGGTGGTCCTCCAAGTTTCCAACCATTAAGCCAACAAAAGGTTATTGATGAATATTGCAGATTTTGTCTTTCGAAAATCTTGTTTACAAAAAATGACTCAACAAAAGCAAACGGAAATGTCAAATTCAATTGCTGATCAAACAATGGTCAAGGATGATCAGGATGAACAACATAAATGCGGAGTAGATGATCATCCAACGACTCGTACAGCCGAATTGGTTGATGATATGGTTTTTCATATTTTGCAATATATTGATTCCGAAACAATCCTCCGAGTGTGTATGCTCATTTCAAAACAATGGTATTCAAAATCACTTGAAATTCCGTTGAGTTTGGATTTTTCGGCAGGAAAGAGGCTTGATCCGGATACTTTGGCCTCCATGGTTTCGTGTCCAAATATAAAGAACTTAACCTTTCTTGATCTGTACGATAGCCAGATCAAACATGAATCTATATTGCTGCTCACATCGAGCAAATATTTAAGTAATCTTCAAGAGTTGTTATTAGATTGGAACGATTTGTCAGCGGATGATATTATTGCGATTGCGAATAACAAATACTTTTCAAATTTGACAACGTTGAACATGGAAGAAAATCAATCAAGTGAAACTAGTATAAAGGCCATCGCAGAGAGCAAGTATTTGAAAAAATTGAAAACGCTTCACCTGGGATATGGACAGCTTGGTAATGACGGAGTCAATATGCTTTTGCGAAGTGAAAACTTGCATAATCTTACTGAACTACATTTAGGAGATGTCTCCATGAATGAAGCAGGAATACAAGAGCTTGTAGCACCAACATCTCGAATTGAAAATTTAGTTATACTTGATTTGCATTTGGCCAATCTTGAAGATGAGGGAGTGGCAACACTTGTTAGATGTGAAAGGTTGAAAAATCTCACCTCACTCGATATCTATCAAACAGAGGTTACACATAAAGGGGTTAAAGCGCTCACTAATAGCCCTTACATGAAAAATCTCACACATATTGATCTGGGATATAACGAAATCGGACCTGAAGGCATTAAACTGATTGCCAGTAGCGAAAACATGAAAAGTTTAAAGAAACTACAATTGGATGAAACATCTTTGAAAGTAGAGGGAATTCGACATTTAGCTTCAAGCAATCTGATGCAAAATTTAGCGAGTTTAAGTGTAGAGTATTGCTCTATAAATAGTGAAGGGCTAAAATTGCTTAGTGAAAGCGAGCATTTGAAAAACTTAACCAAATTGTCAATTGGAGGCAACAACATACAGGTTGAAGGCATTCGAGCACTGACAGAAAGCAAATATTTAAGGTTGAAAAAGCTCGATTTAGCAGAAAATGATGTTGGCGATGAAGCAGCTCAGCTGATCGCCTGCAGTGAAACCATGAAAAACTTGACGAAATTGTTTTTAAATATGAACAAGATTAAGCCAGAAGGGGTCAAATACATTGCGAATAGCCCGTATATGAAAAATTTAAAAGTTTTGCATTTAGGACACAATGAGATTGGAGATGATGGAGCCACCTATATTGCAAATAGTTCATTCCTGACACACTTGACTGATTTAGATTTAGCCAGCAACGGTCTTACAGACATTAGCCTCCATGCAATTTCGAAAAGCTACATTTTGCAAAAATTGACATCACTGAGTCTAGATTTCAACGAGCATTCCGAAGAGGGCCTTAAATCTATTGCCTTCAGCGAATGTTTAACATTACAACTTACCGATTTAAGCATTTCCACAAATATTTTAAAGGAAAAACAACGGTTTAAAGATCTTTCAGAAATATCTTTGAAGAAACTGAGAAAGTATATGTTGAATTTAGAATTGAATTCAGAATTGAATTTAGAACATCTAAATAATAATAATAATGACAAACGCTCAAAAGTGACAACCTCTTTACGGTGGTACGTGGCTCCTCTTTCTGTACTGATTGCTTTATTGTCAATTGGTTTCTTTTATTACGGATGAAATTCATTTACAAGAACAATGTTGACCAACTTGGCCTTTTCACCTTTCGCTACATGTGAAACAGATGGATATTTGTCCTCATGCACTTCTCCAATAAAGAACTTAGACAAGACAGAAGCAACAACAACAAGATTTTGTTTTTGAATTTTGTTTTTCAAAAAGAAGAAAAAATGTCCAGCGGTTATGGAGTGAGAACCAAGAACGGAAGATGCTACAATCTTTGGATGGACTACAGAAGCTGTATGTACCATACGGATCAACCAAAGAATTGTAGCACAAATTTGGAGGATTTTGTGGAGTGTTTACATCACTACAAAGAGGTATGATGAATGTTTTTTTAAATCATCACATGATACGAATCATCTTATGGTCTTTTCCGTTGTTGTTGTTGTTGCTATTTTGCTGAAATGTGTTTTGATGAAAATATATATTAAAACTAACGTGATGATGATGTTGTGGGTTTATATCGGATATGATGGCTTTTGATTTTGGACGTCCCTTTACCAACATGGTTTTGGACTCACTCAACAACAACAACAATATTTAAATCATCATCCGCTTATTGTTTGGAATTTATAATTTTCGTTCATCATCATTCTTCAACAAACGCCATTCTTTAATTTTATTATAATTCATCATCATGAAACATTTCCAAATAACAGTCCGAATGGCACAAGAGAGTCGAAAAAAAGATTTATGAAAAGAGAGAAGAGAATCAAAACTTGCTTTTGAAGGCTGCTAAAGCAAAATCTGGTGAGACTTCAAGTCATCATCATTAATGATCATGAGCATTGTATAGTTCGAAACACAAATTAATATAATATTATTTTGGATTTTATTTTCATCATGTTGCCACTCTTCTCAGTCTAGTATATCATCAAGCTTGTTGTTGGTCGAAAATGGTGAAAATGTATTTCACCAGAAGAAATTCCTTGTCATCACCAAAAAGTACAAAACATGAACCACGTGCATCATGCAGGTGCATCTGCATTAGTGCCCCAATACAAACCAGGAAGCCCATAAAAGGTGATTAGATGGTGCGGTTGAAATTGCAAACGTTCCTGAAGACATTTCTTCATACATTTTCATCCCTTTAAAAAATACAAAACCAACCATTCAGAGAATTGTTGTGGTTCTCTTTCACAAGGATTTGGTACCTGAAAGATTTTTCAAATTCACAATTTTGTTCATAACATCATCATCAAAAAGATGAGCCAACCACCACCACCACCACTTACCCGTCCATCCCCATCCTCAACAGAAGAAGAACCCAAAGACTCTTCAGAAGGTAATTTTGTTCAAATGAGCATTCCAGATGAGGCATCCTCCTCCGCAAACAACAACAACAACAGCCGACAACGATCGACCTCAAGAACTCGTGATGGTCCTCTCTCTCCAACAGTAAAGACTGCAGTTCCGAGCGATGTTTGGGATCTCACTCATCGTCATCATCACCACAAGAAAACACCTCCACACAGTTCTTCTCAAACGAAATTGGAAAGTTTGAAGGACACTACCGTTGCATCCCTCCATAAATCACCTTCTGGTTTGTTATCGGTGAAAGATACTACTGCCAGTGTGAACCATAAGAATTCTGTCAGTCATCATTCAAAAACTAAACTTACTTTGGACATTATTCGAAAATTACCAAAGGCAGAACTACATCGTCATTTGGATGGTTCTGTTCGTGTCGAGACAATTATTGAGCTTGCCAAGGAACAAGGAGTTCAATTACCAACATTTGATGTCGAAGAGTTGAGAAAACTTGTCAGTGTTTCAAACGATTGTGCCTCTCTTGTTGAATATTTACGTGGTTTTGACATTTCACTCTCTGTCATGCAAAAGAGATACAGTATTACAAGAATTATGTATGAAGTGTGTGAAGATGCTTGGAATGATGGTGTGAAATATTTAGAAGTAAGATTTTCACCAATTCTTCACACTAAGGGAGGCCTCTCCTTGTCATCTGTGATGGAAGCTGTTGTGGCTGGTCGTGTCATGGCTGAAATGAATTTGGGAATTATTTGTAGAATTATTGTTTCTGGTATGAGACAATTAGACAGCAAAATTACTCGTCAACTTGCAGAAATTGCATGGCGTTATCGAGATCGGTAAGTTTTTTTTTGTTCTGACAAAAAATTAGTTTTAATTATTTTTTGTTTTGGAACATTCCAATTGTGCCAATCCATGATTGAAATGATGCTATCTATCACTTTACAACATTTGATCATGTCACCACTTGACCACAATTTTTAACATCATTCTTACAGTGGTGTTGCTGCTTTCGACCTTGCAGGTCCAGAGAATGGCTTTTCTTCTAAAAATCATGCAGCTGCCTTTGAATTGGTTCATCGTAGAATGTTGAACTGTACTCTACACAGCGGTGAGGCAAGTGGTTGGGAATCTGTTCAAGATAGTATTCGTTTTTGTGGTGCTCAACGTATTGGACATGGTGTTGCATTGAAGGAAAATCTTGAATTGACACAATATGTTGCAAATCACAGAATTCCTGTCGAAGTTTGTATTACTAGTAATCTTCAAACAAAGGCCATCAAAAAGTTTGAGGAACATCCTATTCGTGAATTTTTCGATTATGGACTCGTTTTAGTGCCATGTACCGACAACACCACCGTCAGCAATGTGACACTCTCTGAAGAATACTTGTTGATTCAAGACAAGTTTGGATTCTCCATTAAGGATATTATTAGACTTATTGATTATGGCTTCCGTTCTGCATTCTTGGACTTGTCGATTAAGAATCGACTCAGAGCAGATGCTCTTCACACCGTACAGGTCATTCTTTCCAATGAAGGATACGACTTGACAAGTGCATTCTCTGCCAAATCAGCTGTCGATTTAGGTTTCGATTTCAACAATCGAGCTGAAGTTCTTGGAGTAGACTATGATTTGTACAAGAGTGAAACGATGAGACAATTTATTAATGCAATTCCAAAGGCTGATGTGAATTGTCGTTTCAATGGTTCTGTTTCGATTGACACCTTGTGGACCAATTATACCCATGATGAATATTCCACAGAGTTCATTAATTTGGAATTGGAAATGTTAGGCCTCGAAAGGTTCACCACTAAGAACGAATTGGAAATGCTCATTAGACCACCTGGAACAAACCACAACAAACACACCATTGATCGTGCCGTTCATGTCATGTCCTTATTCTTACAAACCAAATCTCAAATTCTTAGAGGATGTGAAGACATTTTAGAAAAAGCAGCTGCCGATAATGTGGCCTATATTGAATTACAAATTCGTCCCACCATGCACACAAAGAGAGGTCTCAATCCACAAGAGGTATTAGACATGATCATTGTGAGTACAAATGAATGTAGTAAGAGACTCAATATTCAAGTTGGATTGGTCGTTTATGGAGATCACACTTCCGATGGTGTCGATCAATTGAAAGAATTGGCTCTTCTCACCATTCGAAACAAGAAGAGTTTGTGTGGTTTTGGATTCTTTGGTTACAATGACGAGAAGGGAGATCTTTCAGAAGATTTAATTCCAATCTTTAACATGCTCAAGAATCATCAAATTAGTGTGTGTTGCAGTGCTGGATTTTACAATCCCATGAGTGTCATTCCAGCCATTCACGATGTAGGAGCTTCACGATTGAGTGGATGTTTTTCAATTCACAAAGATCCTTCTGTGATGAGTTATTTAGCCAATAATGGTGTTCCTATTGAAATTAGTATGACAGATACTTTGCGTCGTTTGACAAGAGATGTGGATGAATTTGCTGGATCTGCAGTGAGACTCTTCCTGGATCGAGGTATTAAGGTTGCTCCATGTTCATTGGATCTCACCTTGTATAACATGACGAGATCTGAGAATTTCTACAATATGGCAAAAGAATGTAATTTGAGCTTGAATGAAGTGGTTCAACTCATGCTCATTGGATTTCGTATTTGTTATCAAAATTATTGGACAAGAAAGGAAATGTTTGTGGATGCCTATCACAAAATGTTGAAATTTGCAGATGAACTCAAAATTCCATTCGACACGGATAGTTTCTCACTATTCTGTACCACCTATGCTCCTTTTAATAAGGATTAAATTGTCACACATTATGTTCTTCATTTAAAGTTTTTACTTTTTATAGTACTTTTCGAGATCAGAGGATATGAACAACAATAATAATTTGCGCGCGCTTTTCTTTTACAAAAAAAATGCTGCAACAAATTCACCACTCAACGACGAATGCCTCAACCACTTCTCAAGAATCATCAGGACAGGCCGTTGATGGATCAGGTTTGAATGAGAATGGAGGAATGAATCAATCGGAACAGCAGGTCATTGAAGCACCGAATAGTATACGACCTCAACCTGCTAAACCAAGAACCATGTCCTACCGACAACAGCTCTATCAAAAACAAGCCATTTTGAACAGTCTCACTTCTCCTCAAAAACAACAACCAATGGCCTCTAATCTTTTGAAGAGAGTTCATCAAAATTCATTTCGGAATCGAAGTGCAAGTGCTTCATCAAATGAAGCCCCACCTTCCGAGAGATTTGTGCATTCACCTTCAGGAAGAACCTATTCCACCGATTCATTATTTAATGATGCCACTAATTCACCACAACAATTGCATTCAGATGAATACTTTCCTGGCAATTCAATGTCGGAAAGTCCAGTTCAAAATTCTTCCGCGATTCTTCAAACTGCTCCCTCAAGCTTAAATCTGTCGAGAAATAATTCAAGACCAATCGTTACGGGTGCAAACAGTGACTCATTTCTCAACAACACAAATTCTCTTGTTGAGGATTCTTTTTCTTCTGATGGAAATGCAAATATTAATTCAAAGTCAAGGTTAAACTCAAATAGAAATCTTTATGACGCTCAACTTCCAAAGATTGTTTCAACTTCCCAAATGTATAATGACTCTTTCAGCTCTGAAAATAGTGCACGAGAGTCTTTACCAAATCTTGTGACGCCAGTCTCAAAAAATCTTGGCAGTTTTTGTATAGATGAAGCAGATTTTTATAATGGAAAAATTAGATTTGAACATTTCAGCGAGATTATTAAACAGCTCGATGACATTAAGGGAAAATTTGATGATCGTGTCAATGACCTAACGCTTGGAATTACTTTCTTTGAGAAAAACTTGAGCTCAGAGCAAGAGAAATGTAGGGAGTCGTTGGTGAAAGGGTTTGTGTCACTCATCAAGAATCTAGCACAAGATAAAATTCCTGAGGTTTATCTTCGATCGGTTCCAAAATTTGGAGGCAGCCCTGCAATGGTATCTCTGCACAAAGCATTACTCGAGCTAAGACGAGCAACTACCTCTACCAATCCACAACAAGCATTGATTATCAAATTAGATTCAGAGGTTGCCGCCGAAATTGAAGAAATCACTGAAAAAACAATCGATGAAGTAATCCATGATTTTAGCGGAAGTTTAGCAACAGCAAACGAAAGAATTGCAAGAGGAGTGAAAACTATGAAACAAACAAATGCTCAACTAGAAACAATGCTTCACGACTTGAAGTCTGAAAACTTATTCTTGTTGGAGAAAATTAATTATTTGGAAGGAGTGAATTTAATGCAACAGGAAGAAATTGATACTTTGAAAATTGAAATGTCGAAAAGAGCAGCTGAAATGGATATCATCAAAGAGCAGGTTGCAAGACGGGATCGTCTTTTGGATGAGCAACGTTCAAATTATCTCAACGAACTAGTTCAACTGCAAATGAAACTTTTCGAAAATAGTAAGCTCAACAATAACAAAGGAGGTTTACGTCCACCAAGTTCCACCAACTTTACCACCAAAGACAATATCAGAGCTCCCTCTCCTATAAATAATTTTACATCCTCCTATGATGAGGCTGAAAAATCTCATCAGTCTGATTTAGAGTTGAACAAACTGGTCAAACAACATCAAAAAGAACTCGAAAAGATGATTGATGAGCGTTTTGAAGCATTTAAATTGCAATATTTGAAAGAAAAGAAAAAATCTGAAAGAGAGCACAAGGAAGAATTGGAAATTAAGGAAGTTGAAATTAACAAATTGAAGAAAACCATCAACAATTTGGAACGAAATTTAAGAGAAATGACATTGGCCCAAGAAAATAGTTTTCACCATATGGATGGAAGTTTGATGGTCTCTGAAGAGGCCCTTCAGAGAGGATACTTGACAGAAGAAGAAACCGATACTGACGAAGAGGATCAAGAAGATTAATTTTTTTATTGTTGTACAACAGCACTTGCTTTCGAAGTTTCACTAATGATCTTGTCAGAGAGGAAGGTTGGTAAAAGAGCCAAAATTCTACTGGCTCTTCCTTTGGTATTCACCAATTCTTCTGCTACGCCCCATTCAATTGCGTCAATGGCAATGGATGCAAATTGCTCAGGTGTGATGAATTTACTCTTCTCACGAATGACACCCTTTTCGGCTCCAAAAGAATTTGCCTGAAAATCTGTATAGACATGAGGAGGACATAGAATGGTCACATCAATTTTACCCTTCATTTCAATTCTCAAAGAATGGAAGAATCCATTTACAGCATGTTTTGATGAGACATAGGCAGTTCGTAAAGGTGGACTAAATTTTCCTGACATGCTGCTAACTACAGCGATTTTAGGTCTCTTAATAACGTCGACGTTATTTCGAGATGAAAGTTTCATGTGAGGAAGTGCATAATGTGTTGGATAAACAGCTCCCCAGCTTTGTGACACAACAATAATAATAACGAGAAAATATTAAGAAAATCCATTCGAGTGACTCGGGTCGAAATAAACTTACAAATTGACATCCATTAATTTCTTGTGTTGATCCAAATTCTCACATTCATCAAATCGCTTCTTCATTCCAATGCCAGCGTTCAAAATAAGAATGTGAATTTCTTTGAGAGCGTTGACAGCATTTTCAATAAATTTTTTGCAACTCTCTTCACTAGAAACATCCAATTCAAACACATGACATGTGGAAGCTCCTAAATTTAAACATTTTTCTTTGACACTTTCTAAATTGCTTAAATTTCTTGCTCCTAACACCAAATTGGCTCCCATGGATGCGTATTGTTGTGCCAAAGTAGCTCCGATGCCTGAGTCATCGAAAATAACCATTATCATATTAACCATATCATCCAGTTAAATAATAATCATTTTGACAATTTGAAGAAGAAGAAAATACACTCCCAACAAATATAATTTCACACAAAATCCAATCCCTACCTGCCGATCCTCCAGTGATTACAATATTAACATTCTTATAACTTGTTTTTGTTTTTGGCTTTTGATTTAATTTACGATAAAGAGTGTCATCAAGTCCTAAAATTCTCACCACAAGCAACACCAAAAGAAGCCAAGGAAGAATCAGCACGAGTGTTGTTAGGAACATTTTTTTGAATTGAGTTATTGAATTAACAATATTTATCCTATTAATGAATCATTTTAATAGAAACAATAAAATTCACTCCAAATGCAAATAATAATTATTCACTCATAATTATTTACTTTCCTTCATCAATTCCTTCTCTTTCTGGTCGACCAAAACATCAATTTTAGCAATCATATCTTCAGTGACTTTTTGTAACACTTGTTCGTCGTGGAAAATGTCATCCTTTGAAGCTCCTTCTTTCTGACCTTTAAGTTTGCTCATTGCACTTCTTCTAATATCTCTAATTTTCTCCTTAAAAGTTTCTGCAACTTTTTTTACGTTCTTCAACACAGTTTCACGCATTTCCTTTGTCATCTTTGGTATTGGAATATCAATTGAATTTTCATTAATTTGTTGTGGATTTAATCCCATGTTTTCTGCAAGAATTGATTTGACAATTGCTCCCGTTGTTGTTTTATCAAAAACATTCAAAGCTAAACATTTTGGATTCTTCACTACAATCGATGCTAATGATTTCAATGGACGTTTTGATTCATCATTCAAAGTAATCATTACATTTTCAACCATGGAAGGGTTTGCTCCAGCCGAACTTCTCAATTCAGCCAATTGTTTCTGAGACGCTTGAACAATTTTATCCATCTTATCGCAAATATCCTTATAATCAATGGCATCCGTGATGAACCCATCGGATTTAGCAACAACCTTTGTGCTCTTTGGTGGTGTTTTGCCTGCATAGTTGCAAGTTTGATTGGAATTCATAACGGAAACGTGAGAAGAGAGAAGTAAACAAGTCTTGGATGAGTTGAAGGATAATAATGAAGAAGAAGAAGAAGGTGAATCATTTGAATGAATGAATAAAGTCTTGCTTCCGAGGAGAGTTCGTGCCATTCCGAGTCGGCCCCTCATCAAAATTTGGGTTCTGCTTGCAGAGAGCATTTTTTTTGAGTTTTCTTGTTGTTGAAAGAGATTCAAATTCATTAAATGTTGGCCGACAAATCAATTATCGGAATAATACTACAAAAATCTAATAATTTAATTGACTCTTTGAAGAATGGCTTGATGCACGTCACCAAGTTTAACGGTCCATTGGCTCAATGCCTTGTATCGTGTCAGCTCAGCTCCTTGTGAAGACAAGGTAATCATTTGGTTCACTTGATCAATGTAGCCGTCCAATTTACCATCCAAAATCATGTCAACAACCAATGCTTCAACATCCTCTGTTGAAATGCTCAATTCCTTGCCCAAAAAGCTCATCTTGATACGTGTGTATGGCTTCATGATTTTACCCAAAACACGAATACGAATAGTCTTGAGCAAATCTTCGATATATTCCTTCATGAAATTGTCTTCTAAAATTGCTTTTCTGTTATTCTTCAAGACCTTGTCAAATTCTTTGATATTGGCTTGTTGATAGTGTTGAACGAGATCAGTCATGGCAACAATATCGGAGTGGCCCTTGTATGGCTTCGCTTCGTTGGCATCGAAAGGATTGATTGAAGATTGAGACAAAATAGATGCCAACACCAAGTATTTCAAACAATCAATACGACGTGGATTACCTGCTTCATCGTATGACTTGAATGCTTCGAAAAAGTCATTGAAGGCTTCAGCCCATTTCTTCTCACGCATATACATTTTACCACCACATTCACGAATGATACCAGTAATACGAGGATTCAACACAACTGCACCTCCTGAAATGATACCTATACACTTTTGATAGAGTTGTGCAAGTTTCTTGAGTTGATTTTGTTCACTATACATTTGAATTTCGAGAACATAGACATCCAACATGTTGGAGGACTTCTTTTCATCGGGAGTAACACCATCTTCCAACATGCACCATCGTTTGAGATCTGAAATACAAGTATTCAAACGATCCCAATCACGAGTTTGAGTGAAGAGTTGTCCTTGCTTGAGTTTGGTATTGAACCACAACTTTTCATTGTTTGCCTTCAACAAAACTTCAAGGGTCATTCCATAGATTTGATCAAGCATATTCTTATCGGTCGATGATGAAACCATACTCAAGACCTTGTTGATCGCCTTCTCACTTTCATTTCGGGATACAATACTCATATAGGTGAGGAGTTCCTTGTAGCGCTGGACCATTTGATCCATCTTTCCAGCCTTGAAGAGAGTCTTGACCATTTGTTTGAGAGATTTGAAACCCCATTGGCCTTTCTCTTCTTCAAGATCAAGGACAGTTTGGAAAAGTTCAAGAGCTTCATCAAGATTCTCATCAACTTCGCCCTTTGCTGTGTAGTATGTGTTTTCTACCAAATTTTCATCCACTTCATCATCGAGCATATCATCGCCCTTCTTTTCATCATCATCAAGTCCTACAATTTCTCCTTCGTCATCTTCCTATAATTGATGTAATGGTTAGTACAATTTCAAGGTTGTTATTGATCAAGATGTGGAGGATCATCACCATGATGGTAGGTCATCATCGGCAAAGATCGGTAGCGCATCAAAGATAAAACCAGCAAGAAGCGCATGAATATAACGGAACAACAGATTACTACTGCTCGTACACGAGGATCATTCATATCATTACAAAATACATACGATTTCGAATTCAACATCGTCTTCTGCCATTTTGTGATTTGTTTTGGTGGTGGTGAGAGGTGGCGAGTGGCCTTTGAATTTTTTTTATCAGCTGATGAACCAAAGTTTTCCACTGACCTTCACTCAGCACGATATTTTTAGAGTCGAAGAATTTTGTAAACACAACAACAAAAACATTTTTTAAAATCCATGCTTGTGATGTTTCTTGTAAGAGAGTTTTTAATTATGATAAACAAGTTACACAAAAATATTATCACCCACAGCAACTGAGACATGGAATGGTTTGGACCAGGTGTCTTTTGAAGCAAAGTTAAGTGGAAACAGACACAAATTTCCTTTCAGTTGTTTCAAAAGTTTTCTCTTTTCAGGCTCAGAAAGAGAGGAGTCAAGATCTTTTGCCTTTTTAGAGCGATGTTCTCTTGTAACATCCTGAGTGGGAGATTCATCCTGTTCTTGATTGGATTGTGGCATTTCATTAGAGGATAATCCTACTTGTTGTGGCGGAGCAGTTTTAGGCCGTTCTTCCTCAATCACAAGTTCTTCTTCATCCATATTGGCTTTCTTGCTTGTGGAGGATATGGCAGAAACGTTCACAAAGCTTTTCTTGGATTTTTCTTTCTTCAAATTTTCATTGTCACTTTCTTTGGTTTGATCTTTTTCATTGGCAACAATTTTTGAGCTTTCTAAATACTCGTCCAAAGTTGAGAATTTGTTGGATATGAGCGTATCTGGAAACACTGCTTCATAGATATCTGTATTGTGTTTCGCAGTTTTTAACCAAACTCCCTTAAATGTCTCTTCACAAATAGGGTCATTTCGAATGAGCTTTTTCATTTTGTTTTCGAGTCTTTGTCGTTGCCACTTTTTCCAAGTCTTGTTCTTGTTGATGTTCAAATTTTTCAAATTGAAAATGTTTGCATCATCTGATTCGTCGTCATTTACAACTTCATGTTCACTTTCAGAGATCTTTCTCTGAAGCTCTTCATCGCTCAGTTCTTCATCTTCTTTTTCATTTTGTGATGGAAGTAGACCTAAATGCTCTCTCCAACATCGAATTCTGAGGCTATGCGCAAACTTGCCAGACTTGTAACTTTTCCCGTTCATCTTTGTGTTGATGGTGCTAGAAGGATGGTCTTGTATCACAACAGCAATCTCACTATCTCGTGTGCCCAACATGCTTCTGTCATTGATGTTTGCACTACCTATAATGGTAATATTATCATCTACGATCATCAACTTGCTGTGAACGTAAATATGTTCTGTGACAGCTTTTTTTCCAGTGTCTGTTGTTTTCATAATCATCAATGCTCTAAATTTGTCGCTATGATTGCTAAATGAGTCGTCACTTGTTTCATCCTCATCCAAATAATCTTGATAATTTCCTAATTTCGTTATATCTGCTTCCTCCATGGAGCTTCTCCAGTCACAATTCAGAAATCCATAATTCCTTATTGTACAAAATGAAAGATAATTTTCTATTTCACTGTCGGTGGCTCCTGGGACGTGTTTCTTGATGTACGAATACATGGAATTTGCACCATGCTTAATTGTCTTGTATGTATATTTCATGACCTGCTGTGTAGTTGGATTTGTAATTTTGCCCTCTGGATGAGAAGGTAAAACAATCATGACTCGGAAAACTTCCCTCTGTTTCATCTTTTCGACAATTTTTCTTGAAATATACTCTGGAATTACATTCTTTGCTACTTCAGAACCTGATCCAATAAAATATTGATTTTCAATGTAAATATAGTGCTTAGCATTGTCAATCATGTAGAGATATGCAGCATATATACTTTGTTCATCTCTTGGGGAACCACTCCATTTGCACAGTGATCTCACCACCTGAGCATTGCACAGGTAACCTTCATCAGCACATTGAAATTTCTTAATTTTTCTTTGCAAAGCATCTTTTTTGTGTTTTGGACTGTCTGTTGTCACAATATTCTTCGATCTAGTTTTTGTTGTAATTTTGTGTTTGTGTTTGTGTTTGTGTACATCAATTTTTAAATCTCGAGAAGGAGTACCTTCATCTGCCATAGTATTTCCTTGTTGTTTTTGAAGAGCCGGTGAAGAGGGTTCGATATCAGATGCATCCGTGTCGGATTCTTTGGCTAAAATTTGATGTCTTGCAAATTCTTCGTCCACTTTCTCTTTCAAATCTTGCTCAATTTGTGCTAACTTTTTATCTTCTTCTTCTTCAATTTTCTTTCTTCTGTTTCTTGGGTCTAGTTCAGAAAGTTTGCTCTTGAATATTTCTTTAGCAGTGCTTGGGTTGCTTTCCGATAATGTATTATCATTGGTATTAGTGGTTTGTAGTGCGTCATTTAAATGAAACGGGTTAATGATTGGTATTTTCTTTCTTCTTTGTTTGATGTCATAATATTCCAGCAATAGGTTTTTCCCTGGATTTTTAAGGGTCAGTAGTTTGTGCTTGGACCCTTCAGAGTTTTTAAAAGCAAAATTCCATCTCTCTACAAAGTTGAAGGAACAATCCTTCGCGGACAATCCGGTGACCATGCAATGAATGTCATGCCATGCTTGACGAGGAACGTATTCTCTATCTATACAATCTTTGAAATTGTCCAGCTTATCTACACTTTTATACTGAGGTTCAATATTTGGATTGTTGTAATCATTTCCGGGATATTTACAGTTAGAATGGTTCATGTCTGTAATGTTGTGATGGTAGTCATCCCACCTTCCATAGCAAAGATCTAATCCTCCAAGGAAGGCAATAGATTGATCTATTACCACAAGTTTCTGGTGATGTGACCATTCTGCAGGATATTTCTTGGGGTGAGTTTTTACAAAAATGTTTTTAGGGTAGAGGCTTTTGAGGTAAGCTTTTGTTCGTTTTGTATTGAGGTTGAGAAATGCAAGAGTTGTCTCATTCCACAGCAAGATGTAAATTTTCACACCTTGACTGGCTTTCTTTTTGAGCAAAATGTCAAGCCTAGAGTCTGCGACTTCTTTACCAGATCCTCTTAATAAGTACATGGTTGGATGTAGACACCAATCAGCGATGAAAATTTCTTCCTTTGCCAAAGTAATAGCAATGGCAATGTCTGAGAAGGCATCTTTTCCATCCACATACCATTTTGCTCGTACTTTTTGTCTCTCTGGAGAGAACGAATTGAATCTGCAGGCCTCTCCTTCAATACCTTTTCGGTGATCTAGGTGATACATAAGTATGGTGAAAATCCAAAGCATTTTCATTTCAGAACTATCAGCAATAAATATAATCTTTTTCTTTTCATTGAGATCTTTTTTCTGGCTCTTCTTTTTCTCGTTAGTTTCTTTCTTATTATTAGTTGGTTCATTTATATTATTTATCTCGATATCTTGTTCAAAAATTTCATCATAAATAGATTTAGAAATAGTAATGCTGAAAGAAGGAGACAAAACGATAGCATGAGTAGGTTTCATAGGAAACGAGCTGGTTCGTTTGTGTGAAACTCTGCGAACATTTAGAGTGTTGCTACCGTTATTTCCGATTTCATCAGTTATAGTCATAATACTCTCTTCTTTTTTCATTTCTTCAAGTAAGGGTATTGAGACAATTTGAGTTTCATTCTCTATGGCGTCTATCTTCCTCAAATCAACACTAAACGCTCTCTTTTTTTGGTTTTCTGCAGTAATGCTAGAGTATCCGTTCAATAAGCCTCCTCGAATGTCGACTAAAAATCTTTTGAATAAATTATTTTCAGACCTAGTATTTGCGGAATAAAAAATCTCTTTCTCGGTTTCATCAGTAGTGGCAACGAAGAGAGATCCTTCAATTTCATACGGATTGTCACAATTCACAAAGTCGTTGATTGGTTTTAAAATTGGAATAAAGAAAGTTTCGACAATTCCTAATGCGTTCAAAAATGTGGCGTTCTCTTTGCAGGCTAAGCTATAACCATGTAAATCAATACGATCCTGTGAAATAAATTCGGAACTATTTGAGTTCACTTTTTTGAAAAGCGTACTTTCATTTTGTGCCTTTTTGGCGCAATCAAAGAATTCTTCCACTATTTGCTCGAGCTCTTCTTCAGGAGTTGTTATTGGGCTTTTAGGTCTTGGAGATTGTTTTAACTTTAAGATATCCATAGATTTTAGAGCCTTCATCAGTGTCAAGAGCTTTGTTTTGGAAATATATCCTTCATGACTGTAATCGTAAAATGAAAAAGTCCACTCAACTTTTTCTTCGAATGTGCCTCTACACATGGCGCTAATGGTCATGACGAATCGATGGAATGTAAGTAAATTTCTCTTATTAAAATCACATGCTGCGTTAAATAATGCGTTCAACACTACTCTTTCTTCTTCAGTATAAATGTCTTCGAAAGTTGTTTGTATTGAAATAGAAGTATCATTTCTTTCAACATTGTCACCAATTGTTTGCGTGTGCTCTATTTTAGGAAAGAATACTTTGTAGCATTCTTCTCGTGTGAGATATAAAGAATAATCTTCTGATGTTTTCTGCTTTGGTTGTGATGGTGCTTGATTTTTTGTGGATGGCTCTTGCACATTGAGGCATTCCTTACAGAACGAAGTGAACAAACTCCTCAACAATCTAAATTCATCTTTTGAAAGATGAGTTTTTGAAATAAGCTCCATATCCTTTTTGTATCGGTCCAATCTCACTTGCATGGCCTTTAGCTGCTGCTGAAATCGAGCATTTTTCTTATTGCTTCCCAGTATTGCAGGAAGCATTGCAAAGTCATCACCCACATCTCCACTCACGGATGAAATAAATGCACTTGTCTGTGCGCTTTGAGAAGAAGAGGGAGGTTTCTTCTCCTTTTTTGATTGTTTTTGACCCATACTGATTAATGATGGCCTTGTATTGTTTTCTTTTCCGAGAGAGCGTTGTATTGACAACAATCTTCGGAATCTACAAAAGCAACACGTGGTTGGTTATTGCTATTAACCAGCTGGTCCTATTCCTGTTCTTGATTTGTATGGTTGAATTTTGTCCACCACCGTCGGCTGGTCGAGTGTTCAAAGTGTCTGGTTCTGAATGAAGCACCAAACCACGACAACACACGAGGAATCTCAATTTTTTTAAATCGGGATGAACTTTGGGCGCCTTTCATCAAAAAATAGCGACATTCTCTTCACCTTCAATTTCTTTGAACGAGTTTTGGATTTTTTAAAAAGCCACCCACACATCACCACCACCATCAATTTTTGTTGAGAAGGAAGCTTATTGAAGAAAAAGAAGACTACTCCGAATATTGTTTGGTTTGAAAACACTGCCAATTTTACACCGGTATCGATCGGAGTGAAGTATCACTATCAACAACTAGTGCTTTTTGAATTAGTTCAAATTGATATCTAGACGATTATAATTTTAAATTATTTTCATCAAATCAACCTATTTATTATTTATAATCATACACAATCATGGGAGTTCCTGGATTGTATCGGTATCTTGTTGAAAAGTATCCAAATATTGTATCGGAATGTGTAGAAGAAATTCCAGCTGTTCATCAAACCACCATCTCTACTTCGTATGATGATGTGGATACATCAAAGCTTGCTGAAGGGCAACTTCCATCCATTAAAAAGAAGACGATTCGGATTGTCACTCAACCTGTAGATACAACCAAGCCAAATCCAAATGGAAAAGAGTTTGATAATTTATATTTGGATATGAACGGTATTATCCACCCATGTTGTCATCCCGAAGATGAGGAAGCACCAAAAACCGAAGAAGAAATGTTTGAAAAGATTTTTGAATATGTAGAGAGAATATTTGCAGCAATTCGTCCAAGGAGAGTTTTGTTTTTAGCTGTCGATGGACCAGCACCAAGAGCAAAGCAAAATCAACAACGAGCACGTCGATATAAATCCGCAAAAGATTTGGAGGATCAAAAAACGATTGAAAGGAATTTAAGAGAAGAACTCATTAGTAGAGGCATGGAGCCACCTCCATTAACAGAAGAGCCTCCTGAAAAGCCAATACGAATAGTCACTAAAAAAAAGGCTTCCAATGCCGTAAATAAGGATTTAGCAAATTTATTAATGGACGAAAGTGACATGCCACTCAATGACGAATTATATGAATCCAAGTCCTTAGAGGAAGAAGAGGATGAAGAGGAGTTTTATGAAATCCACCCTGCCGGATCAAATTGGGACTCCAATGTCATCACACCAGGCACTCCTTTCATGCACAGACTTGGAAAGGCCTTACGATATTTCATTCACATGAAATTAAGTACAGATGAGGGCTGGAAACGAGTTAAGGTTATTTTGAGTGATGCAAGCGTTCCAGGAGAAGGTGAACACAAAATTATGGATTTTATACGATCTCAAAGAGAAATGCCTGGATACAATCCCAACACCAGTCACGTCATTCATGGTCTCGATGCCGATCTTACCATGCTTGCGTTGGCGACTCATGAACCTTACTTTTATAACTTGAGAGAGAAAGTGATGTTTGGAAAAGAAAACCAAGGAAAGAGTTATGATATTGAAAAGAAAAAGCGAGGAGCACACTGGTATGAGTACAAACCTCTTGAAATACTGCACATCAGTATTTTGCGGGAGTATCTCGAAGTAGAATTAACTCAACATGTTGAAAATTTGCCATTCCCTTTTGAATTCGAGAGAGCATTAGATGATTTTGTCTTTATTTGCTTCTTTGTTGGAAATGATTTCTTACCACATTTACCATCCTTAGATATCAGAGAAGGAGCAATTGATCTTCTTCTCGCCCTCTACAAAGAGAGCCTACCTGAACTTGGAGGTTACTTGACAGAAAATGGAGACGTCAATGTGGAGAGAGTTCAGTATTTACTTAAACAAGTTGCCAAGCACGAGGATCGAATATTTGAGGTTCGTGCAAAGAGAGAAGAGCAATTCAAACAGCAACAAGAACAGAGAAAGCGAGAGAGGGAACAAAAGCATCAAGCTAATCAGACAGATGCAGGTAAATCCAATATTGAAATTGTTCCAATTCTGAAAGAACATCGGGACAATTTCAATCGATTCACAAACCCATACGAAGACTACAGAAAGAAAAAAGCGTTGGAACAAGAGCAGGAAACAAGTGCACTTGGTAAAAGAAAAAAAGGATGAAGAAGACAATGAAGAGCTTGAAGAAGAAGCACCCTCAGAAAAGAAGCTGAAACCACTGGTCGAAGAAACTGAAGAACAAGCTGAGAAGGAAACAACTAATGCACAAGAAGACCTAGAACCTTTGGAACCAATCAAAATGGAAGCAAAACAATATGCTGATGTCTTGAAAATTCGAGTCGATGAATCAAAGAATGTTGACACTGAAAAATATCCAGACAATGTGAAGTTTGGATCAGAAGGTTGGAGAGCAAGATATTACAAAGAAAAAATGGGTATTGAACTAGGTACCGATGAATATTGGAATGTCTCATTGAAATATCTCGAAGGATTAGTATGGGTATTTAGATATTACTACACTGGATGTGACTCGTGGGGATGGTTTTACCCCTATCATTATGCTCCTTTTGCTTCTGACATGGCTGAAGTCGATATATCCAAGCTGAACCTCAATTTTGAGAAGGGATCCCCATACAAGCCATTTTCTCAACTTCTTGGAGTATTACCTCCGCGAAGTGCTAAAGCATTACCACCAGCTTATCGTGAACTCATGTTGTCGAATGAGAGTCCCATTAAGGAATTCTATCCAAGCGATTTTAATATTGATTTAAATGGAAAGACCAAATCATGGATGGGTGTTTGCTTGCTTCCTTTCATTGATCAAGAAGAGCTGAGTGCAGCCATAAAGACTGTGGAATCGACATTGACACCCGATGAGATTGAGCGGAACACACTTGGACACACCACACTCTTTGTTCATTTTGAACACCCATTACAGCAATATGTGATGGAATGCTATATCAATGGAAGTGCAAAATGTGACTTTTCTAAAGCCTCTAGAGATTTGGCTGGTGTCTTTTATGAAGATCCACAAGGAGTGGCCCCTTCTGATAAGGTCAAGGTCCCATGGAAATCAGACTTATTGGATGATGTTGCTGAAACGCAAGCCGTGAGTGCACGATATGATTTACCTCCTTTGGATAAGACAAAGAGCAAATATATTGCAAAGTTGTTGCCAACTGTCACACCTCCCCCTAAGATGCTTCCTAAAATTCTTGAATCTGGAAGTGTGCCAGTTGTTATTGGAGAAAATTATGAAAAAACAATTTCATTTTGCTCTCCCAAGGAAATGATTGAAAACATTATGAATGGAAGGCCAAGAAATAATTATTTGAGTGTGAGAAAACAATTTGCAAATCGTCAAAGCAACAGAGATCGAGTTGACTACAGAGGATCTAGCTCATTTAATAGAGGTAATTACGACAACAGAGGCTATGATAGAAATGACAACACTGGGCGAGACAATTATAACACAAGAGGTGATTATTCTAGGGATGACTACCGACAAAGCGATAGACAAACTGACTACAGAAGTAGCACTTATGATCGAAACTATAGTGACAATAGATATGGTTATCAGGATAACAACAGGTACAATAGTGATCGAAGCTCAAACAGAGGCGATGGAAGAGGTGGTAGCAATTACAGAGGTAATTACGAAAGCAGAGGAGGCGGCTCATCAGATGGACGAGGTTACAATGACAATAGAAATAGATCATCGTATGATGACAGCAGACCACAACCATCATCACGTGACTTTTCGAGATCACCTTATTCACGTGGTTACGGCGCTCAGCAATCATCCTCTGGCAGTAATAGTCCTTATTCATCAGTGTCCTCTCAAAATTCACCTTATTCGAGAAGTCCTTATTCGGGCGTGCAAACATCATCGTCACCTTACTCATCCTCCTCTCAAACATCGACCTCCCCATATGCACAACCATCTCCATACGCTTCATCCAATCCATATGCACAACCATCTCCCTGTGGCAGTTACAAGTCTGGTCAAAGTAACAACAGCTCTTACTCACAACAGCAACGAGATAGACCTCAACAGTATGGTAATTCACAATACTCGAGGAACACCTATCAATCAAACAACAATGACAATTATGGATCTCGTAGAATGTGAGCCCTGTAATGAAATCAGTCGTTACCAATCATAATAAATCAACTTTATGTGCTTTTGTCATCTTCTTGAAGGCACCTCTCGTTGTAAAATGTTGCCTTTCCAGAAAAATGAAGAATCGAAATTAAAAAATGCTTTCATCATCTTCGTCCCACCATCAACAACAGGATCACGAAGAACTCGATCACAACAACAACAAGAGAAAACGTTTCACCTCAGGTTCTCAAGAAAATCAGGATGATGAAACATCAGCAGCAAAGGATATTTCCATCATGGATATGAATCCGAGCAATTACGTTCATGTTCGGGAAACAATTGAACGATACAAGATCAAAAAGTTATTGCACTTTAAAAAGCAATGGGAAGGAATTGAAGCAAGAAAGAAGGAAATTGAATTTCTAGAGAAGTTTTTGTTGGGGAAGACAAGTGCTACCAATGTTTCGTCATCATCGGAATTGGGTACCCATTCCTTCGCGACAAGGAAAAAAGAAACTGGTTCTTCTCAGGAATTGTTGTCTCAAGGTGAAAATGATCCTGTTGATTCCAACAAAGCTTCCTTTGATGATTATCTTTTGAGCCCACAAAAGAATTTGAAAGATCTTTTAGAACAACAAGGTCATGATAATCTCATCAGGTTCAATGTCGGAGGAAAGATTTTCACAACCACGAAAACAACTATTTCTAAGAGAGAGAACATGTTGAAAACCATGATTAATTCTGAGTTTGGAATTGATAGAGATTCGAGTGGGGCTATTATGTTGGACAGAAATCCAGACTTCTTTCCAATTATTTTGGAACATTTGAGAACGGGTATGTTATTATTGAATCGAGAATATGGTTACAGCTGAATGTCTTGTGTTATGTGATTGATTTGTTTGAACTATTTCATTGAAATGCACTTGTATGAATAGGATCAACTACGCACTGTGGCCTCTGGGAAGAAAGAAATGAAGAGACTCTTCCCAAGTTCAAAGAATTGTTAGAAGAATCTGGCTTTTTTGGGACTCAGCGTCTCAGTAAAGCTATCAGAATTATCATTAATGAGATTGAGCACAAGATTAAGACTAAAAGTGAGCCCCCAACACCCATAAATTACACACACAAAAAACTAACGGACGAAACATTGGATAACACCATGGTGAGCACTGGACAAGATAAGGCAGATCAGGAATGGATTGAAAACTTTATGAGTTTAACTATTAGTGAGAAGGAAATAGCAGACAGTTACTTTACAAGTCTAGAGAAAAAAATCAAGGAAGAGAATGAAATTCTAAATTCCAAAGAGAAAGAAATTGCATTTTCCGCCAGAACAGATATTGTTTTTAATGTGAGAGGTGTGAAATATACTGTTCCTCTTCGCAAAATTGTATCACATCCTGAGTGTATCCTTAATGATTTCTTGTCTGCTCTGGAACCTTCTAAAGAAAATCAGTCTGTTCAAAACGAAATTTTCATTGACAGAGATCCAGAAATATTTGGAGTGATTCTTACCTATTTGCAGACAGGTCAGGCTAACATTTTCAACTTGGAAAAACACAAGCAAAAACAAGTATATAGAGAATGCAAGCTTTTGAATTTGACCGGATTACTAGATTACTGGAATCCATTAAGATACCCTATTGAAACCATTGGAGAGGAGAACATTAAGATGAAAGAAGAAGAAGACTATATTAGACATTTATTTGCTACCGACCGTGAAAATCCAGTTCTGAATGACCCTTACTTACTATTGTTCAACATATTCGAAAATGAAAAAACAAGAGCATCATTTAAAAAAGAAGACCCACCTGGACAAGTAAGTGTCTTTACTTTTTTGTGCTAATAATTCGTTTCTTCTAATTATTTTTTGTGTTATTATTTTCACTCAATGACAGGTTCCTCTCATATTCAACTTTGAAAACCCTTTAGAAAAATCAGAGCTTACTCAAAAACAAGCCATTGTAGTTCCTCCTGTTCCCAGGATTTGTGCCTGTCGAGCGCAGTTCATTGCTCAATTCAATGCCTTTACATATGGCATATTTAAGGATATGGATTGGTCTAATATTGTATGTGCGGGCGGTGCTGTAGTTGCTGCACTAATGTCGCATGACAGTAAGAAAGAGTCCACTTCTGGGGCATCTACGGAATCCACTTCAATCGAAGAGCAGGCCAGTAGTTGGGATGTAGACGATACTTGTGAAGAAAATCCAGAAGATGATGGATTTGAAATTGAAGATGATGATGAAAATGTATTTACTGACAGCGACGATGAAAAGAGTGCACAGTCATCTTTGGACAATCCATTTGGATTTAAATCTTCAACTTTGGGTTTTTACTCACAACCAATAGAAACAACTGCGGATAAGGAATTGGCAAACACATTAACATATTCTGTTTGGTCAAAAAGTGACGTTGATTTGTTTATTTATGGTCTTTCCGAAAAAGAGGCAGAAGAAAAGATTAATTACTTGTTTACACTTTTTAAAAGTAATCTAAATGGACATGTATATAGAAAATATTTCATGAATAGTGGATATTCACAACTACAGGACGATATTTTGATTGTCCGAACAGAACATTCGGTCACGTTTTATTTCCAATATCCAATTAGACCAGTTCAAATTATTCTTCGTATCTATAAGAGCATTACAGAGGTGTTGTGTGGGTTTGATATCGATAGTGTCACGTTTGGCTTTGATGGCTCCCAAGTATTTTGTTTACCTCGTGGAAGAAGAGCCATTAATACCAGATGCAACTTGGTAGATCCATCACGACAGTCCAAGTAAGTAATTACAAGAAATTTCTTATCTCAACAATTTTTTCCTTACTAACCAATAACAGAACCTATGAAAGTAAGTGGAATTTATATCGACTGTTCAGCTTTAACACCATACGAAAAAACTAAAACAGTTCGTCTTTTGAAATACGCGAAAAGAGGCTTTAGGATTGCTATCCCAGTAAGTTGTTCGAAATGTGATTAGAACTTTTTGTTGTGGTTAAACATTGGATCATATCTTCACCTGAAACAGGGTTATGATGAAACCAAAATTAAGAATGAAATTTTGTTGGCTGGAAAACCGGCCTACTCCCCCATTCGAAGACGAAGAAAATACAGGTACTACATGAACGACACACCTCGTGCCGACGTATCAAAAATGACTGGACTTGCAAGACTATTAGTCATTAAACAAGCAACAAAATTTTCACGCAATGTAGAAAAAGCTGTGAATGGTAAATCTTTAGAGAAAGAAGAAATGAATATCCATGACTATGACCAACTTTGTCTTCCATACAATTCCTTAACAACAGCAGCGATGAACTATGAGACCACCAAACGAGTCGTTCAATTTTTCCAAGAAAAGTTGAATATGAAGCCGCATTTTGAATTTGCCTTGAATGATGTCACCAGCGTACTGCATGCTTCTGGTGGCAAAAGCACCATTTCTCCAGACGTAAAATGGATTACCATCGAGCCTGGTAAGTAATTAGTACAAGAGCTTTCATATTAACAGTCATCAACATTTCCAATAATCAAGGCCGTCAGTATATTGGAAGTTTCCAGTAAGTAATTTTTCATAGTCTTGAATAACTCGAACAAACCAATATATCTAACCAAAATCTTACCATAGTCCATCGACAACCAATTTCTACAAGGATGCCTACACATCACAACTTGCCAAAAAGCCTGTAGTTATTCCCAAAAAGAAAAAAGTAAGGATTACTTGGCATTGGCAACATAAAGCGAACTATAACGAGTACACCAAGGAAATCAGCGCTTTGATTGAGAGGGCATATCAGAAATATAAGAAGAAAAAATCCGAACACAAAGTGGCCATTTCTTCAACACACTACATTGACTTCAATCAGAATAAGCAAAGTAAGTGTACGAAAAGATTTTTGACATCTTACACATGATTTTGAAAATTTAAAGTTTCTCTTGAGGATCGCACAAGAATGAGACATGTCAAACGAACAAAAGTTAAACTACCTGAGAAGTAGCTACATTGATTTTTGGACTTGTTAATGGTTTGTGATGTTTTTCGCTTGAATTTTAAACTTGCTATTAAATAAGATACTCTCTATTGCATGTAATTTAAATATTTTTTAATTCATTATGTTTAATTAATTATTCATCAATTTTTTGTAAGAGTTCCTTGTCATAACCTGGTGTGTAATACTTCACCAATTCGTCTGGATACAAGTTGTTGATAAATTTGATACTTTCTTGAAGAGCCTCATCATCGGTCTTGATAAGTTGCAGCTTTTGTAAGCCCTTACTTTGAACGAAGCGTTTCTTGGCCTCCACATCATCAGGTAAAAGAGCTTCAAATTGCTTTACAACATATTTCAATATGCTTTGTGGTGCCTTTTCTGAAAGTAATGGATTGAGTGCGTCCAGGTATGTACATTTTTGAATAATGGCTTTGAGAGCTCTCTTGGATTTGCTCTTCAAATCTTCAGAGGCTTTATCATCCAAAAATGCCTCATTAAGCAAAGTTAAAATATTAGCTTCAGCAACAGCCTTGGCATGCTCAGAACTATGTCTTCCTATTTGACCTAAACTCCAAGCTGCTGCAGCTCGTAAATGATCAGAATATGATGGTGACAATGCGTTTCCTAGAGGTTGTACAGATTTGGCCTTAATAACAGCAGTTGCCATTGTTTCTTGGAATGCTGCGATGAATCCTAGAATCATAATTCCTGGTAATTTGTTGTCACCTTCTGCGTTACTAACATAATCTACAATTGCTGGAAGGCCGCCAGCATTAACGATTAATGCTGCTAGCTCTGGATTATGCTTTGATACTTGCATAATGCAAGAGGCTGCGTTCTTTCTGACAATTTCGTCTTCTGGATCTTGAAGTAACGCAAAAATCTTTGGAAATATTTCTCCCTCCACAACCAATTCTGCCAATTCCACCGAGTGTTTTGCAATGAAAGCAAGGCATTGGCATGCTTGACGCTTCACAACAGGATTGAGAATAAGAGGTGTTATTACAGGAATTCCTTCTGCGTCGACCACTGCCTGTGCTAATTCAGGAGTGTGACTACAAATATTGGCAAGAGACGAAATGGCAACTTTTTTCAAACTTTGTTCTGGTTGTTGTGCACATGTCAACAATAATCCAACACAACCTTGATCGACACAAATTTGAGCGAGCTCAGGACTATGCATTGAAATATTTCCGATGGCATATGCTGCCGATTCTTTTACAAGAGGATCAAACTCATCTAAACATTTCACTAATGCATCAACAGCTCCCGAGTCTACAACTGCTTGTGCTAATCTGGGGCCATGCTTGGCAATTGCTCTTAATACAAAGGCTGCATGTCTTTGATAATATTTCTGTAATAATAGTTTTAAAATGGCATGGTCCGTGATCGACAACAGTACCATTAGCACACTTACGTTGTTTTTCAAAATTGATGCAACAAGTTGAGGTACAATCTCACTTGCCACAATCTTTTCGGCCAATTGAGGACTGTAATTGGCCAATCGTCCCAAAGCCAAAGCAGCATTTTGTTGTACGCTAGGATCAGTGTCTAAAAGGAGAGGGCGTAACAAATCCAACATTCCGGTCTCTTGTTGAATCATGGCTGTTGTTGTTTTGAATTTGAATCAATTGATGCTCGGATCGCAATCATCCCTACGGAACTACTCACCCTCGATATGTCTGGGCTGCTTGACCAACTCAGCGACACTATTCGCAAACGTGGTCCGTGCCTTCTTGTAGGTTGCAAAAACTTGAGTAATTTCCTTTGATGACATTTTTTATTGTTATTTTTTGTTGTAAATTTAAGAGGCGGCAACAATTTCGAGCGGCAAGAAAATGTATATTGAGGGAAATACTTGTTGCATACATTGGCATCTCTCGGAATTTCAAATCGACTTATTTATGAGAAGTTGTATGCACTCAACTCTGGCTGCCTTTGATTATATAATCGAGATCATGATGATTATTCAATCGTCAAGCAATTTGAAAATAATGACAACCATAATATTTTTTGTGTTTGCTCCTTTTTTGAGACCATCAAGCACACATGGAATGGTCTATTATGAATTGAAAATGATGATAAGTAATAAGTTTTGACCTGGTTCTGACATCAAGTTGATGAGAAAACTTATTCCCCTAGACTCTTCTGATCGATCAATAGCAACAGGCAAACAACCACATTGCCATCTGTAGAGAGCAAAGAATGTTTCTTTGTCAAATACAACAAACTTTTTATTCATCAATAAGAATGACATCAATTTCGTTCATCAATGCTTTGACATCAAAGGATGGATCGAAAACACCTTTCTGAATGGCCATAAGAGGTTCCAATGTCAAAATCTGGCTAAACAAAATCTCCTCAACTTCATGAGTAAATGTGTAAAGCTTTTCCCTTTCAGGAACACTCTTAAATACCTCAACAACAAGAGACGAAGAAATACTTGGTCTCACGATTGGACATGGCTGACAACCATCAATCATGGCTGTGTTGAGAGTATTCACAAATTGCGCAATATTGCCTTCCCTAATCTCCTTGACACGGATCACCGTTCCATTGTGTCGTGGTTGATTTGAGGAAGATAAGAATGCATTTCGAGTGAATAGTCGCAAGAATGTTCCTTCTTCGAATGTAGAGCCGTTGAAATCAAAGGTCGAGAAGCGAATGTATTGTGGATTCTTGAATCGAATTGAGTTTTTCACAGATCTCTTTTCTCTCTTCAATTCCAATTCATTGAGAAGCTCTTGATCGTTAGGTAGAATGTGTAACTCTTTCATATAGGGATCGGTGACTTGCTTTATCTTCTGGTTCTTAACTGCATAGTCACAAAAGAATTCTTTTCGTTGAGATTTTTTCCTCTTCTTGTTTTCGGTCGAGGTTGTTGTTGATTCTGACTCTTCGCTATTTGCAACTGCTAACTTGTAGCAGATCGCAGACAAACTGAATTTGATCGAGTGACAAGTTGGAATAAGCTTCTTTGAAGACTTTTCCTCGAGTACATATTCAGTTCCTTGCATTTCTTTTCCATCTGTGACGTTGTCCTTATAGTGAAGTTTATCAATTCTCATGAACTTTAGTGTCGAGTTTTCAAAAATGTTTTCAGATCGTACAGCCACCAAGTCGCCAATGAAAAAAGTCTCCATTTGCCACGGCTGATTTTTAGAGATGTCTTCTGTGACGTCATGCTTTCGTTTGGAACAAGCCAGTTTCGAGAGACGAACAAAGCGTGTCTTTTGAAGCTTTAAGCTTTCTTCTTTCAGAAAATAATCACCAGGGGTCAAAGGTGCGGCAGGTTCTGGTGGAGAAGCATCCTCTGATGCAAGAAGAATGCTCATGTCTAATCTTGAGCGAGAAAATGACGTGTCTAACTTGTCCAGTTTTGGTTGCTTCTTTGCAATGAATGAAGTGTTGTGTGTGATGGTTGCTCGAGGCTGTGCTTCAGCAGCAGCATTCTCAAAAAGTCCCTTCTTTTTCTTGAAGAACTCTGCGTTTGTAGTTGCACTTGAAGGAGTCCTAATGTCAATAATGCTAACATCACAGGGATTTTCGGCTTGTACGTTCGAAAACCATTTGACAGCTCTTTCCGCTGCAACATTGACCACTTTCTTCTTCTTCTTTTTATACTGTGGCGTGCAAGGTAACATAATCGAGTCGTCCAATGACTGCGTGATATTAGTAGTATTGATGAAGGATGTGTTCGTATTGAGTGATGACTTGGTCTTTTGTGTCGCTTGTTTAATTCTAATCTTTTGAATCGAATCTACCTTTCCAGATATTATTAATTGAAGAACTCCATCCTTATCAATGATGGGAATTTTGTGATGGTTACAGAAATCGAGTCTGGCCTGTGTGACATCTTGATGCTCTTTCACAAGTACAAAATTCTTTTGCAAACCAATGAGTCCTGAAACTTCATCCTCCACTTTGGCTCCTCCTGCCTCAAAAATCTTTTTCCACGTTTCAGTAAATTTTGAATCACTCGAAATGATCTTAATAACAAAATCATAGAATAGTCGTTGTTGTAAAGGCTTGATTGTAAATGATTCATTCAAGTTCTGAGGAACCTCAACCTTTTCTCCAGTGCCAACTGCGACATAGGTTCCTCGTTTATGCATATACTTGGCAATGCTGTGTGAGTCTTCAATGACTTGATGCTGTTTGGCACACTCAATAAGCCATTCCTTCTTGAGTAATGGAATATCTAACAAGAGTGCCACAACATAGCTTGGTTTCATTCGTAACTCATCGGTTATGAGAACAAACTTGGATGAGGTAAACTTGGTAATTGACAACCTTTCAGTCGTGTACCATGGTCTATCGGCTCTCATGGAGACAAGTTTTCCACCATTCTCCTTAATGGTCGTGAGAACATTGTCCTTCGCATCATTTAATTCTGCAATGATGAATCTAAAATCTGAGAAAAATCCCTTGATTGCTTCTTCATTGTCGTCTGACGACTTTTGAGTGTCAGTGTCGGTTGACTCTTGACCACTACTACTACTGCTCGAAAACACTTCCTCAGAATCTGCTTTATGTCGTAATTTGTAAATTCTTCTCGAGGAGGAGGATGGAGCTCGTGTTCTAGTTGTATTCCTAAATGATGGATAGCAGACACTTTCATTCGAGCTTTCCGAATAGACAGCATCTGACGATGATGGTGACGACGAGGGTGAAGATGACCAAGTTGGAGAAGAAGAAGACTCCACAACAGGTGACAACTTCTCAATAGTTTCCTTAAGATCATCGTCATCCGAGTCATAGAGGCGCTCCAAGATGGGTGCATCTTTCTCAATCAAAGCAGAAGATCGTCCAAAAGAACTTTTTCGTCCATGTCCAACATGATCATGCAATGAAGAAGATGTTGTATCCACACTCGTGATTGGCTTCTTCTTGATCGGTGAAGTTTCTCCCAAATCTTCTTTCAAGAGTTCAGGACGATCATTCTTCATGCAAGTATTATTCGAGGAGGATAAAGAAGAGGAGAAACCAATTTTGGGATTCATCTTGTCCTGATGAGTAGTAGCCGAAGTCTCCATGATGGTTTTCATGACCAATGTTTCATCGAGAATGGACATATCCACACCTTGATTGAAAGCTTTTGCCCTTCGTTTGGTATGTCTACGTTTCTTAAGGGTTACATTCTCAAAGGGATGAGAGGAATGCACAACCACACAAATACTTTCATTGTTGAGGAATGAGGCATTGAGGTCATTGTTTGTATCGAGAGGAGGTTGAAGAGGATGAGGAGGTTGTTGTTCGGGATCTACTATTGGTTCAATTGCGGAGAGATTTAAATCTTCAATGTTGTTATTGTTGTTGATATTGTTGATATTACAGTTATTTTCATCAATCACTTCATGATGATGATGTCTGGGAAGGTGATTATCAACCTTTTCAGTAGTAGAAGGAGTAGTAGTAGTAGTAGCAGTTTCTAGAATCAAAATATTGGATGCTTCCTCTAGTAGGAGCTCCTCATCATCATCATCAAAACGATTCAAAGCAGAGAGTGGTTCAATGGCAGAAATGTTCAATAATGATAATTGTTGTGGATCACCATCATCCTTGAGTTGGTTGGTGCTTTCACGTGAGAAAGTAGCTGCTACATCGTCATGACTCGAAACTGTTGTTGTTGTTTTGGATGTTGCGATAATGGCTTCTTGTTCCGAATGTCGGTTCGAGTCGTGGTGGGTGTTGGTGGTTTCTCTATCATTCATAATTTTTTTTTGAATTATTTTTAACAGCTACTTTGAGCGCGGTACAGCCATTTTTCTCTTTTCGGTTGGTTTCTTCTTCATGATGAACGATCGAATATGTAAATCTTCAATGATGATGATCAATCTTGCTGGTTTTCATCAAATGGTCAATGAAGAGGCCACCAAAGATCAAATTTACCTCCAGGTTGAACGTGGAGATCCATTCCGTTTCGAGTTGAGAAGACCTCACGATTTGCCCAAGTGAATATTAGAAAAATTGTTTCAGACATTGATGAACAAGATGGCAACAATGAAAGAACACAAAAAAAATTCAACGTGAGAGAACCTTATCTCGCATTTCAATCTAATTTAGAAGGTGGTAGTTGGAATCAAAAGTCTATCTTCATCGACGTCTATTACAACAACAACAACGGAAAAGAAGCATTCACCATTAAAACTGATTGTTGTTTTTTTGGAAAGTTCATCATCACAAGAATTTTATTATTTATTAGTCTCTGTAGAGAATAATCAAAGAACAACATGCCGGAAGAGGTGAAAAAGTCAAAGAAGCCAAGAGGTGAGTGGTTCTTGAATTGATGATGGATATATATGATCCTTTGTCGTGATGAATGGTTGTTGTTATTGTAAATATAAACCGATGCGATAACGAAATTTGATGTATTTGGAAATTACATCATCAACAATTGAAATATGTTGGAAAATTGATCAATTATTGCTATATACTCTCACATCATGATCATATGGAATTATCATGATAAACTTGAAATACATTGTCATATTATTTCAAATTCGGTTCTATAACAATACTGAACGGCGTCAACATTTCCGCAAAACAACACTGAAACAATTCATCATCACTGCTGCTATTCAACTCTAGATTTTGCCTTCACACAACAAAGGCTCCCTGCTTGGCAACCAATTTTGTCCCCACCATGGGTTATTGTCTGCTTCCTTGCTATCACCGTTGTTTTCATTCCGATTGGAGTAGCCATTCTGGTAACGACACAAAATGTCCAGGAATACGTGAAACAATATGATGGAGACTGTATTCTTGATTATACACCTTCTAATTTACCAGGAAGAGGTCCATACTGCGAATCTACAACATCAATTCATATCTCATCAAGAATGGACCCACCAATTTATATGTATTATAGTTTAGAAAACTTTTATCAAAATCACCGTCGTTATACTTCATCTAGAAATGACATTCAATTAGCTGGTGACAACACAATTACTCCAGCGTCGGCCAATTCTGACTGTTATCCAATTGTTTTCTACGGACCTGACCAAACAAACATGACTGATTCTATCAAAAATAATGCCAACATGACCTACAGCCCTTGTGGTTTAATTGCTTGGAGCATGTTCAATGATACTATTAGTTTGTTTGGACCAAATAATACCTTAGTTTGTGACGGTCAATATCACTCTGCAACCTCAAATTGTACAAAGAAGGGTATTGCATGGTCTTCTGATGTGGATGTGAAATTTAAAGCTCCAAAGAGCCCAGCCCTTAACAGAGTAGCACCTACTGAATACTATGGTGAACCAGGTCACGCTCTTCCAACTGTCACAGATGAGGACTTTATTGTTTGGATGCGTACATCTGCTCTTCCTACTTTCCGTAAATTGTATCGTATTATCAATGTTCCTTTAGAACCAGGCACATACACTTTCAAGATGCAACAACGATTCAACGTTTCTACATTTGACGGAAAGAAATATGTCGTGTTGACAACAAGCAGTTGGATTGGAGGACGTAACTTATTCTTGGCAATTGCTTATTTGGTTGTAGGAGGAGTGAGCTTTATCTTAGCATGCGTCTTTGCTGTTGGTGCCATTATCCAGAAATTCAGACTTAGAAAACAAACCACCGCATAATTTTGATTAGAATCTTTCATTTTTATTTATATTTTCGTAAATATTGTTACTGAATCGATAAATACGTAAATTTTAAAAGTTTGTGTCTTTATAATGTGTCTTTATGCTCATCCTAAATTTCAAAAGTTATGACTGCTCGTTATCTTGCAAAATCGAGTCTTCTTGACCTGTGAATAATTTCAAAAATCCTGACAACAATTCTGGTTCGTTCGAGTTGGAATTCGAGGCTGGTAGACTCTTTACAATTCTTGCATTCTTCAAGCTTGGCTCATCTGTACATTGAATTGGCTCCAATGGTCCATTAACAATGAGTGAGAATTGTTGAGGTCCGTGTGGAACGTTTGTTCCTTGAACAACTACACGATATCGATGACCATCGGTGTTGAAACCCTTAATATTCACTTGCTCAACATTGTTGACATAATCTCTTCCTCCGTTACCGAAATATTCAGTCTTGGTTGCTTCATCTTGCACAACCAAATCAAGGTTATTCACAAGTTGTATTTTAGCATTAGGGCTGCCTGGATAATCTGTCCACACAAGTGTTGCCTTCAAAGCTTGATTCAATTCCTTAAAGGCATGATCTCTCTTACTCTCAATTTTCACAGTTCTAAAACAATATTGCTTGTACTCATCGGTAGAGACTGAATCATCTTGGTTCACAAATAATGTAAAGTCACTCTCACCGTCAAATGGTAACACATGTCTCAAACGAACCAATCCAAAACCTTGTGTGTAGGATGGAGTAGGATGTAATTGCTTCCAAATTCCATGTCCATTTGTTTCGACGAGTCCATTCAACTCTTGACCACTATTCACTAACATTGCCTTCAAAGTGGCTCCTGTTGGATTCAGAGAATTCTTTGCATTTTCCTTACCTCCAGGATAGAAACCCTTTGAAAAGTATTGATGAATCATGGAGGCATAACCAGCGACAATAGGTGTTGAAAATGAAGTTCCCTGATTGGCAATGGGAACTGGACAGTAACCCTTGTCAACATTTGCATCTAAAAGTTCTTCAGAATCGGCCAATGATGATGTTCCCAATGAACGAGATCCAAAAATTAATTGTCCTGGTGCAACAATATCTGGTTTGATTCTGTTGTCACCTCTGGTTGGTCCTCTCGATGAAAATGTACCCATATTGTTAGGCGAGAAATGTTCTGGATGTTCAATCATGTCCATCAAGTACTTTTTACCACAACAAATATTCTTAAAGAAATTACTGGAACAAGCAACTTTCTCTCCATAAATATCCATTTTGGAACAGAATGATTTTCTCTGATCAAAGCATGGAGTTTGTTTGGCACCAATGCTCTTACAAAATGAAGGAGTGGCAAAAAGTAACTTTCCTACACCATTATGTTTGTGACACATTTGAGCTTCCATCATTTCATGACGAATAATATCACCATAAAGAGGATAACCTAATTGGAAGCTCTTTCTAGTCCATTGAGAGGAACCAACTGTGATGCAATTCTTACAAGTTCCAGGGCTAGTTATGGTTCTTGTGCCACTTCTTCCACTATTGCCAGCAGCGAAGAGTTGAACCGTGTGTGGATTTTTGTAGGCCCATTCGTCAACTTCTTGGGAGGCAATTGTGTATCGTCCACCTTTGGGACTTCCCCAACTGTTGGTGGAAATTTTGGCGTGACACTTGTCATGCATGTGAGGGAAATAAATTCCTGATAAATCACGAGGAACATTCAAACGGTGAGTGGGAAGTCCCAAATCAAAGAAACACAGTTTGGCATCTTTTACAACACCATCGTACAAATCTTTCATTTCATCTCCATTTTCGAATTGATCTGGTTTAACGTTGCAAGCCAAGATGGATGAAACAAATGATCCGTGACCTCTCACAATGTCCTTATCGTCTGCATAAACCTTGTAGGATGTGAATTTATCGTGAGCATCCAAATCAATCTTATTGTAAGGGACTTTTTGACCTCTTCGATGGAAACAACAGTTATGGGTGTCAATACCAGTGTCACCAATACCAATCACTTGACCTTTTCCTGTGAAACCCTTCGACCACATCCATGCAACATCAGGCAATGCAGATTGTCCAATCTTATCGGATCCAACAAAGTTCAAGGTTGTATTTGCAATCTTGGCAAAATTCTCTCCAAGGTACGACTTGGAAGTGGTTTTATCTTCTGTACCATACTTTAGTAAGACTGACTTGTAGGTATCACTAAGAGGATTAAGATCAGAAAGTAAGTGGAATGTTTCATGATCATCGAGAGTGTAGTCATTGTTGAGTAACTTTTTGGCAGCAGCAATTTCTGCTTGATCTGATTGCTCAATAATGTGTTGTTCACCACCACTTGGTTTGTTCACAAATGTTGAATGATGATCATCGGTCAGGTATTTGTTCAAGAAGGATGAGAATGAAATGAGATCAGATTCTTCTTCCTCTTCGTCTTGTTCAAAATCTTCATCCAAGTACAAATCATTTTCAAATCCAAAAATTTCCTCCTTTTGAATGTGACGCACTGCTGGAGATGAAGATAAAACTTTGAGCAGATCATTCTTGAGTAATTGTGGAATAGTTAGCTTAATAGAAAGTTCCTTATTTTGTGAAATTTTCACCTTTTTTCTTACTTGATTCTGCATGGTTGTATTCATACGTTCAATCAGTTGAGAAATTCTGCCTTCCCAATCCTTGAGTAATCTTGTCAGATCAGTCTCATAAAAGAGTTGAATCTCAAGATCAAGTGTTGCAAGTGGATTCTTCTTGTTTCTATGGAGCTCAGAACTAATCTTATAACTTGGATCCACAATACCAACCCAAATAATTTTTTCTGCATTCTTATCATCCTCTGTCTTGAATTCCTTCTTCATTCGATTTCGATCGATTTGTCTTAATTTTTCAATAATTTTTCTCATGGATGGTGCCACGACCACAAAACTGTGATGAGGATGATAATGAACCTCTGATTTGCTTTCAAAATACCTCTTTAAGAACTTGGAAAAACCACTTGGAACGGGTGATTGGACTTGTACATAAATTTCCACTGGTCGTTCTTGATCCATTATTCGGAGAGTGCTGGCGACATGTTCAAATCGATCCACAACAGCATCGGCCAACAACTCTTCTTCATCGGCCTCCTCTTTATCATCATGATGATGCCAAGTGGTTTGTTGTTGAGAGGATTGTTGTTGTTGAGAGAGTTTCATCACCTTGATCAGTTTCTTCATCAATGAAGGTTCCTTCTCGGTATCCACAAATTTCTCTCCACTAAACAAAATCTTCCTTCCATGCAACATGCTATTCGCCAAATCATGAGCATTGTACAAGTCGCCTCGTTGTTGTTGTTGTTGTTTCTTGATTTCTCTCGTCGTCGTACTCGTCCTCGTTGTCTTTATCAAGAAAGAGGACCTTCTGAGCTCATCTTCTTCTTCGCTTTCTGTTGTGAACTCGTTGTGAACATTTACAGCTTCGGTTGAAATTCGGTTATTGCTTTGTAAGGGAGTGGAAAGGCGCGAAAGGAAATCTGTGTGCGAAGAAGCAGAACAGACCAAACAGAGAAGAAGAAGAAGAAGAATGCAACAGGAGGAGGAGAACACGAGGAAGAGAGCTCGGCTCCGAGTTGGCATGTTGACGAAAAAAAATTGACAGTGTGATGATGGACCTGCCAGTTGTGTGATTTTTTTGGTGTTTTTCATTATCGAAATTTTATCTAATGGTTATAATCAAGCGACAGTTGACAGCGAAATCAGTGTTGGTTTTTTCCCAATGCTCATGCTCAATATTCACAAAGAAAATCACTTGAATACGGATGATGGTCTTTTCGCCCACCTTGTTCTGGCTTGTTTTTCAGAGTGGCGGTTTCTGATTTTGGTTTGTAATACATGAAGAGCCTTATCATTGAATTTGTAAACCTTCTTCTTTACAATTTTCAGTACCAAGTTTAAAAAAATCACAACACAACAATGGCTCAACTCGGGGATGGTGATTCTCTTAACAAACTATTGACTGTAGATGCATTAGATCCTAATGGTTTGTTGAACCATCTATTGCAAAATTCTTCTAAAGAGGTAATGATGCAATGCTCTGAGCAAAATCTCGCGTTCATTTGCCAGCTTTTCAACGAACCATTTGATGCTAGCAACGTTGAGGCTTGTGTTGATGTTTTATTTAGAAAGGGAGTTTGTAAAGAGGGTTCTTATCCTCATGCTTCTAAAGCTGAGGAGTTAGAAAGCACCATCTCTGCTCAGCGCAACCTTGCAGAAATCCAGGGAATGTTTCTCTCTGTTGAAAATTGCTCTATCGTAGAGTTTCAAAAAGAAAGTCAGATCAAGGAGGACACAAGTGCATTCATTTCCGGCTTTGATGATTTTATTCAAAGTTCTGTGAGTGCCGCCAATGCAGGAGTTGCCATTTCCGTTAGACCATCAATTTGGCTTTGCAAAAAACGCAATGACTCTCTTGCAAGACAACTATGCGCAAGATTAAAAATGTCCCAAGAAGCCATCATCAGAATGCACAAGTTGCAACAAGAGGTCGATTTGATGAAGCAACAACTTGCAAATACCCAAGAAGAACTCGCCGCTGTAAAATCCAGATTCGAATCCGAACTGAACATCACGAAATCCGAACTTAACACAACAAAATCCGAGCTGAACATCACCAAATCCGAACTTAACACCACAAAATCCGAAGTTCAGAAATTACATCAAGGTGTTTCCAAAATCCAAAGAATCGTGACTGATTTAATTTCAAATTGATAAGGATACACTTGAAGGGATCATGTGGCGGAGTTAAAGATTAATAAAAACATGAACTTCCTAGTTGTTATTTCAAGAGAAAGTTGTTATTGAAAGTTTCAAAACTGTAGAGGAAGAAGATTCTGATTGGTCTGAGAGAAGAGATGAATTGTCTGATGATTATTTAACTGACAGCCATGGCAAACTTGAACAGGTTGATGTAGAAGTGAGAGGATTAAATTCAACCCAAATCCAATAAATTTCGAACAATTCATCAGATCCTTTTTAATTGGATTTAGTGAAGCTTTGCTTAGGGAAAGAAAAAATTTTACAATTTGTTACGTGCTAATTCAAATATTTCGTACAAGGTATCCCAATCAGGGTTAATGAAATAACACCATTTACAATTGAAATCGAGTTGAGAAAAGTAGAGGCCTCCAAATACTGCAAAATACAGAAACAACATGCAACCAGCAACTACTCTCAACCAAAGATGAAATTTTCCTTTTGCTCTTCCTTTCTTTGTGAAACAATAGAAACAGCAACAACAACACGCAGAACATCCACCTATTACCTTTTTCATGAGTTTTACAATTCCTTTTTTGGTCGTTTTGGATTGAGTAGATTTGTTTGTTCCTTCGCCGCTTTCAAGATCCACTGACTCCATCTGACTTTCGGTATCTTTGGTCGCAGTGAGCTTCTTTCTTTTCGCTTGAGGATTCGTTCCTCCTCCATTACTACTTCCAACCATGCTCTCTTCATAAGGATTTAGGTCTCTCATTCTGGGAATGGTGGCCAGGGTTGTTAAAAATCCAACCATAAGACCTCCACAATGCGCAAAATTATCAATCCAAGGAATCAAACCAACAATGATTTGAGCTACGACTTGAAATGTGAGCAAGACAAAATCTTTTTTTGGTTGTGGCATGAATCTCCAATTCATCCACAAATCGGCATAGATTGCACCCAAAATACCAAATAATGCACTGGATGCTCCAATGGTAGTAATTTGTGGTAGAAAGAGAGCACTTAACAAATTTCCACCCAATGCACTCATGAAATAGATGAAACCCACGTACATAATTCCCCAATGCTTTTCTAATGGAAGCATGACAGTTAATTGCCACAACAGATTCAAACAAAGATGAACTATACCACCATGAAGAAAAACAGGTGTGACCAGTCGATACAGTTGCCAATTTGGAGAAATTATGAGTTGACCCTTTTTTGCTCCCAATAGAATCATTGTTTCTTCTGGAGGACCAATGAATGGATTCACAATCACAGACTCCAAGCCTCCAATGGAGATACTCACCACAAACATCAAAATCTGTACAATGCTAAGAAGAATTGTCAAGTAAGGTACTTTTTTAAATTCCTCACTCAGTGATCGATTCACAGTCAATGGATTTGTGGAGTCCTTTTTGAACCGATCTTTGAAATAGAGAGCCATGAAATGAATCTTTCCTGATCTAGGGGTCTGAGGTGTGGGAATAGATGGAAGAGTTTTCAAATGCTGAATAGAATTTCTTAAATTAGACCCAGAATGGTCATGATTCAAAGGGTCCATGTCATATTGTGGATTAATTCCAACGAATTGATCACATTCAGGAAATTGGAGTTGTTGTTTAGGGTGTGTGGAAAGACTGCCCACTTCTCGCTTGATTTTCTCAATTTTCGCTTGCAATTTCTCTTGAGAAAGGCGTTCCTTTTCTTTTTGCTTTAACGCCTTCAACTCTTTGGAAGAAGGAACAACCGAACGAGAATTGGAGATATTATTGTTGTTGATTACAGGCACCGGTTGGACCTCTGAAAGAGAGATGGCAGAGTCTTGTCTTGAACAGTTTTGGCATGTTGAACTATTCTCTTTGCTTTTCCTTTTGAGAAATCTGGCAAGTGACAGCGATGATGTAATTTCCTCATCTTGCTTTGATTCTTCTTTTTTTTCGCCCCCTGTCTCTTTTGATTCTTCCTCTCCCTTGGTCCAGTCCCTTGAAACATAATCAGAGTTCAAAGCCAATTCAGGAGTTCGAGGTGTCTTTGGTCGCTTGGCAATCTTTTCTTTCTGAGTGGAATCCATTTCGAATGGATCTTCACCTGGTGGTATTGTGATTGGATTCGATGGAAATGAAACAGAGGGAACTCTTGGCTTTAAGTTGGAATGTTTCGTTGTAAATTGTTCCCTCTCGTCCTGATGAATCAAAGGCTCTAAATTAAAACGAATGGAACGTGCGGAGAGGGGTGGTTGTTGGTGATCTTGCTCGGAATGACTTTTATGTTGTTGATGGGACTCTCCAGATGATGAAGGAAGAATAGAAAGAGGAATGAAACTAGGAACGGTTGAAGCGGATAAAGACTGAGAAGGTGGTGTATTATTCAACGTAATGTTTCTCAGGGAAAGGCTTTCTTCCTCATTCAGTTTAAGAGAGGGAGGTCTTGGAGGAGGGCGAAGAGAAATGATGGATGAACCTTGATGAGAGGAGGAATTCTGGATATTCGAGTTGGAAGGTTGATCAGAAACAAGTGGTTGTTGTGGAGTGGAATCAAAAGGGAGAGAAGAATGAGGAGAGGATATCATTACATTGGAATCTCCATTCGTAGGAATCGAGTTGCTAAGGCTATCATGAGGTGAAGGATTCAATGGAAGAGGAGGAACCGAAGGAAAATAGAATGATGAAGAAGAGTGTTGATACTTGTATTTGAAATTGTCTCCTTTTGAAAAATGCATTTTTTTAAACGGTTGTTTTGTTTTTAAGGAACCCAATAAGGTTCCCAAAATAAGTAATCACCTTAATGAGAAAGTGGTCCATTCAAGAATATAAATGGTAATTAAAGAAGCCGCAAGGATAATATCAATGATTGGGCCTAGAATATGATTAATTGTATACCAAAAACTAACACAACTTGTGTGTTTAAAGCAACTCTGTTTTAAAGCTGAAAAAATGTTTCAATCTACGCCACTGTTGGAAATGCTCCAATCTCATTGTTTCAGAGCGAGAGAGCGAGCAAGAAGAACAAGTTTGTTCACACACACATCAGCGGAGCATTCGAGTAGCATCAACACTGTTGTTGCCGATCGGAGCCAAAATGAATCACCATCCACGAATAATGATGAAGCAAGACAATTATTAGATTGGATACCCTTCGGAAATTCAAAAGGAATTGAATATTTACGGATTGCTCTATCCAATGAGAAGTATTTATTGAATATTCGTGATGAATTGATGGAGAATATGAAACAATTTGTTCATGTTTTTGTGAATCGGAATTGTAACATTGAAGATATTGGAAAATATTTATATGAGAACAGTGAAGAGGAGTATCAAGGAATGGCAGAGGAATTACATAAATACATTCAGCATCTTTGGGATTTTAAATTATGTGAAGCTAAGGTTGATTTGTTGGAATATTATTTACAAAGACGATTAGATTTAGTATGGAGTTCTGAGAAATTTAATCACAACAGAAAAAAGCGGAACACGGTCATTGTATTTTCCCAAATCAAGCAAAACGTATGTTTTGGGTATGATTGAATGAAACACAGCAACTTTGTGTCACCATAGATGAAAAGAAATAATTTTTTAATAGCCATGATACGAAAAAAGTTTGAAATAATTTTCAAACAATACAAACAATTCGAATTATTGTTAAGCATTAATTTTAAAAATTCAGGATTTGTGACAAAAGAAAGTTCAAAAACAGAAGCTTGGATGAATTACTTTGAATATGAAAAATTTGGAATCAACATGCACTCGTTGTTTAAGCTGCAAATTTTACATTTTGAGCAATTTAGAGCTGAAATTTCTACCTTTTTTAGTAATATTCAATGGACGAAAAACCAGTTTACTGATTGTGTCAATCCGGAATCCTTTCAGAATTATATCTTTTCACGTGAAATAGATTCTCCTCTTAAAGAATTTTTCCTCCTCTACCAACCAAAAGTTTCCTCTCATAACAAGCACACAAACATATTGTACGATCCTCTTGCTGAAGAGTTGACCATGAAACAACACAAACAGAAACAAATTAGGACTATGGTGTCACAACAAATGGATGAAATACATGAAACAGATGAAGTGCAAAATTATTTTCGAAAACTCTATATTGAACACAGTGACACCTCAAAACAAGCTCCACCTACCTCACTATTGTTCAGCAATGGAGACTTATACTCGAGTTCAAGAACAAAAGAAGAAAACAAAACCATCTATTCCACCGATTTACTTAAGGCCACCATTGAGGAAGCTTTCACACAACATGAGCTCATGGATTTTCTCACCATTTTATTTCCTTCCTTATCCTATTCGATTGAATCCCATGTATTGAAAGATCTCAAAATCATGAATCATGGTCAGCATGTGCAAACTTCCTCCTTCGATTTCGTGTGGAATCGTTTGTTCATCTCTCCACTTCTCAGAAAACATTGTTTCCACCACGAAAAGAGTTTTATAACCTCATTCATGACTCGTCTACTCTCTCAAACATACACCCTCTCCACACAGCTCGAGAATGTCCTCAACCTTCTGTAGTAGAGAGAACTTATATTGGACACAAATCTCACAACAACAATCATCGTGGTCGAGTGTTTCAGCTTGGTCGAGAAGCACAACATCGAAATTTCAAGTTCATCATCGCTATAAAAAAAATTTTCAACAGACACCCGAATTTACTTTTGAGGTATGCAGAACTACATACTCTTTATCACAAACGGATCAGTTTCTGATGTTAATGTGTGTGTATTTTTATGATGCCATTTGCAATGATGATCATCGACAATACTATGAACGGGTTAAATGTTCATGATGATCCTGTTCTTGTTATTGATCTCTATTGTTATGAATGGAAATTGTTTATTTGGAATGATAATGGTTCAGTGGTTTACTCGGAGAAGTTTTATTTGGAACGATCAATAACAACATCATCATCATTGAAAATGCTTGGATGGCTAAGCAAGACCTTTAAGAAACTGTCCAACAATGAGAATGGTCTTTCCTTCCCCAAAGCTGTTGCATCGGGAAAGAGTGATACTACCATCGAGCTCTCCTCACTCGGAAAGAAGTTTAAAGTCAATAGAGAATCGGTTCGGAAGGAGAGTCCTGAATTTGCCAATCGTTGGTTCCAAGGTAATAATACTGACAAATTTACGATTGAGATCGGGAAAGAGAAGGAATTTATGGAATGTATTCTAAATTATTTGAGTAATGATCATTTTGAATGCTCGATAGAGAGTTTAATGGGCGTATTAGTTCTTGTGCTTGAATATGATTTCAAGGAATGTAAAGAAAAAATTGCATCACATTTACAACGAAACATGAAACCACTCGATTCTCTCGGTTACTTTACGGTCATGTACAATCATTATGTGTCACGTGATAAGGCACCTCTTGATGTGCACGAACAACAGATCATGACAAGAGCAGTTTTTACAATATTAAGGTACTTTTTCGAGCTCGAAAAGAATGAACAATCACGGAAAATATTAATTGAGCAATTCAACTCTGGTCACATGCTCTACATTTTCAAGCATAATACTGTCAGTGGAATTGTGGTTCCATCTTTGCAATTTTTACGATTTCTCTCTGAGTGGACACTGTATGACTTGCAAAATCGAGGAGATGGATTAACTGAACTTGTTGAAGTCGAAAAGAATATGAAATATGGAGTAGTGAAATGTTCTCACATCGATACATTCAAGGAATATGGTATCAAAGAAAGCGAAACTTCTTCAGAGTTTATTCATGCAGAGGATGATTTTAAAGTGGAGCCAAATAGTGACCATTCTATCATTTCAATTCATGGAACTGCCTCTCAATATGCGTATATCAAGATTTATAACAACACTGAGATGAATTTTGGAGTCTACACATGGCGAATTAAGGTAAACAAGTTTGTTTTTTGGTTAGGGATTGGTGTCGCCCTAAAAGAAAAAGTTGAAAACAAAGTATTTGATGACTTTGTTTCGCCATACAAGAGCCATGGCTGCTACATGTGCTCTGCCAACTCATACCGATGGTTGCCCACTGAATATTTCTCATCTTCATTCCCATTTGAAACTGGTGACGAGATTGAACTGACAATGGACTGTGAAAACCGCAAACTTACTTTCCGTAATCTCTCCAAGTCGGCAAACAACACTCAAACCATTTACAAGATCCAAACACCAGTCTACCCATCCATTGTGATGGGAGGACAAGAAGAAATTGAATTTAAATGGCGTTCAGAACCAAGTGTCAAGATCAATTAAATTAGATCGTTCATGAAAGTTACAATTTAATATAATATATAATATAATTGTAAATTTCATGAACAATTAATATATAATAATATTCACAGACACGAAAGTTAATTAAGATAAATTGTTGAACAAATTTTTGAATTTCCTTTTCAATCGTAATAATTGAGTTAAAAAAATGAGTCTTTTGAAGGAGAAGTTGCAAAAGGCGAGAATTCATTCAAAAAGCAAAAACATTTCCGTGTTCAACAAGAAGAGAAGCAATGAAGAAGAAGAAGCAGCATCATCGCGTTTGAAGAGCTCGGAACCTACCAACGAGACTCTAGAAATAACTGAAAAGAATGGTGTCCATGAAAGAGCACTCCCGTCATCATCGGAACAAAAAAAGAGAAAGATGGATGATAACGCTACAACGCTGAAAACAAACAAACAAAAATCATATCAAGGATATATTGATCAATTGGAAGAATGTATCAATAACCAACCAGAAACATCTCATATATTTACCTCATCGGAATTAAAGGAAGCCACCAAGAGCAGCGTTTCCACTTCTAAATTAATTCATATCGCTAACAGCAATATGATTCATCCAATTGTTAAGAAGGATCTATTGAATAGAAGCAATGAAGAAAATGTTTTTCTTTCTCTGATTCAAAGCGTTGTTTTTGATAATATTTTGAACGGAAAGGATGTCATTTGTGAATATTGCTCTGTTGGAAGTTACTCATCGTTTGATGCGCAAAGTAGCAATAATGTGTTAGAGGATTGTGCATTGTCATATTTAATTCCATTACTCAGCAATGTCTATAAGGTCACAAAGTCTAAGAAGATTAATAATTTAGGTCTCGTATTGTTAGATTCAGAAGAGATTTTAACAACTTTGAAAACAAAACTTGAGAAGAATTTACCTTCTGCTCTAGAATCTGGCACTATATCTTTTATTCAAAATGCAACTTTTGAAGAACGCCCTGTTGTGATTTCAACCCTAAATAATATCATCAAAGTATTGGAAGAGCGACCAGATTTATTCTTGAAATCTTTACGATGTGTTGCTTTTCATTTAGGTGAAGATTATTATGGAAGACTTCCAGAGTTATTCAACACTTTAAGCAGCATTTGCAAATATTTACCACAAAAAACTTCTCGTCAAACATTATTTTACTCCAATTCCATCTCGAGTAAGACTTCAGAATTTGTTTTGAACAATTTGACGAGAGCAGGTCCTCCATTTGTGAAAATGAGTGATATTTTAGCAGAAGATGCTCTTATCAAGCAATCCATCGAGATGGACAGGAGCAAGCAACAACATTCTTACATCTCTGTGGGTTATCCTCTCAAATTAGTTTACTTATTTTCGTTGATAGGATTTCTTGCAAAATATCGAAAATTCCAAACGATTTTTGTTTATTTTCCTACTGCAGAGCTATGTGAATTTTACTCTTCCTTATTTGTACATACTAAGGATTACAAATCTATTACGAAGAAAACAGCTACACATTTTGTCTACGATGGTATGGCTCACACACCAGCGTGTAAGGATGCATCTAGGGCCGTGGTTGTCCATTTTGAAATGCCACCAGATAATGCTACCTATTTACAACGAATTGGGAATATCAGAAGATCGATCGTTCTTTATACAAAGAGAATGAGCTCAGCCTCTGATGTGTTATTTTCTGAAAAATCAGATCATTTAGAAAAGTATGAAAAGTTTTCAACGGAGCATGTCGATTTGTCCATCCAATTTCAATGCGAACAGGCTGTCGAAAAGGATAATGCTTTGAGAGATGCGTTGAAATTTGCCCTCAAATCCTTCCGAATGATTCATTCTGGCTTTCTTGATTCCATTGCACTGAGAAAACAACAATCAAACATCAAATCTGTGAAACACAAAAAGAAACTTTTAGAAGATTCTGAGATTTTACAACCATTCGCAGTGACAGATACCAATGTGGTTCAAAAATCTTACGATTTCTTTAGAGGACTTCTTTTACCAGAAGATCTTTGTTGAATAGATTCGTGCAATTTATCAAAATTTTGTTTTCTTTGCCAAAACAACATCTGCTAGATCAATTTTCTTTCGTTTTCTTTTTCCCTTAAATAAAGTCTTCAAAGTATTTCCAGCAATATCCAGCAATGCTGAAAAAGTTTCGTCTTCTTGCTCCAAAAAAAACTCCAGCACTGGATTGCTGCTCGTACTATCTTCATCTTCCTCGAGAAGGTCTATTGGATTTTCTTTGTCATTTTCTCCTGTTTGCTGCTGATTGTCTCCAAGAAAGTGTGGTGGAATGATGAAGTGTTGCACAGACCATTCTAAAAACGTTAATGATAAATATGAACTGAATGAAAACAATTGAGGATGAGAGGAAGCTAATAAGGAAAAAACGGTTAAAACACTCTCAGGTTCCACACTCTTGGGCAATAACGTCACACTCTCAAAAATTTCTCGAATGACAAAATCCATTTTCTCAGCTAGCAATGTGCATTCTTGAAGTGACATGGGTCTTTTTTGAAAGGAGAGCCAAAGCTTCTAAAAACCAATGCCGTCTGTGTTGTTGACTTGAATGTTCAGCAACATCTAACACGGGTTCATTCCATTGATTGAGCATTGAAACATTAAATGCAATTTCTGCCTCCTTATCAAAGCTCCGTATCACTGAAAATAATTCAGGTGGCAAAGACGACAATATTTGAACACTAAAGGCCAACATTTCCATAAAACATTCTTTCAAAAATGCATCGACATTTGCGTGATGTCTCTCATTCAAAAACAATTCCAATATTGTTCGAATGTAATTTCTTCTTGTTTGCGAGTCAGACAATACTCTTCGAGTTGTTGATGTAATATCTTGCAACCAAAAAATCCAAAGTCTGAATTTCACAATTGAAGCTAAACTTTCATGTTTGAAAGTAACTTTGAGAGTGGACATCCACCAATGCACTTCGTCGTCGTCATTCAACAGCTTCACATATTCTGGATGGGAAAACAAAAAGTAAACTCTTTGAAAAAAAAGTGGAAAATGTCCAGAAGTTGTTTGATTGGAAATGTCTCCAATTTCATTCACGAGCTGGAAGATGGTTTTCAAAAAGAATGGCATTTCGTTGGCTCCATTTTCCCAAATCAATAATTTACACGTTGATGCATCCAATACTGAGTCAAGAAATGCAGAAATTTCAGAAGGATCCACCATGTGACGCATCACTAGTTCAAATACATTGATCATTCGTTGAGCATGAACAAGTGAAAATGATGAATTTGCGCACATGTCCAAGAATAATATTTTGCAATGATGAGAAATCATTTTGATGAGAAAGCACTCTTGATACTTTTCGAAACTGTCAGCAACCAGCTTAAATATTGGAATAGTGTTATTGGGAGAAGCGTCTGAATCATCTCTCACTAATTTCAACAATAGGAAGGATAATGAATTTGTATCCACAAGTCCTTTTGAATCTAATATTGAAGTTATGAAATTTTTCTTTTTAAGTGGAGAATCTAAATTACTCAATTCCTCATCCATCAATGTTCGAAATACAATAATACTATGAAATGGATGATCCTCTGGAAGAGAAATCTTCAGGAAATTAAATAAAGATGTTGCTTTTTTTGGTAATGGTAAAGCATAGAGAGTGAGAAGAGTATTCCACCGTCTGCAAAAAATCTCTTGCTCTTGTATGGAGCCTTGATTAAAGTAATCCAACAATTCATTTGGATCTTTGTTATATAATCGAATCAACTTTTTCAACTTGGATACCGTTGGTTGTTCGATTTGCTCATCATGTAGTAGCACTTGTCGATTTGAAAATTTTGATAAAATTGAGATTCGATAGGATTCTGACAACAAGTCCAAAGCATCGTCACCAATTCCTTCAATGGGAGCAATTAGGAAATTTCTTGCATGATTCAGGTCCTCAAAGATGATTCTTTCGTCGACGCATATTAAAAGAGCAAGTTTGTATTCATCATTAGAGATCATGTTGGAAATCCATGTTAAAAAACTAAAACTGCAGTCCATCATTAATAATGAACGAGAGGTATTCGGTTCCTTTTGAAACCATTATCTTCATAATACTTACTTGATACTCTCCGAGTAATGAAATATAGTTGCCCAGTAAAGGCAGGTGTGAATGAGAAATTTCGAAGAATCATTAAAGGGTTGGATTTTCGTTTCTAGCATTAAGTAGTTCAGAATATCTACAAATGTTTGTTCTTCATTATTTCCACTCGAGAGAAATTGAAGAAAGATATTTACATGAGAATGGTAAGAGACAGAATTCGAAGCCACTATACATTCTTCCAACGAGGCTCCCTTATAATTTTTAACAATATCCGAGACAATGATTTTGCAAACTTTGGATAGGAGAATTTTGAAATAGGATGTGTCACAGAGCTTGTAAACTCGGAGAATAGATGGAAAGTATTCAGTCACAGAGTTAGATGAAATCATCTTGAAAAATAGTGTACAACACACACTCTCAACCACGTCATTTGACATTGACAAAAGGGTTTTACCATCGTTTCTTATGGCAAAGAGTTGATTGTTCTCAAAGAAAGAACACTTTTCTCTGTTATCAAAGATTTTCAATAATTTGACGAGCTTTGATATGGAGAGCTCTTGAAATAAATTACGTTGTAAAATATGAGTGCTGTTCATAGAAACATTTGCATTTCTTAATGAGACAACAATTTCCCATATGGAGATTATTTGAGGTTCATCGAGCTGTTTCTCATTGATATAATACTCCAAAAAACAGGCAAAAAATTTGGATGTGTTTTTTAAAATTATTTCCAATTTTCTCTCGTCTATCGTTTCGAATTCAGTATTCCAATGATTCCTTTCAAGAATTTCATGGTTTAAAAAATCGGAAGAGTGTACAGTAATTGAACCAATAGTGGTTACAAATTTTGATAAAAAAGTTTCTAGGTTGAATAAATTTCTTAGAATTTTGTGTTTTTCCACAAAATTAGTGACTAGAGGGACGTCAATAGTTCGTTCCTTTTTGATGACGAGTGCAATAAATGGCTTCATTAGGTCTCGATATGTGTTGTTGTCTTCGCCTTCGCTTGTACAAGCAACTCTAGGTTGAATAATTATTTCCTTGTTCTTACGATCCATAGTGATCATTTTAGCAATTTGAGACGTAATTTGAGTAATCCTCGAATTTAGGTTCTGAGAATCTGCGAGATCTAAATAAAATACAACGAGCCGTCGATGTCCACTGCATGCATCGAAAAGGGTATAATTTTTAAATTTTGGATCTAGGAGATTTGATAAATCATTTTGAATCCTATCAAGAAAGCAATAATCCATGAGTAAATAAAACCAAGTACCCAGTAGTGTATCATTCTCTGTTGAATAATCAAGTCTCTGTTCCGACACTTGGTTTAAATCATTAATTTCTTTTTGTAGTATATTTCGCATAGTTTGAATAAAATTAGTGATCAAGAATTTTAGACCTTCTTCTATTTTCAAATGTAGACATTGTGAATTATTATACGATGACGAATAACTTTTAAAACTCCTCGATACAAAATACTCTTGGGATTTAAACAATGTTTTTATCAAATCAATCCACAAGTGTTTCCTCCTGAAAATAATTTTGAAATAAACATCCTCTAATTTGTTCATATTTGCTGATAGGTTTCCAAATGCCAATTCACAAATAATGTTCGCCAAAAATTGTACAAATTTACATGACAATGATTGAAACATGATCGGAAAATGAAATAAATAATATTCCAACGATTTCTTGTAAGTCATCGGAAGTGATTGCAGACTATTCATTTGGCTTCCTCCATTAGTTTTTTCCATTCCATCATCAGGATCATCATCCACACACTGATTTGAAGCCATTGTCGTAGAACGTGCTTCCTCTCTCATGATATCATTCCGAATCACATCCAACAAGCCTTGCATGATCTGTTGGGCTCGTGCAAAATGGCTCGCCGTCATGATGATGATTATTACTCTCAAGAGAACGAAGAAGAGATTGGAGAGCTCTTCTCTTGAATTTCTCAATCAATTTTTTAAATATTTTTTCAATTTTTTAAAAATTCTTTTCATTCAACAATTCTCAAATCTTGCCAAAGATCCTCCTCTCAAAGGAAAATCTGTTTTGGGAATATTCCCTGACTTTTCTCATGGCCAATTATTTTAATGGACTACTCTCTCTCGTTAGTTCATCACCTTCGAGAAAGGCGAAAAGATCGTCTGCTGAGTGATGTTGTTGTTGTTGTGAGGGAGAGATTCAAAAAATTGTGCGAAAATCTTCCTCTCTGCTGAATTTCTCTCTTTTTTGATGAGTTGCATGTTCACAGTCAGATACTCGCAAATCAATTATTACCCTATTGATTGGATTTCAACTTCGGATCTTTTGAAATTACAACGCAAGGATCTACTTTCCTTTTGTTGCTTTAAGTTTTTGAACGCCAATGTTCCGATTGGATCATTGCCATGACGGAAGAGGAGGAGAATCCTCATTCAAGAAGAAAACGTCCACTTCTCCTCTAGAAGAAAATTCAAAGAGTAATAGTAGTAGCAGCAGCCTCTCTTCTTCATCATCCTCGTTGCACCTATTACAGGTTCATCGGGATTCCAATAACCACCAAAATACGAATAATACGAATAATAACAACAAGAACATCAAAATGACGACTGCTGGTCATCATCCGAATCATGGAAATAACAACAACATTCAACAACAAGAACACCACCACTACCACCACCACCAACAGCAGCAACCGAACACCACCAATGCAAGTCATTCAAGAAAAAGAAAGGAGAGTGTTTCATCGGTTCATGAATCCGTTATGGAGATTGCTTTGCCCATGGCTACAAGTGCTGATAATAACATCAACCACAATGGCAACTCTTCCATGACTACGACAATGGCAGCTACAACAACAACGACGAATGAAGAAGGAAAGAAGAAGAGAAAAAACGCAACTTTCTATCAACAACTCCACAAACCTCAGGCCTCTGGAGAGTTTGCTCCCATGTCGTGTCAACACTGTAGAAGTTTACACAAACGTTGTGATAGAAGTTTACCGAATTGCTCAAGATGTGTTCAAACGAATCATATTTGCCTCTATCCAGAACTCACCAACAAAAAGAAGAAAAAGACTACTCATAACAACCAAAACAACAACAACACGAATCCTGTTGAAAAAGCATCGTCGACATCATTCTCTCATGAAAAAACCAACCCGTTATCCTCTTCGCAAATGTCCTCTCCTCCAACTATTGCGGGAGTTACCATCTCTTCCTCATCGCCACAAATGTCCTCTCCACAACCAGCCATGCAATCATCATTCTCGCCTGGATCCACTACCAATTTCTCCAGCACCAACAACATTTTAGAGAATGCAATTTCTTCCCCCCTGTCACTTTCTGCCATTTCATCAAAGCTTGCTTCTCTCGATAGTACCACACAACTCAAACTCTTCGACATGGCTGCCAACGCACTCTCGAGAAATCCTGGACAATTAAACTCTTTGATTGCCAATATTCCTCCTGGATTAATCAGTGCATTTACAGGAAAATTCCAATCCACCAATTCTGCGGAAGTGACACCTATCGTGTCCATTCCAACTCCAACAGGACAAGTTCAACATGCAGTCAAGCCCATCACTGCATTTGTTCTCGATATTTATTTTCATACTTACAGTTTTGGCTTTCCCTTAATACCAAAAGAGAGAATGACTGCTCTCTTAGATCTTGTACTTCTCAAGCAGCAACAACAACTGGCACCTACTGCAGAATTACAACAATCATTTGGTATTCAAATTAAGAATTTTTATGACAGAGTTGCCAAACAACATTGGTCCTCAGCAACAGATATGGAAAAAGATTTGGCTGTGTTTTTTGCAGTCTTGGCTGCAACACTGCAATGCTCTGGAAACTTTGTGTATCAACAATATAGAAATTGCGCAAATAATCTTGATTTGATACACTCTGCTGGTGCATCCATAAACTTGCATCAAACAAGTCAACAATTTGAGTCACCTCTAGAAGCATCTATGGGAAGTGGAGCTTCAAGTATGGACTCGATCCATGACGATTTATTTATTCAAGATTTAAAGAACAAGTGGTTCAATAATTCTAAAACCATTATTGGAAAATATTTTGATGACATGGATGGAATGTCTATTCCCATTGCTTTAACTTTTCTAGTGTATTATCTAGTAGGAGAAGGTGACCTTCAACGTGCTAGAATGTACACCTCAATGGTTGAATCTTTGTGTCAAAAAGTTTGGGGTACCATGCATTGCTTTGGAATTGGCTCACGTGGCTTTGTGAATGGAGCAAAACCTGTAGTGAGTCAATTATCAAAAATTAGCGGTACCAATAGCTTTGTTTCGAATATTATGTATGGATTACCTGCTCTGTTAGTGCATCGATATTTGAGACCTATTGAAATGTTTCTTGCCGAGTTTGAAGAACCTACGAATTCTCTCGTTAGAAAGCTGCAACATATTGGTAATAAGATTAGAATTGATTTGACATTTATTCAAGATTGGGAACATATTCAAGATGACGAGATGGAAGAATTAGACCGATTGATAAAGTTCCTAAGCAAGTACATTGATCTATTGTTCTCTACCATGATGAACAAGGACTCCATTCTATACATTACAAGTTATTTGAATTTTCTGGATGTGGTCCTTGACGTCTACGAGAGAGCAGTCACAAAACGAACAGAATCAATGCTCAAGTTCGCTGCAGATATTATTGAAATTACCAAACTACCACTCTTTGTTTTCCTTCCAACACCATTCATCAGTACGATCATTAAGGGCGTTCGAGTCAGACTGAAATATGGAAAACCAACTGAAAGTTTCCATTCATCCATTAATTTACGAGAGGACATGTCAGCACTCAAGACTCTCACTAGCAAATATCCAATCGTGAACAAACTCTATGGTGAAGTTATTCGAGAAGTTGAAACATTCCTCTATCTACAATCATTCTCTCATGCCACACTAGTACAACCTATCAACATTTCAAATAATAATACTTTCAGCACAAACACCACCACCACAACTAGTAGCAACAACAATAACAATGGTAATGGTTCTTCGAATCACCATGCATCCGCAACACTCTCGACCAACGATTTTGATTTTGAAGATGACAGTGGATTTGACATTATGAACTTTTTGAATAATGAAGCTCCCTTATCCTCTACCACTTTCAACTTTGATGACGAGTTGTTTGGAGAACTTTTTAGCATGCCCAATTTAGACAATATAAGCACGACATCCAACGATAGTTGTGAGTCCATTTTCATTGATGGAGAAAAATTAGAAATTCCTTCGTGTGTGAAACCTGGATCTTTCCTTCCTATTCTTATCAAGAATTTAAGCAAACAAAAGGATATTCTCCAGCAGGGACACGACAGAAATTCAGAACCAATCAAAAAACTGAGAAGTGAGCTCATTGAGGAATTGACACAACATGCAGGCACCGATGAGAATACCAAGCTGCTTATTCAACTCTTCACTAAGCAGTACTTGCATGCATAGGCCATAGAATGGTTGACAAGTTCACAGTTGTATGATCGACATTCAACATTTCATGCTTAAAATACAACATGATTTATTAAGATCAGAGTTCAATTTTTAATAATAATATGATCGTATGAGTTCACAGAAAACACAACGACAAGGACGGCATGACATTATTATTCTGCACTCACCTGTGACTGTCTAATTCTTCCAATGACTTGTTGCAAGGTCATAAGATTCCTACCGACTTGTTCCCATTGAGGAACCAGTTGACATCCATTACGATACATACAAATTCCAATCATTCCTTCAATGACACTATCCTCTGCAGTGGTTGGTTCATAACATGGAGCAGTTTGTCGACATCCATAATAATAAAATTGAGTCTTACAACTTGAGAACAAAGATCCTCCCAAAGCGTTGTAATGTTTCATACAATTCACACGACAAGCAATACAAGGTGTCTTGGCCACGTGACCCACGAATGGAAGTTGATTCTTTTTTTTGAGTTCGGTTGGTCCAGTAGCTCCATTCCAATCTTTGGGTGAGTCTTCAATGATTTTCTTTGCCTTGCGAGAAAATCCAAATAACTTAAAAACTCCTTTCAAAACTCTTCCAATAAATCTTCCAATTCTTCTAAAGACTCGTCCAACACGTCTGAAGAATCGACGGAACCGACGGAACAAGACCGGATGTTCACTCAATGTTTCAGCATGTTCACTCAAAATAGCCAAATCTTCTTCAGTGAGAGCATTTTCATCATCCTCTTCGAGAGCAATTCGAGAGAGAATGTGACCTTCCACAATTTCTTCAATTTCATCATGTGAAAGGACTGTTCCTTTACGCTTGTTGTTGACGGATCCTGCTGGGTATCTGCATTCGCTGGTGGTCGCATTGACGTTTGGCATTAGAGTCAACGCACACACAAACAACAAGCAGAGAACGAGAAATAGTGAAATTTTGGTTGTTGTTGGTTTCATTTTTTCGCGATAGTGCTGGAGATGCGTAAATTGGGGTGGTTATGACAGTTGACGTTTTTGAGTCAATCCAAACAAAGGCAAATTGCGCTGGATCTGATTATGATGAAAAAATCAATCATACGCGACAAGATAGAACATTGAAACTGAATTTGTTTGAGTGAATCGAATAGGGTTACCTTAGAGTGAAATCTCAAAAAACACTTGTGCTATCCCACGTCACTTGTCAGAAGACTTCTTCAACAGATCACATTCAAAAACACCAAATATTCATTCCGATAATCATCTTGTTACTCTGTCGAAACTCCCGACGCACGAACTCTTCCAATCACTGTTTGAAGAATGTGTTTTGCATTCACCCATGTGATTTCACCCCACACCGATTGATTCAATTCACATCCATTTCTCACCACACAAATTCCAATCATTCCTTCAATTTCAGAATCTGTGGCAGTTGATGGATGCATGCATGGAGCCACCAATTGACACCCATAATAATGGAAACGTTTGGAACATTTTGAAAAAAGAGAACCACCAGCAGCTGGATAGACTTTCATGCAATCGACACGACAAGAGACACATTCACCGCCAAGACCTTTGAAAGGTGTACGATTTTCCATCACTTTGTTGGTGGGTCCTGTTGCTCCGGTAAATTTAGGAACGGATGAGGCCACAATTTCTATTTAAGGAATTGAGATTTGAAAAGGAATTCAATTGTATAATTCAAGAAGGAATTCAATGGAAAAATAATTGAAGAAGGAATTCAATTATAAGGTGGATGAAAGAGAAAGTGTGACATACCTTTTGCTTTCGGAGTGATCAAACTTGTCACTTCTTTGAGGACTGTCTTTAAAACCTTAACCACAGCTTTGACAGTCTTTACCAAAGCACTTTGGACATGTCATTCAAAAAATTAATTAGTAATAATGAATAATTGGATAATAATAGAAAAACAATAAATATCAATTTCAACACAGAATAAACCATAATAGATCGAGTCAATGAACAACCAGAATTGTGAAATAGGGCCATCAATGAGGACCATAACATAATGTTTTTAAAAAAAATCATATTCCTTCGTTCAATCACAAAAGCACACTAATGCGCACCTACCTGTTCAATTGACGAACCACTCTTCCGAATCTTCTCAAACCACGTCCCAATCTTCTTCCCAATCGTCTTAATCCTCTTCCAATTCTGCGACCCAATCTTCTTCCCAATCTTCTCAAACCACGTCCAAATCGTCTTCTTAATCTTCTAAATCTTCTTCCAAAACTTCTGAAACCTCGTTTGAATCTTCGACCCACACGACCCACGCCATGAGTGACTCTTCGAACGACTCGTTTCAATCTTCGACCGAGTCTTCTCAATCTTCTTCCGAGACGACGTCTGAATAAGGATTTTGTCACTTGTCCACTCGAATCGATCAATTCTTGTTCGAGAAATTCAGTGAACTCGAGATCTTCATCATTGAGAATTCTTCCCTCTTGTGTGAGAGCTTGTTCTTGCAATTCAAAGACATGAGAAAGGAGTTGCGATTCAATTTCTTGATGGAGAGTATCCACAGCGAGGGCAAGAACAGCTCCTTTTCGTTTTTGGTTGACATTTCCTTTCGGATATCTGCATTCACTTGTTGTTGCTTGGACCATGTGGTCATTTTCTGATGAAAGGATGATGATGACAAAGAGGGAGAGAACAAGCACGATCAATAAAGCACCCACGCGAGTGGATGGAGGGCTGAAGTACGGAGTCATTTTTTTGAATTGCTGCTTGGGAACACCTGTAATGGAAGCTGACATTTGAAAGGTAACAGGTGTTCGAAAATGCTCCTCATTGGCTTTCTCAATGTTGGGTATTTGCACGCTTATCCTTGATCTCCCCAGTAACAATAGCAATATTTATCAACAAGTAGCAAGATGATATTTGCCACACCCGTGTTCCCCAAGTTTCTGGTGGTCAAAAAACGTCCAACGAGAATCTTGCTTGAAGAAACCCACTCAAATTTAAAATTAGATACTTGGCCCCCTTGGGAATCGAACCCAAGACCTCTGTCTTACTAGGACAGCGCTACTGCCAACTGAGCTAGGAGGCCAGTACATTTCCACTAAAAGCATTCCATAGGCAGTTAATAAAGAAGCTTTGAAATATATATATCGCTCCCAAAAGATCGTCCACCTCTATCACAAAAGAACTTGGTCCAATTTAAACGAGATCGTCAACCCACCAATAGTCAGTGTCTTCTTGACTATTTGAATTTTCTTGATCTTGCTGCAACAAAACAGCACAATGAGTAATACAAATCCTTCAATTCTTCTTGATCATATTCTATGTAGCCTACGCTCAAGTTGAATGTTGAACTCAATAACACTACCATACTACCGAATGCATCACCTAGATATTCTCCCCCAACTTTAAAGGTCACTAAAAGGAAAAAAACATTTTGAATCACAGTAATAATGAAACAAAATGCTGCGAAAGGAAGGAACTGTTTGCAGGTATAGTTGAGAATGTTTTCTGAAATAATAATAATTTGAAACATGTACTTACGGATGATTGCAAAATGTTAACATCTGAGGTACGTTTCATTTCCCTGTTAATCCAGACGGCAGAAATTATAAATGTAAATATTGCCAAAAGCCTAATGCCACTTATGTGATACGAATGACTGGAAGCCATCGCTCGTTTCTTCTCTGTGCTTTGTGAACTATTTCAAAGAAATTGAGAAGCCACGAGAAGAGGCTTGAGAGTCTTAAACCAGCAGAAAGAAAAGAAAACATATAGACTGGAATCAAAAAGCCATATTCCGCAAGTAAATACGATAACAAATTGAATAGTTCTGAAGTTACAATCAAACTCGCTGTAAACGGTTTCGAAACTTTGCATTTGGTTGTTAGAGACGTCTGAACCTTAAAACAGGACCAAGCTCCTTCCTCGTTCGCTCATTTTTTATCGTCCAAATAAAAATGAATTTATCGTTATTCGATGAACGTTCCGAGCTGCTACTGGCCAACAGTGATCGTGATCATCACAATGATCATCATCATGGAATTAGAAGCGTCCACTTAAATTCTCAAAACAAACAGCAAGTACATCGGTCGAAATTACAAGATCTCAATCAAGACATGCTCTCTGTAATTTTAAAATTTTGTTCCGATACAACGGATATTGAATCTTTGAAGTATTCGTGTAAGAGTTTGTATTGGTTGATCTCAGTTAGATTTGATTTGCTCCGAGAGGATTTTCAAGCAGAAATAATAATTTCATGGGATAATTTTCACATATTGTTGGAGAGTATTGAACACAGTTGTTTTAAACTAATTGAAGATGACAACAAATCAACCTTAACAGATTCTAACTTTCTCACCTACTATGATACTGTTTTACAATCTCAACACGTTTCGCTAGCTCGTTTTATTGAAAATTGGAAACTCAAATATCCTGATATTGTTGATACGAAGAATTGGACCGTGAATGCATGCCGATTATTTAAGAAATTTATTCTTCATGTAATTATTGCTAACGAGGAGGCTTTGAATAATGCTGTTGTCACGATTAACAATAAGGAGTCTGGACATTGTATATATTCTGGATTTATATTCTCTACACCAGAAGAAAATATTGATCTGAAGAAGGGAATAGTTTATGAGAATTTTAAGGCGCTTTATAGATTTCGAGGAGACAATTATTTACAGCAGCAATTTATTTCAAACATAATTTTTTACATTATTTTTAGACATAGACTCGTAAAATTGATGGAAAAAACAAATATTTCGTTGAAAAAGATTTATAGCAAAAACATTATTCGGAAATTTAAATATTTATCAAGAAGTGACAATACCAAAGCACGAAATGCATTTTACAATTTTCTGTGCATTCAAGACAATGTTTTACGGAGATTTAAGTATAATGTATTGAATGGAAAAACTTTATTGCCTAAAATTGAGAAGTTTGAAAAAGAGGGCATTCAATTCCTAAACATGATTGCTTTTGAGCATATGAATATGAAGGAGAGAGAACATTTCTTCAAGATTGCAATCAAACATTGCTATGGATCAACACTCTCAATTTCAAACGAATGGAGAGAACGTTACTACAATCAAGTTCAACATTTAAAAGACGTTTGCTATGAAGAAATTATTTGTACCCACAACGAATATGGATTGCACTTTGAATTTTTAACATTGGAATTTGATCGTACAATTTGTGCAACACGCCTCAACAAACTCACCATTCCTCTCTACCCTAATTCAGAGTTGTCAGCAATTCGTTTCGATCAATGGAGTGAGTTTGAAGCACTGATTCCAGGTGTGGGAACATTTGACAAATGTTGCACGAGGTGCTGTTCTCATCCTTCACTTCGATATTTGAATTGCACATGTTTTTTCTGTTTTTGGTGTTGCACTTGCTGTTGCTGCTACAGGCACCCGAAAAGTGATCAATTTGAATGGATGTCCTTACTTGGTCTTACTCATCGATGGCTTCCAGTGCTGGATTTTTGGAATTGTGTGGACGTTTGCTTGGGTAAACCTATACAAGATATTTATTCTAATGTGGAAACAATCGAATAGTTATTAATTATTATCGCGATTTAGCTCTTCTTCTTTATTTGGAATTTACTCGAAAAGCTCACCTTCATTATTTGGAACGCACTCGAAATGCTGATTTCCATCATTAACAAATGCACATATTAATTTTTAATGACACATTTGAATTTCAATTTTCACACACAACTTATTTAATTTTATTCTATTCATTCCATGAATTCAGATAGTTTTGGAGTTGGTCGAATTCAAATTCAAATGACTCGTTAACATTTCTTTTTCCGAAATGTAATTCTTGAAAATCTTTTCCATATCATATTTACGAGACATGGCTGCACTTGGAGATGAAAAGGAAGATGTAGAAGCAGCACAATACTTTTCACGGCCCGAAATGGGTTCATTCAAGATGGTTCTCTCCAAATATTTAATACTTGGAATTTTGAGAGTGAGAGGGGATTCAGAGCTTTGTTCTCGGAATGGAGAGAGGATGATGAAAAGAGGCTCCTCTTCCTCTTCTTCATTCAAAAGAGTTGGATGGGAAGCAAGGCTCTGTTGTTGAGAACAACCCGTACTCGTACTCGCACTCGGAGTAAGACTTGCAGAGGAAGAACATGAGGCTGGCTGTTGATGATGATGATGTGTATAATAGGTGGATGAACAACTCTTCCATATTTGTGAGGAACTACAAGTCTGTGTGCTATGAGGATGATTAGGAGAGAGAAGAGGCATATTTCCATGACGACATGCAGCCATGTCCCCATTGGGAGTTAAAGTACTACTAGTAACTCTTTCACTCGTGAGTGGTGGTTGTGCTTGTGCCTGGCATGTTCCAGCATTGTTACTACTGCCTCCACTACTGCTACTACTACTACTTGTACTTCCCGATCGATTATGGAGCTTGAAATGAAATATTTGATAATTTTGATCTCTTTTTGGACTACTTCGTGAAGGAGCTTTGATATCGACTTGATTGAATTGTAATGCAGTAGTGGAGGTTGAGGAGGATGCATGATTGATGGATCTTGCTTGAGACTTACTCTGGTTGTGTGAAGAAGGAAGAGGTGAGGATCTCTGAGAGTTTGGAGGATTGCAGTAGGACAATCCATCTTCATCGACGACGACGACTTGAGAATGATTCCTAGCAGTACTGCTATTACCATTTCCATTGCTCGAAACAGTACTTTTTGGATTCATTGAGTGAAAAGTTAATTGTTGCATGACTGAGGACAAGACGGAGGAATTTTTCTTGTTGATCGTTTTTGCCTTTTCGGAACCATAACTACTACTCGAATAAGTCGTGCACATATGGACACAGGATGCATTCTGTGGTTGTTGCTTCTTTCTTGTCGAAGTGAAGGGAACTGGTGTTGGTGGAATGGAAGAAGAAGACGAGGAGGAGGATGGATTCTGCTGCTGATCTATTCCTCCTCTTCCTCCTCCAACCAGAGATCTTTGAGGAGCAACAAGGACAGGATAATTCCGTAATGCAGTTTTGTGTCGCTTGGTGATTTTACCCTGGGAAGAGTGATGATGATGATGGTGAGAGGAGCTTAAACTCGTCGTTGTTGACTGGCCCTGCAATTTGTACAAGTGAGAGGATGATCCACCACTCTTCATGAACATGGATGATGAAAATGGCTGAGGAGAGGGATTGATCATGCTCGTACTGCTTCTTCTAAAGTTGTGCGAAGATGGTGTGGATTGGACCATGGGCTCTTTCTATAGAGAAGGCGCTCTCTGTTAATCTTTGGAGAAACTTTTTTGTTGTTGCACTTTGAGATTGGAAATGTCGTGGATAATAATATATATCCAAACGATTACTGCCACAACAAGCAACCTCCTTGTGTGAATTTGAGAATGAACATGACCGTTCGTTTGGAAAAAACACGTCAAATCATGTTCCTATTTAGCCAATAATGCATATTCGTATTTGCCATCTCTGATTCATGTACCTAATAATGTCTGTTTCCTACTGACACCAATTCCTTGGCTGGTAAAGTTAGAAATCATCAGTTACGAAAGGAAATGTATCAGATTCAGACGACGTCCGTTGCAGCATCATCAACATTTGGAAGTCATTCCATTCTTGCAAGTTTGATCCGTTTTGAATTCGACAGGAATTGTTTTGAGCTCTCTGGCAAGCAGCAAGACGAGAAACGCTCACAAGGAAGTTGAAGGAACATTTGAAGAGAGAAAAGGACCTTCTCGGTGTTCACTCTTCCATCATGCGATTTGAGGCTTTTACAGCATTAGAATTTTTATTGCAGAAGGAATGTTTCCAAAAATTTTTTTCCCTTATTTGGATGTGATTGTGAGCTCTTTCTGAATAATTATTATCATCCATTAACTGTTTGAAGCAACTGTCCAAAACGCATCGAATGACAAACATGATCAAATGCTCTCCAAAACGTAACTAAGCAAAAGAGCCTAAAACTTGACTTTGTTTTGCACCCACTTTTTAAAAAACAAAAACAGGACAAGAGCAAATATTGTGAGGTTCTTCTGATCCAATTATATAATTTTGAGACTCGATCTTTTGAACAAAAGTAGTACTCAAACCGCAGTATTCAGTCATCTAATTCTGATTGATTCGAATCCTTTGAATCCATTCTCCGATTGCAGAAGAGTGATTCCTCTTCATATCGTACATTTAGTCTCTCTCCAATCAACACCCGTCATTTCATCCAACAACATTGGTTGGTTCTTGTTGCACCACCGTAGCAGACACACCATCAGCCACTTTTGTCTCTCACTTCATCATCCTTCTCTTGGTGGTTATTGCATCTCGACCATCAGCACAAAAAGAGAGTTGAATTGTTTTTATTTGAAAAAAGAGACTCAACTTTGCAAGTCAACAACAACGACTACACCTCCGAATCCTTGTAAATTTACAACAAGAAAAGAACATTGAAAAGCTCTTGCCTGAGAGTTAAACTGACAACAACAGCATCCTCAACTCTAACACTCATCAATTATTTATAGATACGATTATAACGTTCTTCCGAAGAACACAACAACAAAAAGATGAATACACCTACCAAAACAGACATTCCATTCAGCAGACCTCGATCGGGTTCATCAAGTAGTAGTAGCAGCATCTCTCAAGACTATGACTTTGCCAAACTTTCATTCAGAGATTCCTTCTCCTTAAAATATGGTCTGAGAGGAATGGAAGGAGTATTAGGAACTGGTCAATTAATGCCTTGCTCAACTGCAACCTTGGAACAATTACCTGAACGAATATTCTTAAGCGGAAGCACAAGCCGATTTTGTGTGCAATCCATGAGTTGTACCAGTTGGATTACTCCTAAAGAATTATCAGACCATGTCAAAGCAGACCAAGAATCCAAACGACCAAAGCCAATTGCAACAACACCAAATGGTACTGGAAGTTCCGTCTCTGTGTTTTCTGACGCAGCTCAATCAAACTCACCACGCTCTACAGTATCTCTATTTCCTTTCGATCCAAAAGAATTGATTTCTATTGATTGTGGGTATAATGTGACGTTTTATATGACTAAAACTGGACTTTATGCAACAGGATCAAACAGCGTTGGAGAATTAGGCGTTGGTCACTCCAATGAAGTCAGAGATCATGTTGAACCTGTAGCACTTCCAAAACTTCCCCTTACACCAAGTTATTATATTAAGAAATTAGTGAGTGGAGAAGGACATACTGTTGTTCTCATGTCTACCGGTGAAATTATTGTTTGGGGTAAGAATGGAGATGGTCAAATTGGATGTGTAAGTACTCGAATTGAAATTTTCATCGCATATATTGACATATTGAAATTTTTGTAAACTCTTTCCATTAATGTGTAAAATACTAATTAGGAGAAGAGTGTTGGTGAAGGTACTCCTCGAATAATCCCTTCATCTGTATTCGGTGGAGAGAAAATTAAGCAAGTTGCTTGTGGATACTATCACACCTTATGCTTAACAGAAAGTGGTATTGTATATGCATGTGGAAGAAATGTTCAGAATCAAATAGGTTGCGTTCCAAATCATGTGAACGTATCTAGTGGTTTCCGCCCAGTCACAGTCCTTAAAGAGGGAGGATTGTGCAATGATGGTGGAAAAGGACTAAAGATTGTAAAGATTGTTGCTGGTTCTCACCATTCTCTCTTCCTCACTGAGGACGGAATTGTGTATGCAGCTGGCGACAATCAATTCAATGCTATTGGAAAGAAGTACCCAGTCTTTGCTCCTCTCGAACCGTTCTACAGCAATAACCAAGCCACAAGCAACGATCTTTCAAGTGAAGTTAAAAAATCCATTCCTTATCGATATGTCAAAAACGTTTGGTGTGGAAGCTTGTCAACATTTATTCAAACTAGAGAGGATAAGGTATTTGTGTGTGGAACTGCCAATGATAGAGCATTATTTTTAGATGAACAGTTTGTGAATGGAAATTCTAATTATGTCACTGATGGCTTTGTGCTCTGTGATTTTCTCAGTGGAAAACAAATTCGTGACATTGTTGGATTCTACTCAATGATTGCTGTCTCAGAGACACGAGACGTCTATGTGTGTGGAAATAACAGTTGCAAGCAATTGACAGCTAAGGATCAACCTGTGTATAATATTCGACCTCAGCATGAGCCATTTATTTCGGCCAAGCTGAAGCAATACCCTCATTTGGATTATTGCGTTTCTGCAGGTTTTAGAACATGTAGCTTCTATTTGTACTCTAAGGAGAAGAGAACGAGAAACCTAAATGAATTCTACTGCAATTTGTATCGATCTGCCTTTTATGAAGACGAAGAGTCAAACAACAGCTTCTCAGATATTTCCATAGTTATGAGAGACGACGAAGACAGTGACGAAGATGTTATCATGTACGATGTGTAATGGTTGCATGATACTGAGTGTGTTGACATGAACAACGATGCAGCATCACACTTTTCAAGAACATGCATAGTTTAACATTAACTTCCCTAATTGAACTCTCTAACTCTCCTCCTCTTCTAACTTCCCCATTTTTGACCAGAGTTTCAACCAAATTCACACAAATTCCGCACCATAATTATCCTGTAATAATAGATGCCACAATACCACTAATTGTAAATAAAAATTGATTGTACCTCAAGAATAAGATTGTCAATGGAGCTGGTTGTTGATTTTGTTGGCGCCAAAAAAACGATTGAAAAAAATACGGTTACGAAATCTTCGCGTGTTTTTGCTTTCGCTTACTGAACGTGAACACGAAGAAACGAACAACAGTTGTAGAAGATTTTTCTCAACGGAATCTGCAAGAGCATCTTGCAACTGAGAGATTAAGCAAACTCTGAAAAATATAGATCGATTCTGTATAATTTTATCCTCGTCATCCTAATATTTAATCAAAGGACAAGTTGGAAGGAGCTCTCTAATTCGGACTCACCGGCACTAGAAAAATATCATCAAAAAATTGTTCATCATCATCCGTGCCACAAGTAATAATAATATTATTATTGTAAATACTTTTTTGGATCATCATGGATTTGCGAGTGGGAGGTAAATGGAAACTGGGACGAAAAGTTGGAAGTGGCAGTTTCGGAGAGATTTATCAAGGTATGTATTGATGAAGACTATGAATACAACCATCATGATGAAAACTTTTTTCGTGATCTTGTTTAATCACTTTTAGGAACCAATATCCAAAGCGGAGAGAAAGTTGCTATCAAGTTAGAATCTGTAAAGACACGACATCCACAATTATTGTACGAGTCTAGATTGTACAAATTATTGAACCTAGGCGGACCCGCTGTTGGCATACCAAGTGTCAAATGGTATGGTGTAGAAGGTGACTACAATGTGATGGTTATTGATCTTCTCGGACCAAGTTTGGAAGATTTATTCAATTTTTGCGGACGAAAATTCTCGTTAAAAACTGTATTAATGTTAGCTGATCAAATGATTTCGAGAGTAGAATTCCTTCATTCTAAAAATTTCATTCATAGAGACAGTAAGTACATCGTCATGCACAACAACTAGAATTTATTCTTGGAATTCATATTTATAATATTGCCAAATACATTTATCCGTAATGTGTTTTTATCAAAACAGTTAAACCCGATAATTTTCTAATGGGAACTGGTAAAAAGGGTCATCATGTTTATATCATAGGTTTGTATCACAAACATGGCGTAAATATCATGATCTCATCGTGTGGTTTATTATATCTTTTTCAGACTATGGACTCGCAAAGAAATACAGAGACAGCAAAACGCATGCTCACATTCCATTCAAAGATAATAAGAGTTTAACAGGTACAGCGCGATATGCCTCTATAAATGCGCATCTAGGTATTGAACAATCACGAAGAGATGATTTAGAGAGTTTGGGTTATGTTTTCATGTACTTCCTTAGAGGCAATTTACCATGGCAAGGTTTAAAAGCCCAATCAAAGCAACAAAAATATGATCTTATTAGCGAAAAGAAAATGTCAACGACAGTTGAAGCTCTTTGCAAAGGCTATGCACCTGAATTTTCGACCTATTTGAAATATGTGAGGTCACTAAGGTTTGAAGATAAGCCAGATTATGCCTATCTTCGAAAATTATTTAGAGATTTATTCACACGTGAGGGCTACCAGATGGATTACGTATTTGATTGGACCATCAAGCGAATTGTAAGTAGTTTTGATTGATCGTGACAAACTCAGCTGAATATGATCTTAAATATGACTCATTTCCATCAGAACAATATGCCCATCAGTACAAATGCTCAATCATGGCTCGAAGAGCAACAGCAACAAATGGAAAATCAAAAAGTCTCTTTATCACAGCAAAATAGTTCTAGTGCTCTGATGCCATCTCAACAAGAACATTCTCAGTTTCTCCCTCAATCCAACAGTTCCAACAACATTACTCTACCTGAGGCACACAAGTTGGGAATGCATACAAGTTCCTCTTCCTACACAAAAGCATCAAATTTTGCAGAGCATCACCAGTCATCATCTCAACAACAACCAGCTGTGACTGTAAGGTCGTCACGAAATGTCTCATATGCACCAGCAGTGTCGAGAGGATATTTGTCGGGAGGAAGAAATTTAGGAACAGGTGGAACTGCGAATGCAACAGGTCACGTCTCACCCAATCACACAAACAGCAATGGATATAGCAGCAATGCCACCACCGGTTATAGGTCGAGTAATCTCTCATCCTCTGCCAAGTATCTTACGACTGCAACCACAGCTTCTTCACAACTTCGAAGAAAACAATGATAATTTGTAAAATTTATAATTTATAATAATTTGGATTTGAAATTTACATTCATTATTTGTATCAACAAAATTGTGGGTGGTGCCTATAGATCGTAGAGGGGAAGGCCATCTTTGAGCTCTTCTAGATATCGTTTCTCAGCTCGTTGTTTTGCTTCCTTTGCAAATTCAATAATCGAGTCGTAGGTTACCACACATGAGGCAAATTCTTTGGCATACTCATCCTCGTCGTCATCACTACTACTGTCGTTTGTTTGGTACTCAGTGTTCTTGTTAGTTTCTGTATTTTCCTCTGGTTGAGATTTTTTGAGCTTCTTTGGTTTCTTAGTTTTGTTGAACCTAATATTTTCAGCCTTCTCAAAACGATCTCGCGTAATACTTGCAAAATTGGAGAAGCGAGTTCTTTTTCGTTTTTCCATATTTTCCATCTCAATTTCTTTCAAAGTATTTTCATATTCGACCAATTTTCGTTCATAGTTTCGTTTGATTTCCTCATAATCCAACGATTTTTTACTCCTTGACATTAATCGTATATTTTCTGCGCAGGTTGGCCAATCCACTTTAGGTTGAAATTTGATGTCCTCAGAAAAAACAAGAGAGACTGATTTTTCTTTCATGAGTCGTGTGTTAAACATTTCAATTTGTCTATTTACTAATTCTGTGTCTTTTTTATCCAGCTCTAATTCTTTCCCTTTCAATTTATGTGTGGGTTGATAGGCTGCCTCCGTCTCGGATTTAAATTTTGAAATATTTTGCATAAATTCATCTCGCGTGATTAATTTCTCTTTTGCCATTAATGCTCGAGCACCACCAGAATGAGCATTCAATTTTCCATAATCATGATGAGCACATTCCTGTTCCACTCGAAATCCCGAACCCTTCTCATAATAAATGGTCCACTTCTCCACAACGTTCCCAATTTTGTTGCTCATTTTTTTGGACTTGTTGAAATTCGTTTTTTCGCAGACGATCTTAACCACAAAAGAGCAGTACTTTGCAAGTTAATGACTGCCTATCCAATTCTCTCTCAAAGAAGCTGCACAATACATCCACGTTGACAAGGCACAAACATTTATCTGGTTGATAAATCTGATGAATATTTGAAAGAGGAGGAATCATTGGAACCATTGGAGCGAGAAGTGACAGAGGGAATAATGGATGGTTCAATGTAGAGCAATTCACTCAAGTTCTTGGAAAAATAGCCTTGGGAACCTTCACTGTTTTCGTTGTGAGGAAAAAGAACAAAATGATCTGCGCCTCCGCTGGCTGCATTCAGCAAAAAATTAAACTTGGAAAAAGGAAGTGTCAAAAATCGTAAATCTTCGTTCGATTTGGCGTATGCGTTGGCTTTAGCAGTGAGATCACCAATAATGTACACCCCATTATTTGTTACAATCGCAGAGCTCAAAAAGGAGCATTGTATGTCTGTAATTTCGGAAGGAATAATGTTTTTTGGTATGTAAAAAGGTGTAATCGATATGCTAGGTATTTTGTTCTTAATATTCTCGAAAAACCCACACTGAAAAAGATTATTGAAGCCCCATGCATATATAGCTCCATTCTGTAATAGTACAAGATTGTGATGACCGCCACATCGTACTTGCTTGATTGGAGATGGCCACTTGAAATCTACTAATTCAAAATGATCCTCTTTGGAGTCAACACTTGGATGCTTTTTCTCGTTTCGATAAATGTACAATTTGTTATTCTGAGTGACAATCATAACTCTATTCAAACCAACTCGGATAATTCGAATGTCTTGCTGAGAGACCCTGTCAGGAAGAGGTAGCTTTCTTCTGTGAGGTTCAGGTTCCAATACCATGTAATCCAATAAATAATTGGTTCTCCCTCTAGCATGTGCATACATGACTAGTGTATTTGAGCAAGCACTGCTCTCAATCCATTCAATATTGCCACCAGCATATTCTTCAAAAAACGAAAATCTAATCTTGTCTGCATGTTCAGCAAACTGGACAAATAAACATAAATTATTTCTCATGCGAAGCATGAATGAGCTCTGAGTCCCATAAATATCTACCAATTCTAAACTTTTAGTATCCTGTAACACGTATGGATCAATTGTATTTTTCTCAAGGAGCATTTGATCCCGAATAAGTGTCTTGTAATGAATTTCCCTTAATTGATAATGAAAATTAGGCCCACAATATAAAAAGGCATTACTATGTACATTTTCCACCTTTTTCGTGGGATGCAGTAACGTATTTTCCTTATAGAAAATAAAAACCTTTTCAGATTCCCTTGCCTCCGCCACAAAAATTGAAAAAGATCCACACGGTATCACTTGTTTGATTCTTTGCAAACTCTTATCAAATTGAACAATTTCATAATTCTTTTTTACAGGGTTTTTTTGATCTTGATTTTTCGGCTCATTCACTACATCTCCAGTTATCACAACGAATACAGAGTCAGAGGCAAGGTCTGCCACTCTGGCACTGTTTGTAGGTTTCGATGGTGATTTTAGTTGTGAAAATGCCGCATAATTTTGATATTTTTCTGGTATCTTTAAATGAGGGACCACAGGTTTGGCACTTTCTTTCCTTCTAACAGGTTTAATGCTGCTAGAATTTGTGTTGGCATGTGACACCTCTGTTTTGCTGGGAGTGATGATACTGTGGCTTTTGGATAACGGCTGTGCGGTATTTAAAGAAACGGTACCAGTAGTTGTGCTTTGCATTTTGTTACTTGAAGGAATTTGAAGTTGTTGAAGGGAATTCCGCATCAAATTTGATGAGCTCCCTAATTCTCCCCAACTTGCTTTCACTAGTGCTGGAATGTTGGCCATTAATGCCGATGAGGTATTACTTTGAGTCGGAACTTCAGCTGAAATAAGGGCCAACGTTCTTGTTGAGCTCCTTTTAATCAGATGAAACGGAGGAGCCAACGAGGACCCACCCAGGGATGTATTCATCATCGGCGATTACTTTTTGAAATTCAGCAGAGTAGAAGTATAGCACAATTAGAACCGAGCTCGCACAACAGCAAGCCCGGATTCATAAACAAAATAACGTAGTAATGATAATTTCGGATACAAAACACAACAACGAATCACGAAAGAAACAGCAACTCCTCACGATCGATCTACTTGTGATTACTGTTGCAGTTAGTGTTTCCTGCTGATACTGCAAGATATTGACAAGCCTTAATCGAGAGAGAGAAAGGAAGAGAGCGACTGTAAATTTTTTTTATGACTCTTGTTCTCTCTCTCCTAATCCAATAAGGAAGGAACTCAAAATAGGAATGGTGCGCATTTTGGCAAGAAAAGGAGACCTCACTTAAAATGACTTTGCTCAATAATTCTCAAGAAACATGTTGAAGAACATGTTGTGCTGAAGGTTGAAAGCAGAGCCGAACAGCCGACGATTGAGTGATTTACCTCCTTTGATGGCGCAGTGGTTAATTGAGACGTTGTAGTGATGACACGAATAAATATAATCCGTGTTGAATTAGTTGAGAACGCCCATGTACTGAGGCAAAACAGAACCAGAAGGAACATGGATTCCAATCTAAATCCGCCACTCATGGTTTGCCATTCATCGCCATTAGCAGCACTGGCCACAGCGAAGAACTGGTCGAAAGTTCCCAAAAAATAGCTCAACACAAAACAACCCCTTCCAAGAGCACTTTTTTTGCAACATTCATCACAAGCATCGATGAGAAGAAGCAGTGAAAAAAATCTTTTTCGGATAAGGGAGGAGGGATGTTCCTCAATGGAACCAATTTCATCCAGATGTCCTGAGGAACGGACATGGAAAGAATCATCATCCTTTCGTTCTGCTTTGGTGTGGATGTTTGGTTTACTGTTGATATTGCTGGTGGTTCATATAAATTCTTCATCCATCATCATGATGATGGTAAATGCTGAACCCTTAACATCCACAATATTAAGCACCAACACCCAACGAAATATTCCCTTCGTTGCCCTTATTCAGGACGACAATGTACGGAATGAAATGGAAAAGGAGAGTCGAGTATTCACTTTGGCACATGAGAATAATTTGCTTCATGATACAAAGAGATTGAGTGAGTTGATGAACCGAAGAGAAATGGCTAAAAGTGTTCGAGCCACCATGAAGAAGAGATATAGCAACGCCTCCTGCTTGCGACGAGAGGATTCTCTCTCAGACGCGATTTCAAATCAAAACCAACCTCTGGAATTTGTTTCCTCACTTTCGGAGCCTAATTCTCAATTCATTGTCAAATTTAAACCATTCCATCCTCAAGAAGAAGAGGCCAAACTCAAAAACAACAAGGCCCAACAACAGCTTTCATTATATATTAAGGCTGGACATGCACTAGGGTATGCCGATACGTTCGCACTGGTTTCAAGAACTTCCGATCTCGTCAGACATGTCGGGCAAGATGCCACTCAAAACATTGAATACATCTCAGAGATGGAGCCAAGGTTCAAGAGCGACTTGAACTTTGCCAAGATCCAAGAACTTGCAATGAATCAAACTCGTCTTCATCAGGATTCCCCAAGACTAGCTAGTGGAGAAAATGAACCATTCCCAAAACACATGCAAGTCATTGTCACTCTTCTTCCATCTATTGACGCTGTGATTGATGAGTTGGAGCTAGAAGAGGCCACAATGGTGGCACAAGAGTTGAAATCTTTGTTAGGTCCCTATTTTGAAAAGAAGGCCATTTCCCACTTCAATTTGGTGGACAAGGAGAGAATTGAGATTTCTTTCTCGCCTCTCGAGGCTTTTGAAATTAGTGAGTTGCTCAAATCAAATCCTCACGTACATTTCATTGAGAGAAAACCTTTCTTCGGACTGTTGAACATGCGGGCAAGTTCCATGATGCAATCCACAGGGCCTCATCCATCCGTGGCCATGTCGTCCACTCCATTTTATGACCTAGGAGTACTGGGATCGAATCAAATTGTAGCCGTCTCAGGTGAGTTGTTTTTTGAGGACCAGAAATCAGGTACTAGTAATATTTTTGTTCATTACTACCTATCAATTCCTTATAATTCTTAATCGTTGTTATGAAATAATCTAGATACTGGAATTGATTGGGATAGTTGCTTATTTTAGTAAGTAGCAGTCTTGTCATTTAGTTCTGAAAAAAATTCTCGCTGATCTCCAACAAAACAGCGACTCTTCCAATCCAACCATCACAGTCAATACTCTTAATACAAAGCATCGAAAAATTGTGGAGTATGACACAGTTGTTGTGTCGCAAGGAAGCACGACCTATAAAAGTGACAACAAGGATGGAGTGGATGGTCATGGAACACATGTTACAGCCTCAATCTGTGGCTCCATTCAAAATTTAAAGCACAACGATACCTCCAACCCAGTGAACAAGTATCACGGAATAGCTCCAAATGCCAAACTCTATTTCATCGATATTCAACAAACTGGACAATCACAACTATTAATACCCACTACAGTGAGTGCAATTTTTATGCCAGCCTATTACTCTAACGCAAGAATCTTTTCCAACTCTTGGGGAAGTGGACCAGACTTGATCTTTAGCTGTTCCTATGACTGTCAAAATTGCCGTTGGAAAATTGATATCGATGGTTTCAAGGCTGGTGACTCTATTACCAACAATCAATGCAAAGAGTTGTTTGGAGTGGACACTTGTTGCTCCATCTACAACAAGTACAATTCTCAGTGCAAAGATATCGACACCACACTATGGAAAAATCAAGACGCTATTGCTCTCTTTGCTCAAGGCAATTCTGGAGCTATTTCTTCAAGATCGAACGTTGGTTCTCCTGCTGTTTCCAAGAACATTGTTGCTGTTGGAGCGAGCATGACCTCCAATCTTGCCTTGGAAGAATCTGTTCAGTACGAGGACTTTTTGCTCAAGATTAAAGAAGCAGGCTTGTCATTTGCTTCGGAGAGTGAATGTTGTGCCTACACAGGAACCAATCAAGATGCAGGTAAGTTCAAAACATTGATAACAATGGATCTGTTCGAAATGATCCTTTTCTAAACCTTTTTCTGTCATGATAGTCCATAACTATTGCTGTGCAAGTAAGATGAAATCCAAGTACACCTCAAACTCTAACATTTACAATGAGAATAATTTAGCCTACTTTAGTAGCAGAGGACCAGCCTGTGGTAAGTTCAACATGTTCAACACAGGAGATTAACGGATTCAAATGATCTAATCTCTATAGGAAATCGAATTAAACCTGACGTCGTTGGAATTGGACAAAGCATTGTATCTGCTCACTCTGACGGAGATCTCAACACTTTTCAATGCAGTGCTGGACTCTCTCCAATACAAGGAAATTCAGCGGCCTTAATGACCAACGCAGGTACAAGCATGGCTACTCCACTTGTTGTAAGTATTCACATTCGATTTGTGATTTGTGAGATTGGGTCATATGTGTTGTTAATCACAATTCAAAATGTCTCTAACAATGGTAATATTATGGTGACAATCTAGGCTGGTGCTACTGCTCTCCTTCGAGAATATTTTCAAACCTATCATTCTATTCCAAATCCAAGTGGACCTCTGTTAAAGGCAGCATTGATCCATAGTTCCATACCATTGGAGGGATCAGTTGCCAAGAGCTATGATGAGTCTTCCAGAATCCCTCTGGGAGGACTTGGTCGTCCAAATTCATACGAAGGTTTTGGGAGAGTGTTCATTGGAAATCTACTCAAGAATAGCGATGGAACGTCTGTAAGGCTATCAGTTTTTGAGTCTATTTTCAATATTTCAACTGAAAGTTACAAATTATGTTTCAAGCGAAGAGAGCAATCAACCATGTCGAATTCCTCACCAGCATTTAAGGCAACTCTAACATGGTATGATTATCCTGGAAGTGTCAGCGTCGTTCCCAATCTTATTCATGACCTCAACTTGTTTATCAACGTTTTCAATCTCGAAGGTGGCAATAAGATTTCCAATCTTGATGTTGCAGCTGGTAATTTCATCACCAAAGTAGATTCCACAAACAATGTCGAGAAGATTTCTGTTGAATCTCTTGACTCCAACTCTTACAATCAATATCTCAGTGTTGCGGTCTATGTGGCTTCCTCTCTCATTGAAAAACAACGTTTTGCCTTATTGATCTCCCATCCTCAAGATTTGTTCGAACAAGTGTCAGCAGAGACATGTGTATTCAGTACCGAACTTCCAATAGAAACCTCCGTGGGAGTGTATATTGGTATTGCGATAGGAATCATTCTCTTCTTAGCAATTGTTAGCGGTTTGGGAGTGGCTGCCTACTTTTTAATCAACTCTTACATGGTCCGAAAAAACTTATTACGCCACATGAGGTTAGCATCCCATAACCAGGATGAACCCATGTCAGAATTTAACTATTACAAGAGATAACGATGGTTATATGATCAACTTTCAAACTGGATTTCAATAATGATTAAATTATTATTATTTTGACGCTAATATTTCAAATCCAGTTCATGTCAGAGACATTATTATTTGGTAATCTTGATCGACGACCAAGTTGGTTGATTTTTCGATTATTCTTAATTTTCTATTGCTTGTTCTTTTTACGGTCTCTTGTTGTGGAATCCATCTGAGCAACATCACGGCCTCTTTTGAGAGGTGGTTGTTGTTCTTCAGACAAGACATCATCATACTCTAATATGCTCTCTAAATAGTCATTATCAAGTGGTATTAAGGATGTAGTGGACTCATTATGCAATTCTTCTGTCTCGCCATATAATTCCCAAAAGTGACTTGTCAAATCCGTTGTAGCTTTTTTTCTTCCCTCTTCTTCTAGTTTCTCTCCCTCTTTCCCCCATACTTTCCGAAGTGCTCCAATGATTAAGGTTGCATTGGGACGTTTTAACTTCTCTGAATCAGTCATTAGTTTCAAAATTTTCAACATGCCTTTCATTTCACCCTTTCCTACCGCGATCAATGCTTCTTTAGCATCATCATTTGTTCTTACTTTCATGTCTCCAATAATTTCCAAGAAGACAATGCCCAACGAATAAATGTCTGATTTTGGTGTCAAAGAATGAGCAATATCTATTTCATCTTCATTCTCCATACTCCTTACAGCTAGCTTTTCTGGAGGAAAGTAGCCTGGTGTTCCCGATCCAGAATACAAAACTGATTTACCTAACGAATAGCAGACTTCTTGATTCATGTGTATGTTATAAATTGCTTAGAGCACTCAAAATCAATAAGTTTTGCATATTGAACATGTTCTTCCGTTTCATAAAAAACAATGTTTTCCAGCTTGATGTCATTATGAATTATTTTCTGAGAGTGGATGCACTCCAATTCACAAAGAATATCCATCATCACTCTTTTCTTATCGTCTCTAGAAAGAGAAATTGTCGAAAGACAGTTGCCAGGCAATGACACTTCGATGTTATCAAACTTTCCATATTGTTTATCGTCATGATAAAAGATACAAGTTGCTGAATCATTGAGATATAGAGAAAAATAAGGTCTTTCAATTTTGATGGGGATATGGTGAATTTTGAGATATAACCAATGATGGTCTGAGGGTCCCTTAACCAAAACAACATGCTTCTCCTTTTCTGAAATAATGACAGAACTAACCACTCCCTTAACTTGATGAATCATTAGCCCATCAGCAAAGCATAGTGTATCTCCAGGCAAAATTTCAATTACTTCATTAGATTTACGAGCTGATAATAATATTCCGGATTTCTTGCCTTTTCGCGTTTGTAGATATTTAGCAATCTCCTCATGCTCATTTGTACAGTTTTTAAGCATTGTTAATATCCATGCACGCAAGTCTAATCTTGAATTGTAATTGCTATTCAACGATGTAGTGCCTTCAAATAAACCTATGCGGTGAAGATAATAACGTATGTTAATTTCGTTTCCATTTTTGACAAGCTTTGCAGTGATTGCAATAATTTCAACGGTCTCTTTGGTTGTGAGTATTCCATAGGTTGCTAATTTTTCATGAAAGTCCTGTTTTTCGTCTACAAAACAAGCCCTTAAATTGTAGCTGTGTATCATTCGTAATTCTGTTACTAACTTTATGAAATCATCATGTCCGTTTTCTGTCTTTTTCGTTTTGTCCTCTTCTATCACTCTTATCATATTTATTCTGTTTTCTGAACCTTCATTCAATTGGAATTGTACAAATCTATCAGGTGTTAGCCTCTCAACCATTTCCCTCATCTCATCGGTGAATTGTTCTTCAGAAATATTCATTAATTTGTTGGTTTGCACATTTCTTTTGTTTGTGAAATGCATCAATTGATGTTAAATAAACATACCCATCTGTTTGACAATGACGAAATAGAGCAGCTAGACCAAGTAATGGGCTGAAAACAGTTCTACTCAACTCCAGTTCACTTGCATTATCTCTTGAGTGAGAACAAGCAACGCAAGGATCTAGTACATGGATAAGGCGCCAACGAAGCATATATGGGAGTGCTGCACAGTGATCATTTGATAGAAGGGAAGAACATCCACATTTTTCAAATATCTTTTGAGCTGCTTCATTGGACGAATAGTTGCTTGTCTTGTACTCTTGCAACAACTCCCTAAATTCAGAGAAATTCGGAAGTGAAGGAAAGGGTATAGGTTGTTCTTGCAAAGAAACTCCCAAACACATAAGCTGTTTCTTTGCTTCCGTGTTGATACCACATGATTTCCAAGAAAGAGGAACTTCAAACGACTTTGTATCATCTACTGAGTTAGGCTTTGATATCAGCAGCTGGTGGTAGTCCGAGCAGAGAGTTTTTTCTAATTTGGTCATTTTTTTTGTTTTTGGTGGAAGGCGCCAAAAGGTTGTAACGCTCTGTTTGCTTTGGGTTATTTTTATTTAATTATTAACGCAAGATCATATCAATTCATATTAAACTAATGCCTAATAAGCAAGACTAACCTCTCCATCACCATTTATATGTCAATAACACCATGGTTTCGAGTCACCACGGTGAAAAAATGAAAGTGTGTGCGTTGGTGAGTGGAGGCAAAGACTCGTGTTACAATATGGTTAAATGTGTGGAGCATGGACACGAGATTGTGTGCTTGGCAAATTTGAGACCACCCAATGTTCAAATTCGTACGTGTGTTTTGGCAAAATGATGATGAATGTTTGAATCATATCTGTTGTTGTTTTATAAATCGGAATTGCTTATGCCGAATATTTGAATTCATGATGATGATCATCATCCTCACATGAAACAACATTTAATTCAAAAAAACTACATGATGAATAATATTATTGCAATTAAATTTATATTTTCTATTGAATCATGATTTAGAGGAATTGGATAGTTGGATGTTTCAAACTGTTGGACACAACGTCATCTCTGCCATTGCCGAATGTATGAATCTTCCTCTCTTTGTTGGAGAATTGAGTGGTTCATCGGTACAAACTTCTTTGGAATATGATGACTCGAAAAAAGAATCTCTCACTAACGATGAAGTTGAAAATTTATATCAATTATTGAAACGAGTGAAAGAAGAAATGCCAGAAGTGAATGCTGTTTCTTGTGGAGCTATATTTTCGGATTATCAAAGAAATCGAGTTGAAAATGTGTGAGTATTATTGGTTCTAATAATAATTAATCAATTTTCATTAATTATGGCATGATTATTTCTCAATTCAATAATATATCATATAATTCCTTATACGATTATTTCTGAATATGGAAATTTAAAAATATTATTTTATATGAATAATTATCAAAAATCTAGTTGCTCTCGACTTGGATTAATTTCATTATGTTTTTTATGGAGACGTCCTCAGGAAGAATTACTTAATGAAATGATTCAAGCTGGAATGAATTGCATTCTCATCAAAACAGCTTCCATGGGGTTATTTCCAAAAAAACACCTCGGAAAAACTTTGGCTGAACTTTTACCAACTTTTATGAAATTGAAAGATAGCGCTGGATTGAATGTTTGTGGAGAGGGAGGAGAATATGAGAGTTTGACACTTGATTGCCCTCTATTTTCAAAAAGAATTGTCATGTACGTCTTTGAAAAAATATATTTGGGAATTATTAATTACGATTTAAAATAATTTTTTACAATAATTTGATCCTACCCATCATGATCGCATCTAAATCATTAACTCAATTTAGAGACAAGAAAGAAATTGTCATTAATTCAGAAGATGACATGGGAGGTGTTGGTCATTTATTCATTTCAGAATTTCATCTCGAAGAAAAACAAATTTTCACACCTCTTCAATTTCTCAACAAGAATGAAAACATCTCGGCTGAGCATTCTCAAATCAAGATTTTCATTCCAGATTATTCCATTGAAAATTCCATGAAACAATTTCCTTATTTAGAACAACTCATCGACTTGGTTCAAATTCGCATGAAAAAAGCCTCCTTATCAACCACCTCTCATCTCTACTACGTCACAGCATGTTGCAACTACAATGTTGATGAACAACAACTTCTTGAACTACTCGAAAAGTATGATATTTCTCCTTCTTTGGAAATGTTCGCCATTTTTCAAAAACTCGAACGAGAAATTCCTCAATTCACTCAACAAATGCTTCATTGCGTACTCCAAATTTCAGACATGACTCATTTCAACTCCATTAATCAAGCTTATTGTTATTTCTTTTTAAAGAGCCATACATTGAACAGACCAAGTCGAGTATGTATTGCAACTTCCACTCGTCGTCACGATCAACAACCAAGGAACGATACAAACCAATCCATTCACGAACCAAAACAAAATTCCATCCATATCGAATGCTTGATGGATTTATGGAAATTACCAAATATGGGCGTCTTCAATGATTCCAAAGAAGGAAATGAAGTTGAAACAACACACAACCATCCCTACATGCACAGCTCCCTCTTTGTCCAAAGCGTTTCCGAATGGGCTCCAGCCTGCATTGGTCCTTACGCTCAAGCCAGCGCTCACGAAAAAATCATTCGACTTGCTGGACAAATTCCCTTAATTCCACACACGATGGAACTGCGAACTTGTGTGGAAAAGAACAACACTCGTCAAGTAGAAGAATTTTCTGACAAGAATGAACCACAAGTATTGTTAAAGAATGTGGAAATACAGATGGAACAATGTTTGAAAAATCTATCTCAAGTGTTGGATGGAATGAGAGAAACTTCATTGAGAGACTGTTTTCGAAATTGTGTGTATGTGAATGCCACACGAATGGAGCAAGAAAGTCAACTGCTGAATACACTTGTTACAAATTCCAATAATAATGAGAAAAAGACATTTTCTACGCTGCTGAGACAGAAAGTGAATGAACGACTGAATGAAGTGTTGAGAAGGAAGAATTTGTGTGGTTGGATGATGGAGGAAAAGATGAATGATGATGGAAAATGGTTCAACAAGAATGATCCTTTACGAAATTTCCAACTTCCTTGTATGGTAATGTATGTGAAGGATTTACCGCGTGGAGCTCTTGTGGAAATTCATAGCTTTGCATTCATGAAAAAGTTGCACATTCCAAGTGATGATGATGAGGAGGAGAAAGAGTTACCGAAACTTGATGTCAGAGAGGATGTCTCTTTGGTCTCTGAACCTCATCATAGTGGAGATGTTAGTAGTAGTACTGTAATTCCATGGATGGCAACCAATATTCGAGTGTTGAAAGTGACCCCTTCCTTTGTCATTTCAACCTTCTTAATACGAAATGGTAAATGGAACCAACTGCAGTGTTCGCCATTCTTATCAGAAGAAACTACTGAAATTGCTATTGATAGCATTGATGCAAATGCCCTCAAATCAGTATTGGCCTTGAATGAGACAAAGAAGAAACCTTCCATTATTCGAGTATTTTGTACTCATCCCTCTTTTGTTCATAGGATTCAACAATTATTGAGTGATTGGATTGATGCAGGTGTGGTACTTTCGCCTTACATGGTGCATGCATTGGCAGAAGAGGATGCTCTTTGTAGACTTGAAATGGAATATCTTTGAGGGTTTGATAAATGTACTGCTTCAAATAAGTTTGTGTGGGAATAAGGTTCTCCAAAGATATGATTTTATGATGTCAAAACTTTATTGAGATGATTACCAATAATATGCCTACTAATCGATTTTTGCGTCCTATTCCTATTACTATCACTTTTACAAAAGTCTTTCTTCTGTTCATGCATAGACGTAAATATAAATTTAAAGGTTGTTCGGAGCGAGTTTACTTCAAATATGTTTGTGGGAATCCTGGAACTTCTCCCTTTCTGTATCTTTCCAACCATTTCAAAATCCAACGACGTTGAGCCACTGGAATTTCCTTTGCCTTCAATTTGAGAGATTTGGATGTAAACAAGTCTTCCCATGATTTGAATTTATCAATATGTTCCTCACATCCCTTGCCAATATTCTTCAAAAACGATTCCATAGTGATTCCTCTTCTTCTTCGGGGAATTAAAAGTGGGTCAATTTTTGGTTTTGGAAGATTTTCAAGTTGTCTTCTGAGTTTTGTTTCTTCATCTTCTTCCTCCTCGGCTGCTTCATCGGCATAAAAACGGTGTTGTTGTTGTTGATGATTATTCAATAATAATAATTTGTATTCATTTTGTTTAATAGCTGCAAGGGAATTTCTAGAATGAACCATGTTATTTCCCAGTATCACATTTGATGATAGCACTGGTGATGATGAAAGCAAGAACAATTTCTTTCCGTGATGATACAAGGACGAGGAACGAGATTGCATTTTTTTAAAGCAAAAAAAAATTGAAAACTTTCGTTCGAAAAAGCCTTTTCATCAAAATCTCGAAAATTCTTTCATTTCAAAACCTTTTCGGAACAAGATGAATTCACAACAGGAACAACAAATACATGAAGAGGAGAAGAGACAAGCAACAACAAATGATCATAACACGTCGTCCGAAAAAAGTCGTGAAAATTCCAATGAGTCAGAAAAGAATGTAAACTCTTCGAAGAGTAAATTACCTTCATCGTCTTCATCATCACCAGCATCAGTCGCAAATTACACACACTTTGAACAATTATCTCCCATTCAAAGAATTCAAGTGTTTATTTGGGAGATTTTTAATATTGTAAAGAATTTAAATTTGTTAAAGCAGTGGATCCATTATTCATTGGGCATTCCAAATAATATCAATGGACAAAATAGATTGGAAACTCCAAGGCAAAAGGGTGCACCAGCTTTGGAACATCATTTACTAGATAGTTACAAAAAGTTGGATCATAATTCCAAATAGTGATTGAATTTTCATGACACTTAAACATTCAGGTCAGCACTATTGTTGTCAACAAAAGACAACTCAAGCACATCTCGAGATCAATTTTATTACAATTTGGTCAAAAAAACTTGTTACTCTTCAGCCCCACTGGTCACATCCATCTTGGATGTTTGAACTGGCGTTTGACTTGCTGAAACACTCATTGGTGTGTTAATGCCACTGGATGTTGTGGTGGAATTTTTCTTTGTGGAATCTTTTGGTTTGTACTCTTCAGTACCAGGAAGTCCCAAATCAAAACGCCTACTCACTGGAATGTGATGCATGTGATAAGCTTTCGTTGTTTCAAAATCCCTAAAGTATGGTAATTCCATAATGTTTGGTGGGGCCATCATCGTGTCACAATATCCACACTTGTCTGTCATGATACGTCTATAGTGGGCAAAATAAATCTAAATTTTGAAATGGTCAACACGTGAACAAGTTATTCATGGTCACTTTAAAACATACCATAAAAGCTTGAAATGGATAATTCTTGTATACTGGATGTGAGCGATAATATTCCAATGCTTGACAGCATATCTTACTAATTTGTCGATTGAGTTTATGTTTCGACGCTGATATTTCAAATATTGGTTCATCCGCAGAGAATACAGTTGCTTGCAAAGGAACGGTATCTTTGAAAATAATATTTACAATAAATAGCTCACTAAGTTTGATCTAGGGTACATTAAAGTCACACACCAATGGCACGATTATTTGTGAAATATAATCATTGTAATTGCAATGAAAAATTATAGTAAGAAATGTTGTCTTGCCTATCAAAAAAACAACAGCAAACTTACATAAGCTGATGAAAAATTGTCACTTGTCTTGGTGATTTTAACCAAATCCACCATAGAAAAGAAATCTCTTGTTCGTCCAGTTTTTAGCTCTGCTAATATTTCACCACAATCCTTGAATGAAGATTCATCTCTGGGGAGAATTTTTTGAATCTTTGAGGATGGAGAGACCAATGTTTTTCCTTTCTTCGGTGGCTCAAACTCCTCTGATTCTTCAGCATCATAAGCCTTGAATCTTTTCTTTTCCAAATGTTTCGAAATTACTTGCAAGTTAGCATCAATTTTGTTTTTCATCTTGTCCATTCCCGATCTATCCACTTCTCCAAGCAAAATCGCTCGAGTGGCTGTCTTCTTTTGTTTTAGACGGGCATCAATATTCTTTAAATTATCCAAATGTATTTTTGCAGTTTGAATAAGAGTTGAGATTTGATTCCGTACAACTGGTACCTCTGAATAGCCTGCTGTCAAAGGAGTGCTCACGTTCAAGAATGATCGATTATGAGGATTAACATCCGAGAATATTTTCTGAACAACGCTCCTAAATCTACAAACATCGTTCATGATAATATCAATATTTTCAATAATATCCTCACATGATTCCGATGATGATGATGAAGATCCTGCCGAAGACATGTCAAACTACAACTTGTTGTTGATGAAAAGATGGTTTGGTTTGCTTATTTTTTCTTTCTGTTTGCTTTTGAAAATTATTAATCCATCATCAACTCATCGAACCTTTGGTCATCAAAAGCACCACTTGAGGAATTTATGTTTTATTAATGAAAGAGAACATCATCATCATCCATAGTAAAAGTAATAATGGAACGTAAACGGTATCATATTATTGTAAAATTCACCAGTAGTGGTTGAGCTGGACCCGGTTTGATTACACCTTGTTTTAAATGGTCAAGTTTTGAACTCTAGGTTTGATATCAGGCACGTACAACAGTCTGAACATTCGGGAGATGTAATTCAGCAAAGAATGGATCACGGGCGAATTCGTAACAATTTGAAAGCATCGATTGGATGAAATTCCATTAGTAAATTGTAATAAAATCGTCCGTGCAATAATATCATCATCATCATCATGATAACAAGTCATTCAAAATATTATATTTCCAATTATATTTTCAAACATATCCATCAAAAAGCAGTATCACCATCATCATCAAGAGGGTAAATTCATAGCATCATCACCATCATCGTACTATAATCAATAACCATCGTGAATATTTACCTTCTGAGTCCACAAGCCGATTTTGTTGATTCCAAAATTTGCTTACAGGAAGCATCCACCGACTCCATGGTTGAATTTGTACTAGCCAAACAATTTTGTAATTGTTGAAGTGTCTTATCACATTCCATCAAAGCAGGAGATTGTTCATAGTACACTTGTTGAGTCTCTGGTCGTCTTCTCACGTTAATTCCGTTACAGGCTTTGGAGTCGAGATGGTTCACAGGTTTTTCGAGCATTTTTAAAAATGAAAAATTTTCGAGTTTCTTGTCTTTTGGAATTTGTTGACAACGAAAAACAAAACTTGAATTGCATTTTGTTCTAATATTTGTTGATGGGATTTAATCAAGCTTTAAAAATTGAGAAATTTCCTTCTTCAATTCTTCATATTCCTTCCTTTGGGATGCCTTGACACATTTGAATTCGACAAAATCAAATTTAAGAGTGGTGTGTTGTCCCAAACATTTCAAATAATCATCGCCACAACTTTCCACTCCAAATACAGCACTTGGAGTCACTACTCCAGCACTTGCAGTTTGTGCATGTGGATTCGTCAAGAGGAAGAGTGCACTATCGAGAGCATAGACAGCTGTTTCAGTATAGCCTGGATCATTGTTGTTGAAAACACGAGTTTTGCATTTGAAGAGCGCAGGTTCAGAAGTGGTTGAATCTTGGACACGTCCAAATGTTTCAAATACAAAGTCGAAACTGCTCTCATCTCTTTCCTGTTGTGTTGGGTTCTTCTTTAAGGAATAAAGGAATCTCAGAAATCTTGCTCCCAATGAAAATCTTGTCATGATGAGCATGACAAAAAAGAATAAATACATTAAAAATAAATAATAAAGGTTCGAAATTTGCAAGTAATTGTTATACTCGAATACTCTTTCAGATGGTGATTTGGATGAATTGGAGGAAGAACTTGGATGAGAACTAAATTTTGAGTCATAGCCAATTAGAAAGTTGGATCGTCTCACAACTAATGGATCACTTGTCGAGAAAGGAACAATATAATGTTGAAGATCTTTGTGATATTTTGTACCTCTCTTACTGTAGGTCTTCTTTTTGGCAATCTTTTGAACTTGTTGTTCATTTGTTTTCTTACCACTGAAAATGCTATAATTCTCCAAACTCGTGACCAATGTGTTAAATGTTCCATACGAAACAAAGCCTGGCAAGTTGAATGAAAGGTATCCATTAGTGGCCACAATTGTTTCTGGAAGTGAGCTATTCGATTGTTGTGGAGTTGTGTTATGAGTGTGGCTCAACACTCCTTCATCTTCCAATTTCTTCTTGATCATGTTCAACGTTATGTTTGTGCCCAAATCACTAGGTATTGAATCAAAGCCACAACAATGGATAATTTTAACATTGTTTTCCTTGGCTTTTTCATGAAATTTTGCAGCAGATTCCAATACAAATTCAGGCTCTCCTGTAATGTCTAAATAATCAGTTCTCGTTTCGATACAACTCTCAACAATCTCGAGACCTCCACAAGCAATAAACGGTCCAGCAACATTAAGCAAGACTTTGGTATTCCGGGTCAAATCTAACAATTTCGGAGAACCTCTCTCAATCTTTTCAATAACCATCACATCAATGATCAAATGATTCAAATCCTTCTCAGACATTTTAATATTGTGAGCAGTTACTAAATTGTTTAATTTACTCTCGTTTCTTCCGGCAATACAGAATCTTCTCGAGTTCACGACAGCGTCCATTCTCTCCAATCTCTGGATCAAGTATCGTACAATCAAGGTACCCGTGAAACCTGTTGCTCCAAATATTGTAACGTCATATTTTCGATCCGATGAGGAGACGTAGGCGAGAGGAATTTCTTCCGAAGTGGTTGAAGTTTGGCTTTTGATCATTTTTTTGAATTTCCGGAAAAAGGAACTTTCAAAAAGAAAACATTGTTTTCCTCTCTTTGAAGGCAAGAGTGATTATGAAAGGTTTGTCTTTTTCTTATCCACAACAAGGGATGAATCAGATAAACCATGTCCCTTGTTTTTAAGAAAGACCATTGAGGATTTCAGGAAGTAGAAGATGCTGTATCACCTTTCAAGACCCTTTATTCTTTAGAGATCAAGACAATTCCAACTCGAGTACAACACTCTTATTAGGAGAAAATGACAAGTGGTAAATCTCACCCTTTAAATTTCATTCCATCAGATGAGGTCATCATCTCTTTTCAAACTCAATAGAGAGCGTCATCTCTTTTCAAACAGAGATAGAGATCGTCATCTCTCTGTTTGAAAGGTCTTGAGTCCTCATTGTAGTTTTTCATAGTGTATTTCGACAAAATCGATTTATTTGCCATCACCAATTGTCGTTATCTTTTCAATAATAAAAAGAATTTCCAATCCTCCTCATTGCAACTCTCGATGATCATGTCAGATTTCTCTCTGATTGACATTTCTCAACAAGAAACCTTTCTGTTCCACTTGAATTCGTTTGAATTCTTACAATATTTCAACAACAACATGGCCAATGTCACTTCTTCCAACGTGACTCATGCCTCTCTTTCCAAACTCTTTCCCACTCCATCTGAAAATATTTCCTCCATTGCCAATTCTTGTTTTTTCATTGTTGTTTTTTCCATTGTCCTTACTGTCATTGGTTATGTCATGTTTAAGGCGAGAGAGTCTATCAAGAGAAATCACAAAATTCTCTTCTTCTTGCTTTCAGTGTTCATTTTGGTTCAATATTTTGGATTGGTTTTTAGATTGGTGTATAATGGAACTGGATTGAGAGTGAATCAATTTGAGGATTTGACTCGTGTGGAGAATTTGAATACCTATCTTGTAGTCATGTGGACATTTTCAGCGATGGAAAATATTTTGGTCGTTTCACAAATGGCAACCATTTTGTTGATTATGAGTTTTGTCATTACCATGTTGTAAGTTCTTGGTTGATTCTCTTAAAATATTCGAAACAATTCATTTTGGCATTTGACATTTTCCTTTCATTTAGCTTAAAAACTGCCAAGTTGGCAGGAGCAGTGACCTTCAAGATGTACAGGATTTTGTTTTGGGTTGCCACTGTCATGGCTTTCTCAACCATCATTTTCTTTGCTCTTATCATTACAAATGGAATTGTCCATTTACTTCTCAAAATGAGAATTTTCAAAGTGGATCCAACTCCAATTTTCATTATTATCTTTGTCATCTATTCCACTGTCATAATCACAGAATCTATCTTAATTATATCCATTGGGGCTCGATTATTGTATGTGATTAGAAAACGATCTCAAAATGTGTCAAATGTCAAAGCCAATCCATCGACCCATGAGGCTCCATCACAAAAACCTTACATCAAAATTGTTGGACTTGTCATTGGAATGGTTTTGAGCGCATTCATACAAATTTTGTCAGCTGTCGTTTCCATCTTCACTTCGTTATATTTTGGTTATTTGCATATTATTGATTACTTTTTACAATGTTTTGGAGTGTTGGTGTTTGCCATTTTTGTATTGTTGTTATTCAATCCTTTGATTCAGCAAACGGAAGAAAAGGGAGAAAAACAAATGGAGATTCCTCAAGAAAAGAAGGAAAAGGAATTCCATCAAGTGGTTGAACAAATAAAGGTGTAACTCACTATTGGAAAAAAATTGATAATCATGGATGTTGAACTGTAAGATCGATATACTCTAAAATATGCGCTATTTCACCAAATCGATGAGATTGACGAGGAAATTGAGTGAAGAGAATTTCAAATCCGCTCGAAATTCCATCTCCTGTTAAGGCACTGCATGATTGAATGTGGAGTTTGGAAGTATAAAATTGTCGTAAAGTTATATCATGGAAAGAGTCCATTTCAGAATAGTCACTAATAAACTTGGAATATTTCTCTGAAAAAACATTTCGAATTTCTCTTAATGTATGTGTCACATTTTTCACGAGATCCATCTTGTTGGCATAAATAACAAACGTGCATCCAGGTTTGAGATGAGAAAACTCAAGAAATGAATCAAGTGATTCTTTTGCCTCTTGGAAGCGTTCAGAATTTGAAGCGTCTATCACATAAATAATCATGTCACAATCTGTGACGAACTGTTTCCAGAGTGGTCTCATTTTGATACTACCTCCTATATCCCAAATATTCACAAATACAGGTCCATATTGTGCTGCTTCTGCATTGTATCCAATTGTTGGAAATAGGTCTTCGTTTTCTTTGTTTGTCAATTTGTAAAGCAGTCTTGTTTTTCCACAGTCGTCTAATCCTAGTAGGAGCACCTTTTGAATAGGATGTTTGTCTCTAGCGATGTGTTTTCGTTGGGGGTTCCTCGTACGACTTTGAACGCCGTTCTTTACAAAAATATTATTGTCAGTAAGAAGAAATGATCCGAGTAAAACCTGAGACAGAACATGTCTCACCATATTTAAAGCATATTCTTTCAGAGCTCGATCTGTTTCTATTGCATCCACAAGTTTGTATGTGACAGAGGAAAACGGATCTTTGTATGCTTGTTGGAACTGATTTCATCGTTCTGTATCAATTTTTCTAAGCAACATGGTCAAAATGGTCTCACTGAACGAGGGAGAGTTATTTTCTTCTTTTTGGTTCAGCTTTAGGTGCTTCAATAACGACTCCAAAACTATTTCGCTTACTTCATTCGTGGTTTGGCGTTGCGTCTCTTGATTAGTCATTATTAAATTTTGAACTAATAAACTAGATGTAAAATGCAATTCTTCTGTTAGATGACTCATCTTTAAAAATTCCATAAATATTCTTACAATAAATAGGTCAACAAATGTCATGCTACATTGAGATAGATCAAGTGAATACAAGAATAGAAAAATCGGTCTCAATATGTCATGTTCCTCTTCACCATTGAAGTTTTGTAATAACCACATGCAAATGTATGCGATAGTGTCGTGTGTATTTTCTGAAAAGGATTTTGATTTTAAAACCTTTAAAAGAAATTCCGAAGGAAGATTGGAGAATGCATGAATAAATAAATTCTGTTGAAACAACACTAAATGGTCGGCATATTTCGTGATTGAAAGCTGTTCACACCAACGACGAATGTTGTTTTCCTCTTTGATTTGTTGTTCAATTGGGATGGACCATGAGCCATCTTTCTCTCGATAAATTTCACAATCGTAAATATGGTCTGCGATCATGCATGACATATTTTCTGCAACAATATGCGAAGCATGATCCAAGAGTATCGTTCTCAATTCTTCAGATATTGAAAGAGCCCTTTTGACAAAAATCATTGCATTGAATTCGTTCATCGTTTGAGCAATCGCCTCAACTAAACATGGAATACTGTACTCATCTGCTTTTTCTAAAAGTTGTATCATTTCTGACATGCCAATAAATGTATAATCCACAGATTCAACACACTGTGAAACGTTTTGCAAACTTGTTAAGAGATCTCTCGAAAAAAGGCCAATCCATCCCAAATGCAGAAAATCCATCACAAGCTCCACTACTTTCTCATCTTCTTTAACTGCCATTTCATTATTGGAACATTCAATCATTTCACTTCTAAACATGGTGTCAAAGAAATGACTGAATTGTTGCAGAACATGCTTATGGGCACACAATTTTCGTTTCATCAACGGAAAGGTAATGATGAAAATTGGTAATGTAACGTCCTTCTCTGTAGATGTATCGGAATTACTCGGAGATGATGGTAGTGGTGGTAATTCATCAAAGGTAGAACCATGATTTGCATCATCTGTGGTTGTGGATGATCTATAGAGAAGAACCGGTTCCTCCTGGTGTTGTTGGTAAATGATACAATCCCAATTCATATCATCCTTAATAACTACCTTCTTGTTTATGCCCACCCAATTCCTTCCCGTCTGATTCATCATCATCAAATAAAAGTACATGTTATTTTGAATATTATGAATGATATCAAAATGGAGATTCTGATCATCATGAATGGTCCTCATGATCGGAAAGAGCTCTGATCGTGAAACAAAGTTTTCATCCACATACCAATGATGATGATCGGATGAAGGTGTGGTATATGATGATCCACGACAAGAAGATGAATCCTTCCTCATGATGATGTTGTTGTTGTTTTTCAAAAAGTCTGTTGGAAGTAGGCCTGCTAGGTTGAAGGTGTTTTCGCTTTTTTCTTTTTTGAAAAGCTTGTCAAGTTCAGCTCTAATTGTGTGTATGAAGAATTAAAGAACTTGTGGACGTGTTTTTAAGGTTCAGATATGACGTGGAAGGTCATCTTACAACCTCCATAATTTTTTCATAAATAATTTCATTCACAATATGAATGTTGGTGCAACTCCAAATTAGAGAATAAGGGAATGCATTGGACTTATTTCCTGTGCTTCTGTCAAGTATTCGCCCAAAAAAGAATTAATTTGAATATCTAATTCCAACATCAAAAAAAGGGATGTGAACGTATCGAATCCGTCATCATTGAGATCAGATGTTATGATAATTAAAATATATATTTTTCAATCTTCCTCTTTCGAAAAGGAACTCAGGAAAGCTCATGGGATCATCACGAATCGAACATTTTTATGTAATTTGAACTCTAATTGAAAGTGAGCGCTAAAAAGATCAGTGAGGGTGTCTTTGAATAGGTAAGAAAGCACCGTTGAAGTAAAACGTCTGTTGTCAAACCACTCAAAAAAAATTTACTAGGGTTTTGTTGTCGATTCCGTCGCGAAGGTCCTCTCTCTCGACATTCCACTGTTGTGGCCAACCTTTTCATCATCATCGTCTGAAGAAGCGAAACTACAACAATAACTTTTTCACTGATTTCGAAACTACAACAATAACTGATTTTTGACTTGTTATTGTTTTTCATACCGAATTCAAAAAGAAGAACACAAACCCACAAAATGGATTGTACGGACGGACAGACAGTCCCAAATATTTTCCTCATCATTTGTTTGGGTATTTTCCCAGCAGTGATTATTTTCCTCTCGACTTTGTTTATTATTTTCTGGTCGAGTCCAGCCGATCGTTTTCAAGGAATAATTCCCAAACTGATAAGTGTAAGTGTTTGATAGTTTGTGGTGGTGTGATTGAGTGAGATAATGATTCGTGGTTCATATAATGATGATATTGTTGTTGTTGATGGTGATGGTCGTGTGGTTGAATGATCGATTGGTAATGATGTGTATGGCATTTGACTTGTGATGGGTCATGACGATATAATGGCGGACCACTCCTGTGATCCATGTGGTTTTATGTATAATCGAAACGACTACTATTTCTATGAAATTTATGTTATTTATCAATGTAATGAATGGATACAATGATCGAAACAACCACAACGTTGCTATTCGCACATTTTACAAATTTTCACACACAACACCGAATTCCTCGAATATCGCCACCAAACTTTTTTTTCCATCATCCTTCTCCTCATTTGTTCTTTTCAACTCCACTTTCACAACAATATCCTCTAATCTTTCCTAACATCATTCTTCACCATCCTCACTCATTCCTCACTCACACACTCCATAGATACTGGGAATGACAGTAGCCGGATGTGTCATTCTCATCATTCCATTCGATGTGTGGAATACCCGACAAGCAGGTTGCATTGGTTCCGCACTCGAAGTGATTTGGCAAATTTTGTTCGCTCTCGTCGGAGTGTTGGTTTGTTTTGTGGTCCCATGGGCGCTCATTTACTATGAATCATACGATGAGGATCGTGCAGGCACTCCAAAAGGTTTCCTACGTCAGTGTTTGTGGGGAGGAGTTGGTGCTTTGATTTGCATTGGTATTTGTTTGTTAATAATTGGTATTTCTTATATTTGGTTGGGAAATGCTGTTCTCCCCGTGCAGAAATACACACAATATAGTTCTTATTCTTCGAGATCGGGTGCTTTGAATGGAATTGGTACTGCCGTTGACACTTATTCAGACACTTTCCAAGTAAGAATGTCGTTTTTGGTGTATTATGTGGCAATTTTGAGTTTGGCTGGTTGGGTTTGTTTCTGTGTTTGTGGTGGTTGTGGTTTGACCGCCGTTCCTTTGGAGTGCGTCTTGTGGTTTGTGTATCGTCCAAAGAAAATTGATAAGGCAGAATTTATTGTTCAACAAAAGAAGTATGCCGCAAGAGCACACAAGTTGATCGAAATTGGTAAGGTAAGTGAGAGGGATTTGATGAATTCATGAATTTTTGTTAACACACACACGATTGATGTTTGTGACATTTTGTAATTTTTTGATAATGGATTGAACTATTACCATAACGGTCAATTGTTTTTTCATACTCTCAAAATTTTGTGTGAATATTTTGAATTTTTGTCACTTATATTTTGAATGGACATGATCTTGTATTCACCATGCACTTACCGATCTTTTATTTTTCACTCACAAATTCACACATTCACACACTCACAAATCGACATACCCATTTCAAATAGAGATTGGATGACTTGAGAAAACAACCAGGAAACAGAGCCAAACCAAAATCCATTCGTAGTTATCGTGCCTTCAAGGATGCAGTCTATCAAATTGATGACGATTTCAAAAAGGTCAAAACTGCCTATGAACGAGGTGGTGGATGGATTGTTCTCTACATTTTCTCTCTTGTCTTTGGAGTGATTTTGGGATTAATTTCTCTTTTATGGATTGCTCACTTGATTGTTTATTCCATTCCTCCATATCCATTGTGGGGTGGATTGAATGAATTCTTCCGTTGGTTCGATTTGGCATTCCCACTCTTTGGATTGATTTTGTACAGTATTTTTGCATTCTATTTATTGTTCAGTACATTGGCAGGAAATATTTTAGTGGCAGGTCGAATTCCATTCTTCACTGTGTATCCAATTCGATTTAAGGACACCTTGACCAGTAGTTTCTTGTACAATTCGGGTCTCATGATGCTCAGTTCGATCACCATTGTTCAATTCTGTGCCACAACATTTAGCAAATATGCTCAGACCACTGTCATTGAAGTCATGATTAACACCTATGTAAAACACATGTTAGGTATTGGTGTCATTTTTGCATATCTCCACTATGTTTTCTTTGCTTTCATTTTCATTGGATTTGTGATGGCCTGTGTGAATATTGCCATCAAACAAAGAAAATCAGAGAAGGAACTTGAGGCAATTTTGAACAGCTAAATATGATTGTATTTAATAATTATTTGAACGGACACCACTGATTCTATGGTTGTCAAAGTATTAAAGAAGTTTCTTTTTTAACATATTTTCACAGAATGATTTCTTCACAAGATAAAGAACTTTGACACATAGTAGTGGTTTAAACCTCAAGTTCATAATTTCATTGCGAGTGTGTTGTGACCGACGATGAGAAATCTTTTCATTTTCATGATTATATTTTAATTGGTGTCAACATGAATTTTCAATTTTTTGAGATTATTCCCTTTTAAGGGCCTGCTGATTTAATTTCCAAAAGTATCACTGTGGATTTCCATTCTCTCTCCAAAAAACCAAACGAAAAAAAGAGAGTTGAGAGAATATACAGCCTTCATTCTTCCCAACACACAGCTCCACCACTGAACATTTTCTTCCTACTCTCTCGATCCCTCCTTTTGCAAGTGTTTAAAGAAACCAACCAACACGGAAAATGATGAGACTCAGAGTTGCCTTTAGAAATCATCGTCTGGTGTTTCCAGTCAAAGATAGCAAAATTAAGATTGCCCAATTGCTGTCCGATATGGAGGAACGATTCGCTTCCCAAATTCTGAGTTCATATCAATTAAATAATGAAGAGGAGAAACGAAAACATTCCAAGATTTATGATCTCATGTTGTTGGATAGCTGTTCTGCCTCTTCTTCTTCCAATTCTAATCATCAAGCAGCTGAATATTTATGTTGTAGGGAGGATTATGTTGAAGATGTGTTGAGAGATGGCGATCATGTTAGAGTAAGTTTGGAAATGGAATATTCATTGTCGCCATGTGTCTTATGCTGGTGGATCATTCTTTATTGAAAATATTTTATGGACTTCTTGATGAATACCAATAATATTGATATTCATGCATGTGCGTTGGTTTGCAAACATTCTTTTGATTGGTGTCATCCATAGGCTTTGGATGAACAAGCTTGGATCGATTATCAAGGTATGTTGAGAAAGCTTGCTCAGGGTTTTCGGAAACTAAATGACATTTCTTTTTAGTTGAGCATTTTTGTGATAGAAAGAGAGCATGGGTGCATTTAGGTAGGTTTACCATAATGTTGTTTATCGTTTGATTATTGTTGAATATATTTTCGAAAATATATTAATCATAATAGTAAAGGATGGAGTATTTGGGGAAATTGGGTACCACAAGAAAAACAAAGTCTACTGTCTCTTTGGAACTCACCATCATAAACAATATTTTGAATTCACAGTTGATGAGTTGCGTGATGCGTACAAAACCAAGAAGGTTCATGAAATTGGCATTGAAAAAGATTTTAAGGGGTTGTGGTATGTTTGTGCCAAATTTGAAGAACCAACTTCAGATGAGTTGAAAGACGACAAGAAAATGCTCTGTGAAATGAGTATTCACTTGAAAACCAATTCAGAAGACGACAAAGTCTATATACATCAAGTGAGCGTTCATGAAAAGAATGGACATTTATTGAAAGGAAATTCTCGTTTCTTCTAGGCTTTTCCCAAGATTCGAATTTGTTTCAACTGAACTGACCTAATGTAAATCGTCCTTCGTTCAACAATGTACAAGTTTTTCAATGTTCCAGCATGCTCTCGAATTATCAAAAAAAAATTTAAAAAATGCTTTGTCCTTTCTGTGGCACTTCCATCGCTTCATTTCCAGGTTATTCCGAAATCCAGCTGGATCCATACTTTGGTCTCGCCAACTCCCCCAAGCTTCAAGAACAAATGTGTCGACACGTGATTTCGTGTGCATTGACTCTTGCAAATTCTAATCATTGGGATGTTTCGGATCTTCTTCCAAAGCCAACCTATAATATTTTCACGTTGCCAGAGCTGAACAACCAACATGCGGATGAAGATCCCGAAGATGAAGATTTTGTCATGAATGATGATGAGGAAATGAGTGATGATGAAGAGCCCATTACCGAAGAAGAACTCTCACATCTTCAGCAAGATGAGGCTCATGTGTCGCAATTAGAACAAAGAGGAAGGAAGATCATCACAAGCAATAACAACAACAGCACACAGACGGACTCCAATCACCATGTCAACGACGCTGAGCAAAATTCCAAAACAACACAACGAACGGAAGAACCTCTCTTTGATCTTTCCATTCAATTCAAATTCATGAACGGATTGGAATTGAATGGCGAGTTCAATAGCCAGAGTGATACACTTAAAACTCTGGTGGAATGGGTCAGTCTGAAATCGCAAATTGCATCCAACTGTCTCAAATTCAGACACCACACGACTTGGTTAGAAGGAGACTTGAATACTACCAACACCACCACTTTGGAACACCTCTTTTCATTGGTACTACCCGAGTCAGAGACTGAAACCCAGAATCAAAATCCTCGTCAGAAGAAGAAGACAAAACTTGTCCTCTTCGTGGCTGTAAGAAAAACTCTCTAATTCAACAGAAAAAAATGCAAGAAACTTCTCTCGATTTACAAAGCAAACCATATGAGGGTGGATGCGGTGACCAAACCAAATTTTCTGAATCGGAGGTAGTACACAAGGAAACATCCAAAGTATTGTGCCATGACTCGGAACATAACAAGGGTCAACGTCACGGTAATTTTTTATGGCTTTGCTCTGATTTCCCTCAAGAAGTGTTTCTTGTGATTTTATCATTTCAGAGTCCCAAATTTGTGTTGAATCAAATTTCATGTACTTGTAAGGCGTGGTATCATTTGGTGATGATGAGTGAATATTTATGGAGAAATTATTTGATGGATTGTTATGGAGTGTTTTGGAAGCAACAGCTGGAGGATACAGTGCATCATGACCTTTCTCAAGAAGAACAAAGCACCCTTACGCATGGAGGTTGCAAATCTTTAGAGTTGTTTTGTAAAATTAGTAAGAAACTAAACTCGAGAAGAATACTTGTGAGAGACAAGATTGTGTATGTGACAAAAAAAGATTCGAATGATGAATGCCAAGCAGTTTATGAAATTGCAAACATCATTCCACTCTTGCAAAATAGTGACCATCAAAGAAATAGATACTATCTTTCTGACATACCAGTTGAATACAGAGATGGAGGATTTCATGGATGCCACTTGTATGATTTCACTAAGCTCTACTTAACACCTTATGTAATTGATTTATATCTCGCTGTAGACACCTTGTCACCACTTGTGGATCAACTTTTATTTCAAAGAAGTGACACCAAAGTTGAATCCACTACAAGTCAAATTGCTTCCTCTCTTGTCAGAAAATTGGGAGGCATAAGAGCTGCCTCCAATGCATTCGAATTTTATGACTTTTCAGGAAGATTGATATGGTCCCAAACTGCACAAACAATGCTACATTTCAGAAATGAGAGAAAGAACTATGCGAGTAGATACCTGAATTGTATTTATATCTATCACTATCACAAGTTAGATTACCTTATTCTAGCCGTCAATGGAGGTATTAAAGTGATCACACAAGACTCTGCTCGCCTTATTTGGGAGGATGAAGATGGACCTAACACCAAAATCCTTCTCAATGATGCCATCAATTTGAAATTTGGAATTGTGACCTGTCTCAATTCGGATTTTACTAAATTTTTTGCATGGAATGTCGAGAATGGCGAGCGTTTATGGAGCGTGACACTTTCAACCTTAATTCCAGTCTCAATGAATGCATACTTTTCAGCAATCAAAGCATTTGCTGTGAAGAGAGTAATTTGTGGGCAATATTGGATAGAATCAAGAAGCGAGGAAGACACCATGACAATGTTGTTGCATGCCACCTCAGGAAGACCTCTCATTTTCTTTGATGGCGAGTGGATTCGGGACATGCACGTTGTATCCATTAGAGAATTCAAGGAACCTGTTGAAACCATTGTCACTACCTTATTTATTTATTCATTGAGCCGTATTGCCTTAATTCAATCTACATGTACCTATAACAAGGAGAAATTAGCATCTATGTCCATCGAAACAAAATGGGAGTCTGTGCCCTGTGATCAGGAAATTGTTCTTGAGAGTGCAAATGTCGATATAGTTAAAGTTCCTCTAACTGGAAGCGACATTCGAAAACGAATGAAACACTCCCATAGATGTGACTCTCTGTATACTCTTAGCGGCTTTGATGATATCAATTATTCTGATCTAGATGACATGTTCAAGTTTGATCTCATTATTTTGAGCATCTACCATAACGATTTGATTGTTGAAAGATTTAGAACAGATAACGGTGATCTATTGTATCGAACACTCTTAACTCCCAAAAATTCACTTTCCACTCCCATTCAAACTCATGCACCCATCACCAATGTGAACAGAGAATCCTCCAAGATCTTTGCAGAAGTTCGTGGTAGGGATTTATTTATTGTAAGACAGCCAAACAACACTGCATCTGATTGTATTATTATTTTGGATTTGGAGAGTGGTTCTGAGAAGTGCACTTTGGTGTGTGCGCATTGATTTTAATAAGTTTCTCTGTGAGTCGAAGAAAAGATTCGATGGTTCAGTATACGTGAAAAAACATGATCCAATCTTTGAGAGTTTTGCCGTCCAATCATCAACAATGGAATTAAAAATATAAAGCCCATGCATGAAAATAATTGAGGGATGAATAAATTCTTTCCTGTCACAGTCACAATATTCGATTATTCTTCTTGGGACATTGAAATACAAAGTCTTGTGGGTTTTGTTTTTCGACAAGTTTTACCGCCAAAAAAAGTACAAGTTATTTTTTCAAAAAAAGTTCAATTCGACTTGAAATATTTGCAAAATGGATGACTATGAGGTGGTGCAAACCCTCAGTAACAATCAATACATTTGTGTGAGGCGATCATTGACTTCCAATGGTCATTCCCGTTCTATGAATCAAAAAGAACGAAAATCGGAAACGAAAAAATATCATCCTCGCTCCTCTTCAACCCACAATCATCATCATTATTTAATTACCAAACAATATTTATATTCTTATGATCATTCAAAATATCAATCGGAAGATGAAAAGCTCTTGAGAAAATACAATGACATTCATACACGAATTGATTGCTTGTTGTTTCTTCGAGACAAAAATTTGGTGAATTTGTTGGATTGCTTTTATTTTGAACAAATTGAAAAACAATCAAAATATACGGACAAGTATTTCTGTACAGTGGAAAGGATTGATGGTATTGTTTCTCTGCGATATTTACTGTATAAAAATAGACTGAGAAGCAAGAATTTTCAACCTTTAAAACAGAGTTTAATTCATCAAGTGATGAGATGCTGTCTGGAGGCTTCAGCTATTCTTCATGCTGTGGGCGAACCATATTTTTCGTTTTCTCCTTGTAATATTTTAATTGAGAAGAAGACGAGAAAAATTATGTTACGTCCATATGTGATTGATAAGGCAGACATGTTACACAAATTTATTGATGAACCACATGGAGAAAGTATTTTTGATCCTTACACCATCAAGTTTGAGGAAAATAAGGTGTTAGTGAAAGAATTTTTCGAAAATCAGTTGTGGTATTGCCCTCCAGAGTTGGTGTTTCGCATCTTTCTTGGAAAGAAGGACAAAATTCACAAGTACAAAAAACAACTCTACAAAGAACTGAGACAATCCTATACCACATCGGTGGCCAATGATATTTGGGCTTTGGGATGTATTTTTGCAGAAATGATGCTTCCATATCCACTCTTCAGTTCCATGAGAATTGAAGATCAATTGATCAATACATTGTCAATTCTGCGACTTGAAGCAGAAAATGAAGAATTTTCACACCCAAGGTATATGAAAGAGAGCAAATTTTTCAACACGATTTTATCAAAACACTTAGACCTAAGAACCAATCGCCTCTCAGTTTTGAAACATTATTTAACAGGAAGTTCAAGTTATGAAGTGACTGCTGTCACGTTGCAAACACTTTCTTGCATGATGGATTATAATCCTTCTCTCAGGCCAGCATCATCACGAATTTTAAATATTCCAATATTTTCAAACAAGAGCCTGCCTACCGGTGGAGTCTACTATCGAAAGCTCGATCATAATGGCTCACCAAAGATGTCAGAAGACGATGATACTCTATCGAATTCAGTTCTAGTGGCATACGTCAACAAGGTGGAAGAAGAGCAAGTCAAAGCAAATCACAATCGTTCTTGGATTTCAGAAAGTAGTATTGTCAATCACAACGATCATACTCGTGTGGATCCGAATGATTCCATTTACGAGGAAAGTATCATGCTTGCATCCTTACTGAATGATAAATCGAAAAGAAAGCAGCCTTCTACAAAAGAACAAGTCGTGGTCACATACCAACAGAAAAACCTCGAAGAGAAAGAAGGAGAAAACTTATTGAACTATCTTTCAGATAATGACATGAAATCGTCGTCCGCATCATTTGTGACACTTTCTCACGCATTTAAAAAACTTGAGAAGATTTACAGGAATGAAATAACAAAAATTGGAAATGACATTAGAGAAATGAAGGAAGCTCTTGGAGATTTATTGCAGAACAGTGCATTAACCAATGAAAAGAATCATCAATCGGCTTCTGTAGAAAATGCTGCATTTGATTTGTCATCGTCGACAACCTCTGAAGAGCTCTATGTTCCTAAAACGCCTACCATTCTCGGTAATGTTCAAATTACTATTGAAAGAATACACGAGATTGAATATGAAGGTCAGCGTAAGTTTCTTTGATGATCAAATGGTAGTGATAACTATCATTTTATTCCGTTAATAATATAGTTTATTTCTCCATTTTGAGAGGTAATAATACTGAACTTGTTAGGCAAGACTTACTTTCTAAAAACTACACGACTATTCACATTAATGAGGAATTTGCAAAATATCACAATGAGATCATGTTGAAAATTACGGACCAAGTCAAAAAGGGTCATGAATCGATTGTCGGTGTGGCAATCATTGATCTGTCACCTCTCTCCTATTCGACTGATCTTTGTGGGTGGTATAATCTGTATGACTCGATGCAGAACAAGAAACTAACGGGTCAAGTATTGGTCAGAGTTACTCTCTTGCAACAAAAACACGAAGAATTCCTTCCCACTAAAACACCTTCAAAGCCAACCAACAGTTCAAATAAGGGAATTAAGGCTCTAGAGCAACCAACAACGACGACTGCCGTTTCACATCAACAACGACATACACACCACTCTGAGCAACCTTCTTTGTCCCAACATGTCTCACAAAACATGTTCACCCACAACAATTATGACAACATTCTTTTCGGTAATATTGAGGATGAATTGGATCAAAAATTGTCACTCAGTGTCGATACGTTCGTTTTCACAGAGTCCTCAACCAATACAGTAATCGCTCGTGATGACGACCACGAGCCGAGTCAACGAAATCACCACTCAGGTACCAATCAAGATGCTCCATCTTCCTCAATTCCAAAAACCCCCAATAATCACCAGCCAACCACGAACTCCTCCCCAAAGTTGCGAGTCGATGACATTCATGAATTCGTGTTACCTCCCTCCTCCAGTAGTAGTAGTCATTTTCAGAATACCAATAATAACGATCCTCCTCTTCAGGCCACCTCTCCTTTCTTTCCTCATCAACGGACTTTCAGTGATCGTTCAGTCCATTCCATTGAATTTCCTGTACCATCATCATCAATGAATCATCCTCCGTCCTCAACCACAAATACCAATGCTGCTACTACTGCTACTCCCTTCTCCTCTTCATCCTCCTCATCATCATTCTCTATTATATCTCAAACGCATTCTCCGCATCAACCCTCTCTACCCACTCATGGTGCTGCAGCCGATGAAGAGTTCAATACCATCATTTCCTCTCTTCAAAGACTTCAAACCGAATTGAAAACATTTGCCGTTCTGTAGTGGAACTGATTGGAAGGTTCATCGTTCAGAACTGATGAAAACACCTCAGTTCAGAGTTTAAGGGAAGAAGAGAACATTGAATTTTTTGTAAAGCATCGTTCGATTCATTTCGTTGTAATTTCCATTTACAAAAAAAAATTCAAAGGCTTTGCAAATAAGGCTCGCAACGTATCGAGCATTTACCGACCATGGATTTGAATGAATTTATTATTTCAGCTAAGAAATTCTTTGAGGAGAGTATTCAAGTTGAGGTTCATGTCGACACTGAAGAACATGATGATACCGAATTGACTCTCCAAACTCGTGAAAATCAATCAATGCCTTCGTTGTGGTCATCGGGATTGAAATATTTAGAGCAAGACGATGAGCTGAGATTGATCCCATTGAGGCAAATGGAGATGGAACAAGTTGAGGAGATGGCAATTAAGAGGCTCAAAATGGGCCATTCAGCAGATACCACGTTCAACGAGTCAAATGCAGAACAGAGGCTCACTGCAGAACTCAAATTATTTTCTGCCTCTCCGAAGCAACAAATGCCACTCAGTGATATTCACGATCGCCTCTATGTAAGCTTGATGGAGAATACACCAAATACAAAACCAATTGGAGTGGTGAAGGCTATCAAGTTCTTGGAGAGAATTCTCTCAGTGGTAGCAACCAGTTTGGATTGTATTTCTCTTTCTATGGTAAACCATAATTTAAATGTGGTTATTCGACATATGACAGAAAGAGATCGATCACAAATTGAACTATTTGATAGAGGGGTTGAAATAATTTCATTAGTGCTGGAGAAGTATGGCAAAGACTTGCCTCTAAATTGTCATCAATTTTGGACTGATTTATTGACAAGGTATCTTTCATTCTTTGTGACTGACCGACCCGAAGATAGTACTGAGTTCCAATGGGAAATGAGCTCGATCATGTTCGAACGCTTGAACAAACTGATATCAGCTTTACGAGAACAAACTCTTTTCATGAAATGTATGATTGAGGTGCTGTTTTCAATTTTACTGAACGAACGCAGTTGCTCGCACAAGAATCCTCTCAATGGAAAACCTTTCTATCTGTTGAAGCTTTTTGAAATGTTGGGGTCACTTGTCTTTGAGCATTATGATCCGGAAGTAACTTCCCTTTTTACTAATCAAACGGACAAGATCATTTCAGCTCTCGAAAAAGGTGACCACCACAACACGAAGGACGACATGGAATACTTGTACATGACAAGAATTATTGGAAATATTGCACGACTGAAAACTCTAAAAGAATTAAAAATTATTTGAAATCATTTATCGCTTATTGAATCACAAAGCATAAAGGTGATGCGAGCAGTCGGCGTCATTTCACAAAATATGGGCGGCACTTTATGTCTGTCTTGAGCATTAATCTGAATCTCCCAGCTATTTTTGTTGAAAGTAAGAATTATTAAGGTTGAATTGAGAATAAATAGTGAGTGTATTAAAGACTTGAATAAAGTTCAGGAGGTATCCTACTCACATTTTTGCTTGCAACCAGTCCATATCGAGCTCGAAGATAATGAACTGCGGTAGGTCCTGCACTTCCAATAACGTATGGCTATATTATCATGACCACAATGTCGTCGTCGTCGTCAGGATTCAAAATGTTAAAAAGTTATCATGTACTAACCTCTGGTTGAACGAGTTTTTCTTGTAATTCATGAAGAATTGGATCAAAGATTTGCCAACAATATTTAAGTTCATCTTCAGACAAGAAGTTTGATTCGTCACCTTGCAACATGTTGAGAATGAGACGTTCATAAGCATCTGGAATCTTCTTTGGATCGTATGTGCTCTTATAAGTAAAGTTGAGTTGAGATTCTGAGAGCTTTTCGCCTAGTCCAGGAACCTTGTTGACAATATTGAAATAAATAGCTTCATTTGGTTGAATACGAATCACCAATTCGTTTGCGCTCACCACAGCATGATGATATCTAAATGATGGAATAGTATAATTATTAATTTAAAAAATAAGGTGTTAGTAAGGCACCATCCACCATGGCTTGTCACAAACTTACAAATTACCAGGAACATCATTGAAAGTAATTCTGATCTCGGCCAATCTTTCATCAAGAGCTTTTCCTGATTCTAGGAAGAAAGGAACGCCGTCCCATCTTCTATTTCTGATTTTCAAGACACAAGCAGCATACGTTGGAGTAATGGAATCGTCAGCAACAGTAGGATCTTCTCTGTATCCAAGAGTCTTTTCTCCGTTGACTGTTTTGCCCTTATATTGACCAACTACAATGTCTTCCATCTTGACAGGTTGAATAGACTTGAGTACCTTAATCTTTTCATTACGAATATCGGTTGGGCTCAATGTCACTGGTGGTTCCATAGCAATGAGTGCTAAAATTTGTAACAAGTGATTTTGACTGATGTGTTAAATTTTGGGCATAATGAAGTAAATTCCAATATAGTTGATGACAAAGTTCCGAGTTGCATGAAAAAAATGTGAAAGCCATGATGACGTCGTAGCCATTACAAGATGAAAAATTCCAAATTATAAAATAATCAAGTACTCACCTCACATCTCTAATGATACCATAGGAATCGAAATAGCCTCCTCTTCCTTCTACTCCCAATTCTTCCTTGAAAATAATTTGAACACTCTTGATGGTGTTTCTGTTCCACAATGGTTCAAGAATAACGTTCGCGAATCTGAGGACAAGCAAATTTTGAACAACTTCCTTTCCAATGTAGTGATCAATTCGATAAATTTCATCCTTTTCAAACACTTTTGATAAACCATTTGACAATTTCTTAAATGTCACCAAGTCTCGTCCAAATGGTTTCTCAATGACAATTCTATTATATCCTCCTTGAGTCTTACAAAATTTTCCAAGCATGGTTGCTGAAACAAGGAAGACATTTGGTGGCAAGGACAAGTAGAAGAATCTGTGTTTTCGTGGCTTGAATAGAGTCGTGGGTGATCTAGATTCTGTGTCTTCAAACACTTCATCTTCAGAGAGACACTTATTTTCGAGTTGAGTTCTATATTCTTGTTCAAGAATTTGATTACCCTCTTCTTCACATTTTTCAATCAACTTGTTTAATTCCTTAAAATCTTCATCCTTGTCATATTGGCCCGATTGATAATAAACATGTTGAAAGAAAGCATCCAAATCTGACTTGTCGTACTTTTTGAGGAATGGCATGAGGTGAGTCTCGATCAATTCTTCCTTGCTCAAGTTTGATCTTGCGTATCCAATCACTCGCCAAGCCTTTGCTAAAAAGCCTTCCTTGAATAATGTAAAAAGGGCAGGGAATAATTTACGTTTGGCTAAATCTCCCGATGCTCCCATAATGACAATTCTGAATAATGGTGTGATGAGAGTGTGTTGTTGGTGTTGTTATAATTATTATTATTATTTTCATGTTGAACATTGAATGGTAGAACATTAGATGACGATCAAGTAATTCATTATTATTCAACATGATATGTAATCATTTCATTCAACATATTCCGATGATGAATGATCATTTCCAACATCTTGATGATTTCCTTCCCATACCATGATCTTTTACTTACGTAATATTGTCCGTCTTGTTCACTGCTTTTGGATACATTTTTGTTGTGGGTGGTTTGAGTTTTGTTGATTGAAAGAAGAGAGGAGTAACAAAAGGATGATGATATCAGCCGTCGTGAGGGCAATGCTGATCAGCTCGTGAGAGATTTTTCTTTTGAAAAAACCACAAAGGATGAGAAGAATGTTCATGAGGAAAAGAGAGAATAGATGGGAAAGTGGAGAATTTCAAGTCTCTCTATCGGCGGATTTCAAGTGCAAGCACAAACAAACCCTTTTCCGATGGAGAAGATGCGCCTCTATTCGAAGAAGCACAATTTCAATGATTGTACGCACGAGAGAGAGTGTTCTCATTATCAGAGATCTTCACGAGACTGCTCCTCCACATCGCGATGGATAGAGAGGTGGTGACCTTTCTTGTGGATGATTTGAAGAAGGAAGAGGCGAATTGTTGGAGGGGGAGCCGCTGGATGAACCTTATTAGGTCGAACAGGCGTTGAAGATTCACCTTAAAAAAAAATTCCTTCTTCAAATCCACAAGAAACACATTTGAGAGTGAGCTTCGAGTCGACTACTTTGGTAAGTGTTGGATGGTGAAGAAGAAGGAAACAATGTTGGCGTTCCGATGTGGTGATTATTGTTCATTCATCATCTCTTTTGATTGGTTTAAACTTGTCTTGGTTCATGGATGACTCTCATGATGATGATGTTTGATCATGATCGGAAATGTGTAAATATATCATCTTATCGGTATCTATTGGTCGTACATTCATGAATGAAAAACAGACATGGCAGATATTGGATTAATTGGCTTGGCTGTTATGGGCCAAAATTTAGCTTTAAATATTGCTGACAAGGGATTTACTATTTCGGTTTATAATAGAACCTATTCAAAGACAGAAGACACTGTATGTTTTTTAGAATGTGAATTTGTGAATTCTGATGATTTTCATTGAATCTTCTGTTATGGTTCGGATTGGCGTACCAAATTTTAATCTCACACACAACCATCATCATCACAGGTCCAAAGAGCCAAAGATGAAGGAAAAGGTGCCTATCAACTTCATGGATATAAAACCATCGAAGAATTTGTGAACAGTCTTGCTAAACCTCGCAAGATTATTATGCTTGTTCAAGCAGGTAATCCAGTAGATTCGACTATTGAATTGTTGACTCCACTCTTGGACAAGGGAGACATTATCATTGATGGTGGTAATGAATGGTTCTTGAACACTGAAAGACGTGCCAAGAAAGCCGAAGAATATGGAATTTTATATATGGGAATGGGAGTGAGCGGTGGTGAAGAAGGAGCTCGTCACGGTCCCTCTCTCATGCCTGGAGGTCCTTTGGAAGCCTACAATCATGTGAAGCACATCTTGGAAAAGATTGCTGCCCCATTAGAAAATGAACCTTCTTGTGTCACATATATTGGGGAACGAGGATCTGGCAACTATGTGAAAATGGTTCACAACGGAATTGAATATGGTGACATGGAGCTTATTGCTGAAGTTTATGACATGATGAAGCATGTTGGTAAATTGACCAATGAAGAAATTGCTGAGGCTTTTTCTGAATGGAATAATTCCGAATTGAAGAGCTATCTCATTGAAATTACAAGCAAGATTTTCAAGAAGAAGGACGATCAAGGAGAGGGCTATCTTGTTGACAAAATTGTCGATATTAGTGGTAGTAAGGGAACTGGTAAATGGACAGTGCAAGAAGGAGCCGAGAGAGGAATTGCCATTCCAACCATGGCTTCTGCACTCGATGCACGTTATATTTCTTCATTGCGAGATCAACGATTGCAAGCTGAAAAGCAATTAACTGGACCAACACCAAACGATCTTACAGAGACTATTGACAAGAAGGTTTTGATTAAGCAATTGAAGGATGCTCTCTATTGTTCAAAGATTTGCTCCTACACACAAGGAATGAACTTGATTGCTGAAGCTTCCAAGCAATATGGATGGAATCTGAAACTTGGTTCAATTGCTCGTATCTGGAAGGGTGGTTGTATCATTAGAGCCATCTTCTTGGATCGTATTAAGAATGCCTATGATCTCAATCCTAATTTACCAAGTTTACTCTTAGATCCAGATTTCAATAAGGAAATTGCTGAGAGGCAAGCTTCATGGAGAAAGGTCATTCAATTGGCAATCAATGCAGGAATTCCAACACCTGCTCTTTCCTCAAGCTTGGCTTACTATGACTCTTACCGAAGGGGTCGTTTACCTGCAAATTTGATTCAAGCTCAAAGAGACTTTTTCGGAGCTCACACCTTCGAGAGACTTGACATGCAAGGAAAATTCCATGCCAAATGGGAGGAACAATAATTGGAAATTAAAATCTTTTAATTACTTTTGTGTGAATGATGAGAATGATCCTAATTTAATTGTTATTCGAATGGAAATCACAGTGATTTTATAATTTAATGAATGAAACATTTGGTTTATCAAACATGATAAATTAGTTTGTTGTTAAGGTAATACAATGAGAATCAATAGATTGTTGTTGGAAATAGGCACGAGTCAAAATTATTGTTTGGTCAATTCATCCACTGAAGCATCTAAATCACGATAACCTTCACGTACAGCTCTATATTCAGCGACCCATTTCACAATGCATGTAATAGTGGAGAACACATAGACAAGAATTAAGCAAGCACCAAGTATTGGCATTCCAATATAGAGACCAAAATCACATTTGCATTCTTCGACAGGGCCATCAAATCCTCCAGGATTACAATAATGAGGAATATAGACATTATTACACCAATCAACACTAGTTGCAACACGAGAAGCATCTGCAATCATTAAATAAAAAGCAGCAGCAATACTCAATACACTCCAGATCTAATTTCATTCAAATCGTGCGTATCATGTAATAAACACACACACATTTCACAAAAAACGAGTTCAATAATTTTCATCATTCCAAGAACATTCATCCAAATAAATAAATACATTTGACACATGAATAAACATTCATGAATATTCAATGGATCAATTTTCACATGTGTACCCATCACACACGACGCATCGATGAATAAATATATATTCACACACACACTCACTCACTCTCACTGCAACACACAACAACACACATACCGTATAAATTCCACCAAAAATTCTTCCCGTCCACTTGATCTTATTATTCTCAATACTTCTTCGACCCATGGTCAACCACAACAAGGCAAAAACAAATCCAACAAGATATCCCAACACAATTCCAAATCGTTCAAACATGACTGCCAATGAAAATCCACAAAATGCTTTCATTTGAGAAGCAATGGGTTGTCCGTGATCATCATATGGAACACTCGGATAGATACAAAACGTTCCGTTGTGTCCGGCGAAGGCTCCGGGTTGAACTTCGGCACAAACTTTGTAAATGTGTGTCGAGTTGGAATCCGTGTTGGAAAGAATGTATTGAACACTGAAGGGACGATGCTCGTTGAGAGCTGAGTGTTGTTGTTATTGAAATGTTGAGTGAAAATTGTTGGAGTGAAATGAGTGTGGAAAAAAAAAGATTTTTTCACGAATTTGGAATTTTTGAAAGAGGATGATCATCATCATGAGAAAAAGAGGAGTCGATGAAGAGGAGCGAGATAGAATCATGGTATGATAATGAATGGTTTCAAGATACCCGATAAATATGTCCAAATATAGAAATATAAGAGTTCACAAATATTCCAATATTTCATCATGATGCCAATTCCATTTCAAACCACAAGAATCAATCACCACCACAATATACCACACAATACATCACACTCGCACACACATCATTTCAACAACCTACATGTAATTCCACAAAAATCCTTATTATCCACATGACTTGAAAAATTCACATTCAACGAATCCACAATCGATAATGAAAATAAAGCCAAAGCACCCAACACTCCCAACACACAACTCATTCCGAGACAAGTATTGGCTGCCAGCAAGAATCGTGAACCCATTTTTTTTTGATTTTTTTTTCACTTTGGTGAAATTTGAAGAAGTGAGAAGAGAATTCAATCCGAATCAAACATCATGTTGTTGATTATCATCCCATTCATCCCATTCATTTATTCATTCACCTTCATTGGTTGGTCTCCATGTGTGCCGAGGAGAGAATTTGACATGGTTCTTTTCAAAAGAACTTTACAAAAAATAGCGAACCGAACCGAACACTCGAGTGTCATCTGCTGCTGAAACGAAACTGTCAACGACGTTCCAACTCTTCCAAGACATCATCATCACTGCTGTCATCATCATATGATGATTTGCACAAGGAAAGATCATCATACGACACAATCCATACGTCGTTTACGGTTCCGTTACAAAATTGTCCTTGTCTTGATTACGATCACTTGGGTTCTTCTGAATCAAGATGAACATCAGAAGAGACAACAACAGTCACTACTAGGACTACTGAATCTTTTACCTACTGTTGTTCAAGCTCTTTCATCTCCGAATTTTCAAACACAAGCGATTGTGACATGGGGTCGAAATGTGGATGGTGAAGCTGGGTTTGGAAATTTATTGAATAATTCATTTCAATATCCAACATTGAATAATGATCTCACGAGGTATTTTGTGAATCATCAAGGGATGACTTATAATTTGGCAATGGAAATGCCTGTGGGTGCGCCGATTCTTTCTGATGTGTCTTTGGATGTTCAACTAGTGACAAGTGGTTCAAATTTTTTTTTTCTAAGTCGAGACGAAAATTTTCTAAAAGGATAAAAAGCAAACCAACTTGTAAATTGAGAGGATATATATGAATACAACGTCTATACTCCGGAGTTTAGCCAAAATGAAAAAAAAAAAAAAA